CAGGCTCGTCTTTCATCTCACAACATGAAGGGATGTCTGAATCCCCTGTGGAGACCTTAGAGAAAGCCCTAGGTCCCTGCCTCATTTTGACGGAATGCCTCACATCCCGCTGACACCTCGAGAGGCACGCGGAGTTCATTGCTTCAAAAGGTGACGATGCCTGACTCCTCTTGAATACTGATAGGAATCCCAAAATCCCTGTGGCTACTGGAAAGGGTCCTTGGGTGCCCTGCCTCACCTCGAGAAGCGTCCCTTTGGCCCTGCCATGCCTCGAAGCGATTCCTGAGGTGTCCCTCGTTACTAGACAGGAGTCCTGACGTCACTGAAGAAACTCGTGTTTTGAAGGGCCATCCCCGCCGTAAGTCGAGAACATACCCTAGGTCCCCGCCGCAACTCGAGAAAAACCATGAGACTTCCCCCTAGAGGCGAGTGAGGCCCCATTCCCCTGCAGTGCATGCAGAGCTATTCCGTGATCCCATTCAAACAAGTCAGGAGCTTCGACTTGCTTAATGGATCTCGAGACAGTCCCCAAGAACACTGTCACCAGTCTAGACGGACCCTGAGGTCACCCCAGCAACGCAAAGCAGCTCCATGTGCCCCAAATCAACTCGAGATGAGGCCCGATTCCCCTGCATTGACTCCAGAGCCATTCCCCGTTCCCCATTCAACACGACCGGTGGCTCGACTTCCTTCAGGCAACTCCAGAGATGCCCCGAGAACACTGTCCCAAGTCTAGAGGAACAACAACTTCAGCACAGCAACTCGAGGAATGCTCCGTGTACCCCAAATCGTCTCGAGATGCGAGCTGATTCCCTGGCTTAGGCTCAAGACGTATGCCAACTTCCCAGAAGCACCTCAGGAGGAGGCTTCTCTCAGCAATAGGTATGTGGGAGGGACCCCGAGTTTGCTGCCTCAAGGGGAATATACAGCGAGAAGCCCTAACTTGAAAGGAGGCCGGATTTCCTTGCAGTGGCTTGAATACAGGCTCGTCTTTCATCTCACAACATGAAGGGATGTCTGAATCCCCTGTGGAGACCTTAGAGAAAGCCCTAGGTCCCTGCCTCATTTTGACGGAATGCCTCACATCCCGCTGACACCTCGAGAGGCACGCGGAGTTCATTGCTTCAAAAGGTGACGATGCCTGACTCCTCTTGAATACTGATAGGAATCCCAAAATCCCTGTGGCTACTGGAAAGGGTCCTTGGGTGCCCTGCCTCACCTCGAGAAGCGTCCCTTTGGCCCTGCCAAGCCTCGAAGAGATTCCTGAGGTGTCCCTCGTTACTAGACAGGAGTCCTGACGTCACTGAAGAAACTCGTGTTTTGAAGGGCCATCCCCGCCGTAAGTCGAGAACATACCCCAGGTCCCCGCCGCAACTCGAGAAAAACCATGAGACTTCCCCCTAGAGGCGAGATGAGGCCCCATTCCCCTGCAGTGCATGCAGAGCTATTCCGTGATCCCATTCAAACAAGTCAGGAGCTTCGACTTGCTTAATGGATCTCGAGACAGTCCCCAAGAACACTGTCACCAGTCTAGACGGACCCTGAGGTCACCCCAGCAACGCAAAGCAGCTCCATGTGCCCCAAATCAACTCGAGATGAGGCCCGATTCCCCTGCATTGACTCCAGAGCCATTCCCCGTTCCCCATTCAACACGACCGGTGGCTCGACTTCCTTCAGGCAACTCCAGAGATGCCCCGAGAACACTGTCCCAAGTCTAGAGGAACACCAACTTCAGCACAGCAACTGGAGGAATGCTCCGTGTACCCCAAATCGTCTCGAGATGCGAGCTGATTCCCTGGCTTAGGCTCAAGACGTATGCCAACTTCCCAGAAGCACCTCAGGAGGAGACTTCTCTCAGCAATAGGTATGTGGGAGGGACCCCGAGTTTGCTGCCTCAAGGGGAATATACAGCGAGAAGCCCTAACTTGAAAGGAGGCCGGATTTCCTTGCAGTGGCTTGAATACAGGCTCGTCTTTCATCTCACAACATGAAGGGATGTCTGAATCCCCTGTGGAGACCTTAGAGAAAGCCCTAGGTCCCTGCCTCATTTTGACGGAATGCCTCACATCCCGCTGACACCTCGAGAGGCACGCGGAGTTCATTGCTTCAAAAGGTGACGATGCCTGACTCCTCTTGAATACTGATAGGAATCCCAAAATCCCTGTGGCTACTGGAAAGGGTCCTTGGGTGCCCTGCCTCACCTCGAGAAGCGTCCCTTTGGCCCTGCCATGCCTCGAAGCGATTCCTGAGGTGTCCCTCGTTACTAGACAGGAGTCCTGACGTCACTGAAGAAACTCGTGTTTTGAAGGGCCATCCCCGCCGTAAGTCGAGAACATACCCCAGGTCCCCGCCGCAACTCGAGAAAAACCATGAGACTTCCCCCTAGAGGCGAGTGAGGCCCCATTCCCCTGCAGTGCATGCAGAGCTATTCCGTGATCCCATTCAAACAAGTCAGGAGCTTCGACTTGCTTAATGGATCTCGAGACAGTCCCCAAGAACACTGTCACCAGTCTAGACGGACCCTGAGGTCACCCCAGCAACGCAAAGCAGCTCCATGTGCCCCAAATCAACTCGAGATGAGGCCCGATTCCCCTGCATTGACTCCAGAGCCATTCCCCGTTCCCCATTCAACACGACCGGTGGCTCGACTTCCTTCAGGCAACTCCAGAGATGCCCCGAGAACACTGTCCCAAGTCTAGAGGAACACCAACTTCAGCACAGCAACTCGAGGAATGCTCCGTGTACCCCAAATCGTCTCGAGATGCGAGCTGATTCCCTGGCTTAGGCTCAAGACGTATGCCAACTTCCCAGAAGCACCTCAGGAGGAGGCTTCTCTCAGCAATAGGTATGTGGGAGGGACCCCGAGTTTGCTGCCTCAAGGGGAATATACAGCGAGAAGCCCTAACTTGAAAGGAGGCCGGATTTCCTTGCAGTGGCTTGAATACAGGCTCGTCTTTCATCTCACAACATGAAGGGATGTCTGAATCCCCTGTGGAGACCTTAGAGAAAGCCCTAGGTCCCTGCCTCATTTTCACGGAATGCCTCACATCCCGCTGACACCTCGAGAGGCACGCGGAGTTCATTGCTTCAAAAGGTGACGATGCCTGACTCCTCTTGAATACTGATAGGAATCCCAAAATCCCTGTGTCTACTGGAAAGGGTCCTTGGGTGCAGTGCCTCACCTAGAGAAGCGTCCCTTTGGCCCTGCCAAGCCTCGAAGAGATTCCTGAGGTGTCCCTCGTTACTAGACAGGAGTCCTGACGTCACTGAAGAAACTCGTGTTTTGAAGGGCCATCCCCGCCGTAAGTCGAGAACATACCCCAGGTCCCCGCCGCAACTCGAGAAAAACCATGAGACTTCCCCCTAGAGGCGAGTGAGGCCCCATTCCCCTGCAGTGCATGCAGAGCTATTCCGTGATCCCATTCAAACAAGTCAGGAGCTTCGACTTGCTTAATGGATCTCGAGACAGTCCCCAAGAACACTGTCACCAGTCTAGACGGACCCTGAGGTCACCCCAGCAACGCAAAGCAGCTCCATGTGCCCCAAATCAACTCGAGATGAGGCCCGATTCCCCTGCATTGACTCCAGAGCCATTCCCCGTTCCCCATTCAACACGACCGGTGGCTCGACTTCCTTCAGGCAACTCCAGAGATGCCCCGAGAACACTGTCCCAAGTCTAGAGGAACACCAACTTCAGCACAGCAACTCGAGGAATGCTCCGTGTACCCCAAATCGTCTCGAGATGCGAGCTGATTCCCTGGCTTAGGCTCAAGACGTATGCCAACTTCCCAGAAGCACCTCAGGAGGAGGCTTCTCTCAGCAATAGGTATGTGGGAGGGACCCCGAGTTTGCTGCCTCAAGGGGAATATACAGCGAGAAGCCCTAACTTGAAAGGAGGCCGGATTTCCTTGCAGTGGCTTGAATACAGGCTCGTCTTTCATCTCACAACATGAAGGGATGTCTGAATCCCCTGTGGAGACCTTAGAGAAAGCCCTAGGTCCCTGCCTCATTTTGACGGAATGCCTCACATCCCGCTGACACCTCGAGAGGCACGCGGAGTTCATTGCTTCAAAAGGTGACGATGCCTGACTCCTCTTGAATACTGATAGGAATCCCAAAATCCCTGTGGCTACTGGAAAGGGTCCTTGGGTGCCCTGCCTCACCTCGAGAAGCGTCCCTTTGGCCCTGCCAAGCCTCGAAGCGATTCCTGAGGTGTCCCTCGTTACTAGACAGGAGTCCTGACGTCACTGAAGAAACTCGTGTTTTGAAGGGCCATCCCCGCCGTAAGTCGAGAACATACCCTAGGTCCCCGCCGCAACTCGAGAAAAACCATGAGACTTCCCCCTAGAGGCGAGTGAGGCCCCATTCCCCTGCAGTGCATGCAGAGCTATTCCGTGATCCCATTCAAACAAGTCAGGAGCTTCGACTTGCTTAATGGATCTCGAGACAGTCCCCAAGAACACTGTCACCAGTCTAGACGGACCCTGAGGTCACCCCAGCAACGCAAAGCAGCTCCATGTGCCCCAAATCAACTCGAGATGAGGCCCGATTCCCCTGCATTGACTCCAGAGCCATTCCCCGTTCCCCATTCAACACGACCGGTGGCTCGACTTCCTTCAGGCAACTCCAGAGATGCCCCGAGAACACTGTCCCAAGTCTAGAGGAACACCAACTTCAGCACAGCAACTCGAGGAATGCTCCGTGTACCCCAAATCGTCTCGAGATGCGAGCTGATTCCCTGGCTTAGGCTCAAGACGTATGCCAACTTCCCAGAAGCACCTCAGGAGGAGGCTTCTCTCAGCAATAGGTATGTGGGAGGGACCCCGAGTTTGCTGCCTCAAGGGGAATATACAGCGAGAAGCCCTAACTTGAAAGGAGGCCGGATTTCCTTGCAGTGGCTTGAATACAGGCTCGTCTTTCATCTCACAACATGAAGGGATGTCTGAATCCCCTGTGGAGACCATAGAGAAAGCCCTAGGTCCCTGCCTCATTTTGACGGAATGCCTCACATCCCGCTGACACCTCGAGAGGCACGCGGAGTTCATTGCTTCAAAAGGTGACGATGCCTGACTCCTCTTGAATACTGATAGGAATCCCAAAATCCCTGTGGCTACTGGAAAGGGTCCTTGGGTGCCCTGCCTCTCCTCGAGAAGCGTCCCTTTGGCCCTGCCAAGCCTCGAAGCGATTCCTGAGGTGTCCCTCGTTACTAGACAGGAGTCCTGACGTCACTGAAGAAACTCGTGTTTTGAAGGGCCATCCCCGCCGTAAGTCGAGAACATACCCTAGGTCCCCGCCGCAACTCGAGAAAAACCATGAGACTTCCCCCTAGAGGCGAGATGAGGCCCCATTCCCCTGCAGTGCATGCAGAGCTATTCCGTGATCCCATTCAAACAAGTCAGGATCTTCGACTTGCTTAATGGATCAAGAGACAGTCCCCAAGAACACTGTCACCAGTCTAGACGGACCCTGAGGTCACCCCAGCAACGCAAAGCAGCTCCATGTGCCCCAAATCAACTCGAGATGAGGCCCGATTCCCCTGCATTGACTCCAGAGCCATTCCCCGTTCCCCATTCAACACGACCGGTGGCTCGACTTCCTTCAGGCAACTCCAGAGATGCCCCGAGAACACTGTCCCAAGTCTAGAGGAAAACCAACTTCAGCACAGCAACTCGAGGAATGCTCCGTGTACCCCAAATCGTCTCGAGATGCGAGCTGATTCCCTGGCTTAGGCTCAAGACGTATGCCAACTTCCCAGAAGCACCTCAGGAGGAGGCTTCTCTCAGCAATAGGTATGTGGGAGGGACCCCGAGTTTGCTGCCTCAAGGGGAATATACAGCGAGAAGCCCTAACTTGAAAGGAGGCCGGATTTCCTTGCAGTGGCTTGAATACAGGCTCGTCTTTCATCTCACAACATGAGGGGATGTCTGAATCCCCTGTGGAGACCTTAGAGAAAGCCCTAGGTCCCTGCCTGATTTTGACGGAATGCCTCACATCCCGCTGACACCTCGAGAGGCACGCGGAGTTCATTGCTTCAAAAGGTGACGATGCCTGACTCCTCTTGAATACTGATAGGAATCCCAAAATCCCTGTGGCTACTGGAAAGGGTCCTTGGGTGCCCTGCCTCACCTCGAGAAGCGTCCCTATGGCCCTGCCAAGCCTCGAAGCGATTCCTGAGGTGTCCCTCGTTACTAGACAGGAGTCCTGACGTCACTGAAGAAACTCGTGTTTTGAAGGGCCATCCCCGCCGTAAGTCGAGAACATACCCTAGGTCCCCGCCGCAACTCGAGAAAAACCATGAGACTTCCCCCTAGAGGCGAGTGAGGCCCCATTCCCCTGCAGTGCATGCAGAGCTATCCCGTGATCCCATTCAAACAAGTCAGGAGCTTCGACTTGCTTAATGGATCTCGAGACAGTCCCCAAGAACACTGTCACCAGTCTAGACGGACCCTGAGGTCACCCCAGCAACGCAAAGCAGCTCCATGTGCCCCAAATCAACTCGAGATGAGGCCCGATTCCCCTGCATTGACTCCAGAGCCATTCCCCGTTCCCCATTCAACACGACCGGTGGCTCGACTTCCTTCAGGCAACTCCAGAGATGCCCCGAGAACACTGTCCCAAGTCTAGAGGAACACCAACTTCAGCACAGCAACTCGAGGAATGCTCCGTGTACCCCAAATCGTCTCGAGATGCGAGCTGATTCCCTGGCTTAGGCTCAAGACGTATGCCAACTTCCCAGAAGCACCTCAGGAGGAGGCTTCTCTCAGCAGTAGGTATGTGGGAGGGACCCCGAGTTTGCTGCCTCAAGGGGAATATACAGCGAGAAGCCCTAACTTGAAAGGAGGCCGGATTTCCTTGCAGTGGCTTGAATACAGGCTCGTCTTTCATCTCACAACATGAAGGGATGTCTGAATCCCCTGTGGAGACCTTAGAGAAAGCCCTAGGTCCCTGCCTCATTTTGACGGAATGCCTCACATCCCGCTGACACCTCGAGAGGCACGCGGAGTTCATTGCTTCAAAAGGTGACGATGCCTGACTCCTCTTGAATACTGATAGGAATCCCAAAATCCCTGTGGCTACTGGAAAGGGTCCTTGGGTGCCCTGCCTCAGCTCAAGAAGCGTCCCTTTGGCCCTGCCAAGCCTCGAAGCGATTCCTGAGGTGTCCCTCGTTACTAGACAGGAGTCCTGACGTCACTGAAGAAACTCGTGTTTTGAAGGGCCATCCCCGCCGTAAGTCGAGAACATACCCCAGGTCCCCGCCGCAACTCGAGAAAAACCATGAGACTTCCCCCTAGAGGCGAGATGAGGCCCCATTCCCCTGCAGTGCATGCAGAGCTATTCCGTGATCCCATTCAAACAAGTCAGGAGCTTCGACTTGCTTAATGGATCTCGGGACAGTCCCCAAGAACACTGTCACCAGTCTAGACGGACCCTGAGGTCACCCCAGCAACGCAAAGCAGCTCCATGTGCCCCAAATCAACTCGAGATGAGGCCCGATTCCCCTGCATTGACTCCAGAGCCATTCCCCGTTCCCCATTCAACACGACCGGTGGCTCGACTTCCTTCAGGCAACTCCAGAGATGCCCCGAGAACACTGTCCCAAGTCTAGAGGAACACCAACTTCAGCACAGCAACTCGAGGAATGCTCCGTGTACCCCAAATCGTCTCGAGATGCGAGCTGATTCCCTGGCTTAGGCTCAAGACGTATGCCAACTTCCCAGAAGCACCTCAGGAGGGGGCTTCTCTCAGCAATAGGTATGTGGGAGGGACCCCGAGTTTGCTGCCTCAAGGGGAATATACAGCGAGAAGCCCTAACTTGAAAGGAGGCCGGATTTCCTTGCAGTGGCTTGAATACAGGCTCGTCTTTCATCTCACAACATGAAGGGATGTCTGAATCCCCTGTGGAGACCTTAGAGAAAGCCCTAGGTCCCTGCCTCATTTTGACGGAATGCCTCACATCCCGCTGACACCTCGAGAGGCACGCGGAGTTCATTGCTTCAAAAGGTGACGATGCCTGACTCCTCTTGAATACTGACAGGAATCCCAAAATCCCTGTGGCTACTGGAAAGGGTCCTTGGGTGCCCTGCCTCACCTCGAGAAGCGTCCCTTTGGCCCTGCCAAGCCTCGAAGAGATTCCTGAGGTGTCCCTCGTTACTAGACAGGAGTCCTGACGTCACTGAAGAAACTCGTGTTTTGAAGGGCCATCCCCGCCGTAAGTCGAGAACATACCCCAGGTCCCCGCCGCAACTCGAGAAAAACCATGAGACTTCCCCCTAGAGGCGAGATGAGGCCCCATTCCCCTGCAGTGCATGCAGAGCTATTCCGTGATCCCATTCAAACAAGTCAGGAGCTTCGACTTGCTTAATGGATCTCGAGACAGTCCCCAAGAACACTGTCACCAGTCTAGACGGACCCTGAGGTCACCCCAGCAACGCAAAGCAGCTCCATGTGCCCCAAATCAACTCGAGATGAGGCCCGATTCCCCTGCATTGACTCCAGAGCCATTCCCCGTTCCCCATTCAACACGACCGGTGGCTCGACTTCCTTCAGGCAACTCCAGAGATGCCCCGAGAACACTGTCCCAAGTCTAGAGAAACACCAACTTCAGCACAGCAACTCGAGGAATGCTCTGTGTACCCAAAATCGTCTCGAGATGAGAGCTGATTCCCTGGCTTAGGCTCAAGACGTATGCCAACTTCCCAGAAGCACCTCAGGAGGAGGCTTCTCTCAGCAATAGGTATGTGGGAGGGACCCCGAGTTTGCTGCCTCAAGGGGAATATACAGCGAGAAGCCCTAACTTGAAAGGAGGCCGGATTTCCTTGCAGTGGCTTGAATACAGGCTCGTCTTTCATCTCACAACATGAAGGGATGTCTGAATCCCCTGTGGAGACCTTAGAGAAAGCCCTAGGTCCCTGCCTCATTTTGACGGAATGCCTCACATCCCGCTGACACCTCGAGAGGCACGCGGAGTTCATTGCTTCAAAAGGTGACGATGCCTGACTCCTCTTGAATACTGATAGGAATCCCAAAATCCCTGTGGCTACTGGAAAGGGTCCTTGGGTGCCCTGCCTCAGCTCGAGAAGCGTCCCTTTGGCCCTGCCAAGCCTCGAAGAGATTCCTGAGGTGTCCCTCGTTACTAGACAGGAGTCCTGACGTCACTGAAGAAACTCGTGTTTTGAAGGGCCATCCCCGCCGTAAGTCGAGAACATACCCCAGGTCCCCGCCGCAACTCGAGAAAAACCATGAGACTTCCCCCTAGAGGCGAGATGAGGCCCCATTCCCCTGCAGTGCATGCAGAGCTATTCCGTGATCCCATTCAAACAAGTCAGGAGCTTCGACTTGCTTAATGGATCTCGAGACAGTCCCCAAGAACACTGTCACCAGTCTAGACGGACCCTGAGGTCACCCCAGCAACGCAAAGCAGCTCCATGTGCCCCAAATCAACTCGAGATGAGGCCCGATTCCCCTGCATTGACTCCAGAGCCATTCCCCGTTCCCCATTCAACACGACCGGTGGCTCGACTTCCTTCAGGCAACTCCAGAGATGCCCCGAGAACACTGTCCCAAGTCTAGAGGAACACCAACTTCAGCACAGCAACTCGAGGAATGCTCCGTGTACCCCAAATCGTCTCGAGATGCGAGCTGATTCCCTGGCTTAGGCTCAAGACGTATGCCAACTTCCCAGAAGCACCTCAGGAGGGGGCTTCTCTCAGCAATAGGTATGTGGGAGGGACCCCGAGTTTGCTGCCTCAAGGGGAATATACAGCGAGAAGCCCTAACTTGAAAGGAGGCCGGATTTCCTTGCAGTGGCTTGAATACAGGCTCGTCTTTCATCTCACAACATGAAGGGATGTCTGAATCCCCTGTGGAGACCTTAGAGAAAGCCCTAGGTCCCTGCCTCATTTTGACGGAATGCCTCACATCCCGCTGACACCTCGAGAGGCACGCGGAGTTCATTGCTTCAAAAGGTGACGATGCCTGACTCCTCTTGAATACTGATAGGAATCCCAAAATCCCTGTGGCTACTGGAAAGGGTCCTTGGGTGCCCTGCCTCACCTCGAGAAGCGTCCCTTTGGCCCTGCCAAGCCTCGAAGAGATTCCTGAGGTGTCCCTCGTTACTAGACAGGAGTCCTGACGTCACTGAAGAAACTCGTGTTTTGAAGGGCCATCCCCGCCGTAAGTCGAGAACATACCCCAGGTCCCCGCCGCAACTCGAGAAAAACCATGAGACTTCCCCCTAGAGGCGAGATGAGGCCCCATTCCCCTGCAGTGCATGCAGAGCTATTCCGTGATCCCATTCAAACAAGTCAGGATCTTCGACTTGCTTAATGGATCTCGAGACAGTCCCCAAGAACACTGTCACCAGTCTAGACGGACCCTGAGGTCACCCCAGCAACGCAAAGCAGCTCCATGTGCCCCAAATCAACTCGAGATGAGGCCCGATTCCCCTGCATTGACTCCAGAGCCATTCCCCGTTCCCCATTCAACACGACCGATGGCTCGACTTCCTTCAGGCAACTCCAGAGATGCCCCGAGAACACTGTCCCAAGTCTAGAGGAAAACCAACTTCAGCACAGCAACTCGAGGAATGCTCCGTGTACCCCAAATCGTCTCGAGATGCGAGCTGATTCCCTGGCTTAGGCTCAAGACGTATGCCAACTTCCCAGAAGCACCTCAGGAGGAGGCTTCTCTCAGCAATAGGTATGTGGGAGGGACCCCGAGTTTGCTGCCTCAAGGGGAATATACAGCGAGAAGCCCTAACTTGAAAGGAGGCCGGATTTCCTTGCAGTGGCTTGAATACAGGCTCGTCTTTCATCTCACAACATGAAGGGATGTCTGAATCCCCTGTGGAGACCTTAGAGAAAGCCCTAGGTCCCTGCCTGATTTTGACGGAATGCCTCACATCCCGCTGACACCTCGAGAGGCACGCGGAGTTCATTGCTTCAAAAGGTGACGATGCCTGACTCCTCTTGAATACTGATAGGAATCCCAAAATCCCTGTGGCTACTGGAAAGGGTCCTTGGGTGCCCTGCCTCACCTCGAGAAGCGTCCCTATGGCCCTGCCAAGCCTCGAAGCGATTCCTGAGGTGTCCCTCGTTACTAGACAGGAGTCCTGACGTCACTGAAGAAACTCGTGTTTTGAAGGGCCATCCCCGCCGTAAGTCGAGAACATACCCTAGGTCCCCGCCGCAACTCGAGAAAAACCATGAGACTTCCCCCTAGAGGCGAGTGAGGCCCCATTCCCCTGCAGTGCATGCAGAGCTATCCCGTGATCCCATTCAAACAAGTCAGGAGCTTCGACTTGCTTAATGGATCTCGAGACAGTCCCCAAGAACACTGTCACCAGTCTAGACGGACCCTGAGGTCACCCCAGCAACGCAAAGCAGCTCCATGTGCCCCAAATCAACTCGAGATGAGGCCCGATTCCCCTGCATTGACTCCAGAGCCATTCCCCGTTCCCCATTCAACACGACCGGTGGCTCGACTTCCTTCAGGCAACTCCAGAGATGCCCCGAGAACACTGTCCCAAGTCTAGAGGAACACCAACTTCAGCACAGCAACTCGAGGAATGCTCCGTGTACCCCAAATCGTCTCGAGATGCGAGCTGATTCCCTGGCTTAGGCTCAAGACGTATGCCAACTTCCCAGAAGCACCTCAGGAGGAGGCTTCTCTCAGCAATAGGTATGTGGGAGGGACCCCGAGTTTGCTGCCTCAAGGGGAATATACAGCGAGAAGCCCTAACTTGAAAGGAGGCCGGATTTCCTTGCAGTGGCTTGAATACAGGCTCGTCTTTCATCTCACAACATGAAGGGATGTCTGAATCCCCTGTGGAGACCTTAGAGAAAGCCCTAGGTCCCTGCCTCATTTTGACGGAATGCCTCACATCCCGCTGACACCTCGAGAGGCACGCGGAGTTCATTGCTTCAAAAGGTGACGATGCCTGACTCCTCTTGAATACTGATAGGAATCCCAAAATCCCTGTGGCTACTGGAAAGGGTCCTTGGGTGCCCTGCCTCAGCTCGAGAAGCGTCCCTTTGGCCCTGCCAAGCCTCGAAGAGATTCCTGAGGTGTCCCTCGTTACTAGACAGGAGTCCTGACGTCACTGAAGAAACTCGTGTTTTGAAGGGCCATCCCCGCCGTAAGTCGAGAACATACCCCAGGTCCCCGCCGCAACTCGAGAAAAACCATGAGACTTCCCCCTAGAGGCGAGATGAGGCCCCATTCCCCTGCAGTGCATGCAGAGCTATTCCGTGATCCCATTCAAACAAGTCAGGAGCTTCGACTTGCTTAATGGATCTCGGGACAGTCCCCAAGAACACTGTCACCAGTCTAGACGGACCCTGAGGTCACCCCAGCAACGCAAAGCAGCTCCATGTGCCCCAAATCAACTCGAGATGAGGCCCGATTCCCCTGCATTGACTCCAGAGCCATTCCCCGTTCCCCATTCAACACGACCGGTGGCTCGACTTCCTTCAGGCAACTCCAGAGATGCCCCGAGAACACTGTCCCAAGTCTAGAGGAACACCAACTTCAGCACAGCAACTCGAGGAATGCTCCGTGTACCCCAAATCGTCTCGAGATGCGAGCTGATTCCCTGGCTTAGGCTCAAGACGTATGCCAACTTCCCAGAAGCACCTCAGGAGGGGGCTTCTCTCAGCAATAGGTATGTGGGAGGGACCCCGAGTTTGCTGCCTCAAGGGGAATATACAGCGAGAAGCCCTAACTTGAAAGGAGGCCGGATTTCCTTGCAGTGGCTTGAATACAGGCTCGTCTTTCATCTCACAACATGAAGGGATGTCTGAATCCCCTGTGGAGACCTTAGAGAAAGCCCTAGGTCCCTGCCTCATTTTGACGGAATGCCTCACATCCCGCTGACACCTCGAGAGGCACGCGGAGTTCATTGCTTCAAAAGGTGACGATGCCTGACTCCTCTTGAATACTGATAGGAATCCCAAAATCCCTGTGGCTACTGGAAAGGGTCCTTGGGTGCCCTGCCTCACCTCGAGAAGCGTCCCTTTGGCCCTGCCAATCCTCGAAGTGATTCCTGAGGTGTCCCTCGTTACTAGACAGGAGTCCTGACGTCACTGAAGAAACTCGTGTTTTGAAGGGCCATCCCCGCCGTAAGTCGAGAACATACCCCAGGTCCCCGCCGAAACTCGAGAAAAACCATGAGACTTCCCCCTAGAGGCGAGATGAGGCCCCATTCCCCTGCAGTGCATGCAGAGCTATTCCGTGATCCCATTCAAACAAGTCAGGAGCTTCGACTTGCTTAATGGATCTCGAGACAGTCCCCAAGAACACTGTCACCAGTCTAGACGGACGCTGAGGTCACCCCAGCAACGCAAAGCAGCTCCATGTGCCCCAAATCAACTCGAGATGAGGCCCGATTCCCCTGCATTGACTCCAGAGCCATTCCCCGTTCCCCATTCAACACGACCGGTGGCTCGACTTCCTTCAGGCAACTCCAGAGATGCCCCGAGAACACTGTCCCAAGTCTAGAGAAACACCAACTTCAGCACAGCAACTCGAGGAATGCTCTGTGTACCCAAAATCGTCTCGAGATGAGAGCTGATTCCCTGGCTTAGGCTCAAGACGTATGCCAACTTCCCAGAAGCACCTCAGGAGGAGGCTTCTCTCAGCAATAGGTATGTGGGAGGGACCCCGAGTTTGCTGCCTCAAGGGGAATATACAGCGAGAAGCCCTAACTTGAAAGGAGGCCGGATTTCCTTGCAGTGGCTTGAATACAGGCTCGTCTTTCATCTCACAACATGAAGGGATGTCTGAATCCCCTGTGGAGACCTTAGAGAAAGCCCTAGGTCCCTGCCTCATTTTGACGGAATGCCTCACATCCCGCTGACACCTCGAGAGGCACGCGGAGTTCATTGCTTCAAAAGGTGACGATGCCTGACTCCTCTTGAATACTGATAGGAATCCCAAAATCCCTGTGGCTACTGGAAAGGGTCCTTGGGTGCCCTGCCTCAGCTCGAGAAGCGTCCCTTTGGCCCTGCCAAGCCTCGAAGAGATTCCTGAGGTGTCCCTCGTTACTAGACAGGAGTCCTGACGTCACTGAAGAAACTCGTGTTTTGAAGGGCCATCCCCGCCGTAAGTCGAGAACATACCCCAGGTCCCCGCCGCAACTCGAGAAAAACCATGAGACTTCCCCCTAGAGGCGAGATGAGGCCCCATTCCCCTGCAGTGCATGCAGAGCTATTCCGTGATCCCATTCAAACAAGTCAGGAGCTTCGACTTGCTTAATGGATCTCGAGACAGTCCCCAAGAACACTGTCACCAGTCTAGACGGACCCTGAGGTCACCCCAGCAACGCAAAGCAGCTCCATGTGCCCCAAATCAACTCGAGATGAGGCCCGATTCCCCTGCATTGACTCCAGAGCCATTCCCCGTTCCCCATTCAACACGACCGGTGGCTCGACTTCCTTCAGGCAACTCCAGAGATGCCCCGAGAACACTGTCCCAAGTCTAGAGGAACACCAACTTCAGCACAGCAACTCGAGGAATGCTCCGTGTACCCCAAATCGTCTCGAGATGCGAGCTGATTCCCTGGCTTAGGCTCAAGACGTATGCCAACTTCCCAGAAGCAACTCAGGAGGGGGCTTCTCTCAGCAATAGGTATGTGGGAGGGACCCCGAGTTTGCTGCCTCAAGGGGAATATACAGCGAGAAGCCCTAACTTGAAAGGAGGCCGGATTTCCTTGCAGTGGCTTGAATACAGGCTCGTCTTTCATCTCACAACATGAAGGGATGTCTGAATCCCCTGTGGAGACCTTAGAGAAAGCCCTAGGTCCCTGCCTCATTTTCACGGAATGCCTCACATCCCGCTGACACCTCGAGAGGCACGCGGAGTTCATTGCTTCAAAAGGTGACGATGCCTGACTCCTCTTGAATACTGATAGGAATCCCAAAATCCCTGTGGCTACTGGAAAGGGTCCTTGGGTGCCCTGCCTCACCTCGAGAAGCGTCCCTTTGGCCCTGCCAAGCCTCGAAGAGATTCCTGAGGTGTCCCTCGTTACTAGACAGGAGTCCTGACGTCACTGAAGAAACTCGTGTTTTGAAGGGCCATCCCCGCCGTAAGTCGAGAACATACCCCAGGTCCCTGCCGCAACTCGAGAAAAACCATGAGACTTCCCCCTAGAGGCGAGATGAGGCCCCATTCCCCTGCAGTGCATGCAGAGCTATTCCATGACCCCATTCAAACAAGTCAGGAGCTTCGACTTGCTTAATGGATCTCGAGACAGTCCCCAAGAACACTGTCACCAGTCTAGACGGACCCTGAGGTCACCCCAGCAACGCAAAGCAGCTCCATGTGCCCCAAATCAACTCGAGATGAGGCCCGATTCCCCTGCATTGACTCCAGAGCCATTCCCCGTTCCCCATTCAACACGACCGGTGGCTCGACTTCCTTCAGGCAACTCCAGAGATGCCCCGAGAACACTGTCCCAAGTCTAGAGGAACAACAACTTCAGCACAGCAACTCGAGGAATGCTCCGTCTACCCCAAATCGTCTCGAGATGCGAGCTGATTCCCTGGCTTAGGCTCAAGACGTATGCCAACTTCCCAGAAGCACCTCAGGAGGAGGCTTCTCTCAGCAATAGGTATGTGGGAGGGACCCCGAGTTTGCTGCCTCAAGGGGAATATACAGCGAGAAGCCCTAACTTGAAAGGAGGCCGGATTTCCTTGCAGTGGCTTGAATACAGGCTCGTCTTTCATCTCACAACATGAAGGGATGTCTGAATCCCCTGTGGAGACCTTAGAGAAAGCCCTAGGTCCCTGCCTCATTTTGACGGAATGCCTCACATCCCGCTGACACCTCGAGAGGCACGCGGAGTTCATTGCTTCAAAAGGTGACGATGCCTGACTCCTCTTGAATACTGATAGGAATCCCAAAATCCCTGTGGCTACTGGAAAGGGTCCTTGGGTGCCCTGCCTCACCTCGAGAAGCGTCCCTTTGGCCCTGCCAAGCCTCGAAGAGATTCCTGAGGTGTCCCTCGTTACTAGACAGGAGTCCTGACGTCACTGAAGAAACTCGTGTTTTGAAGGGCCATCCCCGCCGTAAGTCGAGAACATACCCCAGGTCCCCGCCGCAACTCGAGAAAAACCATGAGACTTCCACCTAGAGGCGAGATGAGGCCCCATTCCCCTGCAGTGCATGCAGAGCTATTCCGTGATCCCATTCAAACAAGTCAGGAGCTTCGACTTGCTTAATGGATCTCGAGACAGTCCCCAAGAACACTGTCACCAGTCTAGACGGACCCTGAGGTCACCCCAGCAACGCAAAGCAGCTCCATGTGCCCCAAATCAACTCGAGATGAGGCCCGATTCCCCTGCATTGACTCCAGAGCCATTCCCCGTTCCCCACTCAACACGACCGGTGGCTCACCTTCCTTCAGGCAACTCCAGAGATGCCCCGAGAACACTGTCCCAAGTCTAGAGGAACACCAACTTCAGCACAGCACCTCGAGGAATGCTCCGTGTACCCCAAATCGTCTCGAGATGCGAGCTGATTCCCTGGCTTATGCTCAAGACGTATGCCAACTTCCCAGAAGCACCTCAGGAGGAGGCTTCTCTCAGCAATAGGTATGTGGGAGGGACCCCGAGTTTGCTGCCTCAAGGGGAATATACAGCGAGAAGCCCTAACTTGAAAGGAGGCCGGATTTCCTTGCATTGGCTTGAATACAGGCTCGTCTTTCATCTCACAACATGAAGGGATGTCTGAATCCCCTGTGGAGACCTTAGAGAAAGCCCTAGGTCCCTGCCTCATTTTGACGGAATGCCTCACATCCCGCTGACACCTCGAGAGGCACGCGGAGTTCATTGCTTCAAAAGGTGACGATGCCTGACTCCTCTTGAATACTGATAGGAATCCCAAAATCCCTGTGGCTACTGGAAAGGGTCCTTGGGTGCCCTGCCTCACCTCGAGAAGCGTCCCTTTGGCCCTGCCAAGCCTCGAAGAGATTCCTGAGGTGTCCCTCGTTACTAGACAGGAGTCCTGACGTTACTGAAGAAACTCGTGTTTTGAAGGGCCATCCCCGCCGTAAGTCGAGAACATACCCCAGGTCCCCGCCGCAACTCGAGAAAAACCATGAGACTTCCCCCTAGAGGCGAGATGAGGCCCCATTCCCCTGCAGTGCATGCAGAGCTATTCCGTGATCCCATTCAAACAAGTCAGGAGCTTCGACTTGCTTAATGGATCTCGAGACAGTCCCCAAGAACACTGTCACCAGTCTAGACGGACCCTGAGGTCACCCCAGCAACGCAAAGCAGCTCCATGTTCCCCAAATCAACTCGAGATGAGGCCCGATTCCCCTGCATTGACTCCAGAGCCATTCCCCGTTCCCCATTCAACACGACCGGTGGCTCGACTTCCTTCAGGCAACTCCAGAGATGCCCCGAGAACACTGTCCCAAGTCTAGAGGAACACCAACTTCAGCACAGCAACTCGAGGAATGCTCCGTGTATCCCAAATCGTCTCGAGATGCGAGCTGATTCCCTGGCTTAGGCTCAAGACGTATGCCAACTTCCCAGAAGCACCTCAGGAGGAGGCTTCTCTCAGCAATAGGTATGTGGGAGGGACCCCGAGTTTGCTGCCTCAAGGGGAATATACAGCGAGAAGCCCTAACTTGAAAGGAGGCCGGATTTCCTTGCAGTGGCTTGAATACAGGCTCGTCTTTCATCTCACAACATGAAGGGATGTCTGAATCCCCTGTGGAGACCTTAGAGAAAGCCCTAGGTCCCTGCCTCATTTTGACGGAATGCCTCACATCCCGCTGACACCTCGAGAGGCACGTGGAGTTCATTGCTTCAAAAGTTGACGATGCCTGACTCCTCTTGAATACTGATAGGAATCCCAAAATCCCTGTGGCTACTGGAAAGGGTCCTTGGGTGCCCTGCCTCACCTCGAGAAGCGTCCCTTTGGCCCTGCCAAGCCTCGAAGAGATTCCTGAGGTGTCCCTCGTTACTAGACAGGAGTCCTGACGTCACTGAAGAAACTTGTGTTTTGAAGGGCCATCCCCGCCGTAAGTCGAGAACATACCCCAGGTCCCCGCCGCAACTCGAGAAAAACCATGAGACTTCCCCCTAGAGGCGAGATGAGGCCCCATTCCCCTGCAGTGCATGCAGAGCTATTCCGTGATCCCATTCAAACAAGTCAGGAGCTTCGACTTGCTTAATGGATCTCGAGACAGTCCCCAAGAACACTGTCACCAGTCTAGACGGACCCTGAGGTCACCCCAGAAACGCAAAGCAGCTCCATGTGCCCCAAATCAACTCGAGATTAGGCCCGATTCCCCTGCATTGACTCCAGAGCCATTCCCCGTTCCCCATTCAACACGACCGGTGGCTCGACTTCCTTCAGGCAACTCCAGAGATGCCCCGAGAACACTGTCCCAAGTCTAGAGGAACACCAACTTCAGCACAGCAACTCGAGGAATGCTCCGTGTACCCCAAATCGTCTCGAGATGAGAGCTGATTCCCTGGCTTAGGCTCAAGATGTATGCCAACTTCCCAGAAGCATCTCAGGAGGAGGCTTCTCTCAGCAATAGGTATGTGGGAGCGACCCCGAGTTTGCTGCCTCAAGGGGAATATACATCGAGAAGCCCTAACTTGAAAGGAGGCCGGATTTCCTTGCAGTGGCTTGAATACAGGCTCGTCTTTCATCTCACAACATGAAGGGATGTCTGAATCCCCTGTGGAGACCTTAGAGAAAGCCCTAGGTCCCTGCCTCATTTTGACGGAATGCCTCACATCCCGCTGACACCTCGAGAGGCACGCGGAGTTCATTGCTTCAAAAGGTGACGATGCCTGACTCCTCTTGAATACTGATAGGAATCCCAAAATCCCTGTGGCTACTGGAAAGGGTCCTTGGGTGCCCTGCCTCACCTCGAGAAGCGTCCCTTTGGCCCTGCCAAGCCGCGAAGAGATTCCTGAGGTGTCCCTCGTTACTAGACAGGAGTCCTGACGTCACCGAAGAAACTCGTGTTTTGAAGGGCCATCCCCGCCGTAAGTCGAGAACATACCCCAGGTCCCCGCCGCAACTCGAGAAAAACCATGAGACTTCCCCCTAGAGGCGAGATGAGGCCCCATTCCCCTGCAGTGCATGCAGAGCTATTCCGTGACCCCATTCAAACAAGTCAGGAGCTTCGACTTGCTTAATGGATCTCGAGACAGTCCCCAAGAACACTGTCACCAGTCTAGACGGACCCTGAGGTCACCCCAGCAACGCAAAGCAGCTCCATGTGCCCCAAATCAACTCGAGATGAGGCCCGATTCCCCTGCATTGACCCCAGAGCCATTCCCCGTTCCCCATTCAACACGACCGGTGGCTCGACTTCCTTCAGGCAACTCCAGAGATGCCCCGAGAACACTGTCCCAAGTCTAGAGGAACACCAACTTCAGCACAGCAACTCGAGGAATGCTCCGTGTACCCCAAATCGTCTCGAGATGAGAGCTGATTCCCTGGCTTAGGCTCAAGACGTATGCCAACTTCCCAGAAGCACCTCAGGAGGAGGCTTCTCTCAGCAATAGGTACGTGGGAGGGATCCCGAGTTTGCTGCCTCAAGGGGAATATACAGCGAGAAGCCCTAACTTGAAAGGAGGCCGGATTTCCTTGCAGTGGCTTGAATACAGGCTCGTCTTTCATCTCACAACATGAAGGGATGTCTGAATCCCCTGTGGAGACCTTAGAGAAAGCCCTAGGTCCCTGCCTCATTTTGATGGAATGCCTCACATCCCGCTGACACCTCGAGAGTTCATTGCTTCAAAAGGTGACGATGCCTGACTCCTCTTGAATACTGATAGGAATCCCAAAATCCCTGTGGCTACTGGAAAGGGTCCTTGGGTGCCCTGCCTCACCTCGAGAAGCGTCCCTATGGCCCTGCCAAGCCTCGAAGCGATTCCTGAGGTGTCCCTCGTTACTAGACAGGAGTCCTGACGTCACTGAAGAAACTCGTGTTTTGAAGGGCCATCCCCGCCGTAAGTCGAGAACATACCCTAGGTCCCCGCCGCAACTCGAGAAAAACCATGAGACTTCCCCCTAGAGGCGAGTGAGGCCCCATTCCCCTGCAGTGCATGCAGAGCTATCCCGTGATCCCATTCAAACAAGTCAGGAGCTTCGACTTGCTTAATGGATCTCGAGACAGTCCCCAAGAACACTGTCACCAGTCTAGACGGACCCTGAGGTCACCCCAGCAACGCAAAGCAGCTCCATGTGCCCCAAATCAACTCGAGATGAGGCCCGATTCCCCTGCATTGACTCCAGAGCCATTCCCCGTTCCCCATTCAACACGACCGGTGGCTCGACTTCCTTCAGGCAACTCCAGAGATGCCCCGAGAACACTGTCCCAAGTCTAGAGGAACACCAACTTCAGCACAGCAACTCGAGGAATGCTCCGTGTACCCCAAATCGTCTCGAGATGCGAGCTGATTCCCTGGCTTAGGCTCAAGACGTATGCCAACTTCCCAGAAGCACCTCAGGAGGAGGCTTCTCTCAGCAGTAGGTATGTGGGAGGGACCCCGAGTTTGCTGCCTCAAGGGGAATATACAGCGAGAAGCCCTAACTTGAAAGGAGGCCGGATTTCCTTGCAGTGGCTTGAATACAGGCTCGTCTTTCATCTCACAACATGAAGGGATGTCTGAATCCCCTGTGGAGACCTTAGAGAAAGCCCTAGGTCCCTGCCTCATTTTGACGGAATGCCTCACATCCCGCTGACACCTCGAGAGGCACGCGGAGTTCATTGCTTCAAAAGGTGACGATGCCTGACTCCTCTTGAATACTGATAGGAATCCCAAAATCCCTGTGGCTACTGGAAAGGGTCCTTGGGTGCCCTGCCTCAGCTCGAGAAGCGTCCCTTTGGCCCTGCCAAGCCTCGAAGAGATTCCTGAGGTGTCCCTCGTTACTAGACAGGAGTCCTGACGTCACTGAAGAAACTCGTGTTTTGAAGGGCCATCCCCGCCGTAAGTCGAGAACATACCCCAGGTCCCCGCCGCAACTCGAGAAAAACCATGAGACTTCCCCCTAGAGGCGAGATGAGGCCCCATTCCCCTGCAGTGCATGCAGAGCTATTCCGTGATCCCATTCAAACAAGTCAGGAGCTTCGACTTGCTTAATGGATCTCGGGACAGTCCCCAAGAACACTGTCACCAGTCTAGACGGACCCTGAGGTCACCCCAGCAACGCAAAGCAGCTCCATGTGCCCCAAATCAACTCGAGATGAGGCCCGATTCCCCTGCATTGACTCCAGAGCCATTCCCCGTTCCCCATTCAACACGACCGGTGGCTCGACTTCCTTCAGGCAACTCCAGAGATGCCCCGAGAACACTGTCCCAAGTCTAGAGGAACACCAACTTCAGCACAGCAACTCGAGGAATGCTCCGTGTACCCCAAATCGTCTCGAGATGCGAGCTGATTCCCTGGCTTAGGCTCAAGACGTATGCCAACTTCCCAGAAGCACCTCAGGAGGGGGCTTCTCTCAGCAATAGGTATGTGGGAGGGACCCCGAGTTTGCTGCCTCAAGGGGAATATACAGCGAGAAGCCCTAACTTGAAAGGAGGCCGGATTTCCTTGCAGTGGCTTGAATACAGGCTCGTCTTTCATCTCACAACATGAAGGGATGTCTGAATCCCCTGTGGAGACCTTAGAGAAAGCCCTAGGTCCCTGCCTCATTTTGACGGAATGCCTCACATCCCGCTGACACCTCGAGAGGCACGCGGAGTTCATTGCTTCAAAAGGTGACGATGCCTGACTCCTCTTGAATACTGACAGGAATCCCAAAATCCCTGTGGCTACTGGAAAGGGTCCTTGGGTGCCCTGCCTCACCTCGAGAAGCGTCCCTTTGGCCCTGCCAAGCCTCGAAGAGATTCCTGAGGTGTCCCTCGTTACTAGACAGGAGTCCTGACGTCACTGAAGAAACTCGTGTTTTGAAGGGCCATCCCCGCCGTAAGTCGAGAACATACCCCAGGTCCCCGCCGCAACTCGAGAAAAACCATGAGACTTCCCCCTAGAGGCGAGATGAGGCCCCATTCCCCTGCAGTGCATGCAGAGCTATTCCGTGATCCCATTCAAACAAGTCAGGAGCTTCGACTTGCTTAATGGATCTCGAGACAGTCCCCAAGAACACTGTCACCAGTCTAGACGGACCCTGAGGTCACCCCAGCAACGCAAAGCAGCTCCATGTGCCCCAAATCAACTCGAGATGAGGCCCGATTCCCCTGCATTGACTCCAGAGCCATTCCCCGTTCCCCATTCAACACGACCGGTGGCTCGACTTCCTTCAGGCAACTCCAGAGATGCCCCGAGAACACTGTCCCAAGTCTAGAGAAACACCAACTTCAGCACAGCAACTCGAGGAATGCTCTGTGTACCCAAAATCGTCTCGAGATGAGAGCTGATTCCCTGGCTTAGGCTCAAGACGTATGCCAACTTCCCAGAAGCACCTCAGGAGGAGGCTTCTCTCAGCAATAGGTATGTGGGAGGGACCCCGAGTTTGCTGCCTCAAGGGGAATATACAGCGAGAAGCCCTAACTTGAAAGGAGGCCGGATTTCCTTGCAGTGGCTTGAATACAGGCTCGTCTTTCATCTCACAACATGAAGGGATGTCTGAATCCCCTGTGGAGACCTTAGAGAAAGCCCTAGGTCCCTGCCTCATTTTGACGGAATGCCTCACATCCCGCTGACACCTCGAGAGGCACGCGGAGTTCATTGCTTCAAAAGGTGACGATGCCTGACTCCTCTTGAATACTGATAGGAATCCCAAAATCCCTGTGGCTACTGGAAAGGGTCCTTGGGTGCCCTGCCTCAGCTCGAGAAGCGTCCCTTTGGCCCTGCCAAGCCTCGAAGAGATTCCTGAGGTGTCCCTCGTTACTAGACAGGAGTCCTGACGTCACTGAAGAAACTCGTGTTTTGAAGGGCCATCCCCGCCGTAAGTCGAGAACATACCCCAGGTCCCCGCCGCAACTCGAGAAAAACCATGAGACTTCCCCCTAGAGGCGAGATGAGGCCCCATTCCCCTGCAGTGCATGCAGAGCTATTCCGTGATCCCATTCAAACAAGTCAGGAGCTTCGACTTGCTTAATGGATCTCGAGACAGTCCCCAAGAACACTGTCACCAGTCTAGACGGACCCTGAGGTCACCCCAGCAACGCAAAGCAGCTCCATGTGCCCCAAATCAACTCGAGATGAGGCCCGATTCCCCTGCATTGACTCCAGAGCCATTCCCCGTTCCCCATTCAACACGACCGGTGGCTCGACTTCCTTCAGGCAACTCCAGAGATGCCCCGAGAACACTGTCCCAAGTCTAGAGGAACACCAACTTCAGCACAGCAACTCGAGGAATGCTCCGTGTACCCCAAATCGTCTCGAGATGCGAGCTGATTCCCTGGCTTAGGCTCAAGACGTATGCCAACTTCCCAGAAGCACCTCAGGAGGGGGCTTCTCTCAGCAATAGGTATGTGGGAGGGACCCCGAGTTTGCTGCCTCAAGGGGAATATACAGCGAGAAGCCCTAACTTGAAAGGAGGCCGGATTTCCTTGCAGTGGCTTGAATACAGGCTCGTCTTTCATCTCACAACATGAAGGGATGTCTGAATCCCCTGTGGAGACCTTAGAGAAAGCCCTAGGTCCCTGCCTCATTTTCACGGAATGCCTCACATCCCGCTGACACCTCGAGAGGCACGCGGAGTTCATTGCTTCAAAAGGTGACGATGCCTGACTCCTCTTGAATACTGATAGGAATCCCAAAATCCCTGTGGCTACTGGAAAGGGTCCTTGGGTGCCCTGCCTCACCTCGAGAAGCGTCCCTTTGGCCCTGCCAAGCCTCGAAGAGATTCCTGAGGTGTCCCTCGTTACTAGACAGGAGTCCTGACGTCACTGAAGAAACTCGTGTTTTGAAGGGCCATCCCCGCCGTAAGTCGAGAACATACCCTAGGTCCCCGCCGCAACTCGAGAAAAACCATGAGACTTCCCCCTAGAGGCGAGTGAGGCCCCATTCCCCTGCAGTGCATGCAGAGCTATTCCGTGATCCCATTTAAACAAGTCAGGAGCTTCGACTTGCTTAATGGATCTCGAGACAGTCCCCAAGAACACTGTCACCAGTCTAGACGGACCCTGAGGTCACCCCAGCAACGCAAAGCAGCTCCATGTGCCCCAAATCAACTCGAGATGAGGCCCGATTCCCCTGCATTGACTCCAGAGCCATTCCCCGTTCCCCATTCAACACGACCGGTGGCTCGACTTCCTTCAGGCAACTCCAGAGATGCCCCGAGAACACTGTCCCAAGTCTAGAGGAACACCAACTTCAGCACAGCAACTCGAGGAATGCTCCGTGTACCCCAAATCGTCTCGAGATGCGAGCTGATTCCCTGGCTTAGGCTCAAGACGTATGCCAACTTCCCAGAAGCACCTCAGGAGGAGGCTTCTCTCAGCAATAGGTATGTGGGAGGGACCCCGAGTTTGCTGCCTCAAGGGGAATATACAGCGAGAAGCCCTAACTTGAAAGGAGGCCGGATTTCCTTGCAGTGGCTTGAATACAGGCTCGTCTTTCATCTCACAACATGAAGGGATGTCTGAATCCCCTGTGGAGACCTTAGAGAAAGCCCTAGGTCCCTGCCTCATTTTGACGGAATGCCTCATATCCCGCTGACACCTCGAGAGGCACGCGGAGTTCATTGCTTCAAAAGGTGACGATGCCTGACTCCTCTTGAATACTGATAGGAATCCCAAAATCCCTGTGGCTACTGGAAAGGGTCCTTGGGTGCCCTGCCTCACCTCGAGAAGCGTCCCTTTGGCCCTGCCAAGCCTCGAAGAGATTCCTGAGGTGTCCCTCGTTACTAGACAGGAGTCCTGACGTCACTGAAGAAACTCGTGTTTTGAAGGGCCATCCCCGCCGTAAGTCGAGAACATACCCCAGGTCCCCGCCGCAACTCGAGAAAAACCATGAGACTTCCCCCTAGAGGCGAGATGAGGCCCCATTCCCCTGCAGTGCATGCAGAGCTATTCCGTGATCCCATTCAAACAAGTCAGGATCTTCGACTTGCTTAATGGATCTCGAGACAGTCCCCAAGAACACTGTCACCAGTCTAGACGGACCCTGAGGTCACCCCAGCAACGCAAAGCAGCTCCATGTGCCCCAAATCAACTCGAGATGAGGCCCGATTCCCCTGCATTGACTCCAGAGCCATTCCCCGTTCCCCATTCAACACGACCGATGGCTCGACTTCCTTCAGGCAACTCCAGAGATGCCCCGAGAACACTGTCCCAAGTCTAGAGGAAAACCAACTTCAGCACAGCAACTCGAGGAATGCTCCGTGTACCCCAAATCGTCTCGAGATGCGAGCTGATTCCCTGGCTTAGGCTCAAGACGTATGCCAACTTCCCAGAAGCACCTCAGGAGGAGGCTTCTCTCAGCAATAGGTATGTGGGAGGGACCCCGAGTTTGCTGCCTCAAGGGGAATATACAGCGAGAAGCCCTAACTTGAAAGGAGGCCGGATTTCCTTGCAGTGGCTTGAATACAGGCTCGTCTTTCATCTCACAACATGAAGGGATGTCTGAATCCCCTGTGGAGACCTTAGAGAAAGCCCTAGGTCCCTGCCTGATTTTGACGGAATGCCTCACATCCCGCTGACACCTCGAGAGGCACGCGGAGTTCATTGCTTCAAAAGGTGACGATGCCTGACTCCTCTTGAATACTGATAGGAATCCCAAAATCCCTGTGGCTACTGGAAAGGGTCCTTGGGTGCCCTGCCTCACCTCGAGAAGCGTCCCTATGGCCCTGCCAAGCCTCGAAGCGATTCCTGAGGTGTCCCTCGTTACTAGACAGGAGTCCTGACGTCACTGAAGAAACTCGTGTTTTGAAGGGCCATCCCCGCCGTAAGTCGAGAACATACCCTAGGTCCCCGCCGCAACTCGAGAAAAACCATGAGACTTCCCCCTAGAGGCGAGTGAGGCCCCATTCCCCTGCAGTGCATGCAGAGCTATCCCGTGATCCCATTCAAACAAGTCAGGAGCTTCGACTTGCTTAATGGATCTCGAGACAGTCCCCAAGAACACTGTCACCAGTCTAGACGGACCCTGAGGTCACCCCAGCAACGCAAAGCAGCTCCATGTGCCCCAAATCAACTCGAGATGAGGCCCGATTCCCCTGCATTGACTCCAGAGCCATTCCCCGTTCCCCATTCAACACGACCGGTGGCTCGACTTCCTTCAGGCAACTCCAGAGATGCCCCGAGAACACTGTCCCAAGTCTAGAGGAACACCAACTTCAGCACAGCAACTCGAGGAATGCTCCGTGTACCCCAAATCGTCTCGAGATGCGAGCTGATTCCCTGGCTTAGGCTCAAGACGTATGCCAACTTCCCAGAAGCACCTCAGGAGGAGGCTTCTCTCAGCAATAGGTATGTGGGAGGGACCCCGAGTTTGCTGCCTCAAGGGGAATATACAGCGAGAAGCCCTAACTTGAAAGGAGGCCGGATTTCCTTGCAGTGGCTTGAATACAGGCTCGTCTTTCATCTCACAACATGAAGGGATGTCTGAATCCCCTGTGGAGACCTTAGAGAAAGCCCTAGGTCCCTGCCTCATTTTGACGGAATGCCTCACATCCCGCTGACACCTCGAGAGGCACGCGGAGTTCATTGCTTCAAAAGGTGACGATGCCTGACTCCTCTTGAATACTGATAGGAATCCCAAAATCCCTGTGGCTACTGGAAAGGGTCCTTGGGTGCCCTGCCTCAGCTCGAGAAGCGTCCCTTTGGCCCTGCCAAGCCTCGAAGAGATTCCTGAGGTGTCCCTCGTTACTAGACAGGAGTCCTGACGTCACTGAAGAAACTCGTGTTTTGAAGGGCCATCCCCGCCGTAAGTCGAGAACATACCCCAGGTCCCCGCCGCAACTCGAGAAAAACCATGAGACTTCCCCCTAGAGGCGAGATGAGGCCCCATTCCCCTGCAGTGCATGCAGAGCTATTCCGTGATCCCATTCAAACAAGTCAGGAGCTTCGACTTGCTTAATGGATCTCGAGACAGTCCCCAAGAACACTGTCACCAGTCTAGACGGACCCTGAGGTCACCCCAGCAACGCAAAGCAGCTCCATGTGCCCCAAATCAACTCGAGATGAGGCCCGATTCCCCTGCATTGACTCCAGAGCCATTCCCCGTTCCCCATTCAACACGACCGGTGGCTCGACTTCCTTCAGGCAACTCCAGAGATGCCCCGAGAACACTGTCCCAAGTCTAGAGGAACACCAACTTCAGCACAGCAACTCGAGGAATGCTCCGTGTACCCCAAATCGTCTCGAGATGCGAGCTGATTCCCTGGCTTAGGCTCAAGACGTATGCCAACTTCCCAGAAGCACCTCAGGAGGGGGCTTCTCTCAGCAATAGGTATGTGGGAGGGACCCCGAGTTTGCTGCCTAAGGGGAATATACAGCGAGAAGCCCTAACTTGAAAGGAGGCCGGATTTCCTTGCAGTGGCTTCAATACAGGCTCGTCTTTCATCTCACAACATGAAGGGATGTCTGAATCCCCTGTGGAGACCTTAGAGAAAGCCCTAGGTCCCTGCCTCATTTTCACGGAATGCCTCACATCCCGCTGACACCTCGAGAGGCACGCGGAGTTCATTGCTTCAAAAGGTGACGATGCCTGACTCCTCTTGAATACTGATAGGAATCCCAAAATCCCTGTGGCTACTGGAAAGGGTCCTTGGGTGCCCTGCCTCACCTCGAGAAGCGTCCCTTTGGCCCTGCCAAGCCTCGAAGAGATTCCTGAGGTGTCCCTCGTTACTAGACAGGAGTCCTGACGTCACTGAAGAAACTCGTGTTTTGAAGGGCCATCCCCGCCGTAAGTCGAGAACATACCCCAGGTCCCTGCCGCAACTCGAGAAAAACCATGAGACTTCCCCCTAGAGGCGAGATGAGGCCCCATTCCCCTGCAGTGCATGCAGAGCTATTCCATGACCCCATTCAAACAAGTCAGGAGCTTCGACTTGCTTAATGGATCTCGAGACAGTCCCCAAGAACACTGTCACCAGTCTAGACGGACCCTGAGGTCACCCCAGCAACGCAAAGCAGCTCCATGTGCCCCAAATCAACTCGAGATGAGGCCCGATTCCCCTGCATTGACTCCAGAGCCATTCCCCGTTCCCCATTCAACACGACCGGTGGCTCGACTTCCTTCAGGCAACTCCAGAGATGCCCCGAGAACACTGTCCCAAGTCTAGAGGAACAACAACTTCAGCACAGCAACTCGAGGAATGCTCCGTCTACCCCAAATCGTCTCGAGATGCGAGCTGATTCCCTGGCTTAGGCTCAAGACGTATGCCAACTTCCCAGAAGCACCTCAGGAGGAGGCTTCTCTCAGCAATAGGTATGTGGGAGGGACCCCGAGTTTGCTGCCTCAAGGGGAATATACAGCGAGAAGCCCTAACTTGAAAGGAGGCCGGATTTCCTTGCAGTGGCTTGAATACAGGCTCGTCTTTCATCTCACAACATGAAGGGATGTCTGAATCCCCTGTGGAGACCTTAGAGAAAGCCCTAGGTCCCTGCCTCATTTTGACGGAATGCCTCACATCCCGCTGACACCTCGAGAGGCACGCGGAGTTCATTGCTTCAAAAGGTGACGATGCCTGACTCCTCTTGAATACTGATAGGAATCCCAAAATCCCTGTGGCTACTGGAAAGGGTCCTTGGGTGCCCTGCCTCACCTCGAGAAGCGTCCCTTTGGCCCTGCCAAGCCTCGAAGAGATTCCTGAGGTGTCCCTCGTTACTAGACAGGAGTCCTGACGTCACTGAAGAAACTCGTGTTTTGAAGGGCCATCCCCGCCGTAAGTCGAGAACATACCCCAGGTCCCCGCCGCAACTCGAGAAAAACCATGAGACTTCCACCTAGAGGCGAGATGAGGCCCCATTCCCCTGCAGTGCATGCAGAGCTATTCCGTGATCCCATTCAAACAAGTCAGGAGCTTCGACTTGCTTAATGGATCTCGAGACAGTCCCCAAGAACACTGTCACCAGTCTAGACGGACCCTGAGGTCACCCCAGCAACGCAAAGCAGCTCCATGTGCCCCAAATCAACTCGAGATGAGGCCCGATTCCCCTGCATTGACTCCAGAGCCATTCCCCGTTCCCCACTCAACACGACCGGTGGCTCACCTTCCTTCAGGCAACTCCAGAGATGCCCCGAGAACACTGTCCCAAGTCTAGAGGAACACCAACTTCAGCACAGCACCTCGAGGAATGCTCCGTGTACCCCAAATCGTCTCGAGATGCGAGCTGATTCCCTGGCTTATGCTCAAGACGTATGCCAACTTCCCAGAAGCACCTCAGGAGGAGGCTTCTCTCAGCAATAGGTATGTGGGAGGGACCCCGAGTTTGCTGCCTCAAGGGGAATATACAGCGAGAAGCCCTAACTTGAAAGGAGGCCGGATTTCCTTGCATTGGCTTGAATACAGGCTCGTCTTTCATCTCACAACATGAAGGGATGTCTGAATCCCCTTGGAGACTTTAGAGAAAGCCCTAGGTCCCTGCCTCATTTTGACGGAATGCCTCACATCCCGCTGACACCTCGAGAGGCACGCGGAGTTCATTGCTTCAAAAGGTGACGATGCCTGACTCCTCTTGAATACTGATAGGAATCCCAAAATCCCTGTGGCTACTTGAAAGGGTCCTTGGGTGCCCTGCCTCACCTCGAGAAGCGTCCCTTTGGCCCTGCCCATCCTCGAAGAGATTCCTGAGGTGTCCCTCGTTACTAGACAGGAGTCCTGACGTTACTGAAGAAACTCGTGTTTTGAAGGGCCATCCCCGCCGTAAGTCGAGAACATACCCCAGGTCCCCGCCGCAACTCGAGAAAAACCATGAGACTTCCCCCTAGAGGCGAGATGAGGCCCCATTCCCCTGCAGTGCATGCAGAGCTATTCCGTGATCCCATTCAAACAAGTCAGGAGCTTCGACTTGCTTAATGGATCTCGAGACAGTCCCCAAGAACACTGTCACCAGTCTAGACGGACCCTGAGGTCACCCCAGCAACGCAAAGCAGCTCCATGTTCCCCAAATCAACTCGAGATGAGGCCCGATTCCCCTGCATTGACTCCAGAGCCATTCCCCGTTCCCCATTCAACACGACCGGTGGCTCGACTTCCTTCAGGCAACTCCAGAGATGCCCCGAGAACACTGTCCCAAGTCTAGAGGAACACCAACTTCAGCACAGCAACTCGAGGAATGCTCCGTGTATCCCAAATCGTCTCGAGATGCGAGCTGATTCCCTGGCTTAGGCTCAAGACGTATGCCAACTTCCCAGAAGCACCTCAGGAGGAGGCTTCTCTCAGCAATAGGTATGTGGGAGGGACCCCGAGTTTGCTGCCTCAAGGGGAATATACAGCGAGAAGCCCTAACTTGAAAGGAGGCCGGATTTCCTTGCAGTGGCTTGAATACAGGCTCGTCTTTCATCTCACAACATGAAGGGATGTCTGAATCCCCTGTGGAGACCTTAGAGAAAGCCCTAGGTCCCTGCCTCATTTTGACGGAATGCCTCACATCCCGCTGACACCTCGAGAGGCACGTGGAGTTCATTGCTTCAAAAGTTGACGATGCCTGACTCCTCTTGAATACTGATAGGAATCCCAAAATCCCTGTGGCTACTGGAAAGGGTCCTTGGGTGCCCTGCCTCACCTCGAGAAGCGTCCCTTTGGCCCTGCCAAGCCTCGAAGAGATTCCTGAGGTGTCCCTCGTTACTAGACAGGAGTCCTGACGTCACTGAAGAAACTTGTGTTTTGAAGGGCCATCCCCGCCGTAAGTCGAGAACATACCCCAGGTCCCCGCCGCAACTCGAGAAAAACCATGAGACTTCCCCCTAGAGGCGAGATGAGGCCCCATTCCCCTGCAGTGCATGCAGAGCTATTCCGTGATCCCATTCAAACAAGTCAGGAGCTTCGACTTGCTTAATGGATCTCGAGACAGTCCCCAAGAACACTGTCACCAGTCTAGACGGACCCTGAGGTCACCCCAGAAACGCAAAGCAGCTCCATGTGCCCCAAATCAACTCGAGATTAGGCCCGATTCCCCTGCATTGACTCCAGAGCCATTCCCCGTTCCCCATTCAACACGACCGGTGGCTCGACTTCCTTCAGGCAACTCCAGAGATGCCCCGAGAACACTGTCCCAAGTCTAGAGGAACACCAACTTCAGCACAGCAACTCGAGGAATGCTCCGTGTACCCCAAATCGTCTCGAGATGAGAGCTGATTCCCTGGCTTAGGCTCAAGATGTATGCCAACTTCCCAGAAGCATCTCAGGAGGAGGCTTCTCTCAGCAATAGGTATGTGGGAGCGACCCCGAGTTTGCTGCCTCAAGGGGAATATACAGCGAGAAGCCCTAACTTGAAAGGAGGCCGGATTTCCTTGCAGTGGCTTGAATACAGGCTCGTCTTTCATCTCACAACATGAAGGGATGTCTGAATCCCCTGTGGAGACCTTAGAGAAAGCCCTAGGTCCCTGCCTCATTTTGACGGAATGCCTCACATCCCGCTGACACCTCGAGAGGCACGCGGAGTTCATTGCTTCAAAAGGTGACGATGCCTGACTCCTCTTGAATACTGATAGGAATCCCAAAATCCCTGTGGCTACTGGAAAGGGTCCTTGGGTGCCCTGCCTCACCTCGAGAAGCGTCCCTTTGGCCCTGCCAAGCCGCGAAGAGATTCCTGAGGTGTCCCTCGTTACTAGACAGGAGTCCTGACGTCACCGAAGAAACTCGTGTTTTGAAGGGCCATCCCCGCCGTAAGTCGAGAACATACCCCAGGTCCCCGCCGCAACTCGAGAAAAACCATGAGACTTCCCCCTAGAGGCGAGATGAGGCCCCATTCCCCTGCAGTGCATGCAGAGCTATTCCGTGACCCCATTCAAACAAGTCAGGAGCTTCGACTTGCTTAATGGATCTCGAGACAGTCCCCAAGAACACTGTCACCAGTCTAGACGGACCCTGAGGTCACCCCAGCAACGCAAAGCAGCTCCATGTGCCCCAAATCAACTCGAGATGAGGCCCGATTCCCCTGCATTGACCCCAGAGCCATTCCCCGTTCCCCATTCAACACGACCGGTGGCTCGACTTCCTTCAGGCAACTCCAGAGATGCCCCGAGAACACTGTCCCAAGTCTAGAGGAACACCAACTTCAGCACAGCAACTCGAGGAATGCTCCGTGTATCCCAAATCGTCTCGAGATGCGAGCTGATTCCCTGGCTTAGGCTCAAGACGTATGCCAACTTCCCAGAAGCACCTCAGGAGGAGGCTTCTCTCAGCAATAGGTATGTGGGAGGGACCCCGAGTTTGCTGCCTCAAGGGGAATATACAGCGAGAAGCCCTAACTTGAAAGGAGGCCGGATTTCCTTGCAGTGGCTTGAATACAGGCTCGTCTTTCATCTCACAACATGAAGGGATGTCTGAATCCCCTGTGGAGACCTTAGAGAAAGCCCTAGGTCCCTGCCTCATTTTGACGGAATGCCTCACATCCCGCTGACACCTCGAGAGGCACGTGGAGTTCATTGCTTCAAAAGTTGACGATGCCTGACTCCTCTTGAATACTGATAGGAATCCCAAAATCCCTGTGGCTACTGGAAAGGGTCCTTGGGTGCCCTGCCTCACCTCGAGAAGCGTCCCTTTGGCCCTGCCAAGCCTCGAAGAGATTCCTGAGGTGTCCCTCGTTACTAGACAGGAGTCCTGACGTCACTGAAGAAACTTGTGTTTTGAAGGGCCATCCCCGCCGTAAGTCGAGAACATACCCCAGGTCCCCGCCGCAACTCGAGAAAAACCATGAGACTTCCCCCTAGAGGCGAGATGAGGCCCCATTCCCCTGCAGTGCATGCAGAGCTATTCCGTGATCCCATTCAAACAAGTCAGGAGCTTCGACTTGCTTAATGGATCTCGAGACAGTCCCCAAGAACACTGTCACCAGTCTAGACGGACCCTGAGGTCACCCCAGAAACGCAAAGCAGCTCCATGTGAACCAAATCAACTCGAGATGAGGCCCGATTCCCCTGCATTGACTCCAGAGCCATTCCCCGTTCCCCATTCAACACGACCGGTGGCTCGACTTCCTTCAGGCAACTCCAGAGATGCCCCGAGAACACTGTCCCAAGTCTAGAGGAACACCAACTTCAGCACAGCAACTCGAGGAATGCTCCGTGTACCCCAAATCGTCTCGAGATGAGAGCTGATTCCCTGGCTTAGGCTCAAGATGTATGCCAACTTCCCAGAAGCATCTCAGGAGGAGGCTTCTCTCAGCAATAGGTATGTGGGAGCGACCCCGAGTTTGCTGCCTCAAGGGGAATATACAGCGAGAAGCCCTAACTTGAAAGGAGGCCGGATTTCCTTGCAGTGGCTTGAATACAGGCTCGTCTTTCATCTCACAACATGAAGGGATGTCTGAATCCCCTGTGGAGACCTTAGAGAAAGCCCTAGGTCCCTGCCTCATTTTGACGGAATGCCTCACATCCCGCTGACACCTCGAGAGGCACGCGGAGTTCATTGCTTCAAAAGGTGACGATGCCTGACTCCTCTTGAATACTGATAGGAATCCCAAAATCCCTGTGGCTACTGGAAAGGGTCCTTGGGTGCCCTGCCTCACCTCGAGAAGCGTCCCTTTGGCCCTGCCAAGCCGCGAAGAGATTCCTGAGGTGTCCCTCGTTACTAGACAGGAGTCCTGACGTCACTGAAGAAACTCGTGTTTTGAAGGGCCATCCCCGCCGTAAGTCGAGAACATACCCCAGGTCCCCGCCGCAACTCGAGAAAAACCATGAGACTTCCCCCTAGAGGCGAGATGAGGCCCCATTCCCCTGCAGTGCATGCAGAGCTATTCCGTGACCCCATTCAAACAAGTCAGGAGCTTCGACTTGCTTAATGGATCTCGAGACAGTCCCCAAGAACACTGTCACCAGTCTAGACGGACCCTGAGGTCACCCCAGCAACGCAAAGCAGCTCCATGTGCCCCAAATCAACTCGAGATGAGGCCCGATTCCCCTGCATTGACCCCAGAGCCATTCCCCGTTCCCCATTCAACACGACCGGTGGCTCGACTTCCTTCAGGCAACTCCAGAGATGCCCCGAGAACACTGTCCCAAGTCTAGAGGAACACCAACTTCAGCACAGCAACTCGAGGAATGCTCCGTGTACCCCAAATCGTCTCGAGATGAGAGCTGATTCCCTGGCTTAGGCTCAAGACGTATGCCAACTTCCCAGAAGCACCTCAGGAGGAGGCTTCTCTCAGCAATAGGTACGTGGGAGGGATCCCGAGTTTGCTGCCTCAAGGGGAATATACAGCGAGAAGCCCTAACTTGAAAGGAGGCCGGATTTCCTTGCAGTGGCTTGAATACAGGCTCGTCTTTCATCTCACAACATGAAGGGATGTCTGAATCCCCTGTGGAGACCTTAGAGAAAGCCCTAGGTCCCTGCCTCATTTTGACGGAATGCCTCACATCCCGCTGACACCTCGAGAGTTCATTGCTTCAAAAGGTGACGATGCCTGACTCCTCTTGAATACTGATAGGAATCCCAAAATCCCTGTGGCTACTGGAAAGGGTCCTTGGGTGCCCTGCCTCACCTCGAGAAGCGTCCCTTTGTCCCTGCCAAGCCTCGAAGAGATTCCTGAGGTGTCCCTCGTTACTAGACAGGAGTCCTGACGTCACTGAAGAAACTCGTGTTTTGAAGGGCCATCCCCGCCGTAAGTCGAGAACATACCCCAGGTCCCCGCCGCAACTCGAAAAAAACCATGAGACTTCCCCCTAGAGGCGAGATGAGGCTCCATTCCCCTGCAGTGCATGCAGAGCTATTCCGTGATCCCATTCAAACAAGTCAGGAGCTTCGACTTGCTTAATGGATCTCGAGACAGTCCCCAAGAACACTGTCACCAGTCTAGACGGACCCTGAGGTCACCCCAGCAACGCAAAGCAGCTCCATGTGCCCCAAATCAACTCGAGATGAGGCCCGATTCCCCTGCATTGACTCCAGAGCCATTCCCCGTTCCCCATTCAACACGACCGGTGGCTCGACTTCCTTCAGGCAACTCCAGAGATGCCCCGAGAACACTGTCCCAAGTCTAGAGGAACACCAACTTCAGCACAGCAACTCGAGGAATGCTCCGTGTACCCCAAATCGTCTCGAGATGCGAGCTGATTCCCTGGCTTAGGCTCAAGACGTATGCCAACTTCCCAGAAGCACCTCAGGAGGAGGCTTCTCTCAGCAATAGGTATGTGGGAGGGACCCCGAGTTTGCTGCCTCAAGGGGAATATACAGCGAGAAGCCCTAACTTGAAAGGAGGCCGGATTTCCTTGCAGTGGCTTGAATACAGGCTCGTCTTTCATCTCACAACATGAAGGGATGTCTGAATCCCCTGTGGAGACCTTAGAGAAAGCCCTAGGTCCCTGCCTCATTTTGACGGAATGCCTCACATCCCGCTGACACCTCGAGAGGCACGCGGAGTTCATTGCTTCAAAAGGTGACGATGCCTGACTCCTCTTGAATACTGATAGGAATCCCAAAATCCCTGTGGCTACTGGAAAGGGTCCTTGGGTGCCCTGCCTCACCTCGAGAAGCGTCCCTTTGGCCCTGCCAAGCCTCGAAGAGATTCCTGAGGTGTCCCTCGTTACTAGACAGGAGTCCTGACGTCACTGAAGAAACTCGTGTTTTGAAGGGCCATCCCCGCCGTAAGTCGAGAACATACCCCAGGTCCCCGCCGCAACTCGAGAAAAACCATGAGACTTCCCCCTAGAGGCGAGATGAGGCCCCATTCCCCTGCAGTGCATGCAGAGCTATTCCGTGATCCCATTCAAACAAGTCAGGAGCTTCGACTTGCTTAATGGATCTCGAGACAGTCCCCAAGAACACTGTCACCAGTCTAGACGGACCCTGAGGTCACCCCAGCAACGCAAAGCAGCTCCATGTGCCCCAAATCAACTCGAGATGAGGCCCGATTCCCCTGCATTGACTCCAGAGCCATTCCCCGTTCCCCATTCAACACGACCGGTGGCTCGACTTCCTTCAGGCAACTCCAGAGATGCCCCGAGAACACTGTCCCAAGTCTAGAGGAACAACAACTTCAGCACAGCAACTCGAGGAATGCTCTGTGTACCCAAAATCGTCTCGAGATGAGAGCTGATTCCCTGGCTTAGGCTCAAGACGTATGCCAACTTCCCAGAAGCACCTCAGGAGGAGGCTTCTCTCAGCAATAGGTATGTGGGAGGGACCCCGAGTTTGCTGCCTCAAGGGGAATATACAGCGAGAAGCCCTAACTTGAAAGGAGGCCGGATTTCCTTGCAGTGGCTTGAATACAGGCTCGTCTTTCATCTCACAACATGAAGGGATGTCTGAATCCCCTGTGGAGACCTTAGAGAAAGCCCTAGGTCCCTGCCTCATTTTGACGGAATGCCTCACATCCCGCTGACACCTCGAGAGGCACGCGGAGTTCATTGCTTCAAAAGGTGACGATGCCTGACTCCTCTTGAATACTGATAGGAATCCCAAAATCCCTGTGGCTACTGGAAAGGGTCCTTGGGTGCCCTGCCTCACCTCGAGAAGCGTCCCTTTGGCCCTGCCAAGCCTCGAAGAGATTCCTGAGGTGTCCCTCGTTACTAGACAGGAGTCCTGACGTCACTGAAGAAACTCGTGTTTTGAAGGGCCATCCCCTCCGTAAGTCGAGAACATACCCCAGGTCCCTGCCGCAACTCGAGAAAAACCATGAGACTTCCCCCTAGAGGCGAGATGAGGCCCCATTCCCCTGCAGTGCATGCAGAGCTATTCCGTGATCCCATTCAAACAAGTCAGGAGCTTCGACTTGCTTAATGGATCTCGAGACAGTCCCCAAGAACAGTGTCACCAGTCTAGACGGACCCTGAGGTCACCCCAGCAACGCAAAGCAGCTCCATGTGCCCCAAATCAACTCGAGATGAGGCCCGATTCCCCTGCATTGACTCCAGAGCCATTCCCCGTTCCCCATTCAACACGACCGGTGGCTCGACTTCCTTCAGGCAACTCCAGAGATGCCCCGAGAACACTGTCCCAAGTCTAGAGGAACACCAAGTTCAGCACAGCAACTCGAGGAATGCTCCGTGTACCCCAAATCGTCTCGAGATGAGAGCTGATTCCCTGGCTTAGGCTCAAGACGTATGCCAACTTCCCAGAAGCACCTCAGGAGGAGGCTTCTCTCAGCAATAGGTATGTGGTAGGGACCCCGAATTTGCTGCCTCAAGGGGAATATACAGCGAGAAGCCCTAACTTGAAAGGAGGCCGGATTTCCTTGCAGTGGCTTGAATACAGGCTCGTCTTTCATCTCACAACATGAAGGGATGTCTGAATCCCCTGTGGAGACCTTAGAGAAAGCCCTAGGTCCCTGCCTCATTTTGACGGAATGCCTCACATCCCGCTGACACCTCGAGAGGCACGCGGAGTTCATTGCTTCAAAAGGTGACGATGCCTGACTCCTCTTGAATACTGATAGGAATCCCAAAATCCCTGTGGCTACTGGAAAGGGTCCTTGGGTGCCCTGCCTCACCTCGAGAAACGTCCCTTTGGCCCTGCCAAGCCTCGAAGAGATTCCTGAGGTGTCCCTCGTTACTAGACAGGAGTCCTGACGTCATTGAAGAAACTCGTGTTTTGAAGGGCCATCCCCGCCGTAAGTCGAGAACATACCCCAGGTCCACGCCGCAACTCGAGAAAAACCATGAGACTTCCCCCTAGAGGCGAGATGAGGCCCCATTCCCCTGCAGTGCATGCAGAGCTATTCCGTGACCCCATTCAAACAAGTCAGGAGCTTCGACTTGCTTAATGGATCTCGAGACAGTCCCCAAGAACACTGTCACCAGTCTAGACGGACCCTGAGGTCACCCCAGCAACGCAAAGCAGCTCCATGTGCCCCAAATCAACTCGAGATGAGGCCCGATTCCCCTGCATTGACTCCAGAGCCATTCCCCGTTCCCCATTCAACACGACCGGTGGCTCGACTTCCTTCAGGCAACTCCAGAGATGCCCCGAGAACACTGTCCCAAGTCTAGAGGAACACCAACTTCAGCACAGCAACTCGAGGAATGCTCCGTGTACCCCAAATCGTCTCGAGATGAGAGCTGATTCCCTGGTTTAGGCTCAAGACCTATGCCAACTTTCCAGAAGCACCTCAGGAGGAGGCTTCTCTCAGCAACAGGTATGTGGGAGGGACCCCGAGTTTGTTACCTCAAGGGGAATATACAGCGAGAAGCCCTAACTTGAAAGAAGGCCGGATTTCCTTGCAGTGGCTTGAATACAGGCTCGTCTTTCATCTCACAATATGAAGGGATATCTGAATCCCCTGGGGAGACCTTAGAGAAAGCCCTAGGTCCCTGCCTCATTTTGACGAAATGCCTCACATCCCGCTGACACCTCGAGAGGCACGCGGAATTCATTGCTTCAAAAGGTGACGATGCCTGACTCCTCTTGAATACTGATAGGAATCCCAAAATCTCTTTGGCTACTGGAAAGGGTCCTTGGGTGCCGTGCCTCACCTCGAGAAGCGTCCCTTTTGCCCTGCCAACCCTCGAAGAGATTCCTGAGGTGTCCCTCGTTACTAGACAGGAGTCCTGACGTCACTGAAGAAACTCGTGTTTTGAAGGGCTATCCCATCCGTAAGTCGAGAACATACCCCAGGTCCCCGCCGCAACTCGAGAACAACCATGAGACTTCCCCCTAGAGGCGAGATGAGGTCCCATTCCCCTGCAGTGCATGCAGAGCTAATCCGTGATCCCATTCAAACTAGTCAGGAGCTTCGACTTGCTTAATGGATCACGAGACAGTCCCCAAGAACACTGTCACCAGTCTAGACGGACCCTGAGGTCACCCCAGCAACGCAAAGCAGCTCCATGTGCCCCAAATCAACTCGAGATGAGGCCCGATTCCCCTGCATTGACTCCAGAGCCATTCCCCGTTCCCCATTCAACACGACCAGTGGCTCGACTTCCTTCAGGCAACTCCAGAGATGCCCCGAGAACACTGTCCCAAGTCTAGAGGAACACGAACTTCAGCACAGCAACTCGAGGAATGCTCCGTGTACCCCTAATCGTCTCGAGATGAGAGCTGATTCCCTGGCTTAGGATCAAGACCTATGCCAAATTTCCGGAAGCACTTCAGGAGGAGGCTTCTGTCAGCAATATGTATGTGGGAGGGACGCGGAGTTTGCTGCCTCAAGGGGAATATACAGCGAGAAGCCCTAACTTGAAAGGAGGCCAGATTTCCTTGCAGTGGCTTGAATACAGGCTCGTCTTTCATCTCACAACATGAAGGGATGTCTGAATCCCCTGTGGAGACCTTAGAGAAAGCCCTAGGTCCCTGCCTCATTTTGACGGAATGCCTCACATCCCGCTGACACCTCGAGAGGCACGCAGAGTTCATTGCTTCAAAAGGTGACGATGCCTGACTCCTCTTGAATACTGATAGGAATCCCAAAATCCCTGTGGCTACAGGAAAGGGTCCTTGGGTGCCCTGCCTCACCTCGAGAAGCGTCCCTATTGCCCTGCCAAGCCTCGAAGAGATTCCTGAGGTGTCCCTCGTTACTAGACAGGAGTCCTGACGTCACTGAAGAAACTCGTGTTTGGAAGGGCCATCCCCTCCGTAAGTCGAGAACATACCCCAGGTCCCCGCCGCAACTCGAGAAAAACCATGAGACTTCCCCCTAGAGGCGAGATGAGAGCCCATTCCCCAGCAGTGCATGCAGAGCTATTCCGTGATCCCATTCAAACAAGTCAGGAGCTTCGACTTGCTTAATGGATCTCGAGACAGTCCCCAAGAACACTGTCACCAGTCTAGACGGACCCTGGGGTCACCCCAGCAACGCAAAGCAGCTCCATGTGCCCCAAATCAACTCGAGATGAGGCCCGATTCCCCTGCAATGACTCCAGAGCCATTCCCCGTTCCCCATTCAACACGACCGGTGGTCGACTTCCTTCAGGCAACTCCAGAGATGCCCCGAGAACACTGTCCCAAGACTAGAGGATCACCAACTTCAGCACAGCAACTCGAGGAATGCTCCGTGTACCCCAAATCGTCTCGAGATGAGATCTGATTCCCTGTCTTAGGATCAAGACCTATGCCAACTTTCTGGAAGCATCTCAGGAGGAGGCTTCTCTCAGCAATAGGTTTGAGGGAGGGACCCCGAGTTTGCTGCCTCTAGCGGAATATACAGCGAGAAGCCCTAACTTGAAAGGAGGCCAGATTTCCTTGCAGTGGCTTGAATAGAGGCTCGTCTTTCATCTCACAACATGAAGGGATGTCTGAATCCCCTGTGGAGACCTTAGAGAAAGCCCTAGGTCCCTGCCTCATTTTGACGGAATGCCTCACATCCCGCTGACACCTCGAGAGGCACGCAGAGTTCATTACTTCAAAAGGTGATGACGCCTGAGTCCTCTTGAATACTGATAGGAATCCCAAAATCCCTGTGGCTACTGGAAAGGGTCCTTGGGTGCCCTGCCTCACCTCGAGAAGCGTCCTTTTGCCCTGCCAAGCCTCGAAGAGATTCCTGAGGTGTCCCTCGTTACTAGACAGGAGTCCTGACGTCACTGAAGAAACTCGTGTTTTGAAGGGCCATCCCCGCCGTAAGTCGAGAACATAACCCAGGTCCCCGCCGCAACTCGAGAAAAACCATGAGACTTCCCCCTAGAGGCGAGATGAGGCCCCATTCCCCTGCAGTGCATGCAGAGCTATTCCGTGATCCCATTCAAACAAGTCAGGAGCTTCGACTTGCTTCATGGATCTCGAGACAGTCCCCAAGAACACTGTCACCAGTCTAGACGGACCCTGAGGTCACCCCAGCAACGCAAAGCAGCTCCATGTGCCCCAAATCAACTCGAGATGAGGCCCGATTCCCCTGCATTGACTCCAGAGCCGTTCCCCGTTCCCCATTCAACACGACCGGTGGCTCGACTTCCTTCAGGCAACTCCAGAGATGCCCCGAGAACACTGTCCCAAGTCTAGAGGAACACCAACTTCAGCACAGCAACTCGAGGAATGCTCCGTGTACCCCAAATCGTCTCGAGATGAGAGCTGATTCCCTGGCTTAGGCTCAAGACGTAGGCCAACTTCCCAGAAGCACCTCAGGAGGAGGCTTCTCTCAGCAATAGGTATGTGGGAGGGACCCCGAGTTTACTGCCTCAAGGGGAATATACAGCGAGAAGCCCTAACTTGAAAGGAGGCCGGATTTCCTTGCAGTGGCTTGAATACAGGCTCGTCTTTCATCTCACAACATGAAGGGATGTCTGAATCCCCTGTGGAGACCTTAGAGAAAGCCCTAGGTCCCTGCCTCATTTTGACGGAATGCCTCACATCCCGCTGACCCCTCGAGAGGCACGCGGAGTTCATTGCTTCAAAAGGTGACGATGCCTGACTCCTCTTGAATACTGATAGGAATCCCAAAATCCCTGTGGCTACTGGAAAGGGTCCTTGGGTGCCCTGCCTCACTTCGAGAAGCGTCCCTTTTGCCCTGCCAAGCCTCGAAGAGATTCCTGAGGTGTCCCTCGTTACTAGACAGGAGTCCTGACGTCACTGAAGAAACTCGTGATTTGAAGGGCCATCTCCGCCGTAAGTCGAGAACATACCCCAAGTCCCCGACGCAACTCGAGAAAAACCATGAGACTTCCCCCTAGAGGCGACATGAGGCCCCATTCCCCTGCAGTGCATGCAGAGCTATTCCGTGATCCCATTCAAACAAGTCAGGAGCTTCGACTTGCTTAATGGATCTCGAGTCAGTCCCCAAGAACACTGTCACCAGTCTAGACGGACCCTGAGGTCACCCCAGCAACGCAAAGCAGCTCCATGTGCCCCAAATCAACGCAAGATGAGGCCCGATTCCCCTGCATTACCCCAGAGCCATTCCCCGTTCGACATTCAACACGACCAGTGGTTCGTCTTCCTTCAGGCAACTCCAGAGATGCCCCGAGAACACTTTCCCAAGACTAGAGGAAAACCAACTTCAGCACAGCAACTCGAGGAATGCTCCGTGTACCCCAAATCGTCTCGAGATGAGAGCTGATTCCCTGGCTTAGGTTCAAGACGTATGCCAACTTTCCGGAAGCACCTCAGGAGGAGGCTTCTCTCAGCAATAGGTATGTGGGAGGGACCCCGAGTTTGCTGCCTCAATGGGAATATACAGCGAGAAGCCCTAACTTGAAAGGAGGCCGGATTTCCTTGCAGTGGCTTGAATACAGGCTCGTCTTAGATCTCACAACATGAAGGGATGTCTGAATCCCCTGTGGAGACCTTAGAGAAAGCCCTAGGTCCCTGCCTCATTTTGACGGAAATCCTCACATCCCGCTGACACCACGAGAGGCACGCGGAGTTCATTGCTTCAAAAGGTGACGATGCCTGACTCCTCTTGAATACTGATAGGAATCCCAAAATCCCTGTGTCTACAGGAAAGGGTACTTGGGTGCGCTGCCTCACCTCGAGAAGCGTCCCTTTTGCCCTGCCAAGCCTCGAAGAGATTACTGAGGTGTCCCTCATTACTAGACAGGAGTCCTGACGTCACTGAAGAAACTCGTGTTTTGAAGGGCCATCCCCGCCGTAAGTCGAGAACATACCCCAGGTCCCCGCCGCAACTCGAGAAAAACCATGAGATTTCCACCTAGAGCCGAGATGAAGCCCCATTCCCCTGCAGTGCATGCAGAGCTATTCCGTGATCCCATTCAAACAAGTCAGGAGCTTCGACTTGCTTCATGGATCTCGAGACAGTCCCCAAGAACACTGTCACCAGTCTAGATGGATCCTGAGGTCACCCCAGCAACGCAAAGCAGCTCCATGTGCCCCAAATCAACTCGAGATGAGGCCCGATTCCCCTGCATTGACTCCAGAGCCATTCCCCGTTCCCCATTCAACACGACCGGTGGCTCGACTTCCTTCAGGAAACTCCAGAGATGCCCCGAGAACACTGTCCCAAGACTAGAGGAACACCAACCTCAGCACAGCAACTCGAGGAATGCTCCGTGTACCCCAAATCGTCTCGAGATGAGAGCTGATTCCCTGGCTTAGGCTCAAGACGTATGCCAACTTTCCGGAAGCACCTTAGGAGGAGACTTCTCTCAGCAATAGGTATGAGGGAGGGACCCCGAGTTTGCTGCCTCAAGGGGAATATACAGTGAGAAGCCCTAACTTGAAAGGAGGCCGGATTTCCTTGCAGTGGCTTGAATACAGGCTCGTCTTTCATCTCACAACATGAAGGGATGTCTGAATCCCCTGTGGAGACCTTAGAGAAAGCCCTAGGTCCCTGCCTTATTTTGACGGAATGCTTCACATCCCGCTGACTCCTCGAGAGGTAGGCGGAGTTCATTGCTTCAAAAGGTGATGACTCCTGCCTCCTCTTGAATACTGATAGGAATCCCAAAATCCCTGTGGCTACTGGAAAGGGTCCTTGGGTGCCCTGCCTCACCTCGAGAAGCGTCCCTTTTGCCCTGCCAAACCTCGAAGAGATTCCTGCGGTGTCCCTCGTTACTAGACAGGAGTCCTGACGTCACTGAAGAAACTCGTGTTTTGAAGGGCCATCCCCTCCGTAAGTCGAGAACATACCCCAGGTCCCCGCCGCAACTCGAGAAAAATCATGAGACTTCCCCCTAGAGGCGAGATGAGACCCCATTCCCCTGCAGTGCATGCAGAGCTATTCCGTGATCCCATTCAAACAAGTCAGGAGCTTCGACTTGCTTAATGGATCACGAGACAGTCCCCAAGAACACTGTCACCAGTCTAGACGTACCCTGAAGTCACACCATCAACGCAAAGCAGCTCCATGTGCCCCAAATAACCTCGAGATGAGGCCCGATTCCGCTGCATTGACTCCAGAGCCATTCCCCGTTCCCCATTCAACATGACCCGTGGCTCGACTTCATTCAGGAAACTCCAGAGATGCCCCGAGAACACTGTCCCAAGACTAGAGGAACACCAACTTCAGCACAGCAACTCGAGGAATGATCCGTGTACCCCAAATCATCTCGAGATGAGAGCTGATTCCCTGGCTGAGGATCAAGACGTATGCCACCTTTCCGGAAGCACCTCAGGAGGAGGCTTCTCTCAGCAATAGGTATGAGGGAGGGACTGCGAGTTTGCTACCTCAAGGGGAATATACAGCGAGAAGCCCTAACTTGAAAGGAGGCCGGATTTCCGTGCAGTGGCTTGAATACAGGCTCGTCTTTCATCTCACAACATGAAGGGATGTCTGAATCCCCTGTGGAGACCTTAGAGAAAGCCCTAGGTCCCTGCCTCATTTTCACGGAATGCTTCACATCCCGCTGACACCTCGAGAGGCACGCGGAGTTCATTGCTTCAAAAGGTGACGATGCCTGACTCCTCTTGAATACTGATAGGAAACCAAAATCCCTGTGGCTACTGGAAAGGGTCCTTGGGTGCCCTGCCTCACCTCGAGAAGCATCCCTTTTGCCCTGCCAAGCCTCGAAGAGATTCCTGAGGTGTCCCTCGTTACTAGACAGGAGTCCTGACTTCACTGAAGAAACTCGTGTTTTGAAGGGCCATCCCGGCCGTAAGTCGAGAACATACCCCAGGTCCCCGCCGCAACTCGAGAAAAACCATGAGACTTCCCCCTAGAGGCGACATGAGGCCCCATTCCCCTGCAGTGCATGCAGAGCTATTCCGTGATCCCACTCAAACAAGTCAGGAGCTTCGACTTGCTTAATGGATCTCGAGACAGTCCCCAAGAACACTGTCACCAGTCTAGACGGACCCTGAGGTCACCCCAGCAACGCAAAGCAGCTCCATGTGCCCCAAATCACCTCGAGATGAGGCCCGATTCCCCTGCATTGACTCCAGAGCCATTCCAAGTTCCTCATTCAACACGACCGGTGGCTCGACTTCCTTCAGGCAACTCCAGAGATGCCCTGAGAACACTGTCCCAAGACTAGAGGAACACCAACCTCAGCACAGCAACTCGAGGAATGCTCCGTGTACCCCAAATCGTCTCGAGATGAGAGCTGATTCCCTGGCTTAGGATCAAGACGTATGCCAACTTTCCGGAAGCACCTTAGGAGGAGACTTCTCTCAGCAATAGGTATGAGGGAGGGACCCCGAGTTTGCTGCCTCAAGGGGAATATACAGCGAGAAGCCCTAACTTGAAAGGAGGCCGGATTTCCTTGTAGTGGCTTGAATACAGGCTCGTCTCTCATCTCACAACATGAAGGGTTGTCTGAATCCCCTGTGGAGACCTTAGAGAAAGCCTTAGGTCCCTGCCTCATTTTGACGGAATGCTTCACATCCCGCTGACTCCTTGAGAGGTAGGCGGAGTTCATTACTTCAAAAGGTGAAGACGCCTGACTCCTCTTGAATACTGATAGGAATCCCAAAATCCCTGTGGCTACTGGAAAGGGTCCTTGGGTGCCCTGCCTCACCTCGAGAAGCGTACCTTTGGCCCTGCCAAGCCTCGAAGAGATTCCTGAGGTGTCCCTCGTTACTAGACAGGAGTCCTGACGTCACTGAAGAAACTCGTGTTTTGAAGGGCCATCCCCTCCGTAAGTCGAGAACATACCCTAGGTCCCCGCCTCAACTCGAGAAAAACCATGAGACTTCCCCCTAGAGGCGAGATGAGACCCCATTCCCCTGCAGTGCATGCAGAGCTATTCCGTGATCCCATTCAAACAAGTCAGGAGCTTCGACTTGCTTAATGGATCACGAGACAGTCCCCAAGAACACTGTCACCAGTCTAGACGGACCCTGAGGTCACCCCATCAACGCAAAGCAGCTTCATGTGCCCCAAATCAACGCGAGATGAGGCCCGATTCCCCTGCATTGACTCCAGAGCCATTCCCCGTTCCCCATTCAACACGACCGGTGGCTCGACTTCATTCAGGAAACTCCAGAGATGCCCCGAGAACACTGTCCCAAGACTAGAGGAACACCAACTTCAGCACAGCAACTCGAGGAATGCTCCGTGTACCCCAAATCATCTCGAGATGAGAGCTGATTCCCTGGCTTAGGCTCAAGACGTATGCCAACTTTCGGGAAGCACCTCAGGAGGAGGATTCTCTCAGCAATAGGTATGAGGGAGGGACCCCGAGTTTGCTGCCTCAAGGGGAATATACAGCGAGAAGCCCTAACTTGAAAGGAGGCCGGATTTCCTTGTAGTGGCTTGAATACAGGCTCGTCTTTCATCTCACAACATGAAGGGATGTCTGAATCCCTGTGGAGACCTTAGAGAAAGCCCTAGGTCCCTGCCTCATTTTGACGGAATGCCTCACATCCCGCTGACACCTCGAGAGGCACGCGGAGTTCATTGCTTCAAAAGGTGACGATGCCTGACTCCTATTGTATACTGATAGGAATCCAAAATCCCTGTGGCTACTGGAAAGGGTCCTTGGGTGCCCTGCCTCACCTCGAGAAGCGTCCCTTTTGCCCTGCCAAGCCTCGAAGAGATTCCTGAGGTGTCCCTCGTTACTAGACAGGAGTCCTGACGTCACTGAAGAATCTCGTGTTTTGAAGGGCCATCCTGGCCGTAAGTCGAGAACATACCCCAGGTCCCCGCCCCAACTCGAGAAAAACCATGAGACTTCCCCCTAGAGGCGACATGAGACCCCATTCCCCTGCAGTGCATGCAGAGGTATTCTGTGATCCCATTCAAACAAGTCAGGAGCTTCGACTTGCTTAATGGATCACGAGACAGTCCCGAAGAACACTGTCACCAGTCTAGACGGACCCTGAGGTGACCCCATCAATGCAAAGCAGCTCCATGTGCCCCAAATCAACTCGAGATGAGGCCCGATTCCCCTGCATTGACTCCAGAGCCATTCCACTTTCCCCATTCAACACGACCGGTGGCTCGACTTCTTTCAGCCAACTCCAGAGATGCCCTGAGAACAATGTCCCAAGACTAGAGGAACACCAACTTCAGCACAGCAACTCGAGGAATGCTCCGTGTACCCCAAATCGTCTCGAGATGAGAGCTGATTCCCTGGCTGAGGATCAAGATGTATGCCTACTTTCCGGAAGCACCTCAGGAGAAGGCTTCTCTCAGCAATAGGTATGAGGGAGGGACTGGGAGTTTGCTGCCTCAAGGGGAATATACAGCGAGAAGCCCTAACTTGAAAGGAGGCCGGATTTCCTTGCAGTGGCTTGAATACAGGCTCGTCTTTCATCTCACAACATGAAGGGATGTCTGAATCCCCTGTGGAGACCTTAGAGAAAGCCCTAGGTCCCTGCCTCATTTTGACGGAATGCCTCACATCCCGCTGAAACCTCGAGAGGCACGCGGAGTTCATTGCTTCAAAAGTTGATGACGCCTGACTCCTCTTGAATACTGATAGGAATCCCAAAATCCCTGTGGCTACTGGAAAGGGTCCTTGGGTGCCCTGCCTCACCTCGAGAAGCGTCCCTTTTGCCCTGCCAAGCCTCGAAGAGATTACTGAGGTGTCCCTCCTTACTAGACAGGAGTCCTGACGTCACTGAAGAAACTCGTGTTTTGAAGGGCCATCCCGGCCTTAAGTCGAGAACATACCCCAGGTCCCCGCCGCAACTCGAGAAAAACTATGATATTTCCCCCTAGAGGCGAGATGAGGCCCCATTCCCCTGCAGTGCATGCAGAGCTATTCCGTGATCCCATTCAAACAAGTCAGGAGCTTCGACTTGCTTAATGGATCTCGAGACAGTCCCCAAGAACACTGTCACCAGTCTAGACGGACCATAGGTCCCCCCAGCAAAGCAAAGCAGATCCATGTGCCCCAAATCACCTCGAGATGAGGCCCGATTCCCCTGCATTGACTCCAGAACCATTCCAAGTTCCCCATTCAACACGACCGGTGGCTCGACTTCCTTCAGGCAACTCCAGAGATGCCCCGAGAACACTGTCCCAAGACTAGAGGAACACCAACTTCAGCACAGCAACTCGACGAATGCTCCGTGTACCCCAAATCGCCTCGAGATGAGAGCTGATTCCCTGGCTTAGGATCAAGACGTATGCCAACTTTCCGGAAGCACCTCAGGAGGAGGCTTCTCTCAGCAATAGGTATGAGGGTGGGACCCCGAGTTTGCTGCCTCAAGCGTAATATACAGCGAAAAGCCATAACTTGAAAGGAGGCCGGATTTCCTTGCAGTGGCTTGAATACAGGCTCGTCTTTCATCTCACAACATGAAGGGATGTCTGAATCGCCTGTGGAGACGTTAGAGAAAGCCCTAGGTCCCTGCCTCATTTTGACGGAATGCCTCACATCCCGCTGACACCTCGAGAGCTACTCGGAGTTCATTGCTTCAAAAGGTGATGACGCCTGACTCCTCTTGAATACTGATAGGATCCCAAAATCCCTGTGGCTACTGGAAAGGGTCCTTGGGTGCCCTGCCTCACCTCGAGAAGCGTCCCTTTTGCCCTGCCAAGCCTCGAAGAGATTACTGAGGTGTCCCTCGTTACTAGACAGTAGTCCTGACGTCACTGAAGAAACTCGTGTTTTGAAGGGCCATCCCCGTCGTAAGTCGAGAACATACCCCATGGCCCCGCCGCAACTCGAGAAAAACCATGAGACTTCCTCCTAGAGGCGACATGAGGCCCCATTCCACTGCAGTGCATGCAGAACTATTCCGTGATCCCATTCAAAAAAGTCAGGAGCTTCGACTTGCTTAATTGATCTCGAGACAGTCCCCAAGAACACTGTCACCAGTCTAGACGGAACCTGAAGTCACCCCAGCAACGCAAAGCAGCTCCATGTGCCCCAAATCAACTCGAGATGAGGCCCGATTCCCCTGCATTGAATCCCGAGCCATTCCCCGTTCCCCATTCAACACGACCGGTGGCTCGACTTCCTTCAGGCAACTCCAGAGATGCCCCGAGAACACTGTCTCAAGTCTAGAGGAACAACAACTTCAGCACAGCAACTCGAGGAATGCTCCGTGTACCGCAAATCGTCTCGAGATGAGAGCTGATTCCCTCGCTTAGGCTCAAGACGTATGCCAACTTTCCGGAAGCCCCTCAGGAGGAGACTTCTTTCAGCAATAGGTATGAGGGAGGAACCCCGAGTTTGCTGCCTCAAGGGGAATATACAGCGAGAAGCCCTAACTTGAAAGGAGGCCGGATTTCCTTGCAGTGGCTTGAATACAGGCTCGTCTTTCATCTCACAACATGAAGGGTTATCTGAATACCCTGTGGAGACCTTAGAGAAAGCCCTAGGTCCCTGCCTCATTTTGACGGAATGCCTCACATCCCGCTGACTCCTCGAGAGGAACGCGGAGTTCATTACTTCAAAAGGTGATGACGCCTGACTCCTCTTGAATACTGATAGAAATCCCAAAATCCCTGTGGCTATTGGAAAGGGTCCTTGGGTGCCCTGCCTCACCTCGAGAAGCGTCCCTTTTGCCCTGCCAAGCCTCGAAGAGATTCCTGTAGTGTCCCTCGTTACTAAACAGGAGTCCTGACGTCACTGAAGAAACTCGTGTTTTGAAGGGCCATCCCCGCCGTAAGTCGAGAACATACCCCAGGCCCTGCCCCAACTCGAGAAAAACCATGAGACTTCCCCCTAGAGGCGACATGAGGCCCCATTCCCCTGCAGTGCATGCAGAGCTATTCCGTGATCCCATTCAAACAAGTCAGGATCTTCAACTTGCTTAATGGATCTCGAGACAGTCCCCAAGAACACTGTCACCAGTCTACGCGGACCCTGACGTCCCCCCAGCAACGCAAAGCAGCTCCATGTGCCCCAAATCACCTCGAGATGAGGCCCTATTCCCCTGCATTGACTCCAGAGCCATTCCCCGTTCCCCATTCAACACGACCGGTGGCTCGACTTCCTTCAGGCAACTCCATAGATGCCCCGAGAACACTGTCCGAAGACTAGAGGAACACCAACTTCAGCACAGCAACTCGAGGAATGCTCCGTGCACCCCAAATCGTCTCGAGATGAGAGCTGATTCCCTGGCTTAGGCTCAAGACGTATGCCAACTTTCCGGAAGCACCTCAGGAGGAGGCTTCTCTCAGCAGTAGGTATGAGGGAGTGACCACGAGTTTGCTGCCTCAAGGGGAATATACAGCGAGAAGCCCTAACTTGAAAGGAGGCCGGATTTCCTTGCAGTGGCTTGAATACAGGCTCGTCTTTCATCTCACAACATGAAGGGATGTCTGAATACCCTGTGGAGGCCTTAGAGAAAGCCCTAGGTCCCTGCCTCATTTTGACGGAATGCCTCACATCCCGCTGACTCCTCGAGAGGTACGCGGAGTTCATTACTTCAAAACGTGATGACCCCTGACTCCTCTTGAATACTGATAGGAATCCCAAAATCCCTGTGGCTTCTGGAAAGGGTCCTTGGGTGCCCTGCCTCACCTCGAGAAGCGTCCCTTTGGCCCTGCCAAGCCTCGAAGAGATTCCTGAGGTGTCCCTCGTTACTAGACAGGAGTCCTGACGTCACTGAAGAAACTCGTGTTTTGAAGGGTCTTCCCCTCCGTAAGTCGAGAACATACCCCAGGTCCCCGCCGCAACTCGATAAAAACCATGAGACTTCCCCCTAGAGGCGAGATGAGAGCCCATTCCCCTGCAGTGCATGCAGAGCTCTTCCGTGATCCCATTCAAACAAGTCAGGAGCTTTGACTTGCTTAATGGATCACGATACAGTCCCCAAGAACACTGTCACCAGTCTAGACGGACCCTGAGGTGACCCCATCAATGCAAAGCAGCTCCATGTGCCCCAAATCACCTCGAGATGAGGCCCGATTCCCCTGCATTGACTCCAGAGCCATTCCAAGTTCCTCATTCAACACGACCGGTGGCTCGACTTCCTTCAGGCAACTCCAGAGATGCCCTGAGAACACTGTCCCAAGACTAGAGGAACACCAACCTCAGCACAGCAACTCGAGGAATGCTCCGTGTACCCCAAATCGTCTCGAGATGAGAGCTGATTCCCTGGCTTAGGATCAAGACGTATGCCAACTTTCCGGAAGCACCTTAGAAGGAGACTTCTCTCAGCAATAGGTATGAGGGAGGGACCCCGAGTTTGCTGCCTCAAGGGGAATATACAGCGAGAAGCCCTAACTTGAAAGGAGGCCGGATTTCCTTGTAGTGGCTTGAATACAGGCTCGTCTCTCATCTCACAACATGAAGGGTTGTCTGAATCCCCTGTGGAGACCTTAGAGAAAGCCTTAGGTCCCTGCCTCATTTTGACGGAATGCTTCACATCCCGCTGACTCCTTGAGAGGTAGGCGGAGTTCATTACTTCAAAAGGTGAAGACGCCTGACTCCTCTTGAATACTGATAGGAATCCCAAAATCCCTGTGGCTACTGGAAAGGGTCCTTGGGTGCCCTGCCTCACCTCGAGAAGCGTACCTTTGGCCCTGCCAAGCCTCGAAGAGATTCCTGAGGTGTCCCTCGTTACTAGACAGGAGTCCTGACGTCACTGAAGAAACTCGTGTTTTGAAGGGCCATCCCCGCCGTAAGTCGAGAACATACCCTAGGTCCCCGCCTCAACTCGAGAAAAACCATGAGACTTCCCCCTAGAGGCGAGATGAGACCCCATTCCCCTGCAGTGCATGCAGAGCTATTCCGTGATCCCATTCAAACAAGTCAGGAGCTTCGACTTGCTTAATGGATCACGAGACAGTCCCCAAGAACACTGTCACCAGTCTAGACGGACCCTGAGGTCACCCCATCAACGCAAAGCAGCTCCATGTGCCCCAAATCAACGCGAGATGAGGCCCGATTCCCCTGCATTGACTCCAGAGCCATTCCCCGTTCCCCATTCAACACGACCGGTGGCTCGACTTCATTCAGGAAACTCCAGAGATGCCCCGAGAACACTGTCCCAAGACTAGAGGAACACCAACTTCAGCACAGCAACTCGAGGAATGCTCCGTGTACACCAAATCATCTCGAGATGAGAGCTGATTCCCTGGCTTAGGCTCAAGACGTATGCCAACTTTCGGGAAGCACCTCAGGAGGAGGATTCTCTCAGCAATAGGTATGAGGGAGGGACCCCGAGTTTGCTGCCTCAAGGGGAATATACAGCGAGAAGCCCTAACTTGAAAGGAGGCCGGATTTCCTTGTAGTGGCTTGAATACAGGCTCGTCTTTCATCTCACAACATGAAGGGATGTCTGAATCCCTGTGGAGACCTTAGAGAAAGCCCTAGGTCCCTGCCTCATTTTGACGGAATGCCTCACATCCCGCTGACACCTCGAGAGGCACGCGGAGTTCATTGCTTCAAAAGGTGACGATGCCTGACTCCTATTGTATACTGATAGGAATCCAAAATCCCTGTGGCTACTGGAAAGGGTCCTTGGGTGCCCTGCCTCACCTCGAGAAGCGTCCCTTTTGCCCTGCCAAGCCTCGAAGAGATTCCTGAGGTGTCCCTCGTTACTAGACAGGAGTCCTGACGTCACTGAAGAATCTCGTGTTTTGAAGGGCCATCCTGGCCGTAAGTCGAGAACATACCCCAGGTCCCCGCCCCAACTCGAGAAAAACCATGAGACTTCCCCCTAGAGGCGACATGAGACCCCATTCCCCTGCAGTGCATGCAGAGGTATTCTGTGATCCCATTCAAACAAGTCAGGAGCTTCGACTTGCTTAATGGATCACGAGACAGTCCCGAAGAACACTGTCACCAGTCTAGACGGACCCTGAGGTGACCCCATCAATGCAAAGCAGCTCCATGTGCCCCAAATCAACTCGAGATGAGGCCCGATTCCCCTGCATTGACTCCAGAGCCATTCCACTTTCCCCATTCAACACGACCGGTGGCTCGACTTCTTTCAGCCAACTCCAGAGATGCCCCGAGAACAATGTCCCAAGACTAGAGGAACACCAACTTCAGCACAGCAACTCGAGGAATGCTCCGTGTACCCCAAATCGTCTCGAGATGAGAGCTGATTCCCTGGCTGAGGATCAAGACGTATGCCTACTTTCCGGAAGCACCTCAGGAGGAGGCTTCTCTCAGCAATAGGTATGAGGGAGGGACTGCGAGTTTGCTGCCTCAAGGGGAATATACAGCGAGAAGCCCTAACTTGAAAGGAGGCCGGATTTCCTTGCAGTGGCTTGAATACAGGCTCGTCTTTCATCTCACAACATGAAGGGATGTCTGAATCCCCTGTGGAGACCTTAGAGAAAGCCCTAGGTCCCTGCCTCATTTTGACGGAATGCCTCACATCCCGCTGACACCTCGAGAGGCACGCGGAGTTCATTGCTTCAAAAGGTGACGATGCCTGACTCCTCTTGAATACTGATAGGAATCCAAAATCCCTGTGGCTACTGGAAAGGGTCCTTGGGTGCCCTGCCTCACCTCGAGAAGCGTACCTTTGGCCCTGCCAAGCCTCGAAGAGATTCCTGAGGTGTCCCTCGTTACTAGACAGGAGTCCTGACGTCACTGAAGAAACTCGTGTTTTGAAGGGCCATCCCCTTCGTAAGTCGAGAACATACCCCAGGTCCCCGCCGCAACTCGAAAAAAACCATGAGACTTCCCCCTAGAGGAGACATGAGGCCCCATTCCCCTGCAGTGCATGCAGAACTATTCCGTGATCCCATTCAAAAAAGTCAGGAGCTTCGACTTGCTTAATTGATCTCGAGACAGTCCCCAAGAACACTGTCACCAGTCTAGACGGAACCTGAAGTCACCCCAGCAACGCAAAGCAGCTAGATGTGCCCCAAATCAACTCGAGATGAGGCCCGATTCCCCTGCATTGACTCCCGAGCCATTCCCCGTTCCCCATTCAACACGACCGGTGGCTCGACTTCCTTCAGGCAACTCCAGAGATGCCCCGAGAACACTGTCCCAGGTCTAGAGGAACACCAACTTCAGCACAGCAACTCGAGGAATGCTCCGTGTATCCCATATCGCCTCGAGATGAGAGCTGATTCCCTGGCTTAAGCTCAAGACGTATGCCAACTTTCCAGAAGCACCTCAGGAGGAGGCTTCTCTCAGCAATAGGTATGAGGGAGGGACCCCGAGTTTGCTGCCTCAAGGGGAATATACAGCGAGAAACCCTAACTTGAAAGGAGGCCAGATTTCCTTGCAGTGGCTTGAATACAGGCTCGTCTTTCATCTCACAACATGAAGGGATGTCTGAATCCCCTGTGGAGACCTTAGAGAAAGCCTTGGTCCCTGCCTCATTTTGACGGAATGCCTCACATCCCGCTGACACCTCGAGAGGCACGCGGAGTTCAATGCTTCAAAGGTGATGATGCCTGACTCCTCTTGAATAATGATAGGAATCCCAAAATCCCTGTGGCTTCTGGAAAGGGCCCTTGGGTGCCCTGCCTCACCTCGAGAAGCGTACCTTTGGTCCTGCCAAGCCTCGAAGAGATTCCTGAGGTGTCCCTCGTTACTAGACAGGAGTCCTGACGTCACTGAAGAAACTCGTGTTTTGAAGGGCCTTCCCCTCCGTAAGTCGAGAACATACCCCAGGTCCCCGCCGCAACTCGATAAAAACCATGAGACTTCCCCCTAGAGGCGAGATGAGAGCCCATTCCCCTGCAGTGCATGCAGAGCTCTTCTGTGATCCCATTCAAACAAGTCAGGAGCTTCGACTTGCTTAATGGATCTCGAGACAGTCCCCAAGAACACTGTCACCAGTCTAGACGGACCCTGAGGTCACCCCAGCAACGCAAAGCAGCTCCATGTGCCCCAAATCAACTCGAGATGAGGCCCGATTCCCCTGCATTGACTCCAGAGCCATTCCCCGTTCCCCATTCAACACGACCGGTGGCTCGACTTCCTTCAGGCAACTCCAGAGATGCCCCGAGAACACTCTCCCAAGTCTAGAGGAACACGAACTTCAGCACAGCAACTCGAGGAATCCTCCGTGTACCCCAAATCGTCTCGAGATGAGAGCTGATTCCCTGGCTTAGGCTCAAGACGTATGCCAACTTTCCAGAAGCACCTCAGGAGGAGGCTTCTCTCAGCAATAGGTATGTGGGAGGGACCCGAGTTTGCTGCCTCAAGGGGAATATACAGCGAGAAGCCCTAACTTGAAAGGAGGCCGGATTTCCTTGCAGTGGCTTGAATACAGGCTCGTCTTTCATCTCACAACATGAAGGGATGTCTGAATCCGCTGTGGAGACCTTAGAGACAGCCCTAGGTCCCTGCCTGATTTTGACGGAATGCCTCACATCCCGCTGACTCCTCGGGAGGTACGCGGAGATCATTACTTCAATAGGTGATGACTCCTGACTCTTCTTGAATACTGATAGGAATCCCAAAATCCCTGTGGCTTCTGGAAAGGGTCCTTGGGTGCCCTGCCTCACCTCGACAAGCGTCCCTTTTGCCCTGCCAAGCCTCGAAGAGATTCCTGAGGTGTCCCTTGTTACTAGACAGGAGTCCTAACTTCACTGAAGAAACTCGTGTTTTGAACGGCCATCCCCGCCGTAAGTCGAGAACATACCCCAGGTCCCCGCCGCAACTCGATAAAAACCATGAGACTTCCCCCTAGAGGCGAGATGAGAGCCCATTCCCCTGCAGTGCATGCAGAGCTCTTCCGTGATCCCATTCAAACAAGTCAGGAGCTTCGACTTGCTTAATGGATCTCGAGACAGTCCCCAAGAACACTGTCACCAGTCTAGACGGACCCTGAGGTCACTCCAGCAACGCAAAGCAGCTCCATGTGCCCCAAATCAACTCGAGATGAGGCCCGATTCCCCTGCATTGACTCCAGAGCCATTCCCCGTTCCCCATTCAACACGACCGGTGGCTCGACTTCCTTCAGGCAACTCCAGAGATGCCCCGAGAACACTGTCCCAAGACTAGAGGAACACCAACTTCAGCACAGCAACTCGAGGAATGCTCCGTGTACCGCAAATCGTCTCGAGATGAGAGCTGATTCCCTCGCTTAGGCTCAAGACGTATGCCAACTTTCCGGAAGCCCCTCAGGAGGAGGCTTCTTTCAGCAATAGGTATGAGGGAGGAACCCCGAGTTTGCTGCCTCAAGGGGAATATACAGCGAGAAGCCCTAACTTGAAAGGAGGCCGGATTTCCTTGCAGTGGCTTGAATACAGGCTCGTCTTTCATCTCACAACATGAAGGGTTATCTGAATACCCTGTGGAGACCTTAGAGAAAGCCCTAGGTCCCTGCCTCATTTTGACGGAATGCCTCACATCCCGCTGACTCCTCGAGAGGAACGCGGAGTTCATTACTTCAAAAGGTGATGACGCCTGACTCCTCTTGAATACTGATAGAAATCCCAAAATCCCTGTGGCTACTGGAAAGGGTCCTTGGGTGCCCTGCCTCACTTCGAGAAGCCTCCCTTTTGCCCTGCCAAGCCTCGAAGAGATTCCTGAGGTGTCCCTCGTTACTAGACAGGAGTCCTGACGTCACTGAACAAACTCGTGTTTTGAAGGGCCATCCCCTCCGTAAGTCGAGAACATACCCCAGGTCCACGCCGCAACTCGAGAAAAACCATGAGACTTCCCCCTAGAGGCGAGATGAGAGCCCATTCCCCTGCAGTGCATGCACAGCTATTCAGTGATCCCATTCAAACAAGTCAGGAGCTTCGACTTGCTTAATGGATCTCGAGACAGTCCCCAAGAACACTGTCACCAGTCTAGACGGACCCTGAGGTCACTCCAGCAACGCAAAGCAGCTCCATGTGCCCCAAATCAACTCGAGATGAGGCCCGATTCCCCTGCATTGACTCCAGAGCCATTCCCCGTTCCCTATTCAACACGACCGGTTGCTCGACTTCCTTCAGGCAACTCCAGAGATGCCCCGAGAACACTGTCCCAAGACTAGAGGAACACCAACTTCAGCACAGCAACTCGAGGAATGCTCCGTGTACCCCAAATCGTCTCGAGATGAGAGCTGATTCCCTGGCTTAGGATCATGCCGTATGCCAACTTTCCGGAAGCACCTCAGGAGGAGGCTTCTCTCAGCAGTAGGTATGAGGGAGGGAAACCGAGTTTGCTGCCACAAGGGGAATATACAGCGAGAAGCCCTAACTTGAAAGGAGGCCGGATTTCCTTGCAGTGGCTTGAATACAGGCTCGTCTTTCATCTCACAACATGAAGGTATGTCTGAATCCCCTGTGGAGACCTTAGAGAAAGCCCTAGGTCCCTGCCTCATTTTGACGGAATGCCTCACATCCCGTTGACTCCTCGAGAGGTACGCGGAGTTCATTACTTCAAAAGGTGATGACGCCTGACTCCTTTTGAATAATGATAGGAATCCCAAAATCCCTTTGGCTTCTGGAAAGGGTCCCTGGGTGCCCTGCCTCACCTCGAGAAGCGTCCCTTTTGCCCTGCCAAGCCTCAAAGAGATTCCTGAGGTGTCCCTTGTTACTAGACAGGAGTCCTGACGTCACTGAAGAAACTCGTGTTTTGAAGGGCCATCCCCGCCGTAAGTCGAGAACATACCCCAGGTCCCCACCGCAACTCGAGAAAAACCATGAGACTTCCCCCTAGAGGCGAGATGAGGCCCCATTCCCCTGCAGTGCATGCAGAGCTATTCCGTGATCCCGTTCAAACAAGTCAGGAGCTTCGACTTGCTTAATGGATCTCGAGACAGTCCCCAAGAACACTATCACCAGTCTAGACGGACCCTGAGGTCACCCCAGCAACGCAAAGCAGCTCCATGTGCCCCAAATCAACTCGAGATGAGGCCCGATTCCCCTGCATTGACTCCAGAGCCATTCCCCGATCCCCATTCAACAAGACCGGCGACTCGACTTCCTTCAGGCAACTCCAGAGATGCCCCGAGAACACTGTCCCAAGTCTAGAGGAACACCAACTTCAGCACAGCAACTCGAGGAATGCTCCGTGTACCCCAAATCGACTCGAGATGAGAGCTGATTCCCTGGCTTAGGCACAAGACGTATGCCAACTTTCCAGAAGCACCTCAGGAGGAGGCTTCTCTCAGCAGTAGGTATGAGGGAGGGACCCCGAGTTTGCTGCCTCAAGGGGAATATACAGCGAGAAGCCCTAACTTGAAAGGAGGCCGGATTTCCTTGCAGTGGCTTGAATACAGGCTCGTCTTTCATCTCACAACATGAAGGGATGTCTGAATCCCCTGTGGAGACCTTAGAGAAAGCCCTAGGTCCCTGCCTCATTTTGACGGAATGCCTCACATCCCGTTGACTCCTCGAGAGGTACGCGGAGTTCATTACTTCAAAAGGTGATGACTCCTGACTCCTCTTGAATACTGATAGGAATCCCAAAATCCCTGTGGCTTCTGGAAAGGGTCCTTGGGTGCCCGGCCTCACCTCGAGAAGCGTCCCTTTTGCCCTGAAAAGCCTCGAAGAGATTCCTGAGGTGTCCCTTGTTACTAGACAGGAGTCCTAACTTCACTGAAGAAACTCGTGTTTTGAAGGGCCATCCCCGCCGTAAGTCGAGAACATAACCCAGGTCCCCGCCGCAACTCGAGAAAAACCATGAGACTTCCCCCTAGAAGCGAGATGAGGCCCCATTCCCCTGCAGTGCATGCAGAGCTATTCCGTGATCCCGTTCAAACAAGTCAGGAGCTTCGACTTGCTTAATGGATCTCGAGACAGTCCCCAAGGACACTATCACCAGTCTAGACGGACCCTGAGGTCACCCCAGCAAAGCAAAGCAGCTCCATGTGCCCCAAATCAACTCGAGATGAGGCCCGATTCCCCTGCATTGACTCCAGAGCCATTCCCCGTTCCCCATTCAACACAATCGGCGGCTCGACTTCCTTCAGGCCAGTCCAGAGATGCCCCAAGAACACTCTCCCAAGTCTAGAGGAACACCAACTTCAGCACAGCAACTCGAGGAATGCTCCGTGTACCCGAAATCGTCTCGAGATGAGAGCTGATTCCCTGGTTTAGGCTCAAGACCTATGCCAACTTTCCAGAAGCACCTCAGGAGGAGGCTTCTCTCAGCAAAAGGTATGTGGGAGGGACCCCGAGTTTGTTACCTCAAGGGGAATATACAGCGAGAAGCCCTAACTTGAAAGAAGGCCGGATTTCCTTGCAGTGGCTTGAATACAGGCTCGTCTTTCATCTCACAACATGAAGGGCTATCTGAATCCCCTGGGGAGACCTTACAGAAAGCCCTAGGTCCCTGCCTCATTTTGACGAAATGCCTCACATCCCGCTGACACCTCGAGAGGCACGCGGAATTCATTGCTTCAAAAGGTGACGATGCCTGACTCCTCTTGAATACTGATAGGAATCCCAAAATCTCTTTGGCTACTGGAAAGGGTCCTTGGGTGCCGTGCCTCACCTCGAGAAGCGTCCCTTTTGCCCTGTAAAACCCTCGAAGAGATTACTGAGGTGTCCCTCATTACTGGACAGGAGTCCTGACGTCACTGAAGAAACTCGTGTTTTGAAGGGCTATCCCCTCCGTAAGTCGAGAACATACCCCAGGTCCCCGCCGCAACTCGAGAACAACCATGAGACTTCCCCCTAGAGGCGAGATGAGGTCCCATTCCCCTGCAGTGCATGCAGAGCTAATCCGTGATCCCATTCAAACTAGTCAGGAGCTTCGACTTGCTTAATGGATCATGAGACAGTCCCCAAGAACACTGTCACCAGTTTAGACGGACCCTGAGGTCACCCCAGCAACGCAAAGCAGCTCCATGTGCCCCAAATCAAATCGAGATGAGGCCCGATTCCCCTGCATTGACTCCAGAGCCATTCCCCGTTCCCCATTCAACACGACCAGTGGCTCGACTTCCTTCAGGCAACTCCAGAGATGCCCCGAGAACACTGTCCCAAGTCTAGAAGAACACGAACTTCAGCACAGCAACTCGAGGTATGCTCAGTGTACCCCTAATCGTCTCGAGATGAGAGCTGATTCCCTGGCTTAGGCTCAAGACGTATGAAAACTTTCCAGAAGCACCTCAGGAGGAGGCTTCTCTCAGCAATATGTATAAGGGAGGAACCCCGAGTTTGCTGCCTCAAGGGGAATATACAGCGAGAAGCCGTAACTTGAAAGGAGGCCAGATTTTCTTTCAGTGGCTTGAATACAGGCTCGTCTTTCATCTCACAACATGAAGGGATGTCTGAATCCCCTGTGGAGACCTTAGAGAAAGCCCTAGTTCCCTGCCTCATTTTAATGGAATGCCTCACATCCCGCTGACACCTCGAGAGGCACGTGGAGTTCATTGCTTCAAAAGGTGACGATGCCTGACTCCTCTTGAATACTGATAGGAATCCCAAAATCCCTGTGGCTACTGGAAAGGGTCCTTGGGTGCCCTGCCTCACCTCGAGAAGCGTCCCTTTTGCCCTGCCAAGCCTCGAAGAGATTCCTGAGGTGTCCCTCGTTACTAGACAGGAGTCCTGACGTAACTGCAGAAACTCGTGTTTTGAAGGGCCATCCCGGCTGTAAGTCGAGAATATACCCCAGGTCCCCGCAGCAACTCGAAAAAAACCATGAGACTTCCCCCTAGAGGCGAGATGAGGCCCCATTCCCCTGCAGTGCATGCAGAGCTATTCCGTGATCCCATTCAAACAAGTCAGGAGCTTCGACTTGCTTAATGGATCTCGAGACAGTCCCCAAGAAAACTGTCACCAGTCTAGACGGACCCTGAGCTCACCCCATCAAAGCAAAGCAGCTCCATGTGCCCCAAATCAACTCGAGATGAGGCCCAATTCCCCTGTATTGACTCCAGAGATTTTCCCCGTTCCGCATTTAACACGACTGGCGGTTCGACTTCCTTCAGGCAACTCCAGAGATTCCCCGAGAACACTGTCCCAAGACTAGAGGAACACCAACTTCAGCACAGCAACTCGAGGAATGCTCCGTGTACCCCAAATCGTCTCGAGATGAGAGCTGATTCCCTGGCTTAGGATCAAGACTTATGCCAAATTTCCGGAAGCACCTCAGGAGGAGGCTTCTCTCAGCAATAGGTATGTGGGAGGGACCCGGAGTTTGCTGCCTCAAGGGGAATATACAGCGAGAAGCCCTAACTTGAAAGGAGGCCAGATTTCCTTGCAGTGGCTTGAATACTGGCTCGTCTTTCATCTCACAACATGAAGGGATGTCTGAATCCCCTGTGGAGACCTTAGAGAAAGCCCTAGGTCCCTGATTCATTTTGACGGAATGCCTCAAATCCCGCTGACACCTCGAGAGGCAGGCGGAGTTCATTGCTTCAAAAGGTGACGATGCCTGACTCCTCTTGAATACTGATAGGAATCCCAAAATCCCTGTGGCTACAGGAAAGGGTCCTTGGGTGCCCTGCCTCACCTCGAGAAGCGTCCCTATTGCCCTGCCAAGCCTCGAAGAGATTCCTGAGGTGTCCCTCGTTACTAGACTGGAGTCCTGACGTCACTGAAGAAACTCGTGTTTGGAAGGGCCATCCCCTCCGTAAGTCGAGAACATACCCCAGGTCCCCGCCGCAACTCGAGAAAAACCATGAGACTTCCCCCTAGAGGCGAGATGAGAGCCCATTCCCCAGCAGTGCATGCAGAGCTATTCCGTGATCCCATTCAAACGAGTCAGGAGCTTCGACTTGCTTAATGGATCTCGAGATAGTCCCCAAGAACACTGTCACCAGTCTAGACGGACCCTGAGGTCACCCCAGCAACGCAAAGCAGCTCCATGTGCCCCAAATCAACTCGAGATGAGGCCCGATTCCCCTGCATTGACTCCAGAGCCATTCCCCGTTCCCCATTCAACACGACCGCTGGCTCGACTTCCTTCAGGCAACTCCAGAGATGCCCCGAGAACACTGTCCCAAGACTAGAGGAACACCAACTTCAGCACAGCAACTCGAGGAATGCTCCGTGTACCCCAAATCGTCTCGAGATGAGAGCTGATTCCCTGGCTTAGGAACAAGACGTATGCCAACTTTCCGGAAGCACCTCAGGAGGAGGCTTCTCTCAGCAATAGTTATGAGGGAGGGACCCCGAGTTTGCTGCCTCAAGGGGAATATACAGCGAGAAGCCCTAATTTGAAAGGAGGCCGGATTTCCTTGCAGTGGCTTGAACACAGGCTCGTCTTTCATCTCACAACATGAAGGGATGCCTGAATCCCCTGTGGAGACCTTAGAGAAAGCCCTAGGTCCCTGCCTCATTTTGACGGAATGCCTCACATCCCCTGACACCTGGAGAGGCACGAGGAGTTCATTGCTTCAAAAGGTGACGATGCCTGACTCCTCTTGAATACTGATAGGAATCCCAAAATCCCTGTGGCTACTGGAAAGGGTCCTTGGGTGCCCTGCCTCCCCTCGAGAAGCGTCCCTTTTGCCCTGCCTAGCCTCGAAGAGATTCCTGAGGTGTCCCTCGTTACTAGACAGGAGTCCTGACGTCACTGAAGAAACTCGTGTTTTGAAGGGCCATCCCGGCTGTAAGTCGAGAATATATCCCAGGTCCCCGCAGCAAATCGAAAAAAACCATGAGACTTCCCCCTAGAGGCGAGATGAGGCCCCATTCCCCTGCAGTGCATGCAGAGCTATTCTGTGATCCCATTCAAACAAGTCAGGAGCTTCGACTTGCTTAATGGATCTCGAGACAGTCCCTAAGAAAACTGTCACCAGTCTAGACGGACCCTGAGCTCACCCCATCAAAGCAAAGCAGCTCCATGTGCCCCAAATCAACTCGAGATGAGGCCCAATTCCCCTGTATTGACTCCAGAGCCTTTCCCCATTCCGCATTTAACACGACCGGCGGCTCGACTTCCTTCAGGCAACTCCAGAGATGCCCCGAGAACACTGTCCCAAGACTAGAGGAACACCAACTTCAGCACAGCAACTCGAGGAATGCTTCGTGTACCCCAAATCGTCTCGAGATGAGAGCTGATTCCCTGGCTTCGGATCAAGACTTATGCCAACTTTCCGGAAGCACCTCAGGAGGAGGCTTCTCTCAGCAATATGTATGAGGGAGGGACCCCGAGTTTGCTGCCTCAAGGGGAATATACAGCGAGAAGCCCTAACTTGATAGGGGCCCGGATTTCCTTGCAGTGGCTTGAATACAGGCTCGTCTTTCATCTCACAACATGAAGGGATGTCTGAATCCCCTGTGGAGACCTTAGAGAAAGCCCTAGGTCCCTGCCTCATTTTGACGGAATGCCTCACATCACGCTGACACCTGGAGAGGCACGCGGAGTTCATTGCTTCAAAAGGTGACGATGCCTGACTCCTCTTGAATACTGATAGGAATCCCAAAATCCCTGTGGCTACTGGAAAGGGTCCTTGGGTGCCCTGCCTCACTTCGAGAAGCGTCCCTTTTGCCCTGCCAAGCCTCGAAGAGATTCCTGAGGTGTCCCTCGTTACTAGACAGGAGTCCTGACGTCACTGAAGAAACTCGTGTTTTGAAGGGTCTTCCCCTCCGTAAGTCGAGAACATACCCCAGGTCCCCGCCGCAACTCGATAAAAACCATGAGACTTCCCCCTAGAGGCGAGATGAGAGCCCATTCCCCTGCAGTGCATGCAGAGCTCTTCCGTGATCCCATTCAAACAAGTCAGGAGCTTTGACTTGCTTAATGGATCACGATACAGTCCCCAAGAACACTGTCACCAGTCTAGACGGACCCTGAGGTGACCCCATCAATGCAAAGCAGCTCCATGTGCCCCAAATCACCTCGAGATGAGGCCCGATTCCCCTGCATTGACTCCAGAGCCATTCCAAGTTCCTCATTCAACACGACCGGTGGCTCGACTTCCTTCAGGCAACTCCAGAGATGCCCTGAGAACACTGTCCCAAGACTAGAGGAACACCAACCTCAGCACAGCAACTCGAGGAATGCTCCGTGTACCCCAAATCGTCTCGAGATGAGAGCTGATTCCCTGGCTTAGGATCAAGACGTATGCCAACTTTCCGGAAGCACCTTAGAAGGAGACTTCTCTCAGCAATAGGTATGAGGGAGGGACCCCGAGTTTGCTGCCTCAAGGGGAATATACAGCGAGAAGCCCTAACTTGAAAGGAGGCCGGATTTCCTTGTAGTGGCTTGAATACAGGCTCGTCTCTCATCTCACAACATGAAGGGTTGTCTGAATCCCCTGTGGAGACCTTAGAGAAAGCCTTAGGTCCCTGCCTCATTTTTACGGAATGCTTCACATCCCGCTGACTCCTTGAGAGGTAGGCGGAGTTCATTACTTCAAAAGGTGAAGACGCCTGACTCCTCTTGAATACTGATAGGAATCCCAAAATCCCTGTGGCTACTGGAAAGGGTCCTTGGGTGCCCTGCCTCACCTCGAGAAGCGTACCTTTGGCCCTGCCAAGCCTCGAAGAGATTCCTGAGGTGTCCCTCGTTACTAGACAGGAGTCCTGACGTCACTGAAGAAACTCGTGTTTTGAAGGGCCATCCCCGCCGTAAGTCGAGAACATACCCTAGGTCCCCGCCTCAACTCGAGAAAAACCATGAGACTTCCCCCTAGAGGCGAGATGAGACCCCATTCCCCTGCAGTGCATGCAGAGCTATTCCGTGATCCCATTCAAACAAGTCAGGAGCTTTGACTTGCTTAATGGATCACGAGACAGTCCCCAAGAACACTGTCACCAGTCTAGACGGACCCTGAGGTCACCCCATCAACGCAAAGCAGCTCCATGTGCCCCAAATCAACGCGAGATGAGGCCCGATTCCCCTGCATTGACTCCAGAGCCATTCCCCGTTCCCCATTCAACACGACCGGTGGCTCGACTTCATTCAGGAAACTCCAGAGATGCCCCGAGAACACTGTCCCAAGACTAGAGGAACACCAACTTCAGCACAGCAACTCGAGGAATGCTCCGTGTACACCAAATCATCTCGAGATGAGAGCTGATTCCCTGGCTTAGGCTCAAGACGTATGCCAACTTTCGGGAAGCACCTCAGGAGGAGGATTCTCTCAGCAATAGGTATGAGGGAGGGACCCCGAGTTTGCTGCCTCAAGGGGAATATACAGCGAGAAGCCCTAACTTGAAAGGAGGCCGGATTTCCTTGTAGTGGCTTGAATACAGGCTCGTCTTTCATCTCACAACATGAAGGGATGTCTGAATCCCTGTGGAGACCTTAGAGAAAGCCCTAGGTCCCTGCCTCATTTTGACGGAATGCCTCACATCCCGCTGACACCTCGAGAGGCACGCGGAGTTCATTGCTTCAAAAGGTGACGATGCCTGACTCCTATTGTATACTGATAGGAATCCAAAATCCCTGTGGCTACTGGAAAGGGTCCTTGGGTGCCCTGCCTCACCTCGAGAAGCGTCCCTTTTGCCCTGCCAAGCCTCGAAGAGATTCCTGAGGTGTCCCTCGTTACTAGACAGGAGTCCTGACGTCACTGAAGAATCTCGTGTTTTGAAGGGCCATCCTGGCCGTAAGTCGAGAACATACCCCAGGTCCCCGCCCCAACTCGAGAAAAACCATGAGACTTCCCCCTAGAGGCGACATGAGACCCCATTCCCCTGCAGTGCATGCAGAGGTATTCTGTGATCCCATTCAAACAAGTCAGGAGCTTCGACTTGCTTAATGGATCACGAGACAGTCCCGAAGAACACTGTCACCAGTCTAGACGGACCCTGAGGTGACCCCATCAATGCAAAGCAGCTCCATGTGCCCCAAATCAACTCGAGATGAGGCCCGATTCCCCTGCATTGACTCCAGAGCCATTCCACTTTCCCCATTCAACACGACCGGTGGCTCGACTTCTTTCAGCCAACTCCAGAGATGCCCCGAGAACAATGTCCCAAGACTAGAGGAACACCAACTTCAGCACAGCAACTCGAGGAATGCTCCGTGTACCCCAAATCGTCTCGAGATGAGAGCTGATTCCCTGGCTGAGGATCAAGACGTATGCCTACTTTCCGGAAGCACCTCAGGAGGAGGCTTCTCTCAGCAATAGGTATGAGGGAGGGACTGCGAGTTTGCTGCCTCAAGGGGAATATACAGCGAGAAGCCCTAACTTGAAAGGAGGCCGGATTTCCTTGCAGTGGCTTGAATACAGGCTCGTCTTTCATCTCACAACATGAAGGGATGTCTGAATCCCCTGTGGAGACCTTAGAGAAAGCCCTAGGTCCCTGCCTCATTTTGACGGAATGCCTCACATCCCGCTGACACCTCGAGAGGCACGCGGAGTTCATTGCTTCAAAAGGTGACGATGCCTGACTCCTCTTGAATACTGATAGGAATCCAAAATCCCTGTGGCTACTGGAAAGGGTCCTTGGGTGCCCTGCCTCACCTCGAGAAGCGTACCTTTGGCCCTGCCAAGCCTCGAAGAGATTCCTGAGGTGTCCCTCGTTACTAGACAGGAGTCCTGACGTCACTGAAGAAACTCGTGTTTTGAAGGGCCATCCCCTTCGTAAGTCGAGAACATACCCCAGGTCCCCGCCGCAACTCGAAAAAAACCATGAGACTTCCCCCTAGAGGAGACATGAGGCCCCATTCCCCTGCAGTGCATGCAGAACTATTCCGTGATCCCATTCAAAAAAGTCAGGAGCTTCGACTTGCTTAATTGATCTCGAGACAGTCCCCAAGAACACTGTCACCAGTCTAGACGGAACCTGAAGTCACCCCAGCAACGCAAAGCAGCTAGATGTGCCCCAAATCAACTCGAGATGAGGCCCGATTCCCCTGCATTGACTCCCGAGCCATTCCCCGTTCCCCATTCAACACGACCGGTGGCTCGACTTCCTTCAGGCAACTCCAGAGATGCCCCGAGAACACTGTCCCAGGTCTAGAGGAACACCAACTTCAGCACAGCAACTCGAGGAATGCTCCGTGTATCCCATATCGCCTCGAGATGAGAGCTGATTCCCTGGCTTAAGCTCAAGACGTATGCCAACTTTCCAGAAGCACCTCAGGAGGAGGCTTCTCTCAGCAATAGGTATGAGGGAGGGACCCCGAGTTTGCTGCCTCAAGGGGAATATACAGCGAGAAACCCTAACTTGAAAGGAGGCCAGATTTCCTTGCAGTGGCTTGAATACAGGCTCGTCTTTCATCTCACAACATGAAGGGATGTCTGAATCCCCTGTGGAGACCTTAGAGAAAGCCTTGGTCCCTGCCTCATTTTGACGGAATGCCTCACATCCCGCTGACACCTCGAGAGGCACGCGGAGTTCAATGCTTCAAAGGTGATGATGCCTGACTCCTCTTGAATAATGATAGGAATCCCAAAATCCCTGTGGCTTCTGGAAAGGGCCCTTGGGTGCCCTGCCTCACCTCGAGAAGCGTACCTTTGGTCCTGCCAAGCCTCGAAGAGATTCCTGAGGTGTCCCTCGTTACTAGACAGGAGTCCTGACGTCACTGAAGAAACTCGTGTTTTGAAGGGCCTTCCCCTCCGTAAGTCGAGAACATACCCCAGGTCCCCGGCGCAACTCGATAAAAACCATGAGACTTCCCCCTAGAGGCGAGATGAGAGCCCATTCCCCTGCAGTGCATGCAGAGCTCTTCTGTGATCCCATTCAAACAAGTCAGGAGCTTCGACTTGCTTAATGGATCTCGAGACAGTCCCCAAGAACACTGTCACCAGTCTAGACGGACCCTGAGGTCACCCCAGCAACGCAAAGCAGCTCCATGTGCCCCAAATCAACTCGAGATGAGGCCCGATTCCCCTGCATTGACTCCAGAGCCATTCCCCGTTCCCCATTCAACACGACCGGTGGCTCGACTTCCTTCAGGCAACTCCAGAGATGCCCCGAGAACACTCTCCCAAGTCTAGAGGAACACGAACTTCAGCACAGCAACTCGAGGAATCCTCCGTGTACCCCAAATCGTCTCGAGATGAGAGCTGATTCCCTGGCTTAGGCTCAAGACGTATGCCAACTTTCCAGAAGCACCTCAGGAGGAGGCTTCTCTCAGCAATAGGTATGTGGGAGGGACCCGAGTTTGCTGCCTCAAGGGGAATATACAGCGAGAAGCCCTAACTTGAAAGGAGGCCGGATTTCCTTGCAGTGGCTTGAATACAGGCTCGTCTTTCATCTCACAACATGAAGGGATGTCTGAATCCGCTGTGGAGACCTTAGAGACAGCCCTAGGTCCCTGCCTGATTTTGACGGAATGCCTCACATCCCGCTGACTCCTCGGGAGGTACGCGGAGATCATTACTTCAATAGGTGATGACTCCTGACTCTTCTTGAATACTGATAGGAATCCCAAAATCCCTGTGGCTTCTGGAAAGGGTCCTTGGGTGCCCTGCCTCACCTCGACAAGCGTCCCTTTTGCCCTGCCAAGCCTCGAAGAGATTCCTGAGGTGTCCCTTGTTACTAGACAGGAGTCCTAACTTCACTGAAGAAACTCGTGTTTTTAACGGCCATCCCCGCCGTAAGTCGAGAACATACCCCAGGTCCCCGCCGCAACTCGATAAAAACCATGAGACTTCCCCCTAGAGGCGAGATGAGAGCCCATTCCCCTGCAGTGCATGCAGAGCTCTTCCGTGATCCCATTCAAACAAGTCAGGAGCTTCGACTTGCTTAATGGATCTCGAGACAGTCCCCAAGAACACTGTCACCAGTCTAGACGGACCCTGAGGTCACTCCAGCAACGCAAAGCAGCTCCATGTGCCCCAAATCAACTCGAGATGAGGCCCGATTCCCCTGCATTGACTCCAGAGCCATTCCCCGTTCCCCATTCAACACGACCGGTGGCTCGACTTCCTTCAGGCAACTCCAGAGATGCCCCGAGAACACTGTCCCAAGACTAGAGGAACACCAACTTCAGCACAGCAACTCGAGGAATGCTCCGTGTACCGCAAATCGTCTCGAGATGAGAGCTGATTCCCTCGCTTAGGCTCAAGACGTATGCCAACTTTCCGGAAGCCCCTCAGGAGGAGGCTTCTTTCAGCAATAGGTATGAGGGAGGAACCCCGAGTTTGCTGCCTCAAGGGGAATATACAGCGAGAAGCCCTAACTTGAAAGGAGGCCGGATTTCCTTGCAGTGGCTTGAATACAGGCTCGTCTTTCATCTCACAACATGAAGGGTTATCTGAATACCCTGTGGAGACCTTAGAGAAAGCCCTAGGTCCCTGCCTCATTTTGACGGAATGCCTCACATCCCGCTGACTCCTCGAGAGGAACGCGGAGTTCATTACTTCAAAAGGTGATGACGCCTGACTCCTCTTGAATACTGATAGAAATCCCAAAATCCCTGTGGCTACTGGAAAGGGTCCTTGGGTGCCCTGCCTCACTTCGAGAAGCCTCCCTTTTGCCCTGCCAAGCCTCGAAGAGATTCCTGAGGTGTCCCTCGTTACTAGACAGGAGTCCTGACGTCACTGAACAAACTCGTGTTTTGAAGGGCCATCCCCTCCGTAAGTCGAGAACATACCCCAGGTCCACGCCGCAACTCGAGAAAAACCATGAGACTTCCCCCTAGAGGCGAGATGAGAGCCCATTCCCCTGCAGTGCATGCACAGCTATTCAGTGATCCCATTCAAACAAGTCAGGAGCTTCGACTTGCTTAATGGATCTCGAGACAGTCCCCAAGAACACTGTCACCAGTCTAGACGGACCCTGAGGTCACTCCAGCAACGCAAAGCAGCTCCATGTGCCCCAAATCAACTCGAGATGAGGCCCGATTCCCCTGCATTGACTCCAGAGCCATTCCCCGTTCCCTATTCAACACGACCGGTTGCTCGACTTCCTTCAGGCAACTCCAGAGATGCCCCGAGAACACTGTCCCAAGACTAGAGGAACACCAACTTCAGCACAGCAACTCGAGGAATGCTCCGTGTACCCCAAATCGTCTCGAGATGAGAGCTGATTCCCTGGCTTAGGATCATGCCGTATGCCAACTTTCCGGAAGCACCTCAGGAGGAGGCTTCTCTCAGCAGTAGGTATGAGGGAGGGAAACCGAGTTTGCTGCCACAAGGGGAATATACAGCGAGAAGCCCTAACTTGAAAGGAGGCCGGATTTCCTTGCAGTGGCTTGAATACAGGCTCGTCTTTCATCTCACAACATGAAGGTATGTCTGAATCCCCTGTGGAGACCTTAGAGAAAGCCCTAGGTCCCTGCCTCATTTTGACGGAATGCCTCACATCCCGTTGACTCCTCGAGAGGTACGCGGAGTTCATTACTTCAAAAGGTGATGACGCCTGACTCCTCTTGAATAATGATAGGAATCCCAAAATCCCTTTGGCTTCTGGAAAGGGTCCCTGGGTGCCCTGCCTCACCTCGAGAAGCGTCCCTTTTGCCCTGCCAAGCCTCAAAGAGATTCCTGAGGTGTCCCTTGTTACTAGACAGGAGTCCTGACGTCACTGAAGAAACTCGTGTTTTGAAGGGCCATCCCCGCCGTAAGTCGAGAACATACCCCAGGTCCCCACCGCAACTCGAGAAAAACCATGAGATTCCCCCTAGAGGCGAGATGAGGCCCCATTCCCCTGCAGTGCATGCAGAGCTATTCCGTGATCCCGTTCAAACAAGTCAGGAGCTTCGACTTGCTTAATGGATCTCGAGACAGTCCCCAAGAACACTATCACCAGTCTAGACGGACCCTGAGGTCACCCCAGCAACGCAAAGCAGCTCCATGTGCCCCAAATCAACTCGAGATGAGGCCCGATTCCCCTGCATTGACTCCAGAGCCATTCCCCGATCCCCATTCAACAAGACCGGCGACTCGACTTCCTTCAGGCAACTCCAGAGATGCCCCGAGAACACTGTCCCAAGTCTAGAGGAACACCAACTTCAGCACAGCAACTCGAGGAATGCTCCGTGTACCCCAAATCGACTCGAGATGAGAGCTGATTCCCTGGCTTAGGCACAAGACGTATGCCAACTTTCCAGAAGCACCTCAGGAGGAGGCTTCTCTCAGCAGTAGGTATGAGGGAGGGACCCCGAGTTTGCTGCCTCAAGGGGAATATACAGCGAGAAGCCCTAACTTGAAAGGAGGCCGGATTTCCTTGCAGTGGCTTGAATACAGGCTCGTCTTTCATCTCACAACATGAAGGGATGTCTGAATCCCCTGTGGAGACCTTAGAGAAAGCCCTAGGTCCCTGCCTCATTTTGACGGAATGCCTCACATCCCGTTGACTCCTCGAGAGGTACGCGGAGTTCATTACTTCAAAAGGTGATGACTCCTGACTCCTCTTGAATACTGATAGGAATCCCAAAATCCCTGTGGCTTCTGGAAAGGGTCCTTGGGTGCCCGGCCTCACCTCGAGAAGCGTCCCTTTTGCCCTGAAAAGCCTCGAAGAGATTCCTGAGGTGTCCCTTGTTACTAGACAGGAGTCCTAACTTCACTGAAGAAACTCGTGTTTTGAAGGGCCATCCCCGCCGTAAGTCGAGAACATAACCCAGGTCCCCGCCGCAACTCGAGAAAAACCATGAGACTTCCCCCTAGAAGCGAGATGAGGCCCCATTACCCTGCAGTGCATGCAGAGCTATTCCGTGATCCCGTTCAAACAAGTCAGGAGCTTCGACTTGCTTAATGGATCTCGAGACAGTCCCCAAGGACACTATCACCAGTCTAGACGGACCCTGAGGTCACCCCAGCAAAGCAAAGCAGCTCCATGTGCCCCAAATCAACTCGAGATGAGGCCCGATTCCCCTGCATTGACTCCAGAGCCATTCCCCGTTCCCCATTCAACACAATCGGCGGCTCGACTTCCTTCAGGCCAGTCCAGAGATGCCCCAAGAACACTGTCCCAAGTCTAGAGGAACACCAACTTCAGCACAGCAACTCGAGGAATGCTCCGTGTACCCGAAATCGTCTCGAGATGAGAGCTGATTCCCTGGTTTAGGCTCAAGACCTATGCCAACTTTCCAGAAGCACCTCAGGAGGAGGCTTCTCTCAGCAAAAGGTATGTGGGAGGGACCCCGAGTTTGTTACCTCAAGGGGAATATACAGCGAGAAGCCCTAACTTGAAAGAAGGCCGGATTTCCTTGCAGTGGCTTGAATACAGGCTCGTCTTTCATCTCACAACATGAAGGGCTATCTGAATCCCCTGGGGAGACGTTACAGAAAGCCCTAGGTCCCTGCCTCATTTTGACGAAATGCCTCACATCCCGCTGACACCTCGAGAGGCACGCGGAATTCATTGCTTCAAAAGGTGACGATGCCTGACTCCTCTTGAATACTGATAGGAATCCCAAAATCTCTTTGGCTACTGGAAAGGGTCCTTGGGTGCCGTGCCTCACCTCGAGAAGCGTCCCTTTTGCCCTGTAAAACCCTCGAAGAGATTACTGAGGTGTCCCTCATTACTGGACAGGAGTCCTGACGTCACTGAAGAAACTCGTGTTTTGAAGGGCTATCCCCTCCGTAAGTCGAGAACATACCCCAGGTCCCCGCCGCAACTCGAGAACAACCATGAGACTTCCCCCTAGAGGCGAGATGAGGTCCCATTCCCCTGCAGTGCATGCAGAGCTAATCCGTGATCCCATTCAAACTAGTCAGGAGCTTCGACTTGCTTAATGGATCATGAGACAGTCCCCAAGAACACTGTCACCAGTTTAGACGGACCCTGAGGTCACCCCAGCAACGCAAAGCAGCTCCATGTGCCCCAAATCAAATCGAGATGAGGCCCGATTCCCCTGCATTGACTCCAGAGCCATTCCCCGTTCCCCATTCAACACGACCAGTGGCTCGACTTCCTTCAGGCAACTCCAGAGATGCCCCGAGAACACTGTCCCAAGTCTAGAAGAACACGAACTTCAGCACAGCAACTCGAGGTATGCTCAGTGTACCCCTAATCGTCTCGAGATGAGAGCTGATTCCCTGGCTTAGGCTCAAGACGTATGAAAACTTTCCAGAAGCACCTCAGGAGGAGGCTTCTCTCAGCAATATGTATAAGGGAGGAACCCCGAGTTTGCTGCCTCAAGGGGAATATACAGCGAGAAGCCGTAACTTGAAAGGAGGCCAGATTTTCTTTCAGTGGCTTGAATACAGGCTCGTCTTTCATCTCACAACATGAAGGGATGTCTGAATCCCCTGTGGAGACCTTAGAGAAAGCCCTAGTTCCCTGCCTCATTTTAATGGAATGCCTCACATCCCGCTGACACCTCGAGAGGCACGTGGAGTTCATTGCTTCAAAAGGTGACGATGCCTGACTCCTCTTGAATACTGATAGGAATCCCAAAATCCCTGTGGCTACTGGAAAGGGTCCTTGGGTGCCCTGCCTCACCTCGAGAAGCGTCCCTTTTGCCCTGCCAAGCCTCGAAGAGATTCCTGAGGTGTCCCTCGTTACTAGACAGGAGTCCTGACGTAACTGCAGAAACTCGTGTTTTGAAGGGCCATCCCGGCTGTAAGTCGAGAATATACCCCAGGTCCCCGCAGCAACTCGAAAAAAACCATGAGACTTCCCCCTAGAGGCGAGATGAGGCCCCATTCCCCTGCAGTGCATGCAGAGCTATTCCGTGATCCCATTCAAACAAGTCAGGAGCTTCGACTTGCTTAATGGATCTCGAGACAGTCCCCAAGAAAACTGTCACCAGTCTAGACGGACCCTGAGCTCACCCCATCAAAGCAAAGCAGCTCCATGTGCCCCAAATCAACTCGAGATGAGGCCCAATTCCCCTGTATTGACTCCAGAGATTTTCCCCGTTCCGCATTTAACACGACTGGCGGTTCGACTTCCTTCAGGCAACTCCAGAGATTCCCCGAGAACACTGTCCCAAGACTAGAGGAACACCAACTTCAGCACAGCAACTCGAGGAATGCTCCGTGTACCCCAAATCGTCTCGAGATGAGAGCTGATTCCCTGGCTTAGGATCAAGACTTATGCCAAATTTCCGGAAGCACCTCAGGAGGAGGCTTCTCTCAGCAATAGGTATGTGGGAGGGACCCGGAGTTTGCTGCCTCAAGGGGAATATACAGCGAGAAGCCCTAACTTGAAAGGAGGCCAGATTTCCTTGCAGTGGCTTGAATACTGGCTCGTCTTTCATCTCACAACATGAAGGGATGTCTGAATCCCCTGTGGAGACCTTAGAGAAAGCCCTAGGTCCCTGATTCATTTTGACGGAATGCCTCAAATCCCGCTGACACCTCGAGAGGCACGCGGAGTTCATTGCTTCAAAAGGTGACGATGCCTGACTCCTCTTGAATACTGATAGGAATCCCAAAATCCCTGTGGCTACAGGAAAGGGTCCTTGGGTGCCCTGCCTCACCTCGAGAAGCGTCCCTATTGCCCTGCCAAGCCTCGAAGAGATTCCTGAGGTGTCCCTCGTTACTAGACTGGAGTCCTGACGTCACTGAAGAAACTCGTGTTTGGAAGGGCCATCCCCTCCGTAAGTCGAGAACATACCCCAGGTCCCCGCCGCAACTCGAGAAAAACCATGAGACTTCCCCCTAGAGGCGAGATGAGAGCCCATTCCCCAGCAGTGCATGCAGAGCTATTCCGTGATCCCATTCAAACGAGTCAGGAGCTTCGACTTGCTTAATGGATCTCGAGATAGTCCCCAAGAACACTGTCACCAGTCTAGACGGACCCTGAGGTCACCCCAGCAACGCAAAGCAGCTCCATGTGCCCCAAATCAACTCGAGATGAGGCCCGATTCCCCTGCATTGACTCCAGAGCCATTCCCCGTTCCCCATTCAACACGACCGCTGGCTCGACTTCCTTCAGGCAACTCCAGAGATGCCCCGAGAACACTGTCCCAAGACTAGAGGAACACCAACTTCAGCACAGCAACTCGAGGAATGCTCCGTGTACCCCAAATCGTCTCGAGATGAGAGCTGATTCCCTGGCTTAGGAACAAGACGTATGCCAACTTTCCGGAAGCACCTCAGGAGGAGGCTTCTCTCAGCAATAGTTATGAGGGAGGGACCCCGAGTTTGCTGCCTCAAGGGGAATATACAGCGAGAAGCCCTAACTTGAAAGGAGGCCGGATTTCCTTGCAGTGGCTTGAACACAGGCTCGTCTTTCATCTCACAACATGAAGGGATGCCTGAATCCCCTGTGGAGACCTTAGAGAAAGCCCTAGGTCCCTGCCTCATTTTGACGGAATGCCTCACATCCCCTGACACCTGGAGAGGCACGAGGAGTTCATTGCTTCAAAAGGTGACGATGCCTGACTCCTCTTGAATACTGATAGGAATCCCAAAATCCCTGTGGCTACTGGAAAGGGTCCTTGGGTGCCCTGCCTCCCCTCGAGAAGCGTCCCTTTTGCCCTGCCTAGCCTCGAAGAGATTCCTGAGGTGTCCCTCGTTACTAGACAGGAGTCCTGACGTCACTGAAGAAACTCGTGTTTTGAAGGGCCATCCCGGCTGTAAGTCGAGAATATATCCCAGGTCCCCGCAGCAAATCGAAAAAAACCATGAGACTTCCCCCTAGAGGCGAGATGAGGCCCCATTCCCCTGCAGTGCATGCAGAGCTATTCTGTGATCCCATTCAAACAAGTCAGGAGCTTCGACTTGCTTAATGGATCTCGAGACAGTCCCTAAGAAAACTGTCACCAGTCTAGACGGACCCTGAGCTCACCCCATCAAAGCAAAGCAGCTCCATGTGCCCCAAATCAACTCGAGATGAGGCCCAATTCCCCTGTATTGACTCCAGAGCCTTTCCAGATTCCGCATTTAACACGACCGGCGGCTCGACTTCCTTCAGGCAACTCCAGAGATGCCCCGAGAACACTGTCCCAAGACTAGAGGAACACCAACTTCAGCACAGCAACTCGAGGAATGCTTCGTGTACCCCAAATCGTCTCGAGATGAGAGCTGATTCCCTGGCTTCGGATCAAGACTTATGCCAACTTTCCGGAAGCACCTCAGGAGGAGGCTTCTCTCAGCAATATGTATGAGGGAGGGACCCCGAGTTTGCTGCCTCAAGGGGAATATACAGCGAGAAGCCCTAACTTGATAGGGGCCCGGATTTCCTTGCAGTGGCTTGAATACAGGCTCGTCTTTCATCTCACAACATGAAGGGATGTCTGAATCCCCTGTGGAGACCTTAGAGAAAGCCCTAGGTCCCTGCCTCATTTTGACGGAATGCCTCACATCACGCTGACACCTGGAGAGGCACGCGGAGTTCATTGCTTCAAAAGGTGACGATGCCTGACTCCTCTTGAATACTGATAGGAATCCCAAAATCCCTGTGGCTACTGGAAAGGGTCCTTGGGTGCCCTGCCTCACTTCGAGAAGCGTCCCTTTTGCCCTGCCAAGCCTCGAAGAGATTCCTGAGGTGTCCCTCGTTACTAGACAGGAGTCCTGACGTCACTGAAAAAACTCGTGTTTTGAAGGGCCATCCCCGCCGTAAGTCGAGAACATAACCCAGGTCCCCGCCGCAACTCGAGAAAAACCATGAGACTTCCCCCTAGAAGCGAGATGAGGCCCCATTCCCCTGCAGTGCATGCAGAGCTATTCGGTGATCCCGTTCAAACAAGTCAGGAGCTTCGACTTGCTTAATGGATCTCGAGACAGTCCCCAAGGACACTATCACCAGTCTAGACGGACCCTGAGGTCACCCCAGCAACGCAAAGCAGCTCCATGTGCCGCAAATCAACTCGAGATGAGGCCCGATTCCCCTGCATTGACTCCAGAGCCATTCCCCGTTCCCCATTCAACACGATCGGCGGCTCGACTTCCTTCAGGCCACTCCAGAGATGCCCCGAGAACACTGTCCCAAGTCTAGAGGAACACCAACTTCAGCACAGCAACTCGAGGAATGCTCCGTGTACGCCAAATCGTCTCAAGATGAGAGCTGATTCCCTGGTTTAGGCTCAAGACCTATGCCAACTTTCCAGAAGCACCTCAGGAGGAGGCTTCTCTCAGCAACAGGTATGTGGGAGGGACCCCGAGTTTGTTACCTCAAGGGGAATATACAGCGAGAAGCCTTAACTTGAAAGAAGGCCGGATTTCCTTGCAGTGGCTTGAATACAGGCTCGTCTTTCATCTCACAACATGAAGGGATATCTGAATCCCCTGGGGAGACCTTAGAGAAAGCCCTAGGTCCCTGCCTCATTTTGACGAAATGCCTCACATCCCGCTGACACCTCGAGAGGCACGCGGAATTCATTGCTTCAAAAGGTGACGATGCCTGACTCCTCTTGAATACTGATAGGAATCCCAAAATCTCTTTGGCTACTGGAAAGGGTCCTTGGGTGCCGTGCCTCACCTCGAGAAGCGTCCCTTTTGCCCTGCCAACCCTCGAAGAGATTCCTGAGGTGTCCCTCGTTACTAGACAGGAGTCCTGACGTCACTGAAGAAACTCGTGTTTTGAAGGGCTATCCCATCCGTAAGTCGAGAACATACCGCAGGTCCCCGCCGCAACTCGAGAACAACCATGAGACTTCCCCCTAGAGGCGAGATGAGGTCCCATTCCCCTGCAGTGCATGCAGAGCTAATCCGTGATCCCATTCAAACTAGTCAGGAGCTTCTACTTGCTTAATGGATCACGAGACAGTCCCCAAGAACACTGTCACCAGTCTAGACGGACCCTGAGGTCACCCCAGCAACGCAAAGCAGCTCCATGTGCCCCAAATCAACTCGAGATGAGGCCCGATTCCCCTGCATTGACTCCAGAGCCATTCCCCGTTCCCCATTCAACACGACCGGTGGTCGACTTCCTTCAGGCAACTCCAGAGATGCCCCGAGAACACTGTCCCAAGACTAGAGGATCACCAACTTCAGCACAGCAACTCGAGGAATGCTCCGTGTACCCCAAATCGTCTCGAGATGAGATCTGATTCCCTGTCTTAGGATCAAGACCTATGCCAACTTTCTGGAAGCATCTCAGGAGGAGGCTTCTCTCAGCAATAGGTTTGAGGGAGGGACCCCGAGTTTGCTGCCTCTAGCGGAATATACAGCGAGAAGCCCTAACTTGAAAGGAGGCCAGATTTCCTTGCAGTGGCTTGAATACAGGCTCGTCTTTCATCTCACAACATGAAGGGATGTCTGAATCCCCTGTGGAGACCTTAGAGAAAGCCCTAGGTCCCTGCCTCATTTTGACGGAATGCCTCACATCCCGCTGACTCCTCGAGAGGTACGCGGAGTTCATTACTTCAAAAGGTGATGACGCCTGACTCCTCTTGAATACTGATAGGAATCCCAAAATCTCTTTGGCTACTGGAAAGGGTCCTTGGGTGCCCTGCCTCACCTCGAGAAGCGTCCCTTTTGCCCTGCCAAGCCTCGAAGAGATTCCTGATGTGTCCCTCGTTACTAGATAGGAGTCCTGACTTCACTGAAGAAACTCGTTTTTTGAAGGGCCATCCCCTCCGTAAGTCGAGAACATACCCCAGGTCCACGCCGCAACTCGAGAAAAACCATGAGACTTCCCCCTAGAGGCGAGATGAGGCCCCATTCCCCTGCAGTGCATGCAGAGCTATTCCGTGATCCCATTCAAACAAGTCAGGAGCTTCGACTTGCTTAATGGATCACGAGACAGTCCCCAAGAACACTGTCACCAGTCTAGACGGACCCTGAGGTCACTCCAGCAACGCAAAGCAGCTCCATGTGCCCCAAATCAACTCGAGATGAGGCCCGATTCCCCTGCATTGACTCCAGAGCCATTCCCCGTTCCACATTCAACACGACCAGTGGCTCGACTTCCTTCAGGCAACTCCAGAGATGCCCCGAGAACACTCTCCGAAGACTAGAGGAAAACCAACTTCAGCACAGCAACTCGAGGAATGCTCCGTGTACCCCAAATCGTCTCGAGATGAGAGCTGATTCCCTGGCTGAGGCTCAAGACGTATGCCAACTTTCCGGAAGCACGTCAGGAGGAGGCTTCTCTCAGCAATAGGTATGAGGTAGGGACCCCGAGTTTGCTGCCTCAAGGGGAATATACAGCGAGAAGCCCTAACTTGAAAGGAGGCCGGATTTCCTTGCAGTGGCTTGAATACAGGCTCGTCTTTCATCTCACAACATGAAGGGATGTCTGAATCCCTTGTGGAGACCTTAGAGAAAGCCCTAGGTCCCTGCCTCATTTTGACGGAATGGTTCAGATCCCGCTGACTCCTCGAGAGGTAGGCGGAGTTCATTACTTCAAAAGGTGACGATGCCTGACTCCTCTTGAATACTGATAGGCATCCCAAAAACCCTGTGGCTACAGGAAAGTGTCCTTGGGTGCCCCGCCTCACCTCGAGAAGCGTCCCTTTTGCCCTGCCAAGCCTGGAAGAGATTCCTGAGGTGTCCCTCGTTACTAGACAGGAGTCCTGACGTCACTGAAGAAACTCGTGTTTTGAAGGGCCATCCACTCCGTAAGTCGAGAACATACCCCAGGTCCCCGCCGCAACTCGAGAAAAACCATGAGACTTCCCCCTAGAGGCGAGATGAGAGCCCATTCCCCTGCAGTGCATGCAGAGCTATTCCGTGATCCCATTCAAACAAGTCAGGAGCTTCGACTTGCTTAATGGATCTCGAGACAGTCCCCAAGAACACTGTCACCAGTCTAGACGGACCCTGAAGTCAACCCAGCAACGCAAAGCAGCTCCATGTGCCCCAAATCAACTCGAGATGAGGCCCGATTCCCCTGCATTGACTCCAGAGCCGTTCCCCGTTCCCCATTCAACACGACCGGTGGCTCGACTTCCTTCAGGCAACTCCAGAGATGCCCCGAGAACACTCTCCCAAGTCTAGAGGAACAACAACTTCAGCACAGCAACTCGAGGAATGCTCCGTGTACCTCAAATCGTCTCGAGATGAGAGCTGATTCCCTGGCTTAGGCTCAAGACGTATGCCAACTTTCCAGAAGCACCTCAGGAGGAGGCTTCTCTCAGCAATAGGTATGTGGGAGGGACCCCGAGTTTGCTGCCTCAAGCGGAATATAGAGCGAGAAGCCCAAACTTGAAAGGAGGCCGGATTTCCTTGCAGTGGCTTGAATACAGGCTCGTCTTTCATCTCACAACATGAAGGGATGTCTGAATCCCCTGTGGAGACCTTAGAGAAAGCCCTAGGTCCCTGCCTCATTTTGACGGAATGCTTCACATCCCGCTGACACCTCGAGAGGTAGGCGGAGTTCATTACTTCAAAAGGTGATGACGCCTGACTTCTCTTGAATACTGATAGGAATCCCAAAATCCCTGTGGCTACTGGAAAGGGTCCTTGGGTGCCCTGCCACACCTCGAGAAGCGTCCCTTTTGCCCTGCCAAGCCTCGAAGAGATTCCTGAGGTGTCCCTCGTTACTAGACAGGAGTCCTGACGTCACTGAAGAAACTCGAGTTTTGTAGGGCCATCGCCGCCGTCAGTCGAGAACATACCCCAGGTCCCCGCCGCAACTCGAGAAAAACCATGAGACTTCCCCCTAGAGGCGAGATGAGGCCCCATTCCCCTGCAGTGCATGCAGAGCTATTCCGTGATCCCATTCAAACAAGTCAGGAGCTTCGACTTGCTTAATGGATCTCGAGACAGTCCCCAAGAACACTGTCACCAGTCTAGACGGACCCTGAGGTCCCCCAAGCAACGCAAAGCAGCTCCATGTGCCCCAAATCAACTCGAGATGAGGCCCAATTCCTGTGCATTGACTCCAGAGCCATTCCCCCTTCCCCATTCAACACGACTGGTGGCTGGACTTCCTTCAGGCAACTCCAGAGATGCCCCGAGAACACTGTCCCAAGACTAGAGGAACACCAACTTCAGCACAGCAACTCGAGGAATGCCCCGTGTACACCAAATCGTCTCGAGATGAGAGCTGATTCCCTGGCTTAGGTTCAAGACGTATGCCAACTTTCCAGAAGCACTTCAGGAGGAGGCTTCTATCAGCAATAGGTATGTGGGAAGGACCCCGAGTTTGCTGCCTCAAGGGGAATATACAGCGAGAAGCCCTAACTTGAAAGGAGGCCGGATTTCCTTGCAGTGGCTTGAATACAGGCTCGTTTTTCATCTCACAACATGAAGGGAGGTCTGAATCCCCTGTGGAGACCTTAGAGAAAGCCCTAGGTCCCTGCCTCATTTTGACGGAATGCTTCACATCCCGCTGACTCCTCGAGAGGTATGCGGAGTTCATTACTACAAAAGGTGATGACGCCTGACTCCTCTTGAATACTGATAGGAATCTCAAAATCCCTGTGGCTACAGGAAAGGGTCCTTGGGTGCCCTGCCTCATCTCGAGAAGCGTCCTTTTGCCCTGCCAAGCCTCGAAGAGATTCCTGAGGTGTCCCTCGTTACTAGACAGGAGTCCTGACGTCACTGAAGAAACTTTTTTTTGAAGGGCCATGCCCTCCGTAAGTCGAGAACATACCCCAGGTCCCCGCCACAACTCGAGAAAAAGCATGAGACTTCCCCCTAGAGGCGAGATGAGGCCCCATTCACCTGCAGTGCATGCAGAGCTATTCCGTCATCCCATTCATACAAGTCAGGAGCTTCGACTTGCTTAATGGTTCTCGAGACAGTCCCGAAGAACACTGTCACCAGTCTAGACGGACCCTGAGGTCACTCCAGCAACGCAAAGCAGCTCCATGTGCCCCAAATCAACTCGAGATGAGGCCCGATTCCCCTGCATTGACTCCAGAGCCATTCCCCGTTCCCCATTCAACACGACCGATTGCTCGACTTCCTTCAGGCAACTCCAGAGATGCCCCGAGAACACTGTCCCAAGTCTAGAGTAACACCAACTTCAGCACAGCAACTCGAGGAATGCTCCGTGTACCCCAAATCGTCTCGAGATGAGAGCTGATTCCCTGGCTTAGGATCAAGATGTATGCCAACTTTCCAGAAGCACCTCAGGAGGAGGATTCTGTTAGCAATAGGTATGTGGGAGGGACCCCGAGTTTGCTGCCTCAAAGGGAATATACAGCGAGCAGACCTAACTTGAAAGGATTCCGGATTTCCTTGCAGTGGCTTGAATACAGGCTCGTCTTTCATCTCACAACATGAAGGGATGTCTGAATCCCCTGTGGAGACCTTAGAGAAAGCCCTAGGTCCCTGCCTCATTTTGACGGAAATCCTCACATCCCGCTGACACCACGAGAGGCACGCGGAGTTCATTGCTTCAAAAGGTGACGATGCCTGACTCCTCTTGAATACTGATAGGAATCCCAAAATCCCTGTGTCTACAGGAAAGGGTACTTGGGTGCGCTGCCTCACCTCGAGAAGCGTCCCTTTTGCCCTGCCAAACATGGAAGAGATTCCTGAGGTGTCCCTCATTACTAGACAGGAGTCCTGACGTCACTGAAGAAACTCGTGTTTTAAAGGGCCATCCCCGCCGTAAGTCGAGAACATACCCCAGGTCCCCGCCGCAACTCGAGAAAAACCATATTTCCTCCTAGAGCCGAGATGAGGCCCCATTCCCCTGCAGTGCATGCAGAGCTATTCCGTGATCCCATTCAAACAAGTCAGGAGCTTCGACTTGCTTAATGGATCTCGAGACAGTCCCCAAGAACACTGTCACCAGTCTAGATGGACCCTGAGGTCACCCCAGCAACGCAAAGCAGCTCCATGTGCCCCAAATCAACTCGAGATGACGCCCGATTCCCCTGCATTGACTCCAGAGCCATTCCCCGTTCCCCATTCAACACGAACGGTGGCTCGACTTCCTTCAGGAAACTCCAGAGAAGCCCCGAGAACACTCTCCCAAGTCTAGAGGAACGGCAACTTCAGCACAGCAACTCGAGGAATGCTCCGTGTACCCCAAATCATCTCGAGATGAGAGCTGATTCCCTGGCTTAGGCTCAAGACGTATGCCAACTTTCCAGAAGCACCTCAGGAGGAGGCTTCTCTCAGCAATAGATATGTGGGAGGGACCCCGAGTTTGCTGCCTCAAGCGGAATATAGAGCGAGAAGCCCAAACTTGAAAGGAGGCCGGATTTCCTTGCAGTGGCTTGAATACAGGCTCGTCTTTCATCTCACAACATGAAGGGATGTCTGAATCCCCTGTGGAGACCTTAGAGAAAGCCCTAGGTCCCTGCCTCTTTTTGACGGAATGCCTCACATCCCGCTGACACCTCGAGAGGCACGCGGAGTTCATTGCTTCAAAAGGTGACGATGCCTGACTCCTCTTGAATACTGATAGGAATCCCAAAATCCCTGTGGCTACTGGAAAGGGTCCTTGGGTGCCCTGCCTCACCTCGAGAAGCGTCCCTTTTGCCCTGCCAAGCCTCGAAGAGATTCCTGAGGTGTCCCTCGTTACTATACAGGAATCCTGACGTCACTGAAGAAACTCGTGTTTTGAAGGGCCATCCCCGCCGTAAGTCGAGAACATACCCCAGGTCCCCGCCGCAACTCGAGAAAAACCATGAGACTTCCCCCTAGAGGCGAGATGAGGCCCTCTTCCTCTGTAGTGCATGCAGAGCTATTCCGTGATCCCATTCAAACACGTCAGGAGCTTCGACTTGCTTAATGGATCTCGAGACAGTCCCCAAGAACACTGTCACCAGTCTAGACGGACCCTGAGGTCACCCCAGCAACGCAAAGCAGGTCCATGTGCCCCAAATCAACTCGAGATGAGGCCCGATTCCCCTGCATTGACTCCAGAGCCATTCCCCGTTCCCCATTCAACACGACCGGTGGCTCGACTTCCTTCAGGCAACTCCAGAGACGCCCCGAGAACACTGTCCCAAGTCTAGAGGAACACCAACTTCAGCACAGCAACTCGAGGAATGCTCCGTGTACCGCAAATCGTCTCGAGATGAGAGCTGATTCCCTGGCTTAGGCTCAATACGTACGCCAACTTTCCAGAAGCACCTCAGGAGGAGGCTTCTCTCAGCAATAGGTATGTGGGAGGGACCCCGAGTTTGCTGCCTCAAGGGGAATATACAGCGAGAAGCCCTAACTTGAAAGGAGGCCGGATTTCCTTGCAGTGGCTTGAATACAGGCTCGTCTTTCATCTCACAACATGAAGGGATGACTGAATCCCCTGTGGAGGCCTGAGAGAAAGCCCTAGGTCCCTGCCTCTTTTTGACGGAATGCCTCACATCCTGCTGACACCCCGAGAGCCACGCGGATTTCATTGCTTCAAAAGTGACGATGCCTGACTCCTCTTGAATACTGATAGGAATCCCATAATCCCTGTGGCTACTGGAAAGGGTCCTTGGGTGCCCTGCCTCCCCTCGAGAAGCGTCCCTTTTGCACTGCCAAGCCTCGAAGAGATTCCTGAGGTGTCCCTCGTTACTAGACAGGAGGCTTGACGTCACTGAATAAACTCGTGTTTTGAATGGCAATCCCCGCCGTAAGTCGAGAACATACCCCAGGTCCCCGCCGCAACTCGAGAAAAACCATGAGACTTCCCCCTAGAGGCGAGATGAGGCCCCATTCCCCTGCAGTGCATGCAGATCTATTCCGTGATCCCATTCATACAAGTCAGGAGTTTGGCTTGCTTAATGGGCCTCGAGACAGTCCCCAAGAACACTGTCACCAGTCTAGACGGACCCTGAGTTCACCCCAGCAACGCAAAGCAGCTCCATGTCCCCCAAATCAACTCGAGATGAGGCCCGATTCCCCTGCATTGACTCCAGAGCCATTCCCCGTTCCCCATTCAACACGACCGGTGGCTCGACTTCTTTCAGGCAACTCCAGAGATGCCCCGAGAACACTGTCTCAAGTCTAGAGGAACAACAACTTCAGCACAGCAACTCGAGGAATGCTCCGTGTACCCCAAATCGTCTCGAGATGAGAGCTGATTCCCTGGCTTAGGAACAAGACGTATGCCAACTTTCCGGAAGCACCTCAGGAGGAGGCTTCTCTCAGCAATAGTTATGAGGAAGGGACCCCGAGTTTGCTGCCTCAAGCGGAATATACAGCGAGAAGCCTTAACTTGAAAGGAGGCCGGATTTCCTTGCAGTGGCTTGAACACAGGCTCGTCTTTCATCTCACAACATGAAGGGATGTCTGAATCCCCTGTGGAGACCTTAGAGAAAGCCCTAGGTCCTTGCCTCATTTTGACGGAATGCCTCACATCCCGCTGACTCCTCGAGAGGTATGCGGAGTTCATTACTAGAAAAGGTGATGACGCCTCACTCCTCTTGAATACTGATAGGAATCCCAAAATCCCTGTGGCTACAGGAAAGGGTCCTTGGGTGCCCTGCCTCACCTCGAGAAGCGTCCCTTTTGCCCTGCCAAGCCTCGAAGAGATTCCTGAGGTGTCCCTCGTTACTAGACAGGAGTCCTGACGTCACTGAAGAAACTCGTGTTTTGAAGGGCCATCCCCTCCGTAAGTCGAGAACATACCCCAGGTCCACGCCGCAACTCGAGAAAAACCATGAGACTTCCCCCTAGAGGCGAGATGAGAGCCCATTCCCCTGCAGTGCATGCAGAGCTATTCAGTGATTCCATTCAAACAAGTCAGGAGCTTCGACTTGCTTAATGGATCTCGAGACGGTCCTCAAGAACACTGTCACCAGTCTAGACGGACCCTGAGGTCACTCCAGCAACGCAAAGCAGCTCCATGTGCCCAAAATCAACTCGAGATGAGGCCCGATTCCCCTGCATTGACTCCAGAGCCATTCCCCGTTCCCCATTCAACACGACCGGTTGCTCGACTTCCTTCAGGCAACTCCAGAGATGCCCCTAGAACACTGTCCCAAGACTAGAGGAACACCAACTTCAGCACAGCAACTCGAGGAATGCTCCGTGTACCGCAAATCTTCTCGAGATGAGAGCTGATTCCCTCGCTTAGGCTCAAGACGTATGCCAACTTTCCGGAAGCCCCTCAGGAGGAGGCTTCTCTCAGCAATAGGTATGAGGGAGGGACCCCGAGTTTGCTGCCTCAAGCGGAATATACAGCGAGAAGCCCTAACTTGAAAGGAGGACGGATTTCCTTGCAGTGGCTTGAATACAGGCTCGTCTTTCATCTCACAACATGAAGGGATGTCTGAATCCCCTGTGGAGACCTTAGAGAAAGCCCTAGGTCCCTGTCTCATTTTGACGGAATGCCTCACATCCCGCAGACTCCTCGAGAGGAACGCGAAGTTCATTACTTCAAAAGGTGATGACGCCTGACTCCTCTTGAATACTGATAGGAATCCCAAAATCCCTGTGGCTACTGGAAAGGGTCCTTGGGTTCCCTGCCTCACCTCGAGAAGCGTCCCTTTTGCCCTGCCAAGCCTCGAAGAGATTCCTGAGGTGTCCCTCGTTACTAGACAGGAGTCCTGACGTCACTGAAGAAACTCGTGTTTTGAAGGGCCATCCCCTCCGTAAGTCGAGAACATACCCCAGTTCCCGGCCGCAACTCGAGAAAAACCATGAGACTTCCCCCTAGAGGCGAGATGAGAGCCCATTCCCCTGCAGTGCATGCAGAGCTATTCCGTGATCCCATTCAAACAAGTCAGGAGCTTCGACTTGCTTAATGGATCTCGAGACAGTCCCCAAGAACACTGTCACCAGTCTAGACGGACCCTGAGGTCCCCCCAGCAACGCAAAGCAGCACCATGTGCCCCAAATCACCTCGAGATGAGGCCCGATTCCCCTGCATTGACTCCAGAGCCATTCCAAGTTCCCCATTCAACACGACCGGTGGCTCGACTTCCTTCAGTCAACTCCAGAGATGCCCCGAGAACACTGTCCCAAGACTAGAGAAACACCAACTTCAGCATAGCAACCCGAGGAATGCTCCGTGTACCCCAAATCGTCTCGAGATGAGAGATGATTCCCTGGCTTAGGATCAAGACGTATGCCAACGTTCCGGAAGCACCTCAGGAGGAGGCTTCTCTCAGCAATAGGTATGAGGGAGGGACCCCGAGTTTGCTACCTCAAGCGGAATATACAGCGAGAAGCCCTAACTTGAAAGGAGGCCGGATTTCCTTGCAGTGGCTTGAGTACAGGCTCGTCTTTCATCTCACAACATGAAGGGATGTCTGAATCCCCTGTGGAGACCTTAGAGAAAGCCCTAGGTCCCTGCCTCATTTTGACGGAATGCTTCACATCCCGCTGACTCCTCGAGAGGTAGGCGGAGTTCATTACTTCAAAAGGTGACGATGCCTGACTCCTCTTGAATACTGATAGGAATCCCAAAATCCCTGTGGCCACAGGAAAGGGTCCTTGGGTACCCTGCCTCACCTTGAGAAGCGTCCCTTTTGCCCTGCCAAGCCTCGAAGAGATCCTGAGGTGTCCCTCGTTACTAGACAGGAGTCCTGACTTCACTGAAGAAACTCGTGTTTTGAAGGGCCATACCCGCCGTAAGTCGAGAACATACCCCAGGTCCCCGCCGCAACTCGAGAAAAACCATGAGACTTCCCCCTAGAGGCGAGATGAGGCCCCATTCCCCTGCAGTGCATGCAGAGCTATTCCGTGATCCCATTCAAACAAGTCAGGAGCTTCGACTTGCTTAATGGATCTCGAGACAGTCCCGAAGAACACTGTCACCAGTCTAGACGGACCCTGAGGTCACCCCAGCAACGCAAAGCAGCTCCATGTGCCCCAAATCAACTCGAGATGAGGCCCGATTCCCCTGCATTGACTCCAGAGCCATTCCCCGTTCCACATTCAACACGACCAGTGGCTCGACTTCCTTCAGGCAACTCCAGAGATGCCCCAAGAACACTCTCCGAAGACTAGAGGAAAGCCAACTTCAGCACAGCAACTCGAGGAATGCTCCGTGTACCCCAAATCATCTCGAGATGAGAGCTGATTCCCTGGCTTCGGATCAAGTCGTATGCCAACTTTCCGGAAGCACCTCAGGAGGAGGCTTCTCTCAGCAATAGGTATGAGGGAGGGACCCTGAGTTTGCTGCCTCAAGGGGAATATACAGCGAGAAGCCCTAACTTGAAAGGAGGCCGGATTTCCTTGCAGTGGCTTGAATACAGGCTCGTCTTTCATCTCACAACATGAAGGGATGTCTGAATCCCCTGTGGAGACCTTAGAGAAAGCCCTAGGCCCCTGCCTCATTTTGACGGAATGCTTCACATCCCGCTGACTCCTCGAGAGGTAGGCGGAGTTCATTACTTCAAAAGGTGACGATGCCTGATTCCTCTTGAATACTGATAGGAATCCCAAAATCCCTGTGGCTACAGGAAAGGGTCCTTGGGTACCCTGCCTCACCTTGAGAAGTGTCCCTTTTGCCCTGCCAAGCCTCGAAGAGATTCCTGAGGTGTCCCCCGTTACTAGACAGGAGTCCTGACGTCACTGAAGAAACTCGTGTTTTGAAGGGCCATCCCCTCCGTAAGTCGAGAACATACCCCAGTTCCTGGCCGCAACTCGAGAAAAACCATGGGACTTCCCCCTAGAGGCGAGATGAGGCCCCATTCCCTGCAGTGCATGCAGAGCTATTCCGTGATCCCATTCAAACAAGTCAGGAGCTTCGACTTGCTTAATGGATCTCGATACAGTCCCAAAGAACACTGTCACCAGTCTAGACGGACCCTGAGGTCACCCCAGCAACGCAAAGCAGCTCCATGTGCCCCAAATCAACTCGAGATGAGGCCCGATTCCCCTGCATTTACTCCAGAGCCATTCCCCGTTCCACATTCAACACGACCAGTGGCTCGACTTCCTTCAGGCAACTCCAGAGATGCCCCGAGAACACTGTCCCAAGACTAGAGGAAAACCAACTTCAGCACAGCAACTCGAGGAATGCTCTGTGTACCCCAAATCGTCTCGAGGTGAGAGCTGATTCCCTGGCTTAGGAACAAGATGTATGCCAAATTTCCGGAAGCACCTCAGGAGGAGGCTTCTCTCAGCAATAGTTATGAGGGAGGGACCCCGAGTTTGCTGCCTCAAGCGGAATATACAGCGAGAAGCCCTAACTTGAAAGGAGGCCGGATTTCCTTGCAGTGGCTTGAATACAGGCTCGTCTTTCATCTCACAACATGAAGGGATGTCTGAATCCGCTGTGGAAACCTTAGAGAAATCCCTAGGTCCCTGCCTCATTTTGACGGAATGCCTCACATCCCGCTGACTCCTCGAGAGGTACGCGGAGTTCATTTCTTCAAAAGGTGATGAATCCTGACTCCTCTTGAATACTGATAGGAATCCCAAAATCCCTGTGGCTTCTGGAAAGGGTCCTTGGGTGCCCTGCCTCACCTCGAGAAACGTCCCTTTTGCCCTGCCAAGCCTCGAAGAGATTCCTGAGGTGTCCCTCGTTACTAGACAGGAGTCCTGACGTCACTGAAGAAACTCGTGTTTTGAAGGGCCATCCCCTCCGTAAGTCGAGAACATACCCCAGGTCCCAGCCGCAACTCGAGAAATACCATGAGACTTCCCCCTAGAGGCGAGATGAGAGCCCATTCCCCTGCAGTGCATGCAGAGCTATTCAGTGATCCCATTCAAACAAGTCAGGAGCTTCGACTTGCTTAATGGATCTCGAGACAGTCCCCAAGAACACTGTCACCAGTCTAGACGGACCCTGAGGTCACTCCAGCAACGCAAAGCAGCTCCATGTTCCCCAAATCAACTCGAGATGAGGCCCGATTCCCCTGCATTGACTCCAGAGCCATTCCCCGTTCCCCATACATCACGACCGGTTGCTCGACTTCCTTCAGGCAACTCCAGAGATGCCCCGAGAACACTGTCCCAAGACTAGAGGAACACCAACTTCAGCACAGCAACTCGAGGAATGCTCCGTGTACCGCAAATCGTCTCGAGATGAGAGCTGATTCCCTCGCTTAGGCTCAAGACGTATGCCAACTTTCCGGAAGCCCCTCAGGAGGAGGCTTCTTTCAGCAATAGGTATGAGGGAGGGACCCCGAGTTTGCTGCCTCAAGGGGAATATACAGCGAGAAGCCCTAACTTGAAAGGAGGCCGGATTTCCTTGCAGTGGCTTGAATACAGGCTCGTCTTTCATCTCACAACATGAAGGGTTATCTGAATCCCCTGTGGAGACCTTAGAGAAAGCCCTAGGTCCCTGCCTCATTTTGACGGAATGCCTCACATCCCGCTGACTCCTCGAGAGGTATGCGGAGTTCATTACTAGAATAGGTGATGACGCCTCACTCCTCTTGAATACTGATAGGAATCCCAAACTTACTGTGGCTACAGGAAAGGGTCCTTGGGTGCCCTGCCTCACCTCAAGAAGCCTTCCTTTTCCCTGCCAAGCCTCGAAGAGATTCCTGAAATGTCCCTCGTTACTATACAGGAGTCCTGACGTCACTGAAGAAACTCGTGTTTTGAAGGGCCATCCCCTCCGTAAGTCGAGAACATACCCCAGGTCCCCGCCGCAACTCGAGAAAAACCATGAGACTTCCCCCTAGAGGCGAGATGAGAGCCCATTCCCCTGCAGTGCATGCAGAGCTATTCAGTGATCCCATTCAAACTAGTCAGGAGCTTCGACTTGCTTAATGGATCTCGAGACAGTCCCCAAGAACACTGTCACCAGTCTAGACGGACCCTGAGGTCACTCCAGCAACGAAAAGCAGCTCCATGTGCCCCAAATCAACTCGAGATGAGGCCCGATTCCCCTGCATTGACTCCAGAGCCATTCTCCGTTCCCTATTCAACACGACCGGTTGCTCGACTTCCTTCAGGCAACTCCAGAGATGCCCCGAGAACACTGTCCCAAGACTAGAGGAACACCAACTTCAGCACAGCAACTCGAGGAATGCTCCGTGTACCGCAAATCGTCTCGAGATGAGAGCTGATTCCCTCGCTTAGGCTCAAGACATATGCCAACTTTCCGGAAGCACCTCAGGAGGAGGCTTCTCTCAGCAATAGGTATGAGGGAGGGACCCCGAGTTTGCTGCCTCAAGGGGAATATACAGCGAGAAGCCCTAACTTGAAAGGAGGCCGGATTTCCTTGCAGTGGCTTGAATACAGGCTCGTCTTTCATCTCACAACATGAAGGGATGTCTGAATCCCCTGTGGAGAAGTTAGAGAAAGCCCTAGGTCCCTGCCTCATTTTGCCGGAATGCCTCACATCCCGCTGACACCTCGACAGGCACGCAGAGTTCGTTGCTTCAAAAGGTGACGATGCCTGACTCCTCTTGAATACTGATAGGAATCCCAAAATCCCTGTGGCTACTGGAAAGGGTCCTTGGGTGCCCTGCCTCACCTCGAGAAGCGTCCCTTTTGCCCTGCCAAGCCTCGAAGAGATTCCTGAGGTGTCCCTCATTACTAGACAGGAGTCCTGACGTCACTGAAGAAACTCGTGTTTTGAAGGGCCATCCCCGCCGTAAGTCGAGAACATACCCCAGGCCCCCGCCTCACCTCGAGAAAAACCATGAGACTTCCCCCTAGAGGCGAGATGAGGCCCCATTCCCCTGCAGTGGATGCAGAGCTATTCCGTGATCCCATTCAAACAAGTCAGGAGCTTCGACTTGCTTAATGGATCTCGAGACATTCCCCAACAACACTGTCACCAGTCTAGACGGACCCTGAGGTCACCCCAGCAACGCAAAGCAGCTCCATGTGCCCCAAATCAACTCGAGATGAGGCCCGATTCCCCTGCATTGACTCCAGAGCCATTCCCCGTTCCCCATTCAACACGACCGGTGGCTCGACTTCCTTCAGGCAACTCCAGAGATGCCCCGAGAACACTGTCCCAAGACTAGAGGAACACCAACTTCAGCTCAGCAACTCGAGGAATGCTCCGTGTACCCCAAATCGTCTCGAGATGAGAGCTGATTCCCTGGCTTAGGATCAAGCCATATGCCAACTTTCCGGAAGCACCTCAGGAGGAGGCTTCTGTCAGCAGTAGGTATGAGGGAGGGACACCGAGTTTGCTGCCACAAGGGGAATATACAGCGAGAAGCCCTAACTTGAAAGGATGCCGGATTTCCTTGCAGTGGCTTGAATACAGGCTCGTCTTTCATCTCACAACATGAAGGGATGTCTGAATCCCCTGTGGAGACCTTAGAGAAAGCCCTAGGTCCCTGCCTCATTTTGACGGAATGCCTCACATCCCGCTGTCTCCTCGAGAGGTACGCGGAGTTCATTACTTCAAAAGGTGATGACGCCTGACTCCTCTTGAATACTGATAGGAATCCCAAAATCCCTTTGGCTTCTGGAAAGGGTCCTTGGGTGCCCTGCCTCACCTCGAGAAGCGTCTCTTTTGCCCTGCCAAGCCTCAAAGAGATTCCTGAGGTGTCCCTTGTTACTAGACAGGAGTCCTGACGTCACTGAAGAAACTCGTGTTTTGAAGGGCCATCCCCGCCGTAAGTCGAGAACATACCCCAGGTCCCCGCCGCAACTCGAGTAAAACCATGAGACTACCCCGTAGAGGCGAGATGAGGCCCCTTTCCCCTGCAGTGCATGCAGAGCTATTCCGTGATCCCGTTCAAACAAGTCAGGAGCTTCGACTTGCTTAATGGATCTCGAGACAGTCCCCAAGAACACTATCACCAGTCTAGACGGACCCTGAGGTCACCCCAGCAACGCAAAGCAGCTCCATGTGCCCCAAATCAACTCGAGATGAGGCCCGATTCCCCTGCATTGACTCCAGAGCCATTCCCCGTTCCCCATTCAACAAGACCGGTGACTCGACTTCCTTCAGGCAACTCCAGAGATGCCCCGAGAACACTGTCCCAAGTCTAGAGGAACACCAACTTCAGCACAGCAACTCGAGGAATGCTCCGTGTACCCCAAATCGTCTCGAGATGAGAGCTGATTCCCTGGCTTAGGCTCAAGACGTATGCCAACTTTCCGGAAGCACCTCAGGAGGAGGTTTCTCTCAGCAGTAGGTATGAGGGAGGGACCCCGAGTTTGCTGCCTCAAGGAGAATATACAGCGAGAAGCCCTAACTTGAAAGGAGGCCGGATTTCCTTGCAGTGGCTTGAATACAGGCTCGTCTTTCATCTCACAACATGAAGGGATGTCTGAATCCGCTGTGGAGACCTTAGAGAAAGCCCTAGGTCCCTGCCTCATTTTGACGGAATGCCTCGCATCCCGCTGACTCCTCGAGAGGTACGCGGAGTTCATTACTTCAAAAGGTGATGACTCCTGACTCCTCTTGAATACTGATAGGAATCCCAAAATCCCTGTGGCTTCTGGAAAGGGTCCTTGGGTGCCCGGCCTCACCTCGAGAAGCGTCCCTTTTGCCCTGAAAAGCCTCGAAGAGATTCCTGAGGTGTCCCTTGTTACTAGACAGGAGTCCTAACTTCACGGAAGAAACTCGTGTTTTGAAGGGCCATCCCCGCCTTAAGTCGAGAACATACCCCAGGTCCCCGCCGCAACTAGAGAAAAACCATGAGACTTCCCCCTAGAGGCGACATGAGGCCCCATTCCCCTGTAGTGCATGCAGAGCTATTCCGTGATCCCATTCAAACAAGTAAGGAGCTTCGACTTGCTTAATGGATCTCGAGACAGTCCCCAAGAACACTATCACCAGTCTAGACGGACCCTGAGGTCCCCCAGCAACGCAAAGCAGCCCCATGTGCCCTAAATCACCTAGAGATGAGGCCCAATTCCCCTGCATTGACTCCAGAGCCATTCCAAGTTCCCCATTCAACACGACCGGTGGCTCGACTTCCTTCAGGCAACTCCAGAGATGGCCCGAGAACACTGTCCCAAGACTAGAGGAACACCAACCTCAGCACAGCAACTCGAGGAATGCTCTGTGTACCCCAAATCGTCTCGAGGTGAGAGCTGATTCCCTGGCTTAGGAACAAGATGTATGCCAAATTTCCGGAAGCACCTCAGGAGGAGGCTTCTCTCAGCAATAGTTATGAGGGAGGGACCCCGAGTTTGCTGCCTCAAGCGGAATATACAGCGAGAAGCCCTAACTTGAAAGGAGGCCGGATTTCCTTGCAGTGGCTTGAATACAGGGTCGTCTTTCATCTCACAACATGAAGGGATGTCTGAATCCGCTGTGGAAACCTTAGAGAAATCCCTAGGTCCCTGCCTCATTTTGACGGAATGCCTCACATCCCGCTGACTCCTCGAGAGGTACGCGGAGTTCATTTCTTCAAAAGGTGATGAATCCTGACTCCTCTTGAATACTGATAGGAATCCCAAAATCCCTGTGGCTTCTGGAAAGGGTCCTTGGGTGCCCTGCCTCACCTCGAGAAACGTCCCTTTTGCCCTGCCAAGCCTCGAAGAGATTCCTGAGGTGTCCCTTGTTACTAGACAGTAGTCCTGACTTCACTGAAGAAACTCGTGTTTTGAAGGGCCATCCCCGTCGTAAGTCGAGAACATACCCCAGGTCCCCGCCGCAACTCGAGAAAAACCATGAGACTTCCAATTAGATGGGACATGAGGCCTCATTCCCCTGCAGTGCATGCAGAGCTATTCCGTGATCCCATTCAAACAAGTCAGGAGCTTCGACTTGCTTAATGGATCTCGAGACAGTCCCCAAGAACACTGTCACCAGTCTAGACGGACCCTGAGGTCCCCCCAGCAACGCAAAGCAGCTCCATGTGCCCCAAATCACCTCGAGATGAGGCCCAATTCCCCTGCATTGACTCCAGAGCCATTCCAAGTTCCCCATTCAACACGACCGGTGGCTAGACTTCCTTGAGGCAACTCCAGAGATGCCCCGAGAACACTGTCCAAAGACTAGAGGAACACCAACTTCAGCACAGCAACTCGAGGAATGCTCCGTGTACCCCAAATCGTCTCGAGATGAGAGCTGATTCCCTCGCTTATGCTCAAGAGGTATGTCAAATTTCCAGTAGCACCTCAGGAGGAGGCTTTTCTCAGCAATAGGTATGTGGGAGAGATCTCGAGTTTGCTGCCTCAAGGGGAATACACAGCGAGAAGCCCTAACTTGAAAGGAGGCCGGATTTCCTTGAAGTGGCTTGAATACAGGCTCGTCTTTCATCTCACAACATGACGGGATGTCTGAATCCACTGTGGAGACCTTAGAGAAAGCCCTAGGTCCCTGCCTCATTTTGAGGGAATGCCTCACATCCCACTGACACATCGAGAGGCACGCGGAGTTCATTGCTTCAAAAGTTGATGATGCCTGACTCCTCTTGAATACTGATAGGAATCCCAAAATCCCTGTGGCTTCTGGAAAGGGTCCTTGGGTGCCCTGCTTCACCTCGAGAAGCGTCCCTTTTGCCCTGCCAAGCCTCGAAGAGATTCCTGAGGTGTCCCTTGTTACTAGACAGGAGTCCTGACTTCACTGAAGAAACTCCTGTTTTGAAGGGCCATCCCCGTCGTAAGTCGAGAACATACCCCAGGTCCCCGCCGCAACTCGAGAAAAACCATGAGACTTCCAACTAGAGGGGACATGAGGCCCCATTCCCCTGCAGTGCATGCAGAGCTATTCCGTGATCCCATTCAAACAAGTCAGGAGCTTCGACTTGCTTAATGGATCTCGAGACAGTCCTCAAGAACACTGTCACCAGTCTAGACGGACCCTGAGGTCCCCCCAGCAACGCAAAGCAGCTCCATGTGCCCCAAATCAACTCGAGATGAGGCCCGATTCCCCTGCATTGACTCCAGAGCCATTCCAAGTTCCCCATTCAACACGACCGGTGGCTCGACTTCTTCAGGATTCTCCAGAGATGCCCCGAGAACACTGTCCAAAGACTAGAGGAACACCAACTTCAGCACAGCAACTCGAGGAATGCTCCGTGTACCCCAAATCGTCTCGAGATGAGAGCTGATTCCCTGGCTTATGCTCAAGAGGTATGTCAAATTTCCAGTAGAACCTCAGGAGGAGGCTTCTCTCAGCAATAGGTATGTGGGAGAGATCTCGAGTTTGCTGCCTCAAGGGGAATACACAGCGAGAAGCCCTAACTTGAAAGGAGGCCGGATTTCCTTGAAGTGGCTTGAATACAGGCTCGTCTTTCATCTCACAACATGAAGGGATGTCTGAATCCACTGTGGAGACCTTAGAGAAAGCCCTAGTTCCCTGCCTCATTTTGAGGGAATGCCTCACATCCCACTGACACATCGAGAGGCACGCGGAGTTCATTGCTTCAAAAGTTGACGATGCCTGACTCCTCTTGAATACTGATAGGAATCCCAAAATCCCTGTGGATAGTGGAAAGGGTCCCTGGGTGCCCTGCCTCACCTCGAGAAGCATCCCTTTTGCCCTGCCAAGCCTCGAAGAGATTCCTGAGGTGTCCCTCGTTACTAGCGAGGAGTCCTGACGTCACTGAAGAAACTCGTGTTTTGAAGGGCCATCCCCGCCGTAAGTCGAGAACATACCCCAGGTCATCGCCGCAACTCGAGAAAAACCATGAGACTTCCCCCTAGCGGCGAGATGAGGCCCCATTCCCCTGCAGTGCATGCAGAGCTATTCCGTGATCCCATTCAAACGAGTCAGGAGCTTCGACTTGCTTAATGGATCACGAGACAGTCCCCAAGAACACTGTAACCAGTCTAGACGGACCCTGAGGTCACCCAAGCAACGCAAAGCAGCACCATGTGCCCCAAATCAACTCGAGATGAGGCCCGATTCCCCTGCATTGACTCCAGAGCCATTCCAAGTTCCCCATTCAACACGACCGGTGGCTCGACTTCCTTCAGGAAACTCCATAGATGCCCCGAGAACACTGTCCCAAGACTAGAGGAACACCAACTTCAGCACAGCAATGCGAGGAATGCTCCGTGTACCCCAAATCGTCTCGAGGTGAGAGCTGATTCCCTGGCTTAGGATCAAGACGTATGCCAACTTTCCGGAAGCACCTCAGGAGGAGGCTTCTCTCAGCAATAGTTATGAGGGAGGGACCCCGAGTTTGCTGCCTCAAGCGGAATATACAGCGAGAAGCCCTAACTTGAAAGGAGGCAGGATTTCCTTGCAGTGGCTTGAATACAGGCTCGTCTTTCATCTCACAACATGAAGGGATGTCTGAATCCGCTGTGGAGACCTTAGAGAAATCCCTGGTCCCTGCCTCATTTTGACGGAATGCCTCACATCCCGCTGACTCCTCGAGAGGTACGCGGAGTTCATTACTTCAAAAGGTGATGAATCCTGACTCCTCTTGAATACTGATAGGAATCCCAAAATCCCTGTGGCTACTGGAAAGGGTCTTTGGGTGCCCTGCCTCACCTCGAGAAGCGTCCCTTTTGCCCTGCCAAGCCTCGAAGAGATTCCTGAGGTGTCCCTCGTTACTAGACAGGAGTCCTGACGTCACTGAAGAAACTCGTGTTTTGAAGGGCCATCCCCTCCGTAAGTCGAGAACATAACCCAGGTCACCGCCGCAACTCAGGAAAAACCATGAGAATTCCCCCTAGATGCGAGATGAGGCCCCATTCCCCTGCAGTGCATGCAGAGCTATTCTGTGATCCCATTCAAACAAGTCTGGAGCTTCGACTTGCTTAATGGATCACGAGACAGTCCCCAAGAACACTGTCACCATTCTAGACGGACCTGAGGTCACCCCAGCAACGCAAAGCAGCTCCATGTGCCTCAAATCAACTCGAGATGAGGCCCGATTCCCCTGCATTGACCCCAGAGCCATTCCCCGATCCCCATTCAACACGACCGGTGGCTCGACTTCCTTCAGGCAACTCCAGAGATGCCCCGAGAGCACTGTCCCAAGACTAGAGGAACACCAACCTCAGCACAGCAACTCGAGGAATGCTCCGTGTACCCCAAATCGTCTCGAGATGAGAGCTGATTCCCTGGCTTAGAATCAAGACTTATGCCAACTTTCCGGAAGCACCTCAGGAGGAGGCTTCTCTCAGCAATAGGTATGTGGGAGGGACCCCGAGTTTGCTGCCTCAAGGGGAATATACAGTGAGAAGCCTTAACTTGAAAGGAGGCCAGATTTCCTTGCAGTGGCTTGAATACAGGCTCGTCTTTCATCTCACAACATGAAGGGATGTCTGAATCCCCTGTGGAGACCTTAGAGAAAGCCCTAGTTCCCTGCCTCATTTTGACGGAATGCCTCACATCCCGCTGACACCTCGAGAGGCACGAGGAGTTCATTGCTTCAAAAGGTGACGATGCCTGACTCCTCTTGAATACTGATAGGAATCCCAAAATCCCTGTGGCTACAGGAAAGGGTCCTTGGGTGCCCTGCCTCACCTCGAGAAGCGTCCCTTTTGCCCTGCCAAGCCTCGAAGAGATTCCTGAGGTGTCCCTCGTTACTAGACAGGAGTCCTGATGTCACTGAAGAAACTCGTGTTTTGAAGGGCTATCCCCTCCGTAAGTCGAGAACATACCCCATTGCCCCGCCGCAGCTGGAGAAAAACCATGAGACTTCCCCCTAGAGGCGAGATGAGGCCCCATTCCCCTGCAGTGCATGCAGAGCTATTCCGTGATCCCATTCAAACTAGTCAGGAGCTTCGACTTGCTTAATGGATCACGAGACAGTCCCCAAGAACACTGTCACCAGTCTAGACGGACCCTGAGGTCACCCCAGCAACGCAAAGCAGCTCCATGTGCCCCAAATCAACTCGAGATGAGTCCCGATTCCCCTGCATTGACTCCAGAGCCATTCCCCGTTCCCCATTCAACACGACCGGTGGCTCGACTTCCTTCAGGCAACTCCAGAGATGCCCCGAGAACACTGTCCCAAGTCTAGAGGAACACCAACTTCAGCACAGCAACTCGAGGAATGCTCCATGTACCCCAAATCGTCTCGAGATGAGAGCTGATTCCCTGGCTTAGGCTCAAGACGTATGAAAACTTTCCAGAAGCACCTCAGGAGGAGGCTTCTCTCAGCAATAGGTATGTGGGAGGGACCCCGAGTTTGCTGCCTCAAGGGGAATATACAGCGAGAAGCCGTAACTTGAAAGGAGGCCAGATTTCCTTGCAGTGGCTTGAATACAGGCTCGTCTTTCATCTCACAACATGAAGGGATGTCTGAATCCCCTGTGGAGACCTTAGAGAAAGCCCTAGTTCCCTGCCTCATTTTGACGGAATGCCTCACACCCCGCTGACACCTCGAGAGGCACGAGGAGTTCATTGCTTCAAAAGGTGACGATGCCTGACTCCTCTTGAATACTGATAGGAATCCCAAAATCCCTGTGGCTACTGGAAAGGGTCCTTGGGTGCCCTGCCTCACCTCGAGAAGCGTCCCTTTTGCCCTGCCAATCCTCGAAGAGATACCTGAGGTGTTCCTCGTTACTAGACAGGAGTCCTGACGTCACTGAAGAAACTCGTGTTTTGAAGGGCCATCCCGGCTGTAAGTCGAGAATATACCCCAGGTCCCCACAGCAACTCGAAAAAAACCATGAGACTTCCCCCTAGAGGCGAGATGAGGCCCCATTCCCCTGCAGTGCATGCAGAGCTATTCCGTGATCCCATTCAAACAAGTCAGGAGCTTCGACTTGCTTAATGGATCTCGAGACAGTCCCCAAGAACACTGTCACCAGTCTAGACTGACCCTGAGCTCACCCCATCAAAGCAAAGCAGCTCCATGTGCCCCAAATCAACTCGAGATGAGGCCCGATTCCCCTGTATTGACTCCAGAGCCTTTCCCCGTTCCGCATTTAACACGACCGGCGGTTCGACTTCCTTCAGGCAACTCCAGAGATGCCCCGAGAACACTGTCCCAAGACTAGAGGAACACCAACTTCAGCACAGCAACTCGAGGAATGCTCCGTGTACTCCAAATCGTCTCGAGATGAGAGCTGATTCCCTGGCTTAGGCTCAAGACGTATGCCAACTTTCCGGAAGCACCTCAGGAGGAGGCTTCTCTCAGCAATAGGTATGTGGGAGGGACCCCGAGTTTGCTGCCTCAAGGGAAATATACAGCGAGAAGCCCTAACTTGAAAGGAGGCCAGATTTCCTTGCAGTGGCTTGAATACAGGCTCGTCTTTCATCTCACCACATGAAGGGATGTCTGAATCCCCTGTGGAGACGTTAGAGAAAGCCTAGGTCCCTGCCTCATTTTGACGGAATGCCTCACCTCCCGCTGACACCTCGAGAGGCACGCGGAGTTCATTGCTTCAAAAGGTGACGATGCCTGACTACTCTTGAATACTGATAGGAATCCCAAAATCCCTGTGGCTACAGGAAAGGGTCCTTGGGTGCCCTGCCTCACTTCGAGAAGCGTCCCTTTTGCCCTGCCAAGCCTCGAAGAGATTCCTGAGGTGTCCCTCGTTACTAGACAGGAGTCCTGACGTCACTGAAGAAACTCGTGTTTTGAAGGGCCATCCCCTCCGTAAGTCGAGAACATACCCCAGGTCCCCACCGCAACTCGAGAAAAACCATGAGACTTCCCCCTAGAGGCGAGATGAGAGCCCATTCCCCTGCAGTGCATGCAGAGCTATTCAGTGATCCCATTCAAACAAGTCAGGAGCTTCGACTTGCTTAATGGATCTCGAGACAGTCCCCAAGAACACTGTCACCAGTCTAGACGGACACTGAGGTCACTCCAGCAACGCAAAGCAACTCCATGTGCCCCAAATCAACTCGAGATGAGGCCCGATTCCCCTGCATTGACTCCAGAGCCATTCCCCGTTCCCCATTCAACACGACCGGTTGCTCGAATTCCTTCAGGCAACTCCAGAGTTGCCCCGAGAACACTGTCCCAAGACTAGAGGAACACCAACTTCAGCACAGCAACTCGAGGAATGCTCCGTGTACCGCAAATCGTCTCGAGATGAGAGATGATTCCCTCGCTTAGGCTCAAGACGTATGCCAACTTTCCGGAAGCACCTCAGGGGGAGGCTTCTCTCAGCAATAGGTATGAGGGAGGGACCCCGAGTTTTCTGCCTCAAGGGGAATATACAGCGAGAAGCCCTAACTTGAAAGGAGGCCGGATTTCCTTGCAGTGGCTTGAATACAGGCTCGTCTTTCATCTCACAACATGAAGGGATGTCTGAATCCCCTGTGGAGAACTTCGAGAAAGCCCTAGGTCCCTGCCTCATTTTGACGGAATGCCTCACATCCCGCTGACTCCTCGAGAGGTATGCGGAGTTCATTACTTCAAAAGGTGATGACGCCTGACTCCTCTTGAATACTGATAGGAATCCCAAAATCCCTGTGGCTACTGGAAAGGATCCTTGGGTTCCCTGCCTCACCTCGAGAAGCGTCCCTTTTGCCCTGCCAAGCCTCGAAGAGATTCCTGAGGTGTCCCTCGTTACTAGACAGGAGTCCTGACGTCACTGAAGAAACTCGTGTTTTGAAGGGCCATCCCCGCCGTAAGTCGAGAACACAGCCCAGGCCCCCGCCGCAACTCGACTAAAACCATGAGACTTCCCCATAGAGGCGAGATGAGGCCCCATTCCCCTGCAGTGCATGCAGAGCTATTCAGTGATCCCATTCAAACAAGTCAGGAGCTTCGACTTGCTTAATGGATCTCGAGACAGTCCCCAAGAACACTGTCACCAGTCTAGACGGACCCTGAGGTCACCACAGCAACGCAAAGCAGCTCAATGTGCCCCAAATCAACTCGAGATGAGGCCCGATTCCCCTGCATTGACTCCAGAGCCATTCCCCGTTCCCCATTCAACACGACCGGTGGCTCGACTTCCTTCAGGCAACTCCAGAGATGCCCCGAGAACACTGTCCCAAGACTAGAGGAACACCAACTTCAGCACAGCAACTCGAGGAATGCTCCGTGTACCGCAAATCGTCTCGAGATGAGAGCTGATTCCCTCGCTTAGGCTCAAGACGTATGCCAACTTTCCGGAAGCCCCTCAGGAGGAGGCTTCTTACAGCAATAGGTATGAGGGAGGAACCCCGAATTTGCTGCCTCAAGGGGAATATACAGCGAGAAGCCCTAACTTGAAAGGAGGCCGGATTTCCTTGCAGTGGCTTGAATACAGGCTCGTCTTTCATCTCACAACATGAAGGGTTATCTGAATACCCTGTGGAGACCTTAGAGAAAGCCCTAGGTCCCTGCCTCATTTTGACGGAATGCCTCACATCCCGCTGACTCCTCGAGAGGAACGCGGAGTTCATTACTTCAAAAGGTGATGACGCCTGACTCCTCTTGAATACTGATAGAAATCCCAAAATCCCTGTGGCTACTGGAAAGGGTCCTTGGGTGCCCTGCCTCACCTCGAGAAGCCTCCCTTTTGCCCTGCCAAGCCTCGAAGAGATTCCTGAGGTGTCCCTCGTTACTATACAGGAGTCCTGACGTCACTGAACAAACTCATGTTTTGAAGGGCCATCCCCTCCGTAAGTCGAGAACATACCCCAGGTCCACGCCGCAACTCGAGAAAAACCATGAGACTTCCCCCTAGAGGCGAGATGACAGCCCATTCCCCTGCAGTGCATGCACAGCTATTCAGTGATCCCATTCAAACAAGTCAGGAGCTTCGACTTGCTTAATGGATCTCGAGACAGTCCCCAAGAACACTGTCACCAGTCTAGACGGACCCTGAGGTCACTCCAGCAACGCAAAGCAGCTCCATGTGCCCCAAATCAACTCGAGATGAGGCCCGATTCCCCTGCATTGACTCCAGAGCCATTCCCCGTTCCCTATTCAATATGACCGGTTGCTCGACTTCATTCAGGCAACTCCAGAGATGCCCCGAGAACACTGTCCCAAGACTAGAGGAACACCAACTTCAGCACAGCAACTCGAGGAATGCTCCGTGTACCGCAAATCCTCTCGAGATGAGAGCTGATTCCCTCGCTTAGGCTCAAGACGTATGCCAACTTTCCGGAAGCACCTCAGGAGGAGGCTTCTCTCAGCAATAGGTATGAGGGAGGGACCCCGAGTTTGCTGCCTCAAGGGGAATATACAGCGAGAAGCCCTAACTTGAAAGGAGGCCGGATTTCCTTGCAGTGGCTTGAATACAGGCTCGTCTTTCATCTCACAACATGAAGGGATGTCTGAATCCCCTGTGGAGACCTTAGAGAAAGCCCTAGGTCCCTGCCTCCTTTTGACGGAATGCCTCACATCACGCTCACACCTCGACAGGCACGCAGAGTTCATTGCTTCAAAAGGTGACGATGCCTGACTCCTCTTTTATACTGATAGGAATCCCAAAATACCTTGGCTACTGGAAAGGGTCCTTGGGTGCCCTGCCTCACCTCGAGAAGCGTCCCTTTTGCCCTGCCAAGCCTCGAAGAGATTCCTGAGGTGTCCCTCGTTTCTAGACAGGAGTCCTGACGTCACTGAAGAAACTCGTGTTTTGAAGGGCCATCCCCGCAGTAAGTCGAGAACATACCCCAGGCGCCAGCCTCACCTCGAGAAAAACCATGAGACTTCCCCCTAGAGGCGAGATGAGGCCCCATTCCCCTGCAGTGCATGCAGAGCTATTCCGTGATCCCATTCAAACAAGTCAGGAGCTTCGACTTGCTTAATGGATCTCGAGACATTCCCCAAGAACACTGTCACCAGTCTAGACGGACCCTGAGGTCACCCTAGCAACGCAAAGCAGCTCCATGTGCCCCAAATCAACTCGAGATGAGGCCCGATTCCCCTGCATTGACTCCAGAGCCATTCCCCGTTCCCCATTCAACACGACCGGTGGCTCGACTTCCTTCAGGCAACTCCAGAGATGCCCCGAGAACACTGTCCCAAGACTAGAGGAACACCAACTTCAGCACAGCAACTCGAGGAATGCTCCGTGTACCCCAAATCGTCTCGAGATGAGAGCTGATTCCCTGGCTTAGGATCAAGCCGTATGCCAACTTTCCGGAAGCACCTCAGGAGGAGGCTTCTCTCAGCAGTAGGTATGAGGGAGGGAAACCGAGTTTGCTGCCACAAGGGGAATATACAGCGAGAAACCCTAACTTGAAAGGAGGCCGGATTTCCTTGCAGTGGCTTGAATACAGGCTCGTCTTTCATCTCACAACATGAAGGGATGTCTGAATCCCCTGTGGAGACCTTAGAGAAAGCCCTAGGTCCCTGCCTCATTTTGACGGAATGCCTCACATCCCGCTGACTCCTCGAGAGGTACGCGGAGTTCATTACTTCAAAAGGTGATGACGCCTGACTCCTCTTGAATACTGATAGGAATCCCAAAATCCCTTTGGCTTCTGGAAAGGGTCCTTGGTTGCCCTGCCTCACCTCGAGAAGCGTCCCTTTTGCCCTGCCAAGCCTCAAAGAGATTCCTGAGGTGTCCCTTGTTACTAGACAGGAGTCCTGACGTCACTGAAGAAACTCGTGTTTTGAAGGGCCATCCCCGCCTTAAGTCGAGAACATACCCCAGGTCCCCACCGCAACTCGAGAAAAACCATGAGACTTCCCCCTAGAGGCGAGATGAGGCCCCATTCCCCTGCAGTGCATGCAGAGCTATTCCGTGATCCCGTTCAAACAAGTCAGGAGCTTCGACTTGCTTAATGGATCTCGAGACAGTCCCCAAGAACACTATCACCAGTCTAGACGGACCCTGAGGTCACCCCAGCAACGCAAAGCAGCTCCATGTGCCCCAAATCACCTCGAGATGAGGCCCGATTCCTCTGCATTGACTCCAGAGCCATTCCAAGTTCCCCATTCAACACGACCGGTTGCTCGACTTCCTTAAGGCAACTCCAGAGATGCCCCGAGAACACTGTCCCAAGACTAGAGGAACACCAACTTCAGCACAGCAACTCGAGGAATGCTCCGTGCACCCCAAATCGTCTCGAGATGAGAGCTGATTCCCTGGCTTAGGCTCAAGACCTATGCCAACTTTCCGGAAGCACCTCAGGAGGAGGCTTCTCTCAGCAGTAGGTATGAGGGAGTGACCCCGAGTTTGCTGCCTCAAGGGGAATATACAGCGAGAAGCCCTAACTTGAAAGGAGGCCGGATTTCCTTGCAGTGGCTTGAATACAGGCTAGTCTTTCATCTCACAACATGAAGGGATGTCTGAATCCCCTGTGGAGACCTTAGAGAAAGCCCTAGGTCCCTGCCTCATTTTGACGGAATGCCTCACATCCCGCTGACTCCTCGAGAGGTACGCGGAGTTCATTACTTCAAAAGGTGATGACTCCTGACTCCTCTTGAATACTGATAGGAATCCCAAAATTCCTGTGGCTACTGGAAAGGGTCCTGGGTGCCCTGCCTCACCTCGAGAAGCGTCCCTTTTGTCCTGCCAAGCCTCGAAGAGATTCCTGAGGTGTCCCTCGTTACTAGACAGGAGTCCTGACGTCACTGAAGAAACTCGTGTTTTGAAGGGCCATCCCCTCCGTAAGTCGAGAACATACCCCAGGTCCCAGCCGCAACTCGAGAAATACCATGAGACTTCCCCCTAGAGGCGAGATGAGAGCCCATTCCCCTGCAGTGCATGCAGAGCTATTCAGTGATCCCATTCAAACAAGTCAGGAGCTTCGACTTGCTTAATGGATCTCGAGACAGTCCCCAAGAACACTGTCACCAGTCTAGACGGACCCTGAGGTCACTCCAGCAACGCAAAGCAGCTCCATGTGCCCCAAATCAACTCGAGATGAGGCCCGATTCCCCTGCATTGACTCCAGAGCCATTCCCCGTTCCCCATTCATCACGACCGGTTGCTCGACTTCCTTCAGGCAACTCCAGAGATGCCCCGAGAACACTGTCCCAAGACTAGAGGAACACCAACTTCAGCACAGCAACTCGAGGAATGCTCCGTGTACCGCAAATCGTCTCGAGATGAGAGCTGATTCCCTCGCTTAGGCTCAAGACGTATGCCAACTTTCCGGAAGCCCCTCAGGAGGAGGCTTCTTTCAGCAATAGGTATGAGGGAGGGACCCCGAGTTTGCTGCCTCAAGGGGAATATACAGCGAGAAGCCCTAACTTGAAAGGAGGCCGGATTTCCTTGCAGTGGCTTGAATACAGGCTCGTCTTTCATCTCACAACATGAAGGGTTATCTGAATCCCCTGTGGAGACCTTAGAGAAAGCCCTAGGTCCCTGCCTCATTTTGACGGAATGCCTCACATCCCGCTGACTCCTCGAGAGGTATGCGGAGTTCATTACTAGAATAGGTGATGACGCCTCACTCCTCTTGAATACTGATAGGAATCCCAAAATCCCTGTGGCTTCTGGAAAGGGTCCTTGGGTGCCCGGCCTCACCTCGAGAAGCGTCCCTTTTGCCCTGAAAAGCCTCGAAGAGATTCCTGAGGTGTCCCTTGTTACTAGACAGGAGTCCTAACTTCACTGAAGAAACTCGTGTTTTGAAGGGCCATCCCCGCCGTAAATCGAGAACATACCCCAGGTCCCCGCCGCAACTCGAGAAAAACCATGAGACTTCCAACTAGAGGGGACATGAGGCCCCATTCCCCTGCAGTGCATGCAGAGCTATTCCGTGAACCCATTCAAACAAGTCAGGAGCTTCGACTTGCTTAATGGATCTCGAGACAGTCCCCAAGAACACTGTCACCAGTCTAGACGGACCCTGAGGTCCCCCCAGCAACGCAAAGCAGCTCCATGTGCCCCAAATCACCTCGAGATGAGGCCCGATTCCTCTGCATTGACTCCAGAGCCATTCCAAGTTCCCCATTCAACACGACCGGTTGCTCGACTTCCTTAAGGCAACTCCAGAGATGCCCCGAGAACACTGTCCCAAGACTAGAGGAACACCAACTTCAGCACAGCAACTCGAGGAATGCTCCGTGCACCCCAAATCGTCTCGAGATGAGAGCTGATTCCATGGCTTAGGCTCAAGACCTATGCCAACTTTCCGGAAGCACCTCAGGAGGAGGCTTCTCTCAGCAGTAGGTATGAGGGAGTGACCCCGAGTTTGCTGCCTCAAGGGGAATATACAGCGAGAAGCCCTAACTTGAAAGGAGGCCGGATTTCCTTGCAGTGGCTTGAATACAGGCTAGTCTTTCATCTCACAACATGAAGGGATGTCTGAATCCCCTGTGGAGACCTTAGAGAAAGCCCTAGGTCCCTGCCTCATTTTGACGGAATGCCTCACATCCCGCTGACTCCTCGAGAGGTACGCGGAGTTCATTACTTCAAAAGGTGATGACTCCTGACTCCTCTTGAATACTGATAGGAATCCCAAAATTCCTGTGGCTACTGGAAAGGGTCCTGGGTGCCCTGCCTCACCTCGAGAAGCGTCCCTTTTTTCCTGCCAAGCCTCGAAGAGATTCCTGAGGTGTCCCTCGTTACTAGACAGGAGTCCTGACGTCACTGAAGAAACTCGTGTTTTGAAGGGCCATCCCCTCCGTAAGTCGAGAACATACCCCATGTCCCAGCCGCAACTCGAGAAATACCATGAGACTTCCCCCTAGAGGCGAGATGAGAGCCCATTCCCCTGCAGTGCATGCAGAGCTATTCAGTGATCCCATTCAAACAAGTCAGGAGCTTCGACTTGCTTAATGGATCTCGAGACAGTCCCCAAGAACACTGTCACCAGTCTAGACGGACCCTGAGGTCACTCCAGCAACGCAAAGCAACTCCATGTGCCCCAAATCAACTCGAGATGAGGCCCGATTCCCCTGCATTGACTCCAGAGCCATTCCCCGTTCCCCATACATCACGACCGGTTGCTCGACTTCCTTCAGGCAACTCCAGAGATGCCCCGAGAACACTGTCCCAAGACTAGAGGAACACCAACTTCAGCACAGCAACTCGAGGAATGCTCCGTGTACCGCAAATCGTCTCGAGATGAGAGCTGATTCCCTCGCTTAGGCTCAAGACGTATGCCAACTTTCCGGAAGCCCCTCAGGAGGAGGCTTCTTTCAGCAATAGGTATGAGGGAGGGACCCCGAGTTTGCTGCCTCAAGGGGAATATACAGAGAGAAGCCCTAACTTGAAAGGAGGCCGGATTTCCTTGCAGTGGCTTGAATACAGGCTCGTCTTTCATCTCACAACATGAAGGGTTATCTGAATCCCCTGTGGAGACCTTAGAGAAAGCCCTAGGTCCCTGCCTCATTTTGACGGAATGCCTCACATCCCGCTGACTCCTCGAGAGGTATGCGGAGTTCATTACTAGAATAGGTGATGACGCCTCACTCCTCTTGAATACTGATAGGAATCCCAAACTTACTGTGGCTACAGGAAAGGGTCCTTGGGTGCCCTGCCTCACCTCAAGAAGCCTTCCTTTTCCCTGCCAAGCCTCGAAGAGATTCCTGAAATGTCCCTCGTTACTATACAGGAGTCCTGACGTCACTGAAGAAACTCGTGTTTTGAAGGGCCATCCCCTCCGTAAGTCGAGAACATACCCCAGGTCCCCGCCGCAACTCGAGAAAAACCATGAGACTTCCCCCTAGAGGCGAGATGAGAGCCCATTCCCTTGCAGTGCATGCAGAGCTATTCAGTGATCCCATTCAAACTAGTCAGGAGCTTCGACTTGCTTAATGGATCTCGAGACAGTCCCCAAGAACACTGTCACCAGTCTAGACGGACCCTGAGGTCACTCCAGCAACGAAAAGCAGCTCCATGTGCCCCAAATCAACTCGAGATGAGGCCCGATTCCCCTGCATTGACTCCAGAGCCATTCTCCGTTCCCTATTCAACACGACCGGTTGCTCGACTTCCTTCAGGCAACTCCAGAGATGCCCCGAGAACACTGTCCCAAGACTAGAGGAACACCAACTTCAGCACAGCAACTCGAGGAATGCTCCGTGTACCGCAAATCGTCTCGAGATGAGAGCTGATTCCCTCGCTTAGGCTCAAGACGTATGCCAACTTTCCGGAAGCACCTCAGGAGGAGGCTTCTCTCAGCAATAGGTATGAGGGAGGGACCCCGAGTTTGCTGCCTCAAGGGGAATATACAGCGAGAAGCCCTAACTTGAAAGGAGGCCGGATTTCCTTGCAGTGGCTTGAATACAGGCTCGTCTTTCATCTCACAACATGAAGGGATGTCTGAATCCCCTGTGGAGAACTTAGAGAAAGCCCTAGGTCCCTGCCTCATTTTGCCGGAATGCCTCACATCACGCTGACACCTCGACAGGCACGCAGAGTTCGTTGCTTCAAAAGGTGACGATGCCTGACTCCTCTTTTATACTGATAGGAATCCCAAAATACTTTGGCTACTGGAAAGGGTCCTTGGGTGCCCTGCCTCACCTCGAGAAGCGTCCCTTTTGCCCTGCCAAGCCTCGAAGAGATTCCTGAGGTGTCCCTCATTACTAGACAGGAGTCCTGACGTCACTGAAGAAACTCGTGTTTTGAAGGGCCATCCCCGCCGTAAGTCGAGAACATACCCCAGGCCCCCGACTCACCTCGAGAAAAACCATGAGACTTCCCCCTAGAGGCGAGATGAGGCCCCATTCCCCTGCAGTGCATGCAGAGCTATTCCGTGATCCCATTCAAACAAGTCAGGAGCTTCGACTTGCTTAATGGATCTCGAGACATTCCCCAACAACACTGTCACCAGTCTAGACGGACCCTGAGGTCACCCCAGCAACGCAAAGCAGCTCCATGTGCCCCAAATCAACTCGAGATGAGGCCCGATTCCCCTGCATTGACTCCAGAGCCATTCCCCGTTCCCCATTCAACACGACCGGTGGCTCGACTTCCTTCAGGCAACTCCAGAGATGCCCCGAGAACACTGTCCCAAGACTAGAGGAACACCAACTTCAGCTCAGCAACTCGAGGAATGCTCCGTGTACCCCAAATCGTCTCGAGATGAGAGCTGATTCCCTGGCTTAGGATCAAGCCATATGCCAACTTTCCGGAAGCACCTCAGGAGGAGGCTTCTGTAAGCAGTAGGTATGAGGGAGGGACACCGAGTTTGCTGCCACAAGGGGAATATACAGCGAGAAGCCCTAACTTGAAAGGATGCCGGATTTCCTTGCAGTGGCTTGAATACAGGCTCGTCTTTCATCTCACAACATGAAGGGATGTCTGAATCCCCTGTGGAGACCTTAGAGAAAGCCCTAGGTCCCTGCCTCATTTTGACGGAATGCCTCACATCCCGCTGTCTCCTCGAGAGGTACGCAGAGTTCATTACTTCAAAAGGTGATGACGCCTGACTCCTCTTGAATACTGATAGGAATCCCAAAATCCCTTTGGCTTCTGGAAAGGGTCCTTGGGTGCCCTGCCTCACCTCGAGAAGCGTCTCTTTTGCCCTGCCAAGCCTCAAAGAGATTCCTGAGGTGTCCCTTGTTACTAGACAGGAGTCCTGACGTCACTGAAGAAACTCGTGTTTTGAAGGGCCATCCCCGCCGTAAGTCGAGAACATACCCCAGGTCCCCACCGCAACTCGAGTAAAACCATGAGACTACCCCGTAGAGGCGAGATGAGGCCCCATTCCCCTGCAGTGCATGCAGAGCTATTCCGTGATCCCGTTCAAACAAGTCAGGAGCTTCGACTTGCTTAATGGATCTCGAGACAGTCCCCAAGAACACTATCACCAGTCTAGACGGACCCTGAGGTCACCCCAGCAACGCAAAGCAGCTCCATGTGCCCCAAATCAACTCGAGATGAGGCCCGATTCCCCTGCATTGACTCCAGAGCCATTCCCCGTTCCCCATTCAACAAGACCGGTGACTCGACTTCCTTCAGGCAACTCCAGAGATGCCCCGAGAACACTGTCCCAAGTCTAGAGGAACACCAACTTCAGCACAGCAACTCGAGGAATGCTCCGTGTACCCCAAATCGTCTCGAGATGAGAGCTGATTCCCTGGCTTAGGCTCAAGACGTATGCCAACTTTCCGGAAGCACCTCAGGAGGAGGTTTCTCTCAGCAGTAGGTATGAGGGAGGGACCCCGAGTTTGCTGCCTCAAGGAGAATATACAGCGAGAAGCCCTAACTTGAAAGGAGGCCGGATTTCCTTGCAGTGGCTTGAATACAGGCTCGTCTTTCATCTCACAACATGAAGGGATGTCTGAATCCGCTGTGGAGACCTTAGAGAAAGCCCTAGGTCCCTGCCTCATTTTGACGGAATGCCTCGCATCCCGCTGACTCCTCGAGAGGTACGCGGAGTTCATTACTTCAAAAGGTGATGACTCCTGACTCCTCTTGAATACTGATAGGAATCCCAAAATCCCTGTGGCTTCTGGAAAGGGTCCTTGGGTGCCCGGCCTCACCTCGAGAAGCGTCCCTTTTGCCCTGAAAAGCCTCGAAGAGATTCCTGAGGTGTCCCTTGTTACTAGACAGGAGTCCTAACTTCACGGAAGAAACTCGTGTTTTGAAGGGCCATCCCCGCCTTAAGTCGAGAACATACCCCAGGTCCCCGCCGCAACTAGAGAAAAACCATGAGACTTCCCCCTAGAGGCGACATGAGGCCCCATTCCCCTGTAGTGCATGCAGAGCTATTCCGTGATCCCATTCAAACAAGTAAGGAGCTTCGACTTGCTTAATGGATCTCGAGACAGTCCCCAAGAACACTATCACCAGTCTAGACGGACCCTGAGGTCCCCCCAGCAACGCAAAGCAGCCCCATGTGCCCTAAATCACCTAGAGATGAGGCCCAATTCCCCTGCATTGACTCCAGAGCCATTCCAAGTTCCCCATTCAACACGACCGGTGGCTCGACTTCCTTCAGGCAACTCCAGAGATGGCCCGAGAACACTGTCCCAAGACTAGAGGAACACCAACCTCAGCACAGCAACTCGAGGAATGCTCTGTGTACCCCAAATCGTCTCGAGGTGAGAGCTGATTCCCTGGCTTAGGAACAAGATGTATGCCAAATTTCCGGAAGCACCTCAGGAGGAGGCTTCTCTCAGCAATAGTTATGAGGGAGGGACCCCGAGTTTGCTGCCTCAAGCGGAATATACAGCGAGAAGCCCTAACTTGAAAGGAGGCCGGATTTCCTTGCAGTGGCTTGAATACAGGCTCGTCTTTCATCTCACAACATGAAGGGATGTCTGAATCCGCTGTGGAAACCTTAGAGAAATCCCTAGGTCCCTGCCTCATTTTGACGGAATGCCTCACATCCCGCTGACTCCTCGAGAGGTACGCGGAGTTCATTTCTTCAAAAGGTGATGAATCCTGACTCCTCTTGAATACTGATAGGAATCCCAAAATCCCTGTGGCTTCTGGAAAGGGTCCTTGGGTGCCCTGCCTCACCTCGAGAAACGTCCCTTTTGCCCTGCCAAGCCTCGAAGAGAATCCTGAGGTGTCCCTCGTTACTAGACAGGAGTCCTGACGTCACTGAAGAAACTCGTGTTTTGAAGGGCCATCCCCTCCGTAAGTCGAGAACATACCCCAGGTCCCAGCCGCAACTCGAGAAATACCATGAGACTTCCCCCTAGAGGCGAGATGAGAGCCCATTCCCCTGCAGTGCATGCAGAGCTATTCAGTGATCCCATTCAAACAAGTCAGGAGCTTCGACTTGCTTAATGGATCTCGAGACAGTCCCCAAGAACACTGTCACCAGTCTAGACGGACCCTGAGGTCACTCCAGCAACGCAAAGCAGCTCCATGTGCCCCAAATCAACTCGAGATGAGGCCCGATTCCCCTGCATTGACTCCAGAGCCATTCCCCGTTCCCCATACATCACGACCGGTTGCTCGACTTCCTTCAGGCAACTCCAGAGATGCCCCGAGAACACTGTCCCAAGACTAGAGGAACACCAACTTCAGCACAGCAACTCGAGGAATGCTCCGTGTACCGCAAATCGTCTCGAGATGAGAGCTGATTCCCTCGCTTAGGCTCAAGACGTATGCCAACTTTCCGGAAGCCCCTCAGGAGGAGGCTTCTTTCAGCAGTAGGTATGAGGGAGGGACCCCGAGTTTGCTGCCTCAAGGGGAATATACAGCGAGAAGCCCTAACTTGAAAGGAGGCCGGATTTCCTTGCAGTGGCTTGAATACAGGCTCGTCTTTCATCTCACAACATGAAGGGTTATCTGAATCCCCTGTGGAGACCTTAGAGAAAGCCCTAGGTCCCTGCCTCATTTTGACGGAATGCCTCACATCCCGCTGACTCCTCGAGAGGTATGCGGAGTTCATTACTAGAATAGGTGATGACGCCTCACTCCTCTTGAATACTGATAGGAATCCCAAACTTACTGTGGCTACAGGAAAGGGTCCTTGGGTGCCCTGCCTCACCTCAAGAAGCCTTCCTTTTCCCTGCCAAGCCTCGAAGAGATTCCTGAAATGTCCCTCGTTACTATACAGGAGTCCTGACGTCACTGAAGAAACTCGTGTTTTGAAGGGCCATCCCCGCCTTAAGTCGAGAACATACCCCAGGTCCCCGCCGCAACTCGAGAAAAACCATGAGACTTCCCCCTAGACGCGAGATGAGAGCCCATTCCCCTGCAGTGCATGCAGAGCTATTCAGTGATCCCATTCAAACTAGTCAGGAGCTTCGACTTGCTTAATGGATCTCGAGACAGTCCCCACGAACACTGTCACCAGTCTAGACGGACCCTGAGGTCACTCCAGCAACGAAAAGCAGCTCCATGTGCCCCAAATCAACTCGAGATGAGGCCCGATTCCCCTGCATTGACTCCAGAGCCATTCTCCGTTCCCTATTCAACACGACCGGTTGCTCGACTTCCTTCAGGCAACTCCAGAGATGCCCCGAGAACACTGTCCCAAGACTAGAGGAACACCAACTTCAGCACAGCAACTCGAGGAATGCTCCGTGTACCGCAAATCGTCTCGAGATGAGAGCTGATTCCCTCGCTTAGGCTCAAGACGTATGCCAACTTTCCGGAAGCACCTCAGGAGGAGGCTTCTCTCAGCAATAGGTATGAGGGAGGGACCCCGAGTTTGCTGCCTCAAGGGGAATATACAGCGAGAAGCCCTAACTTGAAAGGAGGCCGGATTTCCTTGCAGTGGCTTGAATACAGGCTCGTCTTTCATCTCACAACATGAAGGGATGTCTGAATCCCCTGTGGAGAACTTAGAGAAAGCCCTAGGTCCCTGCCTCATTTTGCCGGAATGCCTCACATCACGCTGACACCTCGACAGGCACGCAGAGTTCGTTGCTTCAAAAGGTGACGATGCCTGACTCCTCTTTTATACTGATAGGAATCCCAAAATACTTTGGCTACTGGAAAGGGTCCTTGGGTGCCCTGCCTCACCTCGAGAAGCGTCCCTTTTGCCCTGCCAAGCCTCGAAGAGATTCCTGAGGTGTCCCTCATTACTAGACAGGAGTCCTGACGTCACTGAAGAAACTCGTGTTTTGAAGGGCCATCCCCGCCGTAAGTCGAGAACATAGCCCAGGCCCCCGCCTCACCTCGAGAAAAACCATGAGACTTCCCCCTAGAGGCGAGATGAGGCCCCATTCCCCTGCAGTGCATGCAGAGCTATTCCGTGATCCCATTCAAACAAGTCAGGAGCTTCGACTTGCTTAATGGATCTCGAGACATTCCCCAACAACACTGTCACCAGTCTAGACGGACCCTGAGGTCACCCCAGCAACGCAAAGCAGCTCCATGTGCCCCAAATCAACTCGAGATGAGGCCCGATTCCCCTGCATTGACTCCAGAGCCATTCCCTGTTCCCCATTCAACACGACCGGTGGCTCGACTTCCTTCAGGCAACTCCAGAGATGCCCCGAGAACACTGTCCCAAGACTAGAGGAACACCAACTTCAGCTCAGCAACTCGAGGAATGCTCCGTGTACCCCAAATCGTCTCGAGATGAGAGCTGATTCCCTGGCTTAGGATCAAGCCATATGCCAACTTTCCGGAAGCACCTCAGGAGGAGGCTTCTGTCAGCAGTAGGTATGAGGGAGGGACACCGAGTTTGCTGCCACAAGGGGAATATACAGCGAGAAGCCCTAACTTGAAAGGATGCCGGATTTCCTTGCAGTGGCTTGAATACAGGCTCGTCTTTCATCTCACAACATGAAGGGATGTCTGAATCCCCTGTGGAGACCTTAGAGAAAGCCCTAGGTCCCTGCCTCATTTTGACGGAATGCCTCACATCCCGCTGTCTCCTCGAGAGGTACGCGGAGTTCATTACTTCAAAAGGTGATGACGCCTGACTCCTCTTGAATACTGATAGGAATCCCAAAATCCCTTTGGCTTCTGGAAAGGGTCCTTGGGTGCCCTGCCTCACCTCGAGAAGCGTCTCTTTTGCCCTGCCAAGCCTCAAAGAGATTCCTGAGGTGTCCCTTGTTACTAGACAGGAGTCCTGACGTCACTGAAGAAACTCGTGTTTTGAAGGGCCATCCCCGCCGTAAGTCGAGAACATACCCCAGGTCCCCGCCGCAACTCGAGTAAAACCATGAGACTACCCCGTAGAGGCGAGATGAGGCCCCATTCCCCTGCAGTGCATGCAGAGCTATTCCGTGATCCCGTTCAAACAAGTCAGGAGCTTCGACTTGCTTAATGGATCTCGAGACAGTCCCCAAGAACACTATCACCAGTCTAGACGGACCCTGAGGTCACCCCAGCAACGCAAAGCAGCTCCATGTGCCCCAAATCAACTCGAGATGAGGCCCGATTCCCCTGCATTGACTCCAGAGCCATTCCCCGTTCCCCATTCAACAAGACCGGTGACTCGACTTCCTTCAGGCAACTCCAGAGATGCCCCGAGAACACTGTCCCAAGTCTAGAGGAACACCAACTTCAGCACAGCAACTCGAGGAATGCTCCGTGTACCCCAAATCGTCTCGAGATGAGAGCTGATTCCCTGGCTTAGGCTCAAGACGTATGCCAACTTTCCGGAAGCACCTCAGGAGGAGGTTTCTCTCAGCAGTAGGTATGAGGGAGGGACCCCGAGTTTGCTGCCTCAAGGAGAATATACAGCGAGAAGCCCTAACTTGAAAGGAGGCCGGATTTCCTTGCAGTGGCTTGAATACAGGCTCGTCTTTCATCTCACAACATGAAGGGATGTCTGAATCCGCTGTGGAGACCTTAGAGAAAGCCCTAGGTCCCTGCCTCATTTTGACGGAATGCCTCGCATCCCGCTGACTCCTCGAGAGGTACGCGGAGTTCATTACTTCAAAAGGTGATGACTCCTGACTCCTCTTGAATACTGATAGGAATCCCAAAATCCCTGTGGCTTCTGGAAAGGGTCCTTGGGTGCCCGGCCTCACCTCGAGAAGCGTCCCTTTTGCCCTGAAAAGCCTCGAAGAGATTCCTGAGGTGTCCCTTGTTACTAGACAGGAGTCCTAACTTCACGGAAGAAACTCGTGTTTTGAAGGGCCATCCCCGCCTTAAGTCGAGAACATACCCCAGGTCCCCGCCGCAACTAGAGAAAAACCATGAGACTTCCCCCTAGAGGCGACATGAGGCCCCATTCCCCTGTAGTGCATGCAGAGCTATTCCGTGATCCCATTCAAACAAGTAAGGAGCTTCGACTTGCTTAATGGATCTCGAGACAGTCCCCAAGAACACTATCACCAGTCTAGACGGACCCTGAGGTCCCCCCAGCAACGCAAAGCAGCCCCATGTGCCCTAAATCACCTAGAGATGAGGCCCAATTCCCCTGCATTGACTCCAGAGCCATTCCAAGTTCCCCATTCAACACGACCGGTGGCTCGACTTCCTTCAGGCAACTCCAGAGATGGCCCGAGAACACTGTCCCAAGACTAGAGGAACACCAACCTCAGCACAGCAACTCGAGGAATGCTCTGTGTACCCCAAATCGTCTCGAGGTGAGAGCTGATTCCCTGGCTTAGGAACAAGATGTATGCCAAATTTCCGGAAGCACCTCAGGAGGAGGCTTCTCTCAGCAATAGTTATGAGGGAGGGACCCCGAGTTTGCTGCCTCAAGCGGAATATACAGCGAGAAGCCCTAACTTGAAAGGAGGCCGGATTTCCTTGCAGTGGCTTGAATACAGGGTCGTCTTTCATCTCACAACATGAAGGGATGTCTGAATCCGCTGTGGAAACCTTAGAGAAATCCCTAGGTCCCTGCCTCATTTTGACGGAATGCCTCACATCCCGCTGACTCCTCGAGAGGTACGCGGAGTTCATTTCTTCAAAAGGTGATGAATCCTGACTCCTCTTGAATACTGATAGGAATCCCAAAATCCCTGTGGCTTCTGGAAAGGGTCCTTGGGTGCCCTGCCTCACCTCGAGAAACGTCCCTTTTGCCCTGCCAAGCCTCGAAGAGATTCCTGAGGTGTCCCTTGTTACTAGACAGTAGTCCTGACTTCACTGAAGAAACTCGTGTTTTGAAGGGCCATCCCCGTCGTAAGTCGAGAACATACCCCAGGTCCCCGCCGCAACTCGAGAAAAACCATGAGACTTCCAACTAGATGGGACATGAGGCCTCATTCCCCTGCAGTGCATGCAGAGCTATTCCGTGATCCCATTCAAACAAGTCAGGAGCTTCGACTTGCTTAATGGATCTCGAGACAGTCCCCAAGAACACTGTCACCAGTCTAGACGGACCCTGAGGTCCCCCCAGCAACGCAAAGCAGCTCCATGTGCCCCAAATCAACTCGAGATGAGGCCCAATTCCCCTGCATTGACTCCAGAGCCATTCCAAGTTCCCCATTCAACACGACCGGTGGCTAGACTTCCTTGAGGCAACTCCAGAGATGCCCCGAGAACACTGTCCAAAGACTAGAGGAACACCAACTTCAGCACAGCAACTCGAGGAATGCTCCGTGTACCCCAAATCGTCTCGAGATGAGAGCTGATTCCCTCGCTTATGCTCAAGAGGTATGTCAAATTTCCAGTAGCACCTCAGGAGGAGGCTTTTCTCAGCAATAGGTATGTGGGAGAGATCTCGAGTTTGCTGCCTCAAGGGGAATACACAGCGAGAAGCCCTAACTTGAAAGGAGGCCGGATTTCCTTGAAGTGGCTTGAATACAGGCTCGTCTTTCATCTCACAACATGACGGGATGTCTGAATCCACTGTGGAGACCTTAGAGAAAGCCCTAGGTCCCTGCCTCATTTTGAGGGAATGCCTCACATCCCACTGACACATCGAGAGGCACGCGGAGTTCATTGCTTCAAAAGTTGATGATGCCTGACTCCTCTTGAATACTGATAGGAATCCCAAAATCCCTGTGGCTTCTGGAAAGGGTCCTTGGGTGCCCTGCTTCACCTCGAGAAGCGTCCCTTTTGCCCTGCCAAGCCTCGAAGAGATTCCTGAGGTGTCCCTTGTTACTAGACAGGAGTCCTGACTTCACTGAAGAAACTCCTGTTTTGAAGGGCCATCCCCGTCGTAAGTCGAGAACATACCCCAGGTCCCCGCCGCAACTCGAGAAAAACCATGAGACTTCCAACTAGAGGGGACATGAGGCCCCATTCCCCTGCAGTGCATGCAGAGCTATTCCGTGATCCCATTCAAACAAGTCAGGAGCTTCGACTTGCTTAATGGATCTCGAGACAGTCCTCAAGAACACTGTCACCAGTCTAGACGGACCCTGAGGTCCCCCCAGCAACGCAAAGCAGCTCCATGTGCCCCAAATCAACTCGAGATGAGGCCCGATTCCCCTGCATTGACTCCAGAGCCATTCCAAGTTCCCCATTCAACACGACCGGTGGCTCGACTTCTTCAGGATTCTCCAGAGATGCCCCGAGAACACTGTCCAAAGACTAGAGGAACACCAACTTCAGCACAGCAACTCGAGGAATGCTCCGTGTACCCCAAATCGTCTCGAGATGAGAGCTGATTCCCTGGCTTATGCTCAAGAAGTATGTCAAATTTCCAGTAGAACCTCAGGAGGAGGCTTCTCTCAGCAATAGGTATGTGGGAGAGATCTCGAGTTTGCTGCCTCAAGGGGAATACACAGCGAGAAGCCCTAACTTGAAAGGAGGCCGGATTTCCTTGAAGTGGCTTGAATACAGGCTCGTCTTTCATCTCACAACATGAAGGGATGTCTGAATCCACTGTGGAGACCTTAGAGAAAGCCCTAGTTCCCTGCCTCATTTTGAGGGAATGCCTCACATCCCACTGACACATCGAGAGGCACGCGGAGTTCATTGCTTCAAAAGTTGACGATGCCTGACTCCTCTTGAATACTGATAGGAATCCCAAAATCCCTGTGGATAGTGGAAAGGGTCCCTGGGTGCCCTGCCTCACCTCGAGAAGCGTCCCTTTTGCCCTGCCAAGCCTCGAAGAGATTCCTGAGGTGTCCCTCGTTACTAGCGAGGAGTCCTGACGTCACTGAAGAAACTCGTGTTTTGAAGGGCCATCCCCGCCTTAAGTCGAGAACATACCCCAGGTCATCGCCGCAACTCGAGAAAAACCATGAGACTTCCCCCTAGCGGCGAGATGAGGCCCCATTCCCCTGCAGTGCATGCAGAGCTATTCCGTGATCCCATTCAAACGAGTCAGGAGCTTCGACTTGCTTAATGGATCTCGAGACAGTCCCCAAGAACACTGTAACCAGTCTAGACGGACCCTGAGGTCACCCAAGCAACGCAAAGCAGCACCATGTGCCCCAAATCAACTCGAGATGAGGCCCGATTCCCCTGCATTGACTCCAGAGCCATTCCAAGTTCCCCATTCAACACGACCGGTGGCTCGACTTCCTTCAGGAAACTCCATAGATGCCCCGAGAACACTGTCCCAAGACTAGAGGAACACCAACTTCAGCACAGCAATGCGAGGAATGCTCCGTGTACCCCAAATCGTCTCGAGGTGAGAGCTGATTCCCTGGCTTAGGATCAAGACGTATGCCAACTTTCCGGAAGCACCTCAGGAGGAGGCTTCTCTCAGCAATAGTTATGAGGGAGGGACCCCGAGTTTGCTGCCTCAAGCGGAATATACAGCGAGAAGCCCTAACTTGAAAGGAGGCCGGATTTCCTTGCAGTGGCTTGAATACAGGCTCGTCTTTCATCTCACAACATGAAGGGATGTCTGAATCCGCTGTGGAGACCTTAGAGAAATCCCTGGTCCCTGCCTCATTTTGACGGAATGCCTCACATCCCGCTGACTCCTCGAGAGGTACGCGGAGTTCATTACTTCAAAAGGTGATGAATCCTGACTCCTCTTGAATACTGATAGGAATCCCAAAATCCCTGTGGCTACTGGAAAGGGTCTTTGGGTGCCCTGCCTCACCTCGAGAAGCGTCCCTTTTGCCCTGCCAAGCCTCGAAGAGATTCCTGAGGTGTCCCTCGTTACTAGACAGGAGTCCTGACGTCACTGAAGAAACTCGTGTTTTGAAGGGCCATCCCCGCCGTAAGTCGAGAACATAACCCAGGTCACCGCCGCAACTCAGGAAAAACCATGAGAATTCCCCCTAGATGCGAGATGAGGCCCCATTCCCCTGCAGTGCATGCAGAGCTATTCTGTGATCCCATTCAAACAAGTCTGGAGCTTCGACTTGCTTAATGGATCACGAGACAGTCCCCAAGAACACTGTCACCATTCTAGACGGACCTGAGGTCACCCCAGCAACGCAAAGCAGCTCCATGTGCCTCAAATCAACTCGAGATGAGGCCCGATTCCCCTGCATTGACCCCAGAGCCATTCCCCGATCCCCATTCAACACGACCGGTGGCTCGACTTCCTTCAGGCAACTCCAGAGATGCCCCGAGAGCACTGTCCCAAGACTAGAGGAACACCAACCTCAGCACAGCAACTCGAGGAATGCTCCGTGTACCCCAAATCGTCTCGAGATGAGAGCTGATTCCCTGGCTTAGAATCAAGACTTATGCCAACTTTCCGGAAGCACCTCAGGAGGAGGCTTCTCTCAGCAATAGGTATGTGGGAGGGACCCCGAGTTTGCTGCCTCAAGGGGAATATACAGTGAGAAGCCTTAACTTGAAAGGAGGCCAGATTTCCTTGCAGTGGCTTGAATACAGGCTCGTCTTTCATCTCACAACATGAAGGGATGTCTGAATCCCCTGTGGAGACCTTAGAGAAAGCCCTAGTTCCCTGCCTCATTTTGACGGAATGCCTCACATCCCGCTGACACCTCGAGAGGCACGAGGAGTTCATTGCTTCAAAAGGTGACGATGCCTGACTCCTCTTGAATACTGATAGGAATCCCAAAATCCCTGTGGCTACAGGAAAGGGTCCTTGGGTGCCCTGCCTCACCTCGAGAAGCGTCCCTTTTGCCCTGCCAAGCCTCGAAGAGATTCCTGAGGTGTCCCTCGTTACTAGACAGGAGTCCTGATGTCACTGAAGAAACTCGTGTTTTGAAGGGCTATCCCCTCCGTAAGTCGAGAACATACCCCATTGCCCCGCCGCAGCTGGAGAAAAACCATGAGACTTCCCCCTAGAGGCGAGATGAGGCCCCATTCCACTGCAGTGCATGCAGAGCTATTCCGTGATCCCATTCAAACTAGTCAGGAGCTTCGACTTGCTTAATGGATCACGAGACAGTCCCCAAGAACACTGTCACCAGTCTAGACGGACCCTGAGGTCACCCCAGCAACGCAAAGCAGCTCCATGTGCCCCAAATCAACTCGAGATGAGTCCCGATTCCCCTGCATTGACTCCAGAGCCATTCCCCGTTCCCCATTCAACACGACCGGTGGCTCGACTTCCTTCAGGCAACTCCAGAGATGCCCCGAGAACACTGTCCCAAGACTAGAGGAACACCAACTTCAGCACAGCAACTCGAGGAATGCTCCGTGTACCCCAAATCGTCTCGAGATGAGAGCTGATTCCCTGGCTTAGGATCAAGCCGTATGCCAACTTTCCGGAAGCACCTCAGGAGGAGGCTTCTCTCAGCAATAGGTATGTGGGAGGGACCCCGAGTTTGCTGCCTCAAGGGGAATATACAGCGAGAAGCCGTAACTTGAAAGGAGGCCAGATTTCCTTGCAGTGGCTTGAATACAGGCTCGTCTTTCATCTCCCAACATGAAGGGATGTCTGAATCCCCTGTGGAGACCTTAGAGAAAGCCCTAGTTCCCTGCCTCATTTTGACGGAATGCCTCACATCCCGCTGACACCTCGAGAGGCACGAGGAGTTCATTGCTTCAAAAGGTGACGATGCCTGACTCCTCTTGAATACTGATAGGAATCCCAAAATCCCTGTGGCTACTGGAAAGGGTCCTTGGGTGCCCTGCCTCACCTCGAGAAGCGTCCCTTTTGCCCTGCCAATCCTCGAAGAGATACCTGAGGTGTCCCTCGTTACTAGACAGGAGTCCTGACGTCACTGAAGAAACTCGTGTTTTGAAGGGCCATCCCGGCTGTAAGTCGAGAATATACCCCAGGTCCCCACAGCAACTCGAAAAAAACCATGAGACTTCCCCCTAGAGGCGAGATGAGGCCCCATTCCCCTGCAGTGCATGCAGAGCTATTCCGTGATCCCATTCAAACAAGTCAGGAGCTTCGACTTGCTTAATGGATCTCGAGACAGTCCCCAAGAACACTGTCACCAGTCTAGACTGACCCTGAGCTCACCCCATCAAAGCAAAGCAGCTCCATGTGCCCCAAATCAACTCGAGATGAGGCCCGATTCCCCTGTATTGACTCCAGAGCCTTTCCCCGTTCCGCATTTAACACGACCGGCGGTTCGACTTCCTTCAGGCAACTCCAGAGATGCCCCGAGAACACTGTCCCAAGACTAGAGGAACACCAACTTCAGCACAGCAACTCGAGGAATGCTCCGTGTACTCCAAATCGTCTCGAGATGAGAGCTGATTCCCTGGCTTAGGCTCAAGACGTATGCCAACTTTCCGGAAGCATCTCAGGAGGAGGCTTCTCTCAGCAATAGGTATGTGGGAGGGACCCCGAGTTTGCTGCCTCAAGGGAAATATACAGCGAGAAGCCCTAACTTGAAAGGAGGCCAGATTTCCTTGCAGTGGCTTGAATACAGGCTCGTCTTTCATCTCACCACATGAAGGGATGTCTGAATCCCCTGTGGAGACCTTAGAGAAAGCCTAGGTCCCTGCCTCATTTTGACGGAATGCCTCACCTCCCGCTGACACCTCGAGAGGCACGCGGAGTTCATTGCTTCAAAAGGTGACGATGCCTGACTACTCTTGAATACTGATAGGAATCCCAAAATCCCTGTGGCTACAGGAAAGGGTCCTTGGGTGCCCTGCCTCACTTCGAGAAGCGTCCCTTTTGCCCTGCCAAGCCTCGAAGAGATTCCTGAGGTGTCCCTCGTTACTAGACAGGAGTCCTGACGTCACTGAAGAAACTCGTGTTTTGAAGGGCCATCCCCTCCGTAAGTCGAGAACATACCCCAGGTCCCCACCGCAACTCGAGAAAAACCATGAGACTTCCCCCTAGAGGCGAGATGAGAGCCCATTCCCCTGCAGTGCATGCAGAGCTATTCAGTGATCCCATTCAAACAAGTCAGGAGCTTCGACTTGCTTAATGGATCTCGAGACAGTCCCCAAGAACACTGTCACCAGTCTAGACGGACCCTGAGGTCACTCCAGCAACGCAAAGCAACTCCATGTGCCCCAAATCAACTCGAGATGAGGCCCGATTCCCCTGCATTGACTCCAGAGCCATTCCCCGTTCCCCATTCAACACGACCGGTTGCTCGAATTCCTTCAGGCAACTCCAGAGATGCCCCGAGAACACTGTCCCAAGACTAGAGGAACACCAACTTCAGCACAGCAACTCGAGGAATGCTCCGTGTACCGCAAATCGTCTCGAGATGAGAGATGATTCCCTCGCTTAGGCTCAAGACATATGCCAACTTTCCGGAAGCACCTCAGGGGGAGGCTTCTCTCAGCAATAGGTATGAGGGAGGGACCCCGAGTTTGCTGCCTCAAGGGGAATATACAGCGAGAAGCCCTAACTTGAAAGGAGGCCGGATTTCCTTGCAGTGGCTTGAATACAGGCTCGTCTTTCATCTCACAACATGAAGGGATGTCTGAATCCCCTGTGGAGAACTTCGAGAAAGCCCTAGGTCCCTGCCTCATTTTGACGGAATGCCTCACATCCCGCTGACTCCTCGAGAGGTATGCGGAGTTCATTACTTCAAAAGGTGATGACGCCTGACTCCTCTTGAATACTGATAGGAATCCCAAAATCCCTGTGGCTACTGGAAAGGATCCTTGGGTTCCCTGCCTCACCTCGAGAAGCGTCCCTTTTGCCCTGCCAAGCCTCGAAGAGATTCCTGAGGTGTCCCTCGTTACTAGACAGGAGTCCTGACGTCACTGAAGAAACTCGTGTTTTGAAGGGCCATCCCCGCCGTAAGTCGAGAACATAGCCCAGGCCCCCGCCGCAACTCGACTAAAACCATGAGACTTCCCCATAGAGGCGAGATGAGGCCCCATTCCCCTGCAGTGCATGCAGAGCTATTCAGTGATCCCATTCAAACAAGTCAGGAGCTTCGACTTGCTTAATGGATCTCGAGACAGTCCCCAAGAACACTGTCACCAGTCTAGACGGACCCTGAGGTCACCACAGCAACGCAAAGCAGCTCAATGTGCCCCAAATCAACTCGAGATGAGGCCCGATTCCCCTGCATTGACTCCAGAGCCATTCCAAGTTCCTCATTCAACACGACCGGTGGCTCGACTTCCTTCAGGCAACTCCAGAGATGCCCCGAGAACACTGTCCCAAGACTAGAGGAACACCAACTTCAGCACAGCAACTCGAGGAATGCTCCGTGCACCCCAAATCGTCTCGAGATGAGAGCTGATTCCCTGGCTTAGGCTCAAGACGTATGCCAACTTTCCGGAAGCACCTCAGGAGGAGGATTCTCTCAGCAGTAGGTATGAGGGAGTGACCCCGAGTTTGCTGCCTCAAGGGGAATATACAGCGAAAAGCCCTAACTTGAAAGGAGGCCGGATTTCCTTGCAGTGGCTTGAATACAGGCTCGTCTTTCATCTCACAACATGAAGGGATGTCTGAATACCCTGTGGAGACCTTAGAGAAAGCCCTAGGTCCCTGCGTCATTTTGACGGAATGCCTCACATCCCGCTGACTCCTCGAGAGGTACGCGGAGTTCATTACTTCAAAACGTGATGACCCCTGACTCCTCTTGAATACTGATAGGAATCCCAAAATCCCTGTGGCTTCTGGAAAGGGTCCTTGGGTGCCCTGCCTCACCTCGAGAAGCGTCCCTTTGGCCCTGCCAAGCCTCGAAGAGATTCCTGAGGTGTCCCTCGTTACTAGACAGGAGTCCTGACGTCACTGAAGAAACTCGTGTTTTGAAGGGCCTTCCCCTCCGTAAGTCGAGAACATACCCCAGGTCCCCGCCGCAACTCGATAAAAACCATGAGACTTCCCCCTAGAGGCGAGATGAGAGCCCATTCCCCTGCAGTGCATGCAGAGCTCTTCCGTGATCCCATTCAAACAAGTCAGGAGCTTCGACTTGCTTAATGGATCTCGAGACAGTCCCCAAGAACACTGTCACCAGTCTAGACGGACCCTGAGGTCACTCCAGCAACGCAAAGCAGCTCCATGTGACCCAAATCAACTCGAGATGAGGCCCGATTCCCCTGCATTGACTCCAGAGCCATTCCCCGTTCCCCATTCAACACGACCGGTGGCTCGACTTCCTTCAGGCAACTCCAGAGATGCCCCGAGAACACTGTCCCAAGACTAGAGGAACACCAACTTCAGCTCAGCAACTCGAGGAATGCTCCGTGTACCGCAAATCGTCTCGAGATGAGAGCTGATTCCCTCGCTTAGGCTCAAGACGTATGCCAACTTTCCGGAAGCCCCTCAGGAGGAGGCTTCTTACAGCAATAGGTATGAGGGAGGAACCCCGAATTTGCTGCCTCAAGGGGAATATACAGCGAGAAGCCCTAACTTGAAAGGAGGCCGGATTTCCTTGCAGTGGCTTGAATACAGGCTCGTCTTTCATCTCACAACATGAAGGGTTATCTGAATACCCTGTGGAGACCTTAGAGAAAGCCCTAGGTCCCTGCCTCATTTTGACGGAATGCCTCACATCCCGCTGACTCCTCGAGAGGAACGCGGAGTTCATTACTTCAAAAGGTGATGACGCCTGACTCCTCTTGAATACTGATAGAAATCCCAAAATCCCTGTGGCTACTGGAAAGGGTCCTTGGGTGCCCTGCCTCACCTCGAGAAGCCTCCCTTTTGCCCTGCCAAGCCTCGAAGAGATTCCTGAGGTGTCCCTCGTTACTATACAGGAGTCCTGACGTCACTGAACAAACTCATGTTTTGAAGGGCCATCCCCTCCGTAAGTCGAGAACATACCCCAGGTCCACGCCGCAACTCGAGAAAAACCATGAGACTTCCCCCTAGAGGCGAGATGACAGCCCATTCCCCTGCAGTGCATGCACAGCTATTCAGTGATCCCATTCAAACAAGTCAGGAGCTTCGACTTGCTTAATGGATCTCGAGACAGTCCCCAAGAACACTGTCACCAGTCTAGACGGACCCTGAGGTCACTCCAGCAACGCAAAGCAGCTCCATGTGCCCCAAATCAACTCGAGATGAGGCCCGATTCCCCTGCATTGACTCCAGAGCCATTCCCCGTTCCCTATTCAACACGACCGGTTGCTCGACTTCATTCAGGCAACTCCAGAGATGCCCCGAGAACACTGTCCCAAGACTAGAGGAACACCAACTTCAGCACAGCAACTCGAGGAATGCTCCGTGTACCGCAAATCCTCTCGAGATGAGAGCTGATTCCCTCGCTTAGGCTCAAGACGTATGCCAACTTTCCGGAAGCACCTCAGGAGGAGGCTTCTCTCAGCAATAGGTATGAGGGAGGGACCCCGAGTTTGCTGCCTCAAGGGGAATATACAGCGAGAAGCCCTAACTTGAAAGGAGGCCGGATTTCCTTGCAGTGGCTTGAATACAGGCTCGTCTTTCATCTCACAACATGAAGGGATGTCTGAATCCCCTGTGGAGACGTTAGAGAAAGCCCTAGGTCCCTGCCTCCTTTTGACGGAATGCCTCACATCACGCTCACACCTCGACAGGCACGCAGAGTTCATTGCTTCAAAAGGTGACGATGCCTGACTCCTCTTTTATACTGATAGGAATCCCAAAATACCTTGGCTACTGGAAAGGGTCCTTGGGTGCCCTGCCTCACCTCGAGAAGCGTTCCTTTTGCCCTGCCAAGCCACGAAGAGATTCCTGAGGTGTCCCTCGTTTCTAGACAGGAGTCCTGACGTCACTGAAGAAACTCGTGTTTTGAAGGGCCATCCCCGCAGTAAGTCGAGAACATACCCCAGGCGCCAGCCTCACCTCGAGAAAAACCATGAGACTTCCCCCTAGAGGCGAGATGAGGCCCCATTCCCCTGCAGTGCATGCAGAGCTATTCCGTGATCCCATTCAAACAAGTCAGGAGCTTCGACTTGCTTAATGGATCTCGAGACATTCCCCAAGAACACTGTCACCAGTCTAGACGGACCCTGAGGTCACCCTAGCAACGCAAAGCAGCTCCATGTGCCCCAAATCAACTCGAGATGAGGCCCGATTCCCCTGCATTGACTCCAGAGCCATTCCCCGTTCCCCATTCAACACGACCGGTGGCTCGACTTCCTTCAGGCAACTCCAGAGATGCCCCGAGAACACTGTCCCAAGACTAGAGGAACACCAACTTCAGCACAGCAACTCGAGGAATGCTCCGTGTACCCCAAATCGTCTCGAGATGAGAGCTGATTCCCTGGCTTAGGATCAAGCCGTATGCCAACTTTCCGGAAGCACCTCAGGAGGAGGCTTCTCTCAGCAGTAGGTATGAGGGAGGGAAACCGAGTTTGCTGCCACAAGGGGAATATACAGCGAGAAGCCCTAACTTGAAAGGAGGCCGGATTTCCTTGCAGTGGCTTGAATACAGGCTCGTCTTTCATCTCACAACATGAAGGGATGTCTGAATCCCCTGTGGAGACCTTAGAGAAAGCCCTAGGTCCCTGCCTCATTTTGACGGAATGCCTCACATCCCGCTGACTCCTCGAGAGGTACGCGGAGTTCATTACTTCAAAAGGTGATGACACCTGACTCCTCTTGAATACTGATAGGAATCCCAAAATCCCTTTGGCTTCTGGAAAGGGTCCTTGGTTGCCCTGCCTCACCTCGAGAAGCGTCCCTTTTGCCCTGCCAAGCCTCAAAGAGATTCCTGAGGTGTCCCTTGTTACTAGACAGGAGTCCTGACGTCACTGAAGAAACTCGTGTTTTGAAGGGCCATCCCCGCCGTAAGTCGAGAACATACCCCAGGTCCCCACCGCAACTCGAGAAAAACCATGAGACTTCCCCCTAGAGGCGAGATGAGGCCCCATTCCCCTGCAGTGCATGCAGAGCTATTCCGTGATCCCGTTCAAACAAGTCAGGAGCTTCGACTTGCTTAATGGATCTCGATACAGTCCCAAGAACACTATCACCAGTCTAGACGGACCCTGAGGTCACCCCAGCAACGCAAAGCAGCTCCATGTGCCCCAAATCAACTCGAGATGAGGCCCGATTCCCCTGCATTGACTCCAGAGCCATTCCCCGATCCCCATTCAACAAGACCGGCGACTCGACTTCCTTCAGGCAACTCCAGAGATGCCCCGAGAACACTGTCCCAAGTCTAGAGGAACACCAACTTCAGCACAGCAACTCGAGGAATGCTCCGTGTACCTCAAATCGACTCGAGATGAGAGCTGATTCCCTGGCTTAGGCTCAAGACGTATGCCAACTTTCCGGAAGCACCTCAGGAGGAGGCTTCTCTCAGCAGTAGGTATGAGGGAGGGACCCCGAGTTTGCTGCCTCAAGGGGAATATACAGCGAGAAGCCCTAACTTGAAAGGAGGCCAGATTTCCTTGCAGTGGCTTGAATACAGGCTCGTCTTTCATCTCACAACATGAAGGGATGTCTGAATCCCCTGTGGAGACCTTAGAGAAAGCCCTAGGTCCCTGCCTCATTTTGACGGAATGCCTCACATCCCGCTGACTCCTCGAGAGGTACGCGGAGTTCATTACTTCAAAAGGTGATGACTCCTGACTCCTGTTGAATACTGATAGGAATCCCAAAATCCCTGTGGCTTCTGGAAAGGGTCCTTGGGTGCCCGGCCTCACCTCGAGAAGCGTCCCTTTTGCCCTGAAAAGCCTCGAAGAGATTCCTGAGGTGTCCCTTGTTACTAGACAGGAGTCCTAACTTCACTGAAGAAACTCGTGTTTTGAAGGGCCATCCCCGCCGTAAGTCGAGAACATACCCCAGGTCCCCGCCGCAACTCGAGAAAAACCATGAGACTTCCAACTAGAGGGGACATGAGGCCCCATTCCCCTGCAGTGCATGCAGAGCTATTCCGTGAACCCATTCAAACAAGTCAGGAGCTTCGACTTGCTTAATGGATCTCGAGACAGTCCCCAAGAACACTGTCACCAGTCTAGACGGACCCTGAGGTCCCCCCAGCAACGCAAAGCAGCTCCATGTGCCCCAAATCACCTCGAGATGAGGCCCGATTCCTCTGCATTGACTCCAGAGCCATTCCAAGTTCCCCATTCAACACGACCGGTTGCTCGACTTCCTTAAGGCAACTCCAGAGATGCCCCGAGAACACTGTCCCAAGACTAGAGGAACACCAACTTCAGCACAGCAACTCGAGGAATGCTCCGTGCACCCCAAATCGTCTCGAGATGAGAGCTGATTCCCTGGCTTAGGCTCAAGACCTATGCCAACTTTCCGGAAGCACCTCAGGAGGAGGCTTCTCTCAGCAGTAGGTATGAGGGAGTGACCCCGAGTTTGCTGCCTCAAGGGGAATATACAGCGAGAAGCCCTAACTTGAAAGGAGGCCGGATTTCCTTGCAGTGGCTTGAATACAGGCTAGTCTTTCATCTCACAACATGAAGGGATGTCTGAATCCCCTGTGGAGACCTTAGAGAAAGCCCTAGGTCCCTGCCTCATTTTGACGGAATGCCTCACATCCCGCTGACTCCTCGAGAGGTACGCGGAGTTCATTACTTCAAAAGGTGATGACTCCTGACTCCTCTTGAATACTGATAGGAATCCCAAAATTCCTGTGGCTACTGGAAAGGGTCCTGGGTGCCCTGCCTCACCTCGAGAAGCGTCCCTTTTGTCCTGCCAAGCCTCGAAGAGATTCCTGAGGTGTCCCTCGTTACTAGACAGGAGTCCTGACGTCACTGAAGAAACTCGTGTTTTGAAGGGCCATCCCCTCCGTAAGTCGAGAACATACCCCAGGTCCCAGCCGCAACTCGAGAAATACCATGAGACTTCCCCCTAGAGGCGAGATGAGAGCCCATTCCCCTGCAGTGCATGCAGAGCTATTCAGTGATCCCATTCAAACAAGTCAGGAGCTTCGACTTGCTTAATGGATCTCGAGACAGTCCCCAAGAACACTGTCACCAGTCTAGACGGACCCTGAGGTCACTCCAGCAACGCAAAGCAGCTCCATGTGCCCCAAATCAACTCGAGATGAGGCCCGATTCCCCTGCATTGACTCCAGAGCCATTCCCCGTTCCCCATACATCACGACCGGTTGCTCGACTTCCTTCAGGCAACTCCAGAGATGCCCCGAGAACACTGTCCCAAGACTAGAGGAACACCAACTTCAGCACAGCAACTCGAGGAATGCTCCGTGTACCGCAAATCGTCTCGAGATGAGAGCTGATTCCCTCGCTTAGGCTCAAGACGTATGCCAACTTTCCGGAAGCCCCTCAGGAGGAGGCTTCTTTCAGCAATAGGTATGAGGGAGGGACCCCGAGTTTGCTGCCTCAAGGGGAATATACAGCGAGAAGCCCTAACTTGAAAGGAGGCCGGATTTCCTTGCAGTGGCTTGAATACAGGCTCGTCTTTCATCTCACAACATGAAGGGTTATCTGAATCCCCTGTGGAGACCTTAGAGAAAGCCCTAGGTCCCTGCCTCATTTTGACGGAATGCCTCACATCCCGCTGACTCCTCGAGAGGTATGCGGAGTTCATTACTAGAATAGGTGATGACGCCTCACTCCTCTTGAATACTGATAGGAATCCCAAAATCCCTGTGGCTTCTGGAAAGGGTCCTTGGGTGCCCGGCCTCACCTCGAGAAGCGTCCCTTTTGCCCTGAAAAGCCTCGAAGAGATTCCTGAGGTGTCCCTTGTTACTAGACAGGAGTCCTAACTTCACTGAAGAAACTCGTGTTTTGAAGGGCCATCCCCGCCGTAAGTCGAGAACATACCCCAGGTCCCCGCCGCAACTCGAGAAAAACCATGAGACTTCCAACTAGAGGGGACATGAGGCCCCATTCCCCTGCAGTGCATGCAGAGCTATTCCGTGAACCCATTCAAACAAGTCAGGAGCTTCGACTTGCTTAATGGATCTCGAGACAGTCCCCAAGAACACTGTCACCAGTCTAGACGGACCCTGAGGTCCCCCCAGCAACGCAAAGCAGCTCCATGTGCCCCAAATCACCTCGAGATGAGGCCCGATTCCTCTGCATTGACTCCAGAGCCATTCCAAGTTCCCCATTCAACACGACCGGTTGCTCGACTTCCTTAAGGCAACTCCAGAGATGCCCCGAGAACACTGTCCCAAGACTAGAGGAACACCAACTTTAGCACAGCAACTCGAGGAATGCTCCGTGCACCCCAAATCGTCTCGAGATGAGAGCTGATTCCATGGCTTAGGCTCAAGACCTATGCCAACTTTCCGGAAGCACCTCAGGAGGAGGCTTCTCTCAGCAGTAGGTATGAGGGAGTGACCCCGAGTTTGCTGCCTCAAGGGGAATATACAGCGAGAAGCCCTAACTTGAAAGGAGGCCGGATTTCCTTGCAGTGGCTTGAATACAGGCTAGTCTTTCATCTCACAACATGAAGGGATGTCTGAATCCCCTGTGGAGACCTTAGAGAAAGCCCTAGGTCCCTGCCTCATTTTGACGGAATGCCTCACATCCCGCTGACTCCTCGAGAGGTACGCGGAGTTCATTACTTCAAAAGGTGATGACTCCTGACTCCTCTTGAATACTGATAGGAATCCCAAAATTCCTGTGGCTACTGGAAAGGGTCCTGGGTGCCCTGCCTCACCTCGAGAAGCGTCCCTTTTGTCCTGCCAAGCCTCGAAGAGATTCCTGAGGTGTCCCTCGTTACTAGACAGGAGTCCTGACGTCACTGAAGAAACTCGTGTTTTGAAGGGCCATCCCCTCCGTAAGTCGAGAACATACCCCAGGTCCCAGCCGCAACTCGAGAAATACCATGAGACTTCCCCCTAGAGGCGAGATGAGAGCCCATTCCCCTGCAGTGCATGCAGAGCTATTCAGTGATCCCATTCAAACAAGTCAGGAGCTTCGACTTGCTTAATGGATCTCGAGACAGTCCCCAAGAACACTGTCACCAGTCTAGACGGACCCTGATGTCACTCCAGCAACGCAAAGCAGCTCCATGTGCCCCAAATCAACTCGAGATGAGGCCCGATTCCCCTGCATTGACTCCAGAGCCATTCCCCGTTCCCCATACATCACGACCGGTTGCTCGACTTCCTTCAGGCAACTCCAGAGATGCCCCGAGAACACTGTCCCAAGACTAGAGGAACACCAACTTCAGCACAGCAACTCGAGGAATGCTCCGTGTACCGCAAATCGTCTCGAGATGAGAGCTGATTCCCTCGCTTAGGCTCAAGACGTATGCCAACTTTCCGGAAGCCCCTCAGGAGGAGGCTTCTTTCAGGAATAGGTATGAGGGAGGGACCCCGAGTTTGCTGCCTCAAGGGGAATATACAGAGAGAAGCCCTAACTTGAAAGGAGGCCGGATTTCCTTGCAGTGGCTTGAATACAGGCTCGTCTTTCATCTCACAACATGAAGGGTTATCTGAATCCCCTGTGGAGACCTTAGAGAAAGCCCTAGGTCCCTGCCTCATTTTGACGGAATGCCTCACATCCCGCTGACTCCTCGAGAGGTATGCGGAGTTCATTACTAGAATAGGTGATGACGCCTCACTCCTCTTGAATACTGATAGGAATCCCAAACTTACTGTGGCTACAGGAAAGGGTCCTTGGGTGCCCTGCCTCACCTCAAGAAGCCTTCCTTTTCCCTGCCAAGCCTCGAAGAGATTCCTGAAATGTCCCTCGTTACTATACAGGAGTCCTGACGTCACTGAAGAAACTCGTGTTTTGAAGGGCCATCCCCTCCGTAAGTCGAGAACATACCCCAGGTCCCCGCCGCAACTCGAGAAAAACCATGAGACTTCCCCCTAGACGCGAGATGAGAGCCCATTCCCCTGCAGTGCATGCAGAGCTATTCAGTGATCCCATTCAAACTAGTCAGGAGCTTCGACTTGCTTAATGGATCTCGAGACAGTCCCCAAGAACACTGTCACCAGTCTAGACGGACCCTGAGGTCACTCCAGCAACGAAAAGCAGCTCCATGTGCCCCAAATCAACTCGAGATGAGGCCCGATTCCCCTGCATTGACTCCAGAGCCATTCTCCGTTCCCTATTCAACACGACCGGTTGCTCGACTTCCTTCAGGCAACTCCAGAGATGCCCCGAGAACACTGTCCCAAGACTAGAGGAACACCAACTTCAGCACAGCAACTCGAGGAATGCTCCGTGTACCGCAAATCGTCTCGAGATGAGAGCTGATTCCCTCGCTTAGGCTCAAGACGTATGCCAACTTTCCGGAAGCACCTCAGGAGGAGGCTTCTCTCAGCAATAGGTATGAGGGAGGGACCCCGAGTTTGCTGCCTCAAGGGGAATATACAGCGAGAAGCCCTAACTTGAAAGGAGGCCGGATTTCCTTGCAGTGGCTTGAATACAGGCTCGTCTTTCATCTCACAACATGAAGGGATGTCTGAATCCCCTGTGGAGAACTTAGAGAAAGCCCTAGGTCCCTGCCTCATTTTGCCGGAATGCCTCACATCACGCTGACACCTCGACAGGCACGCAGAGTTCGTTGCTTCAAAAGGTGACGATGCCTGACTCCTCTTTTATACTGATAGGAATCCCAAAATACTTTGGCTACTGGAAAGGGTCCTTGGGTGCCCTGCCTCACCTCAAGAAGCGTCCCTTTTGCCCTGCCAAGCCTCGAAGAGATTCCTGAGGTGTCCCTCATTACTAGACAGGAGTCCTGACGTCACTGAAGAAACTCGTGTTTTGAAGGGCCATCCCCGCCGTAAGTCGAGAACATACCCCAGGCCCCCGCCTCACCTCGAGAAAAACCATGAGACTTCCCCCTAGAGGCGAGATGAGGCCCCATTCCCCTGCAGTGCATGCAGAGCTATTCCGTGATCCCATTCAAACAAGTCAGGAGCTTCGACTTGCTTAATGGATCTCGAGACATTCCCCAACAACACTGTCACCAGTCTAGACGGACCCTGAGGTCACCCCAGCAACGCAAAGCAGCTCCATGTGCCCCAAATCAACTCGAGATGAGGCCCGATTCCCCTTCATTGACTCCAGAGCCATTCCCCGTTCCCCATTCAACACGACCGGTGGCTCGACTTCCTTCAGGCAACTCCAGAGATGCCCCGAGAACACTGTCCCAAGACTAGAGGAACACCAACTTCAGCTCAGCAACTCGAGGAATGCTCCGTGTACCCCAAATCGTCTCGAGATGAGAGCTGATTCCCTGGCTTAGGATCAAGCCATATGCCAACTTTCCGGAAGCACCTCAGGAGGAGGCTTCTGTCAGCAGTAGGTATGAGGGAGGGACACCGAGTTTGCTGCCACAAGGGGAATATACAGCGAGAAGCCCTAACTTGAAAGGATGCCGGATTTCCTTGCAGTGGCTTGAATACAGGCTCGTCTTTCATCTCACAACATGAAGGGATGTCTGAATCCCCTGTGGAGACCTTAGAGAAAGCCCTAGGTCCCTGCCTCATTTTGACGGAATGCCTCACATCCCGCTGTCTCCTCTAGAGGTACGCGGAGTTCATTACTTCAGAAGGTGATGACGCCTGACTCCTCTTGAATACTGATAGGAATCCCAAAATCCCTTTGGCTTCTGGAAAGGGTCCTTGGGTGCCCTGCCTCACCTCGAGAAGCGTCTCTTTTGCCCTGCCAAGCCTCAAAGAGATTCCTGAGGTGTCCCTTGTTACTAGACAGGAGTCCTGACGTCACTGAAGAAACTCGTGTTTTGAAGGGCCATCCCCGCCGTAAGTCGAGAACATACCCCAGGTCCCCACCGCAACTCGAGTAAAACCATGAGACTACCCCGTAGAGGCGAGATGAGGCCCCATTCCCCTGCAGTGCATGCAGAGCTATTCCGTGATCCCGTTCAAACAAGTCAGGAGCTTCGACTTGCTTAATGGATCTCGAGACAGTCCCCAAGAACACTATCACCAGTCTAGACGGACCCTGAGGTCACCCCAGCAACGCAAAGCAGCTCCATGTGCCCCAAATCAACTCGAGATGAGGCCCGATTCCCCTGCATTGACTCCAGAGCCATTCCCCGTTCCCCATTCAACAAGACCGGTGACTCGACTTCCTTCAGGCAACTCCAGAGATGCCCCGAGAACACTGTCCCAAGTCTAGAGGAACACCAACTTCAGCACAGCAACTCGAGGAATGCTCCGTGTACCCCAAATCGTCTCGAGATGAGAGCTGATTCCCTGGCTTAGGCTCAAGACGTATGCCAACTTTCCGGAAGCACCTCAGGAGGAGGTTTCTCTCAGCAGTAGGTATGAGGGAGGGACCCCGAGTTTGCTGCCTCAAGGAGAATATACAGCGAGAAGCCCTAACTTGAAAGGAGGCCGGATTTCCTTGCAGTGGCTTGAATACAGGCTCGTCTTTCATCTCACAACATGAAGGGATGTCTGAATCCGCTGTGGAGACCTTAGAGAAAGCCCTAGGTCCCTGCCTCATTTTGACGGAATGCCTCGCATCCCGCTGACTCCTCGAGAGGTACGCGGAGTTCATTACTTCAAAAGGTGATGACTCCTGACTCCTCTTGAATACTGATAGGAATCCCAAAATCCCTGTGGCTTCTGGAAAGGGTCCTTGGGTGCCCGGCCTCACCTCGAGAAGCGTCCCTTTTGCCCTGAAAAGCCTCGAAGAGATTCCTGAGGTGTCCCTTGTTACTAGACAGGAGTCCTAACTTCACGGAAGAAACTCGTGTTTTGAAGGGCCATCCCCGCCTTAAGTCGAGAACATACCCCAGGTCCCCGCCGCAACTAGAGAAAAACCATGAGACTTCCCCCTAGAGGCGACATGAGGCCCCATTCCCCTGTAGTGCATGCAGAGCTATTCCGTGATCCCATTCAAACAAGTAAGGAGCTTCGACTTGCTTAATGGATCTCGAGACAGTCCCCAAGAACACTATCACCAGTCTAGACGGACCCTGAGGTCCCCCCAGCAACGCAAAGCAGCCCCATGTGCCCTAAATCACCTAGAGATGAGGCCCAATTCCCCTGCATTGACTCCAGAGCCATTCCAAGTTCCCCATTCAACACGACCGGTGGCTCGACTTCCTTCAGGCAACTCCAGAGATGGCCCGAGAACACTGTCCCAAGACTAGAGGAACACCAACCTCAGCACAGCAACTCGAGGAATGCTCTGTGTACCCCAAATCGTCTCGAGGTGAGAGCTGATTCCCTGGCTTAGGAACAAGATGTATGCCAAATTTCCGGAAGCACCTCAGGAGGAGGCTTCTCTCAGCAATAGTTATGAGGGAGGGACCCCGAGTTTACTGCCTCAAGCGGAATATACAGCGAGAAGCCCTAACTTGAAAGGAGGCCGGATTTCCTTGCAGTGGCTTGAATACAGGCTCGTCTTTCATCTCACAACATGAAGGGATGTCTGAATCCGCTGTGGAAACCTTAGAGAAATCCCTAGGTCCCTGCCTCATTTTGACGGAATGCCTCACATCCCGCTGACTCCTCGAGAGGTACGCGGAGTTCATTTCTTCAAAAGGTGATGAATCCTGACTCCTCTTGAATACTGATAGGAATCCCAAAATCCCTGTGGCTACTGGAAAGGGTCCTTGGGTGCCCTGCCTCACCTCGAGAAACGTCCCTTTTGCCCTGCCAAGCCTCGAAGAGATTCCTGAGGTGTCCCTCGTTACTAGACAGGAGTCCTGACGTCACTGAAGAAACTCGTGTTTTGAAGGGCCATCCCCTCCGTAAGTCGAGAACATACCCCAGGTCGCAGCCGCAACTCGAGAAATACCATGAGACTTCCCCCTAGAGGCGAGATGAGAGCCCATTCCCCTGCAGTGCATGCAGAGCTATTCAGTGATCCCATTCAAACAAGTCAGGAGCTTCGACTTGCTTAATGGATCTCGAGACAGTCCCCAAGAACACTGTCACCAGTCTAGACGGACCCTGAGGTCACTCCAGCAACGCAAAGCAGCTCCATGTGCCCCAAATCAACTCGAGATGAGGCCCGATTCCCCTGCATTGACTCCAGAGCCATTCCCCGTTCCCCGTACATCACGACCGGTTGCTCGACTTCCTTCAGGCAACTCCAGAGATGCCCCGAGAACACTGTCCCAAGACTAGAGGAACACCAACTTCAGCACAGCAACTCGAGGAATGCTCCGTGTACCGCAAATCGTCTCGAGATGAGAGCTGATTCCCTCGCTTAGGCTCAAGACGTATGCCAACTTTCCGGAAGCCCCTCAGGAGGAGGCTTCTTTCAGCAATAGGTATGAGGGAGGGACCCCGAGTTTGCTGCCTCAAGGGGAATATACAGCGAGAAGCCCTAACTTGAAAGGAGGCCGGATTTCCTTGCAGTGGCTTGAATACAGGCTCGTCTTTCATCTCACAACATGAAGGGTTATCTGAATCCCCTGTGGAGACCTTAGAGAAAGCCCTAGGTCCCTGCCTCATTTTGACGGAATGCCTCACATCCCGCTGACTCCTCGAGAGGTATGCGGAGTTCATTACTAGAATAGGTGATGACGCCTCACTCCTCTTGAATACTGATAGGAATCCCAAACTTACTGTGGCTACAGGAAAGGGTCCTTGGGTGCCCTGCCTCACCTCAAGAAGCCTTCCTTTTCCCTGCCAAGCCTCGAAGAGATTCCTGAAATGTCCCTCGTTACTATACAGGAGTCCTGACGTCACTGAAGAAACTCGTGTTTTGAAGGGCCATCCCCTCCGTAAGTCGAGAACATACCCCAGGTCCCCGCCGCAACTCGAGAAAAACCATGAGACTTCCCCCTAGAGGCGAGATGAGAGCCCATTCCCCTGCAGTGCATGCAGAGCTATTCAGTGATCCCATTCAAACTAGTCAGGAGCTTCGACTTGCTTAATGGATCTCGAGACAGTCCCCAAGAACACTGTCACCAGTCTAGACGGACCCTGAGGTCACTCCAGCAACGAAAAGCAGCTCCATGTGCCCCAAATCAACTCGAGATGAGGCCCGATTCCCCTGCATTAACTCCAGAGCCATTCTCCGTTCCCTATTCAACACGACCGGTTGCTCGACTTCCTTCAGGCAACTCCAGAGATGCCCCGAGAACACTGTCCCAAGACTAGAGGAACACCAACTTCAGCACAGCAACTCGAGGAATGCTCCGTGTACCGCAAATCGTCTCGAGATGAGAGCTGATTCCCTCGCTTAGGCTCAAGACGTATGCCAACTTTCCGGAAGCACCTCAGGAGGAGGCTTCTCTCAGCAATAGGTATGAGGGAGGGACCCCGAGTTTGCTGCCTTAAGGGGAATATACAGCGAGAAGCCCTAACTTGAAAGGAGGCCGGATTTCCTTGCAGTGGCTTGAATACAGGCTCGTCTTTCATCTCACAACATGAAGGGATGTCTGAATCCCCTGTGGAGAACTTAGAGAAAGCCCTAGGTCCCTGCCTCATTTTGCCGGAATGCCTCACATCACGCTGACACCTCGACAGGCACGCAGAGTTCGTTGCTTCAAAAGGTGACGATGCCTGACTCCTCTTTTATACTGATAGGAATCCCAAAATACTTTGGCTACTGGAAAGGGTCCTTGGGTGCCCTGCCTCACCTCGAGAAGCGTCCCTTTTGCCCTGCCAAGCCTCGAAGAGATTCCTGAGGTGTCCCTCATTACTAGACAGGAGTCCTGACGTCACTGAAGAAACTCGTGTTTTGAAGGGCCATCCCCGCCGTAAGTCGAGAACATACCCCAGGCCCCCGCCTCACCTCGAGAAAAACCATGAGACTTCCCCCTAGAGGCGAGATGAGGCCCCATTCCCCTGCAGTGCATGCAGAGCTATTCCGTGATCCCATTCAAACAAGTCAGGAGCTTCGACTTGCTTAATGGATCTCGAGACATTCCCCAACAACACTGTCACCAGTCTAGACGGACCCTGAGGTCACCCCAGCAACGCAAAGCAGCTCCATGTGCCCCAAATCAACTCGAGATGAGGCCCGATTCCCCTGCATTGACTCCAGAGCCATTCCCCGTTCCCCATTCAACACGACCGGTGGCTCGACTTCCTTCAGGCAACTCCAGAGATGCCCCGAGAACACTGTCCCAAGACTAGAGGAACACCAACTTCAGCTCAGCAACTCGAGGAATGCTCCGTGTACCCCAAATCGTCTCGAGATGAGAGCTGATTCCCTGGCTTAGGATCAAGCCATATGCCAACTTTCCGGAAGCACCTCAGGAGGAGGCTTCTGTCAGCAGTAGGTATGAGGGAGGGACACCGAGTTTGCTGCCACAAGGGGAATATACAGCGAGAAGCCCTAACTTGAAAGGATGCCGGATTTCCTTGCAGTGGCTTGAATACAGGCTCGTCTTTCATCTCACAACATGAAGGGATGTCTGAATCCCCTGTGGAGACCTTAGAGAAAGCCCTAGGTCCCTGCCTCATTTTGACGGAATGCCTCACATCCCGCTGTCTCCTCGAGAGGTACGCGGAGTTCATTACTTCAAAAGGTGATGACGCCTGACTCCTCTTGAATACTGATAGGAATCCCAAAATCCCTTTGGCTTCTGGAAAGGGTCCTTGGGTGCCCTGCCTCACCTCGAGAAGCGTCTCTTTTGCCCTGCCAAGCCTCAAAGAGATTCCTGAGGTGTCCCTTGTTACTAGACAGGAGTCCTGACGTCACTGAAGAAACTCGTGTTTTGAAGGGCCATCCCCGCCGTAAGTCGAGAACATACCCCAGGTCCCCGCCGCAACTCGAGTAAAACCATGAGACTACCCCGTAGAGGCGAGATGAGGCCCCATTCCCCTGCAGTGCATGCAGAGCTATTCCGTGATCCCGTTCAAACAAGTCAGGAGCTTCGACTTGCTTAATGGATCTCGAGACAGTCCCCAAGAACACTATCACCAGTCTAGACGGACCCTGAGGTCACCCCAGCAACGCAAAGCAGCTCCATGTGCCCCAAATCAACTCGAGATGAGGCCCGATTCCCCTGCATTGACTCCATAGCCATTCCCCGTTCCCCATTCAACAAGACCGGTGACTCGACTTCCTTCAGGCAACTCCAGAGATGCCCCGAGAACACTGTCCCAAGTCTAGAGGAACACCAACTTCAGCACAGCAACTCGAGGAATGCTCCGTGTACCCCAAATCGTCTCGAGATGAGAGCTGATTCCCTGGCTTAGGCTCAAGACGTATGCCAACTTTCCGGAAGCACCTCAGGAGGAGGTTTCTCTCAGCAGTAGGTATGAGGGAGGGACCCCGAGTTTGCTGCCTCAAGGAGAATATACAGCGAGAAGCCCTAACTTGAAAGGAGGCCGGATTTCCTTGCAGTGGCTTGAATACAGGCTCGTCTTTCATCTCACAACATGAAGGGATGTCTGAATCCGCTGTGGAGACCTTAGAGAAAGCCCTAGGTCCCTGCCTCATTTTGACGGAATGCCTCGCATCCCGCTGACTCCTCGAGAGGTACGCGGAGTTCATTACTTCAAAAGGTGATGACTCCTGACTCCTCTTGAATACTGATAGGAATCCCAAAATCCCTGTGGCTTCTGGAAAGGGTCCTTGGGTGCCCGGCCTCACCTCGAGAAGCGTCCCTTTTGCCTGAAAAGCCTCGAAGAGATTCCTGAGGTGTCCCTTGTTACTAGACAGGAGTCCTAACTTCACGGAAGAAACTCGTGTTTTGAAGGGCCATCCCCGCCTTAAGTCGAGAACATACCCCAGGTCCCCGCCGCAACTAGAGAAAAACCATGAGACTTCCCCCTAGAGGCGACATGAGGCCCCATTCCCCTGTAGTGCATGCAGAGCTATTCCGTGATCCCATTCAAACAAGTAAGGAGCTTCGACTTGCTTAATGGATCTCGAGACAGTCCCCAAGAACACTATCACCAGTCTAGACGGACCCTGAGGTCCCCCCAGCAACGCAAAGCAGCCCCATGTGCCCTAAATCACCTAGAGATGAGGCCCAATTCCCCTGCATTGACTCCAGAGCCATTCCAAGTTCCCCATTCAACACGACCGGTGGCTCGACTTCCTTCAGGCAACTCCAGAGATGGCCCGAGAACACTGTCCCAAGACTAGAGGAACACCAACCTCAGCACAGCAACTCGAGGAATGCTCTGTGTACCCCAAATCGTCTCGAGGTGAGAGCTGATTCTCTGGCTTAGGAACAAGATGTATGCCAAATTTCCGGAAGCACCTCAGGAGGAGGCTTCTCTCAGCAATAGTTATGAGGGAGGGACCCCGAGTTTGCTGCCTCAAGCGGAATATACAGCGAGAAGCCCTAACTTGAAAGGAGGCCGGATTTCCTTGCAGTGGCTTGAATACAGGGTCGTCTTTCATCTCACAACATGAAGGGATGTCTGAATCCGCTGTGGAAACCTTAGAGAAATCCCTAGGTCCCTGCCTCATTTTGACGGAATGCCTCACATCCCGCTGACTCCTCGAGAGGTACGCGGAGTTCATTTCTTCAAAAGGTGATGAATCCTGACTCCTCTTGAATACTGATAGGAATCCCAAAATCCCTGTGGCTTCTGGAAAGGGTCCTTGGGTGCCCTGCCTCACCTCGAGAAACGTCCCTTTTGCCCTGCCAAGCCTCGAAGAGATTCCTGAGGTGTCCCTTGTTACTAGACAGTAGTCCTGACTTCACTGAAGAAACTCGTGTTTTGAAGGGCCATCCCCGTCGTAAGTCGAGAACATACCCCAGGTCCCCGCCGCAACTCGAGAAAAACCATGAGACTTCCAACTAGATGGGACATGAGGCCTCATTCCCCTGCAGTGCATGCAGAGGTATTCCGTGATCCCATTCAAACAAGTCAGGAGCTTCGACTTGCTTAATGGATCTCGAGACAGTCCCCAAGAACACTGTCACCAGTCTAGACGGACCCTGAGGTCCCCCCAGCAACGCAAAGCAGCTCCATGTGCCCCAAATCAACTCGAGATGAGGCCCAATTCCCCTGCATTGACTCCAGAGCCATTCCAAGTTCCCCATTCAACACGACCGGTGGCTAGACTTCCTTGAGGCAACTCCAGAGATGCCCCGAGAACACTGTCCAAAGACTAGAGGAACACCAACTTCAGCACAGCAACTCGAGGAATGCTCCGTGTACCCCAAATCGTCTCGAGATGAGAGCTGATTCCCTCGCTTATGCTCAAGAGGTATGTCAAATTTCCAGTAGCACCTCAGGAGGAGGCTTTTCTCAGCAATAGGTATGTGGGAGAGATCTCGAGTTTGCTGCCTCAAGGGGAATACACAGCGAGAAGCCCTAACTTGAAAGGAGGCCGGATTTCCTTGAAGTGGCTTGAATACAGGCTCGTCTTTCATCTCACAACATGACGGGATGTCTGAATCCACTGTGGAGACCTTAGAGAAAGCCCTAGGTCCCTGCCTCATTTTGAGGGAATGCCTCACATCCCACTGACACATCGAGAGGCACGCGGAGTTCATTGCTTCAAAAGTTGATGATGCCTGACTCCTCTTGAATACTGATAGGAATCCCAAAATCCCTGTGGCTTCTGGAAAGGGTCCTTGGGTGCCCTGCTTCACCTCGAGAAGCGTCCCTTTTGCCCTGCCAAGCCTCGAAGAGATTCCTGAGGTGTCCCTTGTTACTAGACAGGAGTCCTGACTTCACTGAAGAAACTCCTGTTTTGAAGGGCCATCCCCGTCGTAAGTCGAGAACATACCCCAGGTCCCCGCCGCAACTCGAGAAAAACCATGAGACTTCCAACTAGAGGGGACATGAGGCCCCATTCCCCTGCAGTGCATGCAGAGCTATTCCGTGATCCCATTCAAACAAGTCAGGAGCTTCGACTTGCTTAATGGATCTCGAGACAGTCCTCAAGAACACTGTCACCAGTCTAGACGGACCCTGAGGTCCCCCCAGCAACGCAAAGCAGCTCCATGTGCCCCAAATCAACTCGAGATGAGGCCCGATTCCCCTGCATTGACTCCAGAGCCATTCCAAGTTCCCCATTCAACACGACCGGTGGCTCGACTTCTTCAGGATTCTCCAGAGATGCCCCGAGAACACTGTCCAAAGACTAGAGGAACACCAACTTCAGCACAGCAACTCGAGGAATGCTCCGTGTACCCCAAATCGTCTCGAGATGAGAGCTGATTCCCTGGCTTATGCTCAAGAGGTATGTCAAATTTCCAGTAGAACCTCAGGAGGAGGCTTCTCTCAGCAATAGGTATGTGGGAGAGATGTCGAGTTTGCTGCCTCAAGGGGAATACACAGCGAGAAGCCCTAACTTGAAAGGAGGCCGGATTTCCTTGAAGTGGCTTGAATACAGGCTCGTCTTTCATCTCACAACATGAAGGGATGTCTGAATCCACTGTGGAGACCTTAGAGAAAGCCCTAGTTCCCTGCCTCATTTTGAGGGAATGCCTCACATCCCACTGACACATCGAGAGGCACGCGGAGTTCATTGCTTCAAAAGTTGACGATGCCTGACTCCTCTTGAATACTGATAGGAATCCCAAAATCCCTGTGGATTGTGGAAAGGGTCCCTGGGTGCCCTGCCTCACCTCGAGAAGCGTCCCTTTTGCCCTGCCAAGCCTCGAAGAGATTCCTGAGGTGTCCCTCGTTACTAGCGAGGAGTCCTGACGTCACTGAAGAAACTCGTGTTTTGAAGGGCCATCCCCGCCGTAAGTCGAGAACATACCCCAGGTCATCGCCGCAACTCGAGAAAAACCATGAGACTTCCCCCTAGCGGCGAGATGAGGCCCCATTCCCCTGCAGTGCATGCAGAGCTATTCCGTGATCCCATTCAAACGAGTCAGGAGCTTCGACTTGCTTAATGGATCTCGAGACAGTCCCCAAGATCACTGTAACCAGTCTAGACGGACCCTGAGGTCACCCAAGCAACGCAAAGCAGCACCATGTGCCCCAAATCAACTCGAGATGAGGCCCGATTCCCCTGCATTGACTCCAGAGCCATTCCAAGTTCCCCATTCAACACGACCGGTGGCTCGACTTCCTTCAGGAAACTCCATAGATGCCCCGAAACCACTGTCCCAAGACTAGAGGAACACCAACTTCAGCACAGCAATGCGAGGAATGCTCCGTGTACCCCAAATCGTCCTGAGGTGAGAGCTGATTCCCTGGCTTAGGATCAAGACGTATGCCAACTTTCCGGAAGCACCTCAGGAGGAGGCTTCTCTCAGCAATAGTTATGAGGGAGGGACCCCGAGTTTGCTGCCTCAAGCGGAATATACAGCGAGAAGCCCTAACTTGAAAGGAGGCCGGATTTCCTTGCAGTGGCTTGAATACAGGCTCGTCTTTCATCTCACAACATGAAGGGATGTCTGAATCCGCTGTGGAGACCTTAGAGAAATCCCTGGTCCCTGCCTCATTTTGACGGAATGCCTCACATCCCGCTGACTCCTCGAGAGGTACGCGGAGTTCATTACTGCAAAAGGTGATGAATCCTGACTCCTCTTGAATACTGATAGGAATCCCAAAATCCCTGTGGCTACTGGAAAGGGTCTTTGGGTGCCCTGCCTCACCTCGAGAAGCGTCCCTTTTGCCCTGCCAAGCCTCGAAGAGATTCCTGAGGTGTCCCTCGTTACTAGACAGGAGTCCTGACGTCACTGAAGAAACTCGTGTTTTGAAGGGCCATCCCCGCCGTAAGTCGAGAACATAACCCAGGTCACCGCCGCAACTCAGGAAAAACCATGAGAATTCCCCCTAGATGCGAGATGAGGCCCCATTCCCCTGCAGTGCATGCAGAGCTATTCTGTGATCCCATTCAAACAAGTCTGGAGCTTCGACTTGCTTAATGGATCACGAGACAGTCCCCAAGAACACTGTCACCATTCTAGACGCACCTGAGGTCACCCCAGCAACGCAAAGCAGCTCCATGTGCCTCAAATCAACTCGAGATGAGGCCCGATTCCCCTGCATTGACCCCAGAGCCATTCCCCGATCCCCATTCAACACGACCGGTGGCTCGACTTCCTTCAGGCAACTCCAGAGATGCCCCGAGAGCACTGTCCCAAGACTAGAGGAACACCAACCTCAGCACAGCAACTCGAGGAATGCTCCGTGTACCCCAAATCGTCTCGAGATGAGAGCTGATTCCCTGGCTTAGAATCAAGACTTATGCCAACTTTCCGGAAGCACCTCAGGAGGAGGCTTCTCTCAGCAATAGGTATGTGGGAGGGACCCCGAGTTTGCTGCCTCAAGGGGAATATACAGTGAGAAGCCTTAACTTGAAAGGAGGCCAGATTTCCTTGCAGTGGCTTGAATACAGGCTCGTCTTTCATCTCACAACATGAAGGGATGTCTGAATCCCCTGTGGAGACCTTAGAGAAAGCCCTAGTTCCCTGCCTCATTTTGACGGAATGCCTCACATCCCGCTGACACCTCGAGAGGCACGAGGAGTTCATTGCTTCAAAAGGTGACGATGCCTGACTCCTCTTGAATACTGATAGGAATCCCAAAATCCCTGTGGCTACAGGAAAGGGTCCTTGGGTGCCCTGCCTCACCTCGAGAAGCGTCCCTTTTGCCCTGCCAAGCCTCGAAGAGATTCCTGAGGTGTCCCTCGTTACTAGACAGGAGTCCTGATGTCACTGAAGAAACTCGTGTTTTGAAGGGCTATCCTCTCCGTAAGTCGAGAACATACCCCATGGCCCCGCCGCAGCTGGAGAAAAACCATGAGACTTCCCCCTAGAGGCGAGATGAGGCCCCATTCCCCTGCAGTGCATGCAGAGCTATTCCGTGATCCCATTCAAACTAGTCAGGAGCTTCGACTTGCTTAATGGATCACGAGACAGTCCCCAAGAACACTGTCACCAGTCTAGACGGACCCTGAGGTCACCCCAGCAACGCAAAGCAGATCCATGTGCCCCAAATCAACTCGAGATGAGTCCCGATTCCCCTGCATTGACTCCAGAGCCATTCCCCGTTCCCCATTCAACACGACCGGTGGCTCGACTTCCTTCAGGCAACTCCAGAGATGCCCCGAGAACACTGTCCCAAGTCTAGAGGAACACCAACTTCAGCACAGCAACTCGAGGAATGCTCCATGTACCCCAAATCGTCTCGAGATGAGAGCTGATTCCCTGGCTTAGGCTCAAGACGTATGAAAACTTTCCAGAAGCACCTCAGGAGGAGGCTTCTCTCAGCAATAGGTATGTGGGAGGGACCCCGAGTTTGCTGCCTCAAGGGGAATATACAGCGAGAAGCCGTAACTTGAAAGGAGGCCAGATTTCCTTGCAGTGGCTTGAATACAGGCTCGTCTTTCATCTCACAACATGAAGGGATGTCTGAATCCCCTGTGGAGACCTTAGAGAAAGCCCTAGTTCCCTGCCTCATTTTGACGGAATGCCTCACATCCCGCTGACACCTCGAGAGGCACGAGGAGTTCATTGCTTCAAAAGGTGACGATGCCTGACTCCTCTTGAATACTGATAGGAATCCCAAAATCCCTGTGGCTACTGGAAAGGGTCCTTGGGTGCCCTGCCTCACCTCGAGAAGCGTCCCTTTTGCCCTGCCAATCCTCGAAGAGATACCTGAGGTGTCCCTCGTTACTAGACAGGAGTCCTGACGTCACTGAAGAAACTCGTGTTTTGAAGGGCCATCCCGGCTGTAAGTCGAGAATATACCCCAGGTCCCCACAGCAACTCGAAAAAAACCATGAGACTTCCCCCTAGAGGCGAGATGAGGCCCCATTCCCCTGCAGTGCATGCAGAGCTATTCCGTGATCCCATTCAAACAAGTCAGGAGCTTCGACTTGCTTAATGGATCTCGAGACAGTCCCCAAGAACACTGTCACCAGTCTAGACTGACCCTGAGCTCACCCCATCAAAGCAAAGCAGCTCCATGTGCCCCAAATCAACTCGAGATGAGGCCCGATTCCCCTGTATTGACTCCAGAGCCTTTCCCCGTTCCGCATTTAACACGACCGGCGGTTCGACTTCCTTCAGGCAACTCCAGAGATGCCCCGAGAACACTGTCCCAAGACTAGAGGAACACCAACTTCAGCACAGCAACTCGAGGAATGCTCCGTGTACTCCAAATCGTCTCGAGATGAGAGCTGATTCCCTGGCTTAGGCTCAAGACGTATGCCAACTTTCCGGAAGCATCTCAGGAGGAGGCTTCTCTCAGCAATAGGTATGTGGGAGGGACCCCGAGTTTGCTGCCTCAAGGGAAATATACAGCGAGAAGCCCTAACTTGAAAGGAGGCCAGATTTCCTTGCAGTGGCTTGAATACAGGCTCGTCTTTCATCTCACCACATGAAGGGATGTCTGAATCCCCTGTGGAGACCTTAGAGAAAGCCTAGGTCCCTGCCTCATTTTGACGGAATGCCTCACCTCCCGCTGACACCTCGAGAGGCACGCGGAGTTCATTGCTTCAAAAGGTGACGATGCCTGACTACTCTTGAATACTGATAGGAATCCCAAAATCCCTGTGGCTACAGGAAAGGGTCCTTGGGTGCCCTGCCTCACTTCGAGAAGCGTCCCTTTTGCCCTGCCAAGCCTCGAAGAGATTCCTGAGGTGTCCCTCGTTACTAGACAGGAGTCCTGACGTCACTGAAGAAACTCGTGTTTTGAAGGGCCATCCCCTCCGTAAGTCGAGAACATACCCCAGGTCCCCACCGCAACTCGAGAAAAACCATGAGACTTCCCCCTAGAGGCGAGATGAGAGCCCATTCCCCTGCAGTGCATGCAGAGCTATTCAGTGATCCCATTCAAACAAGTCAGGAGCTTCGACTTGCTTAATGGATCTCGAGACAGTCCCCAAGAACACTGTCACCAGTCTAGACGGACCCTGAGGTCACTCCAGCAACGCAAAGCAACTCCATGTGCCCCAAATCAACTCGAGATGAGGCCCGATTCCCCTGCATTGACTCCAGAGCCATTCCCCGTTCCCCATTCAACACGACCGGTTGCTCGAATTCCTTCAGGCAACTCCAGAGATGCCCCGAGAACACTGTCCCAAGACTAGAGGAACACCAACTTCAGCACAGCAACTCGAGGAATGCTCCGTGTACCGCAAATCGTCTCGAGATGAGAGATGATTCCCTCGCTTAGGCTCAAGACGTATGCCAACTTTCCGGAAGCACCTCAGGGGGAGGCTTCTCTCAGCAATAGGTATGAGGGAGGGACCCCGAGTTTGCTGCCTCAAGGGGAATATACAGCGAGAAGCCCTAACTTGAAAGGAGGCCGGATTTCCTTGCAGTGGCTTGAATACAGGCTCGTCTTTCATCTCACAACATGAAGGGATGTCTGAATCCCCTGTGGAGAACTTCGAGAAAGCCCTAGGTCCCTGCCTCATTTTGACGGAATGCCTCACATCCCGCTGACTCCTCGAGAGGTATGCGGAGTTCATTACTTCAAAAGGTGATGACGCCTGACTCCTCTTGAATACTGATAGGAATCCCAAAATCCCTGTGGCTACTGGAAAGGATCCTTGGGTTCCCTGCCTCACCTCGAGAAGCGTCCCTTTTGCCCTGCCAAGCCTCGAAGAGATTCCTGAGGTGTCCCTCGTTACTAGACAGGAGTCCTGACGTCACTGAAGAAACTCGTGTTTTGAAGGGCCATCCCCGCCGTAAGTCGAGAACATAGCCCAGGCCCCCGCCGCAACTCGACTAAAACCATGAGACTTCCCCATAGAGGCGAGATGAGGCCCCATTCCCCTGCAGTGCATGCAGAGCTATTCAGTGATCCCATTCAAACAAGTCAGGAGCTTCGACTTGCTTAATGGATCTCGAGACAGTCCCCAAGAACACTGTCACCAGTCTAGACGGACCCTGAGGTCACCACAGCAACGCAAAGCAGCTCAATGTGCCCCAAATCAACTCGAGATGAGGCCCGATTCCCCTGCATTGACTCCAGAGCCATTCCAAGTTCCTCATTCAACACGACCGGTGGCTCGACTTCCTTCAGGCAACTCCAGAGATGCCCCGAGAACACTGTCCCAAGACTAGAGGAACACCAACTTCAGCACAGCAACTCGAGGAATGCTCCGTGCACCCCAAATCGTCTCGAGATGAGAGCTGATTCCCTGGCTTAGGCTCAAGACGTATGCCAACTTTCCGGAAGCACCTCAGGAGGAGGATTCTCTCAGCAGTAGGTATGAGGGAGTGACCCCGAGTTTGCTGCCTCAAGGGGAATATACAGCGAAAAGCCCTAACTTGAAAGGAGGCCGGATTTCCTTGCAGTGGCTTGAATACAGGCTCGTCTTTCATCTCACAACATGAAGGGATGTCTGAATACCCTGTGGAGACCTTAGAGAAAGCCCTAGGTCCCTGCGTCATTTTGACGGAATGCCTCACATCCCGCTGACTCCTCGAGAGGTACGCGGAGTTCATTACTTCAAAACGTGATGACCCCTGACTCCTCTTGAATACTGATAGGAATCCCAAAATCCCTGTGGCTTCTGGAAAGGGTCCTTGGGTGCCCTGCCTCACCTCGAGAAGCGTCCCTTTGGCCCTGCCAAGCCTCGAAGAGATTCCTGAGGTGTCCCTCGTTACTAGACAGGAGTCCTGACGTCACTGAAGAAACTCGTGTTTTGAAGGGCCTTCCCCTCCGTAAGTCGAGAACATACCCCAGGTCCCCGCCGCAACTCGATAAAAACCATGAGACTTCCCCCTAGAGGCGAGATGAGAGCCCATTCCCCTGCAGTGCATGCAGAGCTCTTCCGTGATCCCATTCAAACAAGTCAGGAGCTTCGACTTGCTTAATGGATCTCGAGACAGTCCCCAAGAACACTGTCACCAGTCTAGACGGACCCTGAGGTCACTCCAGCAACGCAAAGCAGCTCCATGTGACCCAAATCAACTCGAGATGAGGCCCGATTCCCCTGCATTGACTCCAGAGCCATTCCCCGTTCCCCATTCAACACGACCGGTGGCTCGACTTCCTTCAGGCAACTCCAGAGATGCCCCGAGAACACTGTCCCAAGACTAGAGGAACACCAACTTCAGCTCAGCAACTCGAGGAATGCTCCGTGTACCGCAAATCGTCTCGAGATGAGAGCTGATTCCCTCGCTTAGGCTCAAGACGTATGCCAACTTTCCGGAAGCCCCTCAGGAGGAGGCTTCTTACAGCAATAGGTATGAGGGAGGAACCCCGAATTTGCTGCCTCAAGGGGAATATACAGCGAGAAGCCCTAACTTGAAAGGAGGCCGGATTTCCTTGCAGTGGCTTGAATACAGGCTCGTCTTTCATCTCACAACATGAAGGGTTATCTGAATACCCTGTGGAGACCTTAGAGAAAGCCCTAGGTCCCTGCCTCATTTTGACGGAATGCCTCACATCCCGCTGACTCCTCGAGAGGAACGCGGAGTTCATTACTTCAAAAGGTGATGACGCCTGACTCCTCTTGAATACTGATAGAAATCCCAAAATCCCTGTGGCTACTGGAAAGGGTCCTTGGGTGCCCTGCCTCACCTCGAGAAGCCTCCCTTTTGCCCTGCCAAGCCTCGAAGAGATTCCTGAGGTGTCCCTCGTTACTATACAGGAGTCCTGACGTCACTGAACAAACTCATGTTTTGAAGGGCCATCCCCTCCGTAAGTCGAGAACATACCCCAGGTCCACGCCGCAACTCGAGAAAAACCATGAGACTTCCCCCTAGAGGCGAGATGACAGCCCATTCCCCTGCAGTGCATGCACAGCTATTCAGTGATCCCATTCAAACAAGTCAGGAGCTTCGACTTGCTTAATGGATCTCGAGACAGTCCCCAAGAACACTGTCACCAGTCTAGACGGACCCTGAGGTCACTCCAGCAACGCAAAGCAGCTCCATGTGCCCCAAATCAACTCGAGATGAGGCCCGATTCCCCTGCATTGACTCCAGAGCCATTCCCCGTTCCCTATTCAACACGACCGGTTGCTCGACTTCATTCAGGCAACTCCAGAGATGCCCCGAGAACACTGTCCCAAGACTAGAGGAACACCAACTTCAGCACAGCAACTCGAGGAATGCTCCGTGTACCGCAAATCCTCTCGAGATGAGAGCTGATTCCCTCGCTTAGGCTCAAGACGTATGCCAACTTTCCGGAAGCACCTCAGGAGGAGGCTTCTCTCAGCAATAGGTATGAGGGAGGGACCCCGAGTTTGCTGCCTCAAGGGGAATATACAGCGAGAAGCCCTAACTTGAAAGGAGGCCGGATTTCCTTGCAGTGGCTTGAATACAGGCTCGTCTTTCATCTCACAACATGAAGGGATGTCTGAATCCCCTGTGGAGACGTTAGAGAAAGCCCTAGGTCCCTGCCTCCTTTTGACGGAATGCCTCACATCACGCTCACACCTCGACAGGCACGCAGAGTTCATTGCTTCAAAAGGTGACGATGCCTGACTCCTCTTTTATACTGATAGGAATCCCAAAATACCTTGGCTACTGGAAAGGGTCCTTGGGTGCCCTGCCTCACCTCGAGAAGCGTTCCTTTTGCCCTGCCAAGCCACGAAGAGATTCCTGAGGTGTCCCTCGTTTCTAGACAGGAGTCCTGACGTCACTGAAGAAACTCGTGTTTTGAAGGGCCATCCCCGCAGTAAGTCGAGAACATACCCCAGGCGCCAGCCTCACCTCGAGAAAAACCATGAGACTTGCCCCTAGAGGCGAGATGAGGCCCCATTCCCCTGCAGTGCATGCAGAGCTATTCCGTGATCCCATTCAAACAAGTCAGGAGCTTCGACTTGCTTAATGGATCTCGAGACATTCCCCAAGAACACTGTCACCAGTCTAGACGGACCCTGAGGTCACCCTAGGAACGCAAAGCAGCTCCATGTGCCCCAAATCAACTCGAGATGAGGCCCGATTCCCCTGCATTGACTCCAGAGCCATTCCCCGTTCCCCATTCAACACGACCGGTGGCTCGACTTCCTTCAGGCAACTCCAGAGATGCCCCGAGAACACTGTCCCAAGACTAGAGGAACACCAACTTCAGCACAGCAACTCGAGGAATGCTCCGTGTACCGCAAATCCTCTCGAGATGAGAGCTGATTCCCTCGCTTAGGCTCAAGACGTATGCCAACTTTCCGGAAGCACCTCAGGAGGAGGCTTCTCTCAGCAGTAGGTATGAGGGAGGGAAACCGAGTTTGCTGCCACAAGGGGAATATACAGCGAGAAGCCCTAACTTGAAAGGAGGCCGGATTTCCTTGCAGTGGCTTGAATACAGGCTCGTCTTTCATCTCACAACATGAAGGGATGTCTGAATCCCCTGTGGAGACCTTAGAGAAAGCCCTAGGTCCCTGCCTCATTTTGACGGAATGCCTCACATCCCGCTGACTCCTCGAGAGGTACGCGGAGTTCATTACTTCAAAAGGTGATGACACCTGACTCCTCTTGAATACTGATAGGAATCCCAAAATCCCTTTGGCTTCTGGAAAGGGTCCTTGGTTGCCCTGCCTCACCTCGAGAAGCGTCCCTTTTGCCCTGCCAAGCCTCAAAGAGATTCCTGAGGTGTCCCTTGTTACTAGACAGGAGTCCTGACGTCACTGAAGAAACTCGTGTTTTGAAGGGCCATCCCCGCCGTAAGTCGAGAACATACCCCAGGTCCCCACCGCAACTCGAGAAAAACCATGAGACTTCCCCCTAGAGGCGAGATGAGGCCCCATTCCCCTGCAGTGCATGCAGAGCTATTCCGTGATCCCGTTCAAACAAGTCAGGAGCTTCGACTTGCTTAATGGATCTCGAGACAGTCCCCAAGAACACTATCACCAGTCTAGACGGACCCTGAGGTCACCCCAGCAACGCAAAGCAGCTCCATGTGCCCCAAATCAACTCGAGATGAGGCCCGATTCCCCTGCATTGACTCCAGAGCCATTCCCCGATCCCCATTCAACAAGACCGGCGACTCGACTTCCTTCAGGCAACTCCAGAGATGCCCCGAGAACACTGTCCCAAGTCTAGAGGAACACCAACTTCAGCACAGCAACTCGAGGAATGCTCCGTGTACCTCAAATCGACTCGAGATGAGAGCTGATTCCCTGGCTTAGGCTCAAGACGTATGCCAACTTTCCGGAAGCACCTCAGGAGGAGGCTTCTCTCAGCAGTAGGTATGAGGGAGGGACCCCGAGTTTGCTGCCTCAAGGGGAATATACAGCGAGAAGCCCTAACTTGAAAGGAGGCCAGATTTCCTTGCAGTGGCTTGAATACAGGCTCGTCTTTCATCTCACAACATGAAGGGATGTCTGAATCCCCTGTGGAGACCTTAGAGAAAGCCCTAGGTCCCTGCCTCATTTTGACGGAATGCCTCACATCCCGCTGACTCCTCGAGAGGTACGCGGAGTTCATTACTTCAAAAGGTGATGACTCCTGACTCCTGTTGAATACTGATAGGAATCCCAAAATCCCTGTGGCTTCTGGAAAGGGTCCTTGGGTGCCCGGCCTCACCTCGAGAAGCGTCCCTTTTGCCCTGAAAAGCCTCGAAGAGATTCCTGAGGTGTCCCTTGTTACTAGACAGGAGTCCTAACTTCACTGAAGAAACTCGTGTTTTGAAGGGCCATCCCCGCCGTAAGTCGAGAACATACCCCAGGTCCCCGCCGCAACTCGAGAAAAACCATGAGACTTCCAACTAGAGGGGACATGAGGCCCCATTCCCCTGCAGTGCATGCAGAGCTATTCCGTGAACCCATTCAAACAAGTCAGGAGCTTCGACTTGCTTAATGGATCTCGAGACAGTCCCCAAGAACACTGTCACCAGTCTAGACGGACCCTGAGGTCCCCCCAGCAACGCAAAGCAGCTCCATGTGCCCCAAATCACCTCGAGATGAGGCCCGATTCCTCTGCATTGACTCCAGAGCCATTCCAAGTTCCCCATTCAACACGACCGGTTGCTCGACTTCCTTAAGGCAACTCCAGAGATGCCCCGAGAACACTGTCCCAAGACTAGAGGAACACCAACTTCAGCACAGCAACTCGAGGAATGCTCCGTGCACCCCAAATCGTCTCGAGATGAGAGCTGATTCCCTGGCTTAGGCTCAAGACCTATGCCAACTTTCCGGAAGCACCTCAGGAGGAGGCTTCTCTCAGCAGTAGGTATGAGGGAGTGACCCCGAGTTTGCTGCCTCAAGGGGAATATACAGCGAGAAGCCCTAACTTGAAAGGAGGCCGGATTTCCTTGCAGTGGCTTGAATACAGGCTAGTCTTTCATCTCACAACATGAAGGGATGTCTGAATCCCCTGTGGAGACCTTAGAGAAAGCCCTAGGTCCCTGCCTCATTTTGACGGAATGCCTCACATCCCGCTGACTCCTCGAGAGGTACGCGGAGTTCATTACTTCAAAAGGTGATGACTCCTGACTCCTCTTGAATACTGATAGGAATCCCAAAATTCCTGTGGCTACTGGAAAGGGTCCTGGGTGCCCTGCCTCACCTCGAGAAGCGTCCCTTTTGTCCTGCCAAGCCTCGAAGAGATTCCTGAGGTGTCCCTCGTTACTAGACAGGAGTCCTGACGTCACTGAAGAAACTCGTGTTTTGAAGGGCCATCCCCTCCGTAAGTCGAGAACATACCCCAGGTCCCAGCCGCAACTCGAGAAATACCATGAGACTTCCCCCTAGAGGCGAGATGAGAGCCCATTCCCCTGCAGTGCATGCAGAGCTATTCAGTGATCCCATTCAAACAAGTCAGGAGCTTCGACTTGCTTAATGGATCTCGAGACAGTCCCCAAGAACACTGTCACCAGTCTAGACGGACCCTGAGGTCACTCCAGCAACGCAAAGCAGCTCCATGTGCCCCAAATCAACTCGAGATGAGGCCCGATTCCCCTGCATTGACTCCAGAGCCATTCCCCGTTCCCCATACATCACGACCGGTTGCTCGACTTCCTTCAGGCAACTCCAGAGATGCCCCGAGAACACTGTCCCAAGACTAGAGGAACACCAACTTCAGCACAGCAACTCGAGGAATGCTCCGTGTACCGCAAATCGTCTCGAGATGAGAGCTGATTCCCTCGCTTAGGCTCAAGACGTATGCCAACTTTCCGGAAGCCCCTCAGGAGGAGGCTTCTTTCAGCAATAGGTATGAGGGAGGGACCCCGAGTTTGCTGCCTCAAGGGGAATATACAGCGAGAAGCCCTAACTTGAAAGGAGGCCGGATTTCCTTGCAGTGGCTTGAATACAGGCTCGTCTTTCATCTCACAACATGAAGGGTTATCTGAATCCCCTGTGGAGACCTTAGAGAAAGCCCTAGGTCCCTGCCTCATTTTGACGGAATGCCTCACATCCCGCTGACTCCTCGAGAGGTATGCGGAGTTCATTACTAGAATAGGTGATGACGCCTCACTCCTCTTGAATACTGATAGGAATCCCAAAATCCCTGTGGCTTCTGGAAAGGGTCCTTGGGTGCCCGGCCTCACCTCGAGAAGCGTCCCTTTTGCCCTGAAAAGCCTCGAAGAGATTCCTGAGGTGTCCCTTGTTACTAGACAGGAGTCCTAACTTCACTGAAGAAACTCGTGTTTTGAAGGGCCATCCCCGCCGTAAGTCGAGAACATACCCCAGGTCCCCGCCGCAACTCGAGAAAAACCATGAGACTTCCAACTAGAGGGGACATGAGGCCCCATTCCCCTGCAGTGCATGCAGAGCTATTCCGTGAACCCATTCAAACAAGTCAGGAGCTTCGACTTGCTTAATGGATCTCGAGACAGTCCCCAAGAACACTGTCACCAGTCTAGACGGACCCTGAGGTCCCCCCAGCAACGCAAAGCAGCTCCATGTGCCCCAAATCACCTCGAGATGAGGCCCGATTCCTCTGCATTGACTCCAGAGCCATTCCAAGTTCCCCATTCAACACGACCGGTTGCTCGACTTCCTTAAGGCAACTCCAGAGATGCCCCGAGAACACTGTCCCAAGACTAGAGGAACACCAACTTTAGCACAGCAACTCGAGGAATGCTCCGTGCACCCCAAATCGTCTCGAGATGAGAGCTGATTCCATGGCTTAGGCTCAAGACCTATGCCAACTTTCCGGAAGCACCTCAGGAGGAGGCTTCTCTCAGCAGTAGGTATGAGGGAGTGACCCCGAGTTTGCTGCCTCAAGGGGAATATACAGCGAGAAGCCCTAACTTGAAAGGAGGCCGGATTTCCTTGCAGTGGCTTGAATACAGGCTAGTCTTTCATCTCACAACATGAAGGGATGTCTGAATCCCCTGTGGAGACCTTAGAGAAAGCCCTAGGTCCCTGCCTCATTTTGACGGAATGCCTCACATCCCGCTGACTCCTCGAGAGGTACGCGGAGTTCATTACTTCAAAAGGTGATGACTCCTGACTCCTCTTGAATACTGATAGGAATCCCAAAATTCCTGTGGCTACTGGAAAGGGTCCTGGGTGCCCTGCCTCACCTCGAGAAGCGTCCCTTTTGTCCTGCCAAGCCTCGAAGAGATTCCTGAGGTGTCCCTCGTTACTAGACAGGAGTCCTGACGTCACTGAAGAAACTCGTGTTTTGAAGGGCCATCCCCTCCGTAAGTCGAGAACATACCCCAGGTCCCAGCCGCAACTCGAGAAATACCATGAGACTTCCCCTAGAGGCGAGATGAGAGCCCATTCCCCTGCAGTGCATGCAGAGCTATTCAGTGATCCCATTCAAACAAGTCAGGAGCTTCGACTTGCTTAATGGATCTCGAGACAGTCCCCAAGAACACTGTCACCAGTCTAGACGGACCCTGATGTCACTCCAGCAACGCAAAGCAGCTCCATGTGCCCCAAATCAACTCGAGATGAGGCCCGATTCCCCTGCATTGACTCCAGAGCCATTCCCCGTTCCCCATACATCACGACCGGTTGCTCGACTTCCTTCAGGCAACTCCAGAGATGCCCCGAGAACACTGTCCCAAGACTAGAGGAACACCAACTTCAGCACAGCAACTCGAGGAATGCTCCGTGTACCGCAAATCGTCTCGAGATGAGAGCTGATTCCCTCGCTTAGGCTCAAGACGTATGCCAACTTTCCGGAAGCCCCTCAGGAGGAGGCTTCTTTCAGGAATAGGTATGAGGGAGGGACCCCGAGTTTGCTGCCTCAAGGGGAATATACAGAGAGAAGCCCTAACTTGAAAGGAGGCCGGATTTCCTTGCAGTGGCTTGAATACAGGCTCGTCTTTCATCTCACAACATGAAGGGTTATCTGAATCCCCTGTGGAGACCTTAGAGAAAGCCCTAGGTCCCTGCCTCATTTTGACGGAATGCCTCACATCCCGCTGACTCCTCGAGAGGTATGCGGAGTTCATTACTAGAATAGGTGATGACGCCTCACTCCTCTTGAATACTGATAGGAATCCCAAACTTACTGTGGCTACAGGAAAGGGTCCTTGGGTGCCCTGCCTCACCTCAAGAAGCCTTCCTTTTCCCTGCCAAGCCTCGAAGAGATTCCTGAAATGTCCCTCGTTACTATACAGGAGTCCTGACGTCACTGAAGAAACTCGTGTTTTGAAGGGCCATCCCCTCCGTAAGTCGAGAACATACCCCAGGTCCCCGCCGCAACTCGAGAAAAACCATGAGACTTCCCCCTAGAGGCGAGATGAGAGCCCATTCCCCTGCAGTGCATGCAGAGCTATTCAGTGATCCCATTCAAACTAGTCAGGAGCTTCGACTTGCTTAATGGATCTCGAGACAGTCCCCAAGAACACTGTCACCAGTCTAGACGGACCCTGAGGTCACTCCAGCAACGAAAAGCAGCTCCATGTGCCCCAAATCAACTCGAGATGAGGCCCGATTCCCCTGCATTGACTCCAGAGCCATTCTCCGTTCCCTATTCAACACGACCGGTTGCTCGACTTCCTTCAGGCAACTCCAGAGATGCCCCGAGAACACTGTCCCAAGACTAGAGGAACACCAACTTCAGCACAGCAACTCGAGGAATGCTCCGTGTACCGCAAATCGTCTCGAGATGAGAGCTGATTCCCTCGCTTAGGCTCAAGACGTATGCCAACTTTCCGGAAGCACCTCAGGAGGAGGCTTCTCTCAGCAATAGGTATGAGGGAGGGACCCCGAGTTTGCTGCCTCAAGGGGAATATACAGCGAGAAGCCCTAACTTGAAAGGAGGCCGGATTTCCTTGCAGTGGCTTGAATACAGGCTCGTCTTTCATCTCACAACATGAAGGGATGTCTGAATCCCCTGTGGAGAACTTAGAGAAAGCCCTAGGTCCCTGCCTCATTTTGCCGGAATGCCTCACATCACGCTGACACCTCGACAGGCACGCAGAGTTCGTTGCTTCAAAAGGTGACGATGCCTGACTCCTCTTTTATACTGATAGGAATCCCAAAATACTTTGGCTACTGGAAAGGGTCCTTGGGTGCCCTGCCTCACCTCAAGAAGCGTCCCTTTTGCCCTGCCAAGCCTCGAAGAGATTCCTGAGGTGTCCCTCATTACTAGACAGGAGTCCTGACGTCACTGAAGAAACTCGTGTTTTGAAGGGCCATCCCCGCCGTAAGTCGAGAACATACCCCAGGCCCCCGCCTCACCTCGAGAAAAACCATGAGACTTCCCCCTAGAGGCGAGATGAGGCCCCATTCCCCTGCAGTGCATGCAGAGCTATTCCGTGATCCCATTCAAACAAGTCAGGAGCTTCGACTTGCTTAATGGATCTCGAGACATTCCCCAACAACACTGTCACCAGTCTAGACGGACCCTGAGGTCACCCCAGCAACGCAAAGCAGCTCCATGTGCCCCAAATCAACTCGAGATGAGGCCCGATTCCCCTGCATTGACTCCAGAGCCATTCCCCGTTCCCCATTCAACACGACCGGTGGCTCGACTTCCTTCAGGCAACTCCAGAGATGCCCCGAGAACACTGTCCCAAGACTAGAGGAACACCAACTTCAGCTCAGCAACTCGAGGAATGCTCCGTGTACCCCAAATCGTCTCGAGATGAGAGCTGATTCCCTGGCTTAGGATCAAGCCATATGCCAACTTTCCGGAAGCACCTCAGGAGGAGGCTTCTGTCAGCAGTAGGTATGAGGGAGGGACACCGAGTTTGCTGCCACAAGGGGAATATACAGCGAGAAGCCCTAACTTGAAAGGATGCCGGATTTCCTTGCAGTGGCTTGAATACAGGCTCGTCTTTCATCTCACAACATGAAGGGATGTCTGAATCCCCTGTGGAGACCTTAGAGAAAGCCCTAGGTCCCTGCCTCATTTTGACGGAATGCCTCACATCCCGCTGTCTCCTCGAGAGGTACGCGGAGTTCATTACTTCAAAAGGTGATGACGCCTGACTCCTCTTGAATACTGATAGGAATCCCAAAATCCCTTTGGCTTCTGGAAAGGGTCCTTGGGTGCCCTGCCTCACCTCGAGAAGCGTCTCTTTTGCCCTGCCAAGCCTCAAAGAGATTCCTGAGGTGTCCCTTGTTACTAGACAGGAGTCCTGACGTCACTGAAGAAACTCGTGTTTTGAAGGGCCATCCCCGCCGTAAGTCGAGAACATACCCCAGGTCCCCACCGCAACTCGAGTAAAACCATGAGACTACCCCGTAGAGGCGAGATGAGGCCCCATTCCCCTGCAGTGCATGCAGAGCTATTCCGTGATCCCGTTCAAACAAGTCAGGAGCTTCGACTTGCTTAATGGATCTCGAGACAGTCCCCAAGAACACTATCACCAGTCTAGACGGACCCTGAGGTCACCCCAGCAACGCAAAGCAGCTCCATGTGCCCCAAATCAACTCGAGATGAGGCCCGATTCCCCTGCATTGACTCCAGAGCCATTCCCCGTTCCCCATTCAACAAGACCGGTGACTCGACTTCCTTCAGGCAACTCCAGAGATGCCCCGAGAACACTGTCCCAAGTCTAGAGGAACACCAACTTCAGCACAGCAACTCGAGGAATGCTCCGTGTACCCCAAATCGTCTCGAGATGAGAGCTGATTCCCTGGCTTAGGCTCAAGACGTATGCCAACTTTCCGGAAGCACCTCAGGAGGAGGTTTCTCTCAGCAGTAGGTATGAGGGAGGGACCCCGAGTTTGCTGCCTCAAGGAGAATATACAGCGAGAAGCCCTAACTTGAAAGGAGGCCGGAGTTCCTTGCAGTGGCTTGAATACAGGCTCGTCTTTCATCTCACAACATGAAGGGATGTCTGAATCCGCTGTGGAGACCTTAGAGAAAGCCCTAGGTCCCTGCCTCATTTTGACCGAATGCCTCGCATCCCGCTGACTCCTCGAGAGGTACGCGGAGTTCATTACTTCAAAAGGTGATGACTCCTGACTCCTCTTGAATACTGATAGGAATCCCAAAATCCCTGTGGCTTCTGGAAAGGGTCCTTGGGTGCCCGGCCTCACCTCGAGAAGCGTCCCTTTTGCCCTGAAAAGCCTCGAAGAGATTCCTGAGGTGTCCCTTGTTACTAGACAGGAGTCCTAACTTCACGGAAGAAACTCGTGTTTTGAAGGGCCATCCCCGCCTTAAGTCGAGAACATACCCCAGGTCCCCGCCGCAACTAGAGAAAAACCATGAGACTTCCCCCTAGAGGCGACATGAGGCCCCATTCCCCTGTAGTGCATGCAGAGCTATTCCGTGATCCCATTCAAACAAGTAAGGAGCTTCGACTTGCTTAATGGATCTCGAGACAGTCCCCAAGAACACTATCACCAGTCTAGACGGACCCTGAGGTCCCCCCAGCAACGCAAAGCAGCCCCATGTGCCCTAAATCACCTAGAGATGAGGCCCAATTCCCCTGCATTGACTCCAGAGCCATTCCAAGTTCCCCATTCAACACGACCGGTGGCTCGACTTCCTTCAGGCAACTCCAGAGATGGCCCGAGAACACTGTCCCAAGACTAGAGGAACACCAACCTCAGCACAGCAACTCGAGGAATGCTCTGTGTACCCCAAATCGTCTCGAGGTGAGAGCTGATTCCCTGGCTTAGGAACAAGATGTATGCCAAATTTCCGGAAGCACCTCAGGAGGAGGCTTCTCTCAGCAATAGTTATGAGGGAGGGACCCCGAGTTTACTGCCTCAAGCGGAATATACAGCGAGAAGCCCTAACTTGAAAGGAGGCCGGATTTCCTTGCAGTGGCTTGAATACAGGCTCGTCTTTCATCTCACAACATGAAGGGATGTCTGAATCCGCTGTGGAAACCTTAGAGAAATCCCTAGGTCCCTGCCTCATTTTGACGGAATGCCTCACATCCCGCTGACTCCTCGAGAGGTACGCGGAGTTCATTTCTTCAAAAGGTGATGAATCCTGACTCCTCTTGAATACTGATAGGAATCCCAAAATCCCTGTGGCTTCTGGAAAGGGTCCTTGGGTGCCCTGCCTCACCTCGAGAAACGTCCCTTTTGCCCTGCCAAGCCTCGAAGAGATTCCTGAGGTGTCCCTCGTTACTAGACAGGAGTCCTGACGTCACTGAAGAAACTCGTGTTTTGAAGGGCCATCCCCTCCGTAAGTCGAGAACATACCCCAGGTCCCAGCCGCAACTCGAGAAATACCATGAGACTTCCCCCTAGAGGCGAGATGAGAGCCCATTCCCCTGCAGTGCATGCAGAGCTATTCAGTGATCCCATTCAAACAAGTCAGGAGCTTCGACTTGCTTAATGGATCTCGAGACAGTCCCCAAGAACACTGTCACCAGTCTAGACGGACCCTGAGGTCACTCCAGCAACGCAAAGCAGCTCCATGTGCCCCAAATCAACTCGAGATGAGGCCCGATTCCCCTGCATTGACTCCAGAGCCATTCCCCGTTCCCCGTACATCACGACCGGTTGCTCGACTTCCTTCAGGCAACTCCAGAGATGCCCCGAGAACACTGTCCCAAGACTAGAGGAACACCAACTTCAGCACAGCAACTCGAGGAATGCTCCGTGTACCGCAAATCGTCTCGAGATGAGAGCTGATTCCCTCGCTTAGGCTCAAGACGTATGCCAACTTTCCGGAAGCCCCTCAGGAGGAGGCTTCTTTCAGCAATAGGTATGAGGGAGGGACCCCGAGTTTGCTGCCTCAAGGGGAATATACAGCGAGAAGCCCTAACTTGAAAGGAGGCCGGATTTCCTTGCAGTGGCTTGAATACAGGCTCGTCTTTCATCTCACAACATGAAGGGTTATCTGAATCCCCTGTGGAGACCTTAGAGAAAGCCCTAGGTCCCTGCCTCATTTTGACGGAATGCCTCACATCCCGCTGACTCCTCGAGAGGTATGCGGAGTTCATTACTAGAATAGGTGATGACGCCTCACTCCTCTTGAATACTGATAGGAATCCCAAACTTACTGTGGCTACAGGAAAGGGTCCTTGGGTGCCCTGCCTCACCTCAAGAAGCCTTCCTTTTCCCTGCCAAGCCTCGAAGAGATTCCTGAAATGTCCCTCGTTACTATACAGGAGTCCTGACGTCACTGAAGAAACTCGTGTTTTGAAGGGCCATCCCCTCCGTAAGTCGAGAACATACCCCAGGTCCCCGCCGCAACTCGAGAAAAACCATGAGACTTCCCCCTAGAGGCGAGATGAGAGCCCATTCCCCTGCAGTGCATGCAGAGCTATTCAGTGATCCCATTCAAACTAGTCAGGAGCTTCGACTTGCTTAATGGATCTCGAGACAGTCCCCAAGAACACTGTCACCAGTCTAGACGGACCCTGAGGTCACTCCAGCAACGAAAAGCAGCTCCATGTGCCCCAAATCAACTCGAGATGAGGCCCGATTCCCCTGCATTGACTCCAGAGCCATTCTCCGTTCCCTATTCAACACGACCGGTTGCTCGACTTCCTTCAGGCAACTCCAGAGATGCCCCGAGAACACTGTCCCAAGACTAGAGGAACACCAACTTCAGCACAGCAACTCGAGGAATGCTCCGTGTACCGCAAATCGTCTCGAGATGAGAGCTGATTCCCTCGCTTAGGCTCAAGACGTATGCCAACTTTCCGGAAGCACCTCAGGAGGAGGCTTCTCTCAGCAATAGGTATGAGGGAGGGACCCCGAGTTTGCTGCCTTAAGGGGAATATACAGCGAGAAGCCCTAACTTGAAAGGAGGCCGGATTTCCTTGCAGTGGCTTGAATACAGGCTCGTCTTTCATCTCACAACATGAAGGGATGTCTGAATCCCCTGTGGAGAACTTAGAGAAAGCCCTAGGTCCCTGCCTCATTTTGCCGGAATGAATCACATCACGCTGACACCTCGACAGGCACGCAGAGTTCGTTGCTTCAAAAGGTGACGATGCCTGACTCCTCTTTTATACTGATAGGAATCCCAAAATACTTTGGCTACTGGAAAGGGTCCTTGGGTGCCCTGCCTCACCTCGAGAAGCGTCCCTTTTGCCCTGCCAAGCCTCGAAGAGATTCCTGAGGTGTCCCTCATTACTAGACAGGAGTCCTGACGTCACTGAAGAAACTCGTGTTTTGAAGGGCCATCCCCGCCGTAAGTCGAGAACATACCCCAGGCCCCCGCCTCACCTCGAGAAAAACCATGAGACTTCCCCCTAGAGGCGAGATGAGGCCCCATTCCCCTGCAGTGCATGCAGAGCTATTCCGTGATCCCATTCAAACAAGTCAGGAGCTTCGACTTGCTTAATGGATCTCGAGACATTCCCCAACAACACTGTCACCAGTCTAGACGGACCCTGAGGTCACCCCAGCAACGCAAAGCAGCTCCATGTGCCCCAAATCAACTCGAGATGAGGCCCGATTCCCCTGCATTGACTCCAGAGCCATTCCCCGTTCCCCATTCAACACGACCGGTGGCTCGACTTCCTTCAGGCAACTCCAGAGATGCCCCGAGAACACTGTCCCAAGACTAGAGGAACACCAACTTCAGCTCAGCAACTCGAGGAATGCTCCGTGTACCCCAAATCGTCTCGAGATGAGAGCTGATTCCCTGGCTTAGGATCAAGCCATATGCCAACTTTCCGGAAGCACCTCAGGAGGAGGCTTCTGTCAGCAGTAGGTATGAGGGAGGGACACCGAGTTTGCTGCCACAAGGGGAATATACAGCGAGAAGCCCTAACTTGAAAGGATGCCGGATTTCCTTGCAGTGGCTTGAATACAGGCTCGTCTTTCATCTCACAACATGAAGGGATGTCTGAATCCCCTGTGGAGACCTTAGAGAAAGCCCTAGGTCCCTGCCTCATTTTGACGGAATGCCTCACATCCCGCTGTCTCCTCGAGAGGTACGCGGAGTTCATTACTTCAAAAGGTGATGACGCCTGACTCCTCTTGAATACTGATAGGAATCCCAAAATCCCTTTGGCTTCTGGAAAGGGTCCTTGGGTGCCCTGCCTCACCTCGAGAAGCGTCTCTTTTGCCCTGCCAAGCCTCAAAGAGATTCCTGAGGTGTCCCTTGTTACTAGACAGGAGTCCTGACGTCACTGAAGAAACTCGTGTTTTGAAGGGCCATCCCCGCCGTAAGTCGAGAACATACCCCAGGTCCCCGCCGCAACTCGAGTAAAACCATGAGACTACCCCGTAGAGGCGAGATGAGGCCCCATTCCCCTGCAGTGCATGCAGAGCTATTCCGTGATCCCGTTCAAACAAGTCAGGAGCTTCGACTTGCTTAATGGATCTCGAGACAGTCCCCAAGAACACTATCACCAGTCTAGACGGACCCTGAGGTCACCCCAGCAACGCAAAGCAGCTCCATGTGCCCCAAATCAACTCGAGATGAGGCCCGATTCCCCTGCATTGACTCCATAGCCATTCCCCGTTCCCCATTCAACAAGACCGGTGACTCGACTTCCTTCAGGCAACTCCAGAGATGCCCCGAGAACACTTTCCCAAGTCTAGAGGAACACCAACTTCAGCACAGCAACTCGAGGAATGCTCCGTGTACCCCAAATCGTCTCGAGATGAGAGCTGATTCCCTGGCTTAGGCTCAAGACGTATGCCAACTTTCCGGAAGCACCTCAGGAGGAGGTTTCTCTCAGCAGTAGGTATGAGGGAGGGACCCCGAGTTTGCTGCCTCAAGGAGAATATACAGCGAGAAGCCCTAACTTGAAAGGAGGCCGGATTTCCTTGCAGTGGCTTGAATACAGGCTCGTCTTTCATCTCACAACATGAAGGGATGTCTGAATCCGCTGTGGAGACCTTAGAGAAAGCCCTAGGTCCCTGCCTCATTTTGACGGAATGCCTCGCATCCCGCTGACTCCTCGAGAGGTACGCGGAGTTCATTACTTCAAAAGGTGATGACTCCTGACTCCTCTTGAATACTGATAGGAATCCCAAAATCCCTGTGGCTTCTGGAAAGGGTCCTTGGGTGCCCGGCCTCACCTCGAGAAGCGTCCCTTTTGCCCTGAAAAGCCTCGAAGAGATTCCTGAGGTGTCCCTTGTTACTAGACAGGAGTCCTAACTTCACGGAAGAAACTCGTGTTTTGAAGGGCCATCCCCGCCTTAAGTCGAGAACATACCCCAGGTCCCCGCCGCAACTAGAGAAAAACCATGAGACTTCCCCCTAGAGGCGACATGAGGCCCCATTCCCCTGTAGTGCATGCAGAGCTATTCCGTGATCCCATTCAAACAAGTAAGGAGCTTCGACTTGCTTAATGGATCTTGAGACAGTCCCCAAGAACACTATCACCAGTCTAGACGGACCCTGAGGTCCCCCCAGCAACGCAAAGCAGCCCCATGTGCCCTAAATCACCTAGAGATGAGGCCCAATTCCCCTGCATTGACTCCAGAGCCATTCCAAGTTCCCCATTCAACACGACCGGTGGCTCGACTTCCTTCAGGCAACTCCAGAGATGGCCCGAGAACACTGTCCCAAGACTAGAGGAACACCAAACTCAGCACAGCAACTCGAGGAATGCTCTGTGTACCCCAAATCGTCTCGAGGTGAGAGCTGATTCTCTGGCTTAGGAACAAGATGTATGCCAAATTTCCGGAAGCACCTCAGGAGGAGGCTTCTCTCAGCAATAGTTATGAGGGAGGGACCCCGAGTTTGCTGCCTCAAGCGGAATATACAGCGAGAAGCCCTAACTTGAAAGGAGGCCGGATTTCCTTGCAGTGGCTTGAATACAGGGTCGTCTTTCATCTCACAACATGAAGGGATGTCTGAATCCGCTGTGGAAACCTTAGAGAAATCCCTAGGTCCCTGCCTCATTTTGACGGAATGCCTCACATCCCGCTGACTCCTCGAGAGGTACGCGGAGTTCATTTCTTCAAAAGGTGATGAATCCTGACTCCTCTTGAATACTGATAGGAATCCCAAAATCCCTGTGGCTTCTGGAAAGGGTCCTTGGGTGCCCTGCCTCACCTCGAGAAACGTCCCTTTTGCCCTGCCAAGCCTCGAAGAGATTCCTGAGGTGTCCCTTGTTACTAGACAGTAGTCCTGACTTCACTGAAGAAACTCGTGTTTTGAAGGGCCATCCCCGTCGTAAGTCGAGAACATACCCCAGGTCCCCGCCGCAACTCGAGAAAAACCATGAGACTTCCAACTAGATGGGACATGAGGCCTCATTCCCCTGCAGTGCATGCAGAGCTATTCCGTGATCCCATTCAAACAAGTCAGGAGCTTCGACTTGCTTAATGGATCTCGAGACAGTCCCCAAGAACACTGTCACCAGTCTAGACGGACCCTGAGGTCCCCCCAGCAACGCAAAGCAGCTCCATGTGCCCCAAATCAACTCGAGATGAGGCCCAATTCCCCTGCATTGACTCCAGAGCCATTCCAAGTTCCCCATTCAACACGACCGGTGGCTAGACTTCCTTGAGGCAACTCCAGAGATGCCCCGAGAACACTGTCCAAAGACTAGAGGAACACCAACTTCAGCACAGCAACTCGAGGAATGCTCCGTGTACCCCAAATCGTCTCGAGATGAGAGCTGATTCCCTCGCTTATGCTCAAGAGGTATGTCAAATTTCCAGTAGCACCTCAGGAGGAGGCTTTTCTCAGCAATAGGTATGTGGGAGAGATCTCGAGGTTGCTGCCTCAAGGGGAATACACAGCGAGAAGCCCTAACTTGAAAGGAGGCCGGATTTCCTTGAAGTGGCTTGAATACAGGCTCGTCTTTCATCTCACAACATGACGGGATGTCTGAATCCACTGTGGAGACCTTAGAGAAAGCCCTAGGTCCCTGCCTCATTTTGAGGGAATGCCTCACATCCCACTGACACATCGAGAGGCACGCGGAGTTCATTGCTTCAAAAGTTGATGATGCCTGACTCCTCTTGAATACTGATAGGAATCCCAAAATCCCTGTGGCTTCTGGAAAGGGTCCTTGGGTGCCCTGCTTCACCTCGAGAAGCGTCCCTTTTGCCCTGCCAAGCCTCGAAGAGATTCCTGAGGTGTCCCTTGTTACTAGACAGGAGTCCTGACTTCACTGAAGAAACTCCTGTTTTGAAGGGCCATCCCCGTCGTAAGTCGAGAACATACCCCAGGTCCCCGCCGCAACTCGAGAAAAACAATGAGACTTCCAACTAGAGGGGACATGAGGCCCCATTCCCCTGCAGTGCATGCAGAGCTATTCCGTGATCCCATTCAAACAAGTCAGGAGCTTCGACTTGCTTAATGGATCTCGAGACAGTCCTCAAGAACACTGTCACCAGTCTAGACGGACCCTGAGGTCCCCCCAGCAACGCAAAGCAGCTCCATGTGCCCCAAATCAACTCGAGATGAGGCCCGATTCCCCTGCATTGACTCCAGAGCCATTCCAAGTTCCCCATTCAACACGACCGGTGGCTCGACTTCTTCAGGATTCTCCAGAGATGCCCCGAGAACACTGTCCAAAGACTAGAGGAACACCAACTTCAGCACAGCAACTCGAGGAATGCTCCGTGTACCCCAAATCGTCTCGAGATGAGAGCTGATTCCCTGGCTTATGCTCAAGAGGTATGTCAAATTTCCAGTAGAACCTCAGGAGGAGGCTTCTCTCAGCAATAGGTATGTGGGAGAGATGTCGAGTTTGCTGCCTCAAGGGGAATACACAGCGAGAAGCCCTAACTTGAAAGGAGGCCGGATTTCCTTGAAGTGGCTTGAATACAGGCTCGTCTTTCATCTCACAACATGAAGGGATGTCTGAATCCACTGTGGAGACCTTAGAGAAAGCCCTAGTTCCCTGCCTCATTTTGAGGGAATGCCTCACATCCCACTGACACATCGAGAGGCACGCGGAGTTCATTGCTTCAAAAGTTGACGATGCCTGACTCCTCTTGAATACTGATAGGAATCCCAAAATCCCTGTGGATAGTGGAAAGGGTCCCTGGGTGCCCTGCCTCACCTCGAGAAGCGTCCCTTTTGCCCTGCCAAGCCTCGAAGAGATTCCTGAAGTGTCCCTCGTTACTAGCGAGGAGTCCTGACGTCACTGAAGAAACTCGTGTTTTGAAGGGCCATCCCCGCCGTAAGTCGAGAACATACCCCAGGTCATCGCCGCAACTCGAGAAAAACCATGAGACTTCCCCCTAGCGGCGAGATGAGGCCCCATTCCCCTGCAGTGCATGCAGAGCTATTCCGTGATCCCATTCAAACGAGTCAGGAGCTTCGACTTGCTTAATGGATCTCGAGACAGTCCCCAAGAACACTGTAACCAGTCTAGACGGACCCTGAGGTCACCCAAGCAACGCAAAGCAGCACCATGTGCCCCAAATCAACTCGAGATGAGGCCCGATTCCCCTGCATTGACTCCAGAGCCATTCCAAGTTCCCCATTCAACACGACCGGTGGCTCGACTTCCTTCAGGAAACTCCATAGATGCCCCGAAACCACTGTCCCAAGACTAGAGGAACACCAACTTCAGCACAGCAATGCGAGGAATGCTCCGTGTACCCCAAATCGTCCTGAGGTGAGAGCTGATTCCCTGGCTTAGGATCAAGACGTATGCCAACTTTCCGGAAGCACCTCAGGAGGAGGCTTCTCTCAGCAATAGTTATGAGGGAGGGACCCCGAGTTTGCTGCCTCAAGCGGAATATACAGCGAGAAGCCCTAACTTGAAAGGAGGCCGGATTTCCTTGCAGTGGCTTGAATACAGGCTCGTCTTTCATCTCACAACATGAAGGGATGTCTGAATCCGCTGTGGAGACCTTAGAGAAATCCCTGGTCCCTGCCTCATTTTGACGGAATGCCTCACATCCCGCTGACTCCTCGAGAGGTACGCGGAGTTCATTACTGCAAAAGGTGATGAATCCTGACTCCTCTTGAATACTGATAGGAATCCCAAAATCCCTGTGGCTACTGGAAAGGGTCTTTGGGTGCCCTGCCTCACCTCGAGAAGCGTCCCTTTTGCCCTGCCAAGCCTCGAAGAGATTCCTGAGGTGTCCCTCGTTACTAGACAGGAGTCCTGACGTCACTGAAGAAACTCGTGTTTTGAAGGGCCATCCCCGCCGTAAGTCGAGAACATAACCCAGGTCACCGCCGCAACTCGAGAAAAACCATGAGACTTCCCCCTAGAGGCGAGGTGAGGCCCCATTCCCCTGCAGTGCATGCAGAGCTATTCCGTGATCCCATTCAAACAAGTCAGGAGCTTCGACTTGCTTAATGGATCTCGAGACAGTCCCCAAGAACACTGTCACCAGTCTAGACTGACCCTGAGCTCACCCCATCAAAGCAAAGCAGCTCCATGTGCCCCAAATCAACTCGAGATGAGGCCCGATTCCCCTGTATTGACTCCAGAGCCTTTCCCCGTTCCGCATTTAACACGACCGGCGGTTCGACTTCCTTCAGGCAACTCCAGAGATGCCCCGAGAACACTGTCCCAAGACTAGAGGAACACCAACTTCAGCACAGCAACTCGAGGAATGCTCCGTGTACTCCAAATCGTCTCGAGATAAGAGCTGATTCCCTGGCTTAGGCTCAAGACGTATGCCAACTTTCCGGAAGCACCTCAGGAGGAGGCTTCTCTCAGCAATAGGTATGTGGGAGGGACCCCGAGTTTGCTGCCTCAAGGGAAATATACAGCGAGAAGCCCTAACTTGAAAGGAGGCCAGATTTCCTTGCAGTGGCTTGAATACAGGCTCGTCTTTCATCTCACCACATGAAGGGATGTCTGAATCCCCTGTGGAGACCTTAGAGAAAGCCTAGGTCCCTGCCTCATTTTGACGGAATGCCTCACCTCCCGCTGACACCTCGAGAGGCACGCGGAGTTCATTGCTTCAAAAGGTGACGATGCCTGACTACTCTTGAATACTGATAGGAATCCCAAAATCCCTGTGGCTACAGGAAAGGGTCCTTGGGTGCCCTGCCTCACTTCGAGAAGCGTCCCTTTTGCCCTGCCAAGCCTCGAAGAGATTCCTGAGGTGTCCCTCGTTACTAGACAGGAGTCCTGACGTCACTGAAGAAACTCGTGTTTTGAAGGGCCATCCCCTCCGTAAGTCGAGAACATACCCCAGGTCCCCACCGCAACTCGAGAAAAACCATGAGACTTCCCCCTAGAGGCGAGATGAGAGCCCATTCCCCTGCAGTGCATGCAGAGCTATTCAGTGATCCCATTCAAACAAGTCAGGAGCTTCGACTTGCTTAATGGATCTCGAGACAGTCCCCAAGAACACTGTCACCAGTCTAGACGGACCCTGAGGTCACTCCAGCAACGCAAAGCAACTCCATGTGCCACAAATCAACTCGAGATGAGGCCCGATTCCCCTGCATTGACTCCAGAGCCATTCCCCGTTCCCCATTCAACACGACCGTTTGCTCGAATTCCTTCAGGCAACTCCAGAGATGCCCCGAGAACACTGTCCCAAGACTAGAGGAACACCAACTTCAGCACAGCAACTCGAGGAATGCTCCGTGTACCCCAAATCGTCTCGAGATGAGAGATGATTCCCTCGCTTAGGCTCAAGACGTATGCCAACTTTCCGGAAGCACCTCAGGAGGAGGCTTCTCTCAGCAATAGGTATGAGGGAGGGACCCCGAGTTTGCTGCCTCAAGGGGAATATACAGCGAGAAGCCCTAACTTGAAAGGAGGCCGGATTTCCTTGCAGTGGCTTGAATACAGGCTCGTCTTTCATCTCACAACATGAAGGGATGTCTGAATCCCCTGTGGAGAACTTCGAGAAAGCCCTAGGTCCCTGCCTCATTTTGACGGAATGCCTCACATCCCGCTGACTCCTCGAGAGGTATGCGGAGTTCATTACTTCAAAAGGTGATGACGCCTGACTCCTCTTGAATACTGATAGGAATCCCAAAATCCCTGTGGCTACTGGAAAGGATCCTTGGGTTCCCTGCCTCACCTCGAGAAGCGTCCCTTTTGCCCTGCCAAGCCTCGAAGAGATTCCTGAGGTGTCCCTCGTTACTAGACAGGAGTCCTGACGTCACTGAAGAAACTCGTGTTTTGAAGGGCCATCCCCGCCGTAAGTCGAGAACATAGCCCAGGCCCCCGCCGCAACTCGACTAAAACCATGAGACTTCCCCATAGAGGCGAGATGAGGCCCCATTCCCCTGCAGTGCATGCAGAGCTATTCAGTGATCCCATTCAAACAAGTCAGGAGCTTCGACTTGCTTAATGGATCTCGAGACAGTCCCCAAGAACACTGTCACCAGTCTAGACGGACCCTGAGGTCACCACAGCAACGCAAAGCAGCTCAATGTGCCCCAAATCAACTCGAGATGAGGCCCGATTCCCCTGCATTGACTCCAGAGCCATTCCAAGTTCCTCATTCAACACGACCGGTGGCTCGACTTCCTTCAGGCAACTCCAGAGATGCCCCGAGAACACTGTCCCAAGACTAGAGGAACACCAACTTCAGCACAGCAACTCGAGGAATGATCCGTGTACCCCAAATCGTCTCGAGATGAGAGCTGATTCCCTGGCTTAGGAACAAGACGTATGCCAACTTTCCGGAAGCACCTCAGGAGGAGGCTTCTCTCAGCAATAGTTATGAGGGAGGGACCCCGATTTTGCTGCCTCAAGCGGAATATACAGCGAGAAGCCCTAACTTGAAAGGAGGCCGGATTTCCTTGCAGTGGCTTGAATACAGGCTCCTCTTTCATCTCACAACATGAAGGGATGTCTGAATCCCCTGTGGAGACCTTAGAGAAAGCCCTAGGCCCTTGCCTCATTTTGACGGAATGCCTCACATCCCGCTGACTCCTCGAGAGGTATGCGGAGTTCATTACTTCAAAAGGTGATGACGCCTCACTCCTCTTGAATACTGATAGGAATCCCAAACTTACTGTGGTTACAGGAAAGGGTCCTTGGGTGCCCTGCCTCACCTCGAGAAGCGTCCCTTTTGCCCTGCCAAGCCTCGAAGAGATTCCTGAGGTGTCCCTCGTTACTAGACAGGAGTCCTGACGTCACTGAAGAAACTCGTGTTTTGAAGGGCCATCCCCGCCGTAAGTCGAGAACATAGCCCAGGCCCCCGCCGCAACTCGACTAAAACCATGAGACTTCCCCCTAGAGGCGAGATGAGGCCCCATTCCCCTGCAGTGCATGCAGAGCTATTCCGTGATCCCATTCAAACAAGTCAGGAGCTTCGACTTGCTTAATGGATCTCGAGACAGTCCCCAAGAACACTGTCACCAGTCTAGACGGACCCTGAGGTCACCACAGCAATGCAAAGCAGCTCCATGTGCCCCAAATCAACTCGAGATGAGGCCCGATTCCCATGCATTGACTCCAGAGCCATTCCCCGTTCCCCATTCAACACGACCGGTTGCTCGACTTCCTTCAGGCAACTCCAGAGATGCCCCGAGAACACTGTCCCAAGACTAGAGGAACACCAACTTCAGCACAGCAACTCGAGGAATGCTCCGTGTACCCCAAATCGTCTCGAGATGAGAGCTGATTCCCTGGCTTAGGAACAAGACGTATGCCAACTTTCCGGAAGCACCTCAGGAGGAGGCTTCTCTCAGCAATAGTTATGAGGGAGGGACCCCGAGTTTGCTGCCTCAAGCGGAATATACAGCGAGAAGCCCTAACTTGAAAGGAGGCCGGATTTCCTTGCAGTGGCTTGAATACAGGCTCCTCTTTCATCTCACAACATGAAGGGATGTCTGAATCCCCTGTGGAGACCTTAGAGAAAGCCCTAGGTCCTTGTCTCATTTTGACGGAATGCCTCACATCCCGCTGACTCCTCGAGAGGTATGCGGAGTTCATTACTAGAAAAGGTGATGACGCCTCACTCCTCTTGAATACTGATAGGAATCCCAAACTTACTGTGGTTACAGGAAAGGGTCCTTGGGTGCCCTGCCTCACCTCGAGAAGCGTCCCTTTTGCCCTGCCAAGCCTCGAAGAGATTCCTGAGGTGTCCCTCGTTACTAGACAGGAGTCCTGACGTCACTGAAGAAACTCGTGTTTTGAAGGGCCATCCCCGCCGTAAGTCGAGAACATAGCCCAGGCCCCCGCCGCAACTCGACTAAAACCATGAGACTTCCCCATAGAGGCGAGATGAGGCCCCATTCCCCTGCAGTGCATGCAGAGCTATTCCGTGATCCCATTCAAACAAGTCAGGAGCTTCGACTTGCTTAATGGATCTCGAGACAGTCCCCAAGAACACTGTCACCAGTCTAGACGGACCCTGAGGTCACCACAGCAATGCAAAGCAGCTCAATGTGCCCCAAATCAACTCGAGATGAGGCCCGATTCCCATGCATTGACTCCAGAGCCATTCCCCGTTCCCCATTCAACACGACCGCTGGCTCGACTTCCTTCAGGCAACTCCAGAGATGCCCCGAGAACACTGTCCAAAGACTAGAGGAACACCAACTTCAGCACAGCAACTCGAGGAATGCTCCGTGTACCCCAAATCGTCTCGAGATGAGAGCTGATTCCCTGGCTTAGGAACAAGATGTATGCCAACTTTCCGGAAGCACCTCAGGAGGAGGCTTCTCTCAGCAATAGTTATGAGGGAGGGACCCCGAGTTTGCTGCCTCAAGCGGAATATACAGCGAGAAGCCCTAACTTGAAAGGAGGCCGGATTTCCTTGCAGTGGCTTGAATACAGGCTCCTCTTTCATCTCACAACATGAAGGGATGTCTGAATCCCCTGTGGAGACCTTAGAGAAAGCCCTAGGTCCTTGCCTCATTTTGACAGAATGCCTCACATCCCGCTGACTCCTCGAGAGTTATGCGGAGTTCATTACGAGAAAAGGTGATGACGCCTCACTCCTCTTGAATACTGATAGGAATCCCAAAACATCTTGGCTACTGGAAAGGGTCCTTGGGTGCCCTGCCTCACCTCGAGAAGCGTCCCTTTTCCCCTGCCAAGCCTCGAAGAGATTCCTGAGTTGTCCCTCGTTACTAGACAGGACTCCTGACGTCACTGAAGAAACTCGTGTTTTGAAGGGCCATCCCCTCCGTAAGTCGAGAACATACCCCAGGTCCCCGCCGAAACTCGAGAAAAACCATGAGACTTCCCCCTAGAGGCGAGTTGAGAGCCCATTCCCCTGCAGTGCATGCAGAACTATTCAGTGATCCCATTCAAACAAGTCAGGAGCTTCGACTTGCTTAATGGATCTCGAGACAGTCCCCAAGAACACTGTCACCAGTCTAGACGGACCCTGAGGTCACTCCAGCAACGCAAAGCAGCTCCATGTGCCCCAAATCAACTCGAGATGAGGCCCGATTCCCCTGCATTGACTCCAGAGCCATTCCCCGTTCCCCATTCAACACGACCGGTTGCTCGACTTCCTTCAGGCAACTCCAGAGATGCCCCGAGAACACTTCCCCAAGACTAGAGGAACACCAACTTCAGCACAGCAACTCGAGGAATGCTCCGTGTACCCCAAATCGTCTCGAGATGAGAGCTGATTCCCTCGCTTAGGCTCAAGACCTATGCCAACTTTCCGGAAGCACCTCAGGAGGAGGCTTCTCTCAGCAATATGTATGAGGGAGGGACCCCGAGTTTGCTGCCTCAAGGGGAATATACAGCGAGAAGCCCTAACTTGAAAGGAGGCCGGATTTCCTTGAAGTGGCTTGAATACAGGCTGGTCTTTCATCTCACAACATGAAGGGATGTCTGAATCCCCTGTGGAGACCTTCGAGAAAGCCCTAGGTCCCTGCCTCATTTTGACGGAATGCCTCACATCCCGCTGACTCCTCGAGAGGTACGCGGAGTTCATTACTTCAAAAGGTGATGACGCCTGACTCCTCTTGAATACTGATAGGAATCCCAAAATCCCTGTGGCTACTGGAAAGGATCCTTGGGTTCCCTGCCTCACCTCGAGAAGCGTCCCTTTTGCCCTGCCAAGCCTCGAAGAGATTCCTGAGGTGTCCCTCGTTACTAGACAGGAGTCCTGACTTCAGTGAAGAAACTCGTGTTTTGAAGGGCCATCCCCGCCGTAAGTCGAGAACATAGCCCAGGCCCCCGCCTCAACTCGACTAAAACCATGAGACTTCCCCATAGAGGCGAGAAGAGGCCCCATTCCCCTGCAGTGCATGCAGAGCTATTCCGTGATCCCATTCAAACAAGTCAGGAGCTTCGACTTGCTTAATGGATCTCGAGTCAGTCCCCAAGAACACTGTCACCAGTCTAGACGGACCCTGAGGTCACCACAGCAACGCAAAGCAGCTCCATGTGCCCCAAATCAACTCGAGATGAGGCCCGATTCCCATGCATTGACTCCAGAGCCATTCCCCGTTCCCCACTCAACAAGACCGCTGGCTCGACTTCCTTCAGGCAACTCCAGAGATGCCCCGAGAACACTGTCCCAAGACTAGAGGAACACCAACTTCAGCACAGCAACTCGAGGAATGCTCCGTGTACCCCAAATCGTCTCGAGATGAGAGCTGATTCCCTGGCTTAGGAACAAGACGTATGCCAACTTTCCGGAAGCACCTCAGGAGGAGGCTTCTCTCAGCAATAGTTATGAGGGAGGGACCCCGAGTTTGCTGCCTCAAGCGGAATATACAGCGAGAAGCCCTAACTTGAAAGGAGGCCAGATTTCCTTGCAGTGGCTTGAATACAGGCTCCTCTTTCATCTCACAACATGAAGGGATGTCTGAATCCCCTGTGGAGACCTTAGAGAAAGCCCTAGGTCCTTGCCTCATTTTGACGGAATGCCTCACATCCCGCTGACTCCTCGAGAGGTATGCGGAGTTCATTACTAGAAAAGGTGATGACGCCTCACTCCTCTTGAATACTGATAGGAATCCCAAAACATCTTGGCTACTGGAAAGGGTCCTTGGGTGCCCTGCCTCACCTCGAGAAGCGTCCCTTTTGCCCTGCCAAGCCTCGAAGAGATTCCTGAGGTGTCCCTCGTTACTACACAGGAGTCCTGACTTCACTGAAGAAACTCGTGTTTTGAAGGGCCATCCCCGCCGTAAGTCGAGAACATAGCCCAGGCCCCCGCCGCAACTCGACTAAAACCATGAGACTTCCCCATAGAGGCGAGATGAGGCCCCATTCCCCTGCAGTGCATGCAGAGCTATCCCGTGATCCCATTCAAACAAGTCAGGAGCTTCGACTTGCTTAATGGATCTCGAGACAGTCCCCAAGAACACTGTCACCAGTCTAGACGGACCCTGAGGTCACTCCAGCAACGCAAAGCAGCTCCATGTGCCCCAAATCAACTCGAGATGAGGCCCGATTCCCCTGCATTGACTCCAGAGCCATTCCCCGTTCCCCATTCAACACGACCGGTTGCTCGAATTCCTTCAGGCAACTCCAGAGATGCCCCGAGAACACTGTCCCAAGACTAAAGGAACACCAACTTCAGCACAGCAACTCGAGGAATGCTCCGTGTACCCCAAATCGTCTCGAGATGAGAGCTGATTCCCTCGCTTAGGCTCAAGACGTATGCCAACTTTCCGGAATCACCTCAGGAGGAGGCTTCTCTCAGCAATATGTATGAGGGAGGGACCCCGAGTTTGCTGCCTCAAGCGGAATATACAGCGAGAAGCCCTAACTTAAAAGGAGGCCGGATTTCCTTGCAGTGGCTTGAATACAGGCTCGTCTTTCATCTCACAACATGAAGGGATGTCTGAATCCCCTGTGGAGACCTTAGAGAAAGCCCTAGGTCCCTGCCTCATTTTGACGGAATGCCTCACATCCCGCTGACTCCTCGAGAGGTACGCGGAGTTCATTACTTCAAAAGGTGATGACGCCTGACTCCTCTTGAATACTGATAGGAATCCCAAAATCCCTGTGGCTACTGGAAAGGATCCTTGGGTTCCCTGCCTCACCTCGAGAAGCGTCCCTTTTGCCCTGCCAAGCCTCGAAGAGATTCCTGAGGTGTCCCTCGTTACTACACAGGAGTCCTGACTTCACTGAAGAAACTCGTGTTTTGAAGGGCCATCCCCGCCGTAAGTCGAGAACATAGCCCAGGCCCCTGCCTCAACTCGACTAAAACCATGAGACTTCCCCATAGAGGCGAGATGAGGCCCCATTCCCCTGCAGTGCATGCAGAGCTATTCCGTGATCCTATTCAAACAAGTCAGGAGCTTCGACTTGCTTAATGGATTTCGAGTCAGTCCCCAAGAATACTGTCACCAGTCTAGACGGACCCTGAGGTCACCACAGCAATGCAAAGCAGCTCCATGTGCCCCAAATCAACTCGAGATGAGGCCCGATTCCCATGCATTGACTCCAGAGCCATTCCCCGTTCCCCACTCAACAAGACCGCTGGCTCGACTTCCTTCAGGCAACTCCAGAGATGCCCCGAGAACACTCTCCCAAGACTAGAGGAACACCAACTTCAGCACAGCAACTCGAGGAATGCTCCGTGTACCCCAAATCGTCTCGAGATGAGAGCTGATTCCCTGGCTTAGGAACAAGATATATGCCAACTTTCCGGAAGCACCTCAGGAGGAGGCTTCTCTCAGCAATAGTTATGAGGGAGGGACCCCGAGTTTGCTGCCTCAAGCGGAATATACAGCGAGAAGCCCTAACTTGAAAGGAGGCCGGATTTCCTTGCAGTGGCTTGAATACAGGCTCCTCTTTCATCTCACAACATGAAGGGATGTCTGAATCCCCTGTGGAGACCTTAGAGAAAGCCCTAGGTCCTTGCCTCATTTTGACGGAATGCCTCACATCCCGCTGACTCCTCGAGAGGTATGCGGAGTTCATTACTAGAAAAGGTGATGACGCCTCACTCCTCTTGAATACTGATAGGAATCCCAAACTTACTGTGGTTACAGGAAAGGGTCCTTGGGTGCCCTGCCTCACCTCGAGAAGCGTCCCTTTTGCCCTGCCAAGCCTCGAAGAGATTCCTGAGGTGTCCCTCGTTACTAGACAGGAGTCCTGACGTCACTGAAGAAACTCGTGTTTTGAAGGGCCATCCCCGCCGTAAGTCGAGAACATAGCCCAGGCCCCCGCCGCAACTCAACTAAAACCATGAGACTTCCCCATAGAGGCGAGATGAGGTCCCATTCCCCTGCAGTGCATGCAGAGCTATTCCGTGATCCCATTCAAACAAGTCAGGAGCTTCGACTTGCTTAATGGATCTCGAGACATTCCCCAAGAACACTGTCACCAGTCTAGACGGACCCTGAGGTCACCCCAGCAATGCAAAGCAGCTCCATGTGCCCCAAATCAACTCGAGATGAGGCCCGATTCCCCTGCATTGACTCCAGAGCCATTCCCCGTTCCCCATTCAACAGGACCGGTGGCTCGACTTCCTTCAGGCAACTTCAGAGATGCCCCGAGAACACTGTCCCAAGACTAGAGGAACACCAACTTCAGCTCAGCAACTCGAGGAATGCTCCGTGTACCCCAAATCGTCTCGAGATGAGAGCTGATTCCCTGGCTTAGGATCAAGCCATATGCCAACTTTCCGGAAGCACCTCAGGAGGAGGCTTCTGTCAGCAGTAGGTATGAGGGAGGGACACCGAGTTTGCTGCCACAAGGGGAATATACAGCGAGAAGCCCTAACTTGAAAGGATGCCGGATTTCCTTGCAGTGGCTTGAATACAGGCTCGTCTTTCATCTCACAACATGAAGGGATGTCTGAATCCCCTGTGGAGACCTTAGAGAAAGCCCTAGGTCCCTGCCTCATTTTGAAGGAATGCCTCACATCCCGCTGACTCCTCGAGAGGTACGCAGAGTTCATTACTTCAAAAGGTGATGACGCCTGACTCCTCTTGAATACTGATAGGAATCCCAAAATCCCTTTGGCTTCTGGAAAGGGTCCTTGGGTGCCCTGCCTCACCTCGAGAATCGTCCCTTTTGCCCTGCCAAGCCTCAAAGAGATTCCTGAGGTGTCCCTTGTTACTAGACAGGAGTCCTGACGTCACTGAAGAAACTCGTGTTTTGAAGGGCCATCCCCGTCGTAAGTCGAGAACATACCCCAGGTCCCCGACGCAACTCGAGAAAAACCATGAGACTTCCAACTAGAGGGGACATGAGGCCTCATTCCCCTGCAGTGCATGCAGAGCTATTCCGTGATCCCATTCAAACAAGTCAGGAGCTTCGACTTGCTTAATGGATCGTGAGACAGTCCCCAAGAACACTGTCACCAGTCTAGACGGACCCTGAGGTCCCCCCAGCAACGCAAAGCAGCTCCATGTGCCCCAAATCAACTCGAGATGAGGCCCGATTCCCCTGCATTGACTCCAGAGCCATTCCAAGTTCCCCATTCAACACGACCGGTGGCTCGACTTCCTTGAGGCAACTCCAGAGATGCCCCGAGAACACTGTCCAAAGACTAGAGGAACACCAACTTCAGCACAGCAACTCGAGGAATGCTCCGTGTACCCCAAATCGTCTCGAGATGAGAGCTGATTCCCTGGCTTATGCTCAAGAGGTATGTCAAATTTCCAGTAGCACCTCAGGAGGAGGCTTCTCTCAGCAATAAGTATGTGGGAGAGATCTCGAGTTTGCTGACTCAAGGGGAATACACAGCGAGAAGCCCTAACTTGAAAGGAGGCCGGATTTCCTTGAAGTGGCTTGAATACAGGCTCGTCTTTCATCTCACAACATGAAGGGATGTCTGAATCCACTGTGGAGACCTTAGAGAAAGCCCTAGGTCCCTGCCTCATTTTGAGGGAATGCTTCACATCCCACTGACACATCGAGAGGCACGCGGAGTTCATTGCTTCAAAAGTTGATGATGCCTGACTCCTCTTGAATACTGATAGGAATCCCAAAATCCCTGTGGCTTCTGGAAAGGGTCCTTGGGTGCCCTGCCTCACCTCGAGAAGCGTCCCTTTTGCCCTGCCAAGCCTCGAAGAGATTCCTGAGGTGTCCCTTGTTACTAGACAGGAGTCCTGACTTCACTGAAGAAACTCCTGTTTTGAAGGGCCATCCCCGTCGTAAGTCGAGAACATACCCCAGGTCCCCGCCGCAACTCGAGAAAAACCATGAGACTTCCAACTAGAGGGGACATGAGGCCCCATTCCCCTGCAGTGCATGCAGAGCTATTCCGTGATCCCATTCAAACAAGTCAGGAGCTTCGACTTGCTTAATGGATCTCGAGACAGTCCCCAAGAACACTGTCACCAGTCTAGACGGACCCTGAGGTCCCCCCAGCAACGCAAAGCAGCACCATGTGCCCCAAATCAACTCGAGATGAGGCCCGATTCCCCTGCATTGACTCCAGAGCCATTCCAAGTTCCCCATTCATCATGACTGGTGGCTCGACTTCTTCAGGATTCTCCAGAGATGCCCCGAGAACACGGTCCAAAGACTAGAGGAACACCAACTTCAGCACAGCAACTCGAGGAATGCTCCGTGTACCCCAAATCGTCTCGAGATGAGAGCTGATTCCCTGGCTTATGCTCAAGAGGTATGTCAAATTTCCAGTAGCACCTCAGGAGGAGGCTTCTCTCAGCAATAGGTATGTGGGAGAGATCTCGAGTTTGCTGCCTCAAGGGGAATACACAGCGAGAAGCCCTAACTTGAAAGGAGGCCGGATTTCCTTGAAGTGGCTTGAATACAGGCTCGTCTTTCATCTCACAACATGAAGGGTTGTCTGAATCCACTGTGGAGACCTTAGAGAAAGCCCTAGGTCCCTGCCTCATTTTGAGGGAATGCCTCACATCCCACTGACACATCGAGAGGCACGCGGAGTTCATTGCTTCAAAAGTTGACGATGCCTGACTCCTCTTGAATACTGATAGGAATCCCAAAATCCCTGTGGATAGTGGAAAGGGTCCCTGGGTGCCCTGCCTCACCTCGAGAAGCGTCCCTTTTGCACTGCCAAGCCTCGAAGAGATTCCTGAAGTATCCCTCGTTCCTAGAGTGGAGTTCTGACGTCATTGAAGAAACTCGTGTTTTGAAGGGCCATCCCCTCCGTAAGTCGAGAACATACCCCAGGTCATCACCGCAACTCGAGAAAAACCATGAGACTTCCCCCTAGCGGCGAGATGAGGCCCCATTCCCCTGCAGTGCATGCAGAGCTATTCCGTGATCCCATTCAAACGAGTCAGGAGCTTCGACTTGCTTAATGGATCTCGAGACAGTCCCCAAGAACACTGTAACCAGTCGAGACGGATCCTGAGGTCACCCAAGCAACGCAAAGCAGCACCATGTGCCCCAAATCAACTCGAGATGAGGCCCGATTCCCCTGCATTGACTCCAGAGCCATTCCAAGTTCCCCATTCAACACGACCGGTGGCTCGACTTCCTTCAGGAAACTCCATAGATGCCCCGAGAACACTGTCCCAAAACTAGAGGAACACCAACTTCAGCACAGCAATGCGAGGAATGCTCCGTGTACCCCAAATCGTCTCGAGGTGAGAGCTGATTCCCTGGCTTAGGATCAAGACGTATGCCAACTTTCCGGAAGCACCTCAGGAGGAGGCTTCTCTCAGCAATAGTTATGAGGGAGGGACCCCGAGTTTGCTGCCTAAAGCGGAATATACAGCGAGAAGCCCTAACTTGAAAGGAGGCCGGATTTCCTTGCAGTGGCTTGAATACAGGCTCGTCTTTCATCTCACAACATGAAGGGATGTCTGAATCCCCTGTGGAGACCTTAGAGAAAGCCCTAGGTCCCTGCCTCATTTTGACGGAATGCTTCACATCCCGCTGACTCCTCGAGAGTTATGCGGAGTTCATTACTACAAAACGTGATGACGCCTGACTCCTCTTGAATACTGATAGGAATCCCAAAATCCCTGTGGCTACAGGAAAGGGTCTTTAGGTGCCCTGCCTCACCTCGAGAAGCGTCCCTTTTGCCCTGCCAAGCCTCGAAGAGATTCCTGAGGTGTCCCTCGTTACTAGACAGGAGTCCTGACGTCACTGAAGAAACTCATGTTTTGAAGGGCCATCCCCTCCGTAAGTCGAGAACATAGCCCAGGTCCCCGCCGCAACTCGAGAAAAACCATGAGACTTCCCCCTAGAGGCGAGATGAGAGCCCATTCCCCTGCAGTGCATGCAGAGCTATTTAGTGATCCCATTCAAACAAGTCAGGAGCTTCGACTTGCTTAATGGATCTCGAGACAGTCCCCAAGAACACTGTCACCAGTCTAGACGGACACTGGGGTCACCCCAGCAACGCAAAGCAGCTCCATGTGCCCCAAATCAACTCGAGATGAGGCCCGATTCCCCTGCATTGACTCCAGAGCCATTCCCCGTTCCCCATTCAACACGACCGATGGCTCGACTTCCTTCAGGCAACTCCAGAGATGCCCCGAGAACACTGTCCCAAGACTAGAGGAACACCAACTTCAGCACAGCATCTCGAGGAATGCTCGGTGTACCGCAAATCGTCTCAAGATGAGAGCTGATTCCCTCGCTTAGGCTCAAGACGAATGCCAACTTTCCGGAAGCACCTCAGGAGGAGGCTTCTCTCAGCCATAGGTATGAGGGAGGGACCCCGAGTTTGCTGCCTCAAGGGGAATATACAGCGAGAAGCCCTAACTTGAAAGGAGGCCGGATTTCCTTGCAGTGGCTTGAATACAGGCTCGTCTTTCATCTCACAACATGAAGTGATGTCTGAATCCCCTGTGGAGACCTTAGAGAAAGCCCTAGGTCCCTGCCTCATTTTGACAGAATGCCTCACATCCCGCTGACTCCTCGAGAGGTAGGCGGAGTTCATTACTTCAAAAGGTGATGACGCCTGACTCCTCTTGAATACTGATAGGAATCCCAAAATCCCTTTGGATTCTGGAAAGGGTCCTTGGGTGCCCTGCCTCACCTCGAGAATCGTCCCTTTTGCCCTGCCAAGCCTCAAAGAGATTCCTGAGGTGTCCCTTGTTACTAGACAGGAGTCCTGACGTCACTGAAGAAACTCGTGTTTTGAAGGGCCATCCCCGCCGTAAGTCGAGAACATACCCCAGGTCCCCGCCGCAACTCGAGTAAAACCATGAGACTTCCCCCTAGAGGCGAGATGAGGCCCCATTCCCCTGCAGTGCATGCAGAGCTATTCCGTGATCCCGTTCAAACAAGTCAGGAGCTTCGACTTGCTTAATGGATCTCGAGACAGTCCCCAAGAACACTATCACCAGTCTAGACGGACCCTGAGGTCACCCCAGCAACGCAAAGCAGCTCCATGTGCCCCAAATCAACTCGAGATGAGGCCCAATTCCCCTGCATTGACTCCAGAGCCATTCCCCGTTCCCCATTCAACAAGACCGGCGACTCGACTTCCTTCAGGCAACCCCAGAGATGCCCCGAGAACACTGTCCCAAGACTAGAGGAACACCAACCTCAGCACAGCAACTCGAGGAATGCTCCGTGTACCCCAAATCGTCTCGAGGTGAGAGCTGATTCCCTGGCTTAGGAACAAGATGTATGCCAACTTTCCGGAAGCACCTCAGGAGGAGGCTTCTCTCACAATAGTTATGAGGGAGGGACCCCGAGTTTGCTGCCTCAAGCGGAATATACAGCGAGAAGCACTAACTTGAAAGGAGTCCGGATTTCCTTGCAGTGGCTTGAATACAGGCTCGTCTTTCATCTCACAACATGAAGGGATGTCTGAATCCGCATTGGAGACCTTAGAGAAATCCCTAGGTCCCTGCCTCATTTTGACGGAATGCCTCACATCCCGCTGACTCCTCGAGAGGTACGCGGAGTTCATTACTTCAAAAGGTGATGAATCCTGACTCCTCTTGAATACTGATAGGAATCCCAAAATCCCTGTGGCTTCTGGAAAGGGTCCTTGGGTGCCCTGACTCACCTCGAGAAGCGTCCCTTTTGCCCTGCAAAGCCTCGAAGAGATTCCTGAGGTGTCCCTCGTTACTAGACAGGAGTCCTGATGTCACTGAAGAAACTCGTGTTTTGAAGGGCCATCCCCTCCGTAAGTCGAGAACATACCCCATGTCCCCGCCGCAACTCGAGAAAAACCATGAGACTTCCCCCTAGAGGCGAGATGAGAGCCCATTCCCCTGCAGTGCATGCAGAGCTATTCAGTGATCCCATTCAAACAAGTCAGGAGCTTCGACTTGCTTAATGGATCTCGAGACAGTCCCCAAGAACACTGTCACCAGTCTAGACGGACCCTGGGGTCACCCCAGCAACGCAAAGCAGCTCCATGTGCCCCAAATCAACTCGAGATGAGGCCCGATTCCCCTGCATTGACTCCAGAGCCATTCCCCGTTCCCCATTCAACACGACCGGTGGCTCGACTTCCTTCAGGCAACTGCAGAGATGCCCTGAGAACACTGTCCCAAGACTAGAGGAACACCAACTTCAGCTCAGCAACTCGAGGAATGCTCCGTGTACCCCAAATCGTCTCGAGATGAGAGCTGATTCCCTGGCTTAGGATCAAGCCATATGCCAACTTTCCGGAAACACCTCAGGAGGAGGCTTCTGTCAGCAGTAGGTATGAAGGAGGGACACCGAGTTTGCTGCCACAAGGGGAATATACAGCGAGAAGCCCTAACTTGAAAGGAGGCCGGATTTCCTTGCAGTGGCTTGAATATAGGCTCGTCTTTCATCTCACAATATGAAGGGATGTCTGAATCCCCTGTGGAGACCTTAGAGAAAGCCCTAGGTCCCTGCCTCATTTTGACGGAATGCCTCACATCCCGCTGACTCCTCGAGAGGTACGCAGAGTTCATTACTTCAAAAGGTGATGACGCCTGACTCCTCTTGAATACTGATAGGAATCCCAAAATCCCTTTGGCTTCTGGAAAGGGTCCTTGGGTGCCCTGCCTCACCTCGAGAATCGTCCCTTTTGCCCTGCCAAGCCTCAAAGAGATTCCTGAGGTGTCCCTTGTTATTAGAGCGGAGTCCTGACGTCACTGAAGAAACTCGTGTTTTGAAGGGCCATCCCCGCCGTAAGTCGAGAACATACCCCAGGTCCCCGCCGCAACTCGAGTAAAACCATGAGACTTCCCCCTAGAGGCGAGATGAGGCCCCATTCCCCTGCAGTGCATGCAGAGCTATTCCGTGATCCCGTTCAAACAAGTCAGGAGCTTCGACTTGCTTAATGGATCTCGAGACAGTACCCAAGAACACTATCACCAGTCTAGACGGACCCTGAGGTCACCCCAGCAACGCAAAGCAGCTCCATGTGCCCCAAATCAACTCGAGATGAGGCCCGATTCCCCTGCATTGACTCCAGAGCCATTCCCCGTTCCCCATTCAACAAGACCGGCGACTCGACTTCCTTCAGGCAACCCCAGAGATGCCCCGAGAACACTGTCCCAAGTCTAGAGGAACACCAACTTCAGCACAGCAACTCGAGGAATGCTCCGTGTACCCCAAATCGTCTCGAGATGAGAGCTGATTCCCTGGCTTAGGCTCAAGACGTATGCCAACTTTCCGGAAGCACCTCAGGAGGAGGCTTCTCTCAGCAGTAGGTATGAGGGAGGGACCCTGAGTTTGCTGCCTCAAGGAGAATATACAGCGAGAAGCCCTAACTTGAAAGGAGGCCGGATTTCCTTGCAGTGGCTTGAATACAGGCTCGTCTTTCATCTCACAACATGAAGGGATGTCTGAATCCCCTGTGGAGACCTTAGAGAAATCCCTAGGTCCCTGCCTCATTTTGACGGAATGCCTCACATCCCGCTGACTCCTCGAGATGTACGCGGAGTTCATTACTTCAAAAGGTGATGACTCCTGACTCCTCTTGAATACTGATAGGAATCCCAAAATCCCTGTGGCTTCTGGAAAGGGTCCTTGGGTGCCCGGCCTCACCTCGAGAAGCATCCCTTTTGCCCTGAAAAGCCTCGAAGAGATTCCTGAGGTGTCCCTTGTTACTAGACAGGAGTCCTAACTTCACTGAAGAAACTCGTGTTTTGAAGGGCCATCCCCGCCGTAAGTCGAGAACATACCCCAGGTCCCCGCCGCAACTCGAGAAAAACCATGAGACTTCCCCCTAGAGGCAACATGAGGCCCCATTCCCCTGTAGTGCATGCAGAGCTATTCCGTGATCCCATTCAAACAAGTAAGGAGCTTCGACTTGCTTAATGGATCTCGAGACAGTCCCCAAGAACACTATCACCAGTCTAGACGGACCCTGAGGTCCCCCCAGCAACGTAAAGCAGCCCCATGTGCCCCAAATCACCTAGAGATGAGGCCCAATTCCCCTGCATTGACTCCAGAGCCATTCCAAGTTCCACATTCAACACGACCGGTGGCTCGACTTCCTTCAGGCAACTCCAGAGATGCCCCGAGAACACTGTCCCAAGACTAGAGGAACACCAACCTCAGCACAGCAACTCGAGGAATGCTCCGTGTACCCCAAATCGTCTCGAGGTGAGAGCTGATTCCCTGGCTTAGGAACAAGATGTATGCCAACTTTCCGGAAGCACCTCAGGAGGAGGCTTCTCTCAGCAATAGTTATGAGGGAGGGACCCCGAGTTTGCTGCCTCAAGCGGAATATACAGCGAGAAGCCCTAACTTGAAAGGAGGCCGTATTTCCTTGCAGTGGCTTGAATACAGGCTCGTCTTTCATCTCACAACATGAAGGGATGTCTGAGTCCCCTGTGGAGACCTTAGAGAAATCCCTAGGTCCCTGCCTCATTTTGACGGAATGCCTCACATCCCGCTGACTCCTCGAGAGGTACGCGGAGTTCATTACTTCAAAAGGTGATGAATCCTGACTCCTCTTGAATACTGATAGGAATCTCAAAATCCCTGTGGATACTGGAAAGGGTCCCTGGGTGCCCTGCCTCACCTCGAGAAGCGTCCCTTTTGCACTGCCAAGCCTCGAAGAGATTCCTGAAGTATCCCTCGTTCCTAGAGTGGAGTCCTGACGTCATTGAAGAAACTCGTGTTTTGAAGGGCCATCCCCTCCGTAAGTCGAGAACATACCCCAGGTCATCGCCGCAACTCGAGAAAAACCATGAGACTTCCCCTTAGCGGCGAGATGAGGCCCCATTCCCCTGCAGTGCATGCAGAGCTATTCCGTGATCCCATTCAAACGAGTCAGGAGCTTCGACTTGCTTAATGGATCTCGAGACAGTCCCCAAGAACACTGTAACCAGTCGAGACGGACCCTGAGGTCACCCAAGCAACGCAAAGCAGCTCCATGTGCCCCAAATCAACTCGAGATGAGGCCCAATTCCCCTGCATTGACTCCAGAGCCATTCCAAGTTCCCCATTCAACACGACCGGTGGCTCGACTTCCTTGAGGCAACTCCAGAGATGCCCCGAGAACACTGTCCAAAGACTAGAGGAACACCAACTTCAGCACAGCAACTCGAGGAATGCTCCGTGTACCCCAAATCGTCTCGAGATGAGAGCTGATTCCCTGGCTTATGCTCAAGTGGTATGTCAAATTTCCAGTAGCACCTCAGGAGGAGGCTTCTCTCAGCAATAGGTATGTGGGAGAGATCTCGAGTTTGCTGACTCAAGGGGAATACACAGCGAGAAGCCCTAACTTGAAAGGAGGCCGGATTTCCTTGAAGTGGCTTGAATACAGGCTCGTCTTTCATCTCACAACATGAAGGGATGTCTGAATCCACTGTGGAGACCTTAGAGAAAGCCCTAGGTCCCTTCCTCATTTTGAGGGAATATCTCACATCCCACTGACACATCGAGAGGCACGCGGAGTTCATTGCTTCAAAAGTTGATGATGCCTGACTCCTCTTGAATACTGATAGGAATCCCAAAATCCCTGTGTCTTCTGGAAAGGGTCCTTGGGTGCCCTGCCTCACCTCGAGAAGCGTCCCTTTTGCCCTGCCAAGCCTCGAAGAGATTCCTGAGGTGTCCCTTGTTACTAGACAGGAGTCCTGACTTCACTGAAGAAACTCCTGTTTTGAAGGGCCATCCCCGTCGTAAGTCGAGAACATACCCCAGGTCCCCGCCGCAACTCGAGAAAAACCATGAGACTTCCAACTAGAGGGGACATGAGGCCCCATTCCCCTGCAGTGCATGCAGAGCTATTCCGTGATCCCATTCAAACAAGTCAGGAGCTTCGACTTGCTTAATGGATCTCGAGACAGTCCCCAAGAACACTGTCACCAGTCTAGACGGACCCTGAGGTCCCCCCAGCAACGCAAAGCAGCTCCATGTGCCCCAAATCAACTCGAGATGAGGCCCGATTCCCCTGCATTGAGTCCAGAGCCATTCCAAGTTCCCCATTCATTATGACTGGTGGCTCGACTTCTTCAGGATTCTCCAGAGATGCCCCGAGAACACTGTCCAAAGGCTAGAGGAACACCAACTTCAGCACAGCAACTCGAGGAATGCTCTGTGTACCCCAAATCGTCTCGAGATGAGAGCTGATTCCCTGGCTTATGCTCAAGAGGTATGTCAAATTTCCAGTAGCACCTCAGGAGGAGGCTTCTCTCAGCAATAGGTATGTGGGAGAGATCTCGAGTTTGCTGCCTCAAGGGGAATACACAGCGAGAAGCCCTAACTTGAAAGGAGGCCGGATTTCCTTGAAGTGGCTTGAATACAGGCTCGTCTTTCATCTCACAACATGAAGGGTTGTCTGAATCCACTGTGGAGACCTTAGAGAAAGCCCTAGGTCCCTGCCTCATTTTGAGGGAATGCCTCACATCCCACTGACACATCGAGAGGCACGCGGAGTTCATTGCTTCAATAGTTGACGATGCCTGACTCCTCTGAATACTGATAGGAATCCCAAAATCCCTGTGGATACTGGAAAGGGTCCCTGGGTGCCCTGCCTCACCTCGAGAAGCGTCCCTTTTGCACTGCCAAGCCTCGAAGAGATTCCTGAAGTATCCCTCGTTCCTAGAGTGGACTCCTGACGTCATTGAAGAAACTCGTGTTTTGAAGGGCCATCCCCTCCGTAAGTCGAGAACATACCCCAGGTCATCGCCGCAACTCGAGAAAAACCATGAGACTTCCCCCTAGCGGCGAGATGAGGCCCCATTCCCCTGCAGTGCATGCAGAGCTATTCCGTGATCCCATTCAAACGAGTCAGGAGCTTCGACTTGCTTAATGGATCTCGAGACAGTCCCCAAGAACACTGTAACCAGTCTAGACGGACCCTGAGGTCACCCAAGCAACGCAAAGCAGCACCATGTGCCCCAAATCAACTCGAGATGAGTCCCGATTCCCCTGCATTGACTCCAGAGCCATTCCAAGTTCCCCATTCAACACGACCGGTGGCTCGACTTCCTTCAGGAAACTCCATAGATGCCCCGAGAACACTGTCCCAAGACTAGAGGAACACCAACTTCAGCACAGCAACGCGAGGAATGCTCCGTGTACCCCAAATCGTCTCGAGGTGAGAGCTGATTCCCTGGCTTAGGATCAAGACGTATGCCAACTTTCCGGAAGCACCTCAGGAGGAGGCTTCTCTCAGCAATAGTTATGAGGGAGGGACCCCGAGTTTGCTGCCTCAAGCGGAATATACAGCGAGAAGCCCTAACTTGAAAGGAGGCCGGATTTCCTTGCAGTGGCTTGAATACAGGCTCGTCTTTCATCTCACAACATGAAGGGATGTCTGAATCCCCTGTGGAGACCTTAGAGAAAGCCCTAGTTCCCTGCCTCATTTTGACGGAATGCTTCACATCCCGCTGACTCCTCGAGAGTTATGCGGAGTTCATTACTACAAAAGGTGATGACGCCTGACTCCTCTTGAATACTGATAGGAATCCCAAAATCCCTGTGGCTACAGGAAAGGGTCTTTGGGTGCCCTGCCTCACCTCGAGAAGCGTCCCTTTTGCCCTGCCAAGCCTCGAAGAGATTCCTGAGGTGTCCCTCGTTACTAGACAGGAGTCCTGACGTCACTGAAGAAACTCGTGTTTTGAAGGGCCATCCCCTCCGTAAGTCGAGAACATACCCCAGGTCCCCGCCGCAACTCGAGAAAAACCATGAGACTTCCCCCTAGAGGCGCGATGAGAGCCCATTCCCCTGCAGTGCATGCAGAGCTATTCCGTGATCCCATTCAAACAAGTCAGGAGCTTCGACTTGCTTAATGGATCTCGAGACAGTTCCCAAGAACACTGTCACCAGTCTAGACGGACCCTGGGGTCACCCCAGCAACGCAAAGCAGCTCCATGTGCCCCAAATCAACTCGAGATGAGGCCCGATTCCCCTGCATTGACTCCAGAGCCATTCCCCGTTCCCCATTCAACACGACCGATGGCTCGACTTCCTTCAGGCAACTCCAGAGATGCCCCGAGAACACTGTCCCAAGACTAGAGGAACACCAACTTCAGCACAGCATCTCGAGGAATGCTCGGTGTACCGCAAATCGTCTCAAGATGAGAGCTGATTCCCTCGCTTAGGCTCAAGACGTATGCCAACTTTCCGGAAGCACCTCAGGAGGAGGCTTCTCTCAGCAATAGGTATGAGGGAGGGTCCCCGAGTTTGCTGCCTCAAGGGGAATATACAGCGAGAAGCCGTAACTTGAAAGGAGGCCTGATTTCCTTGCAGTGGCTTGAATACAGGCTCGTCTTTCATCTCACAATATGAAGGGATGTCTGAATCCCCTGTGGAGACCTTAGAGAAAGCCCTAGGTCCCTGCCTCATTTTGACGGAATGCCTCACATCCCGCTGACACATCGAGAGGCACGAGGAGTTCATTGCTTCAAAAGGTGACGATGCCTGACTCCTCCTGAATACTGATAGGAATCCCAAAATCCCTGTGGCTACAGGAAAGGGTCCTTGGGTGCCCTGCCTCACCTCGAGAAGCGTCCCTTTTGCCCTGCCAAGCCTCGAAGAGATTCCTGAGGTGTCCCTCGTTACTAGACAGGAGTCCTGACGTCACTGAAGAAACTCGTGTTTTGAAGGGCCATCCCCTCCGTAAGTCGAGAACATACCCCAGGTCCCCGCCGCAACTCGAGAAAAACCATGAGACTTCCCCCTAGAGGCGAGATGAGAGCCCATTCCGCTGCAGTGCATGCAGAGCTATTCAGTGATCCCATTCAAACAAGTCAGGAGCTTCGACTTGCTTAATGGATCTCGAGACAGTTCCCATGAACACTGTCACCAGTCTAGACGGACCCTGAGGTCACTCCAGCAACGCAAAGCAACTCCATGTGCCCCAAATCAACTCGAGATGAGGCCCGATTCCCCTGCATTGACTCCAGAGCCATTCCCCATTCCCCATTCAACACGACCGGTTGCTCGACTTCCTTCAGGCAACTCCAGAGATGCCCCGAGAACACTGTCCCAAGACTAAAGGAACACCAACTTCAGCACAGCAACTCGAGGAATGCTCCGTGTACCGCAAATCGTCTCGAGATGAGAGATGATTCCCTCGCTTAGGCTCAAGACGTATGCCAACTTTCCAGAAGCACCTCAGGGGGAGGCTTCTCTCAGCAATATGTATGAGGGAGGGACCCCGAGTTTGCTGCCTCAAGGGGAATATACAGCGAGAAGCCCTAACTTGAAAGGAGGCCGGATTTCCTTGCAGTGGCTTGAATACAGGCTCGTCTTTCATCTCACAACATGAAGGAATGTCTGAATCCCCTGTGGAGTCCTTAGAGAAAGCCCTAGGTCCCTGCCTCATTTTGACGGAATGCTTCACATCCCGCTGACTCCTCGAGAGGTATGCGGAGTTCATTACTAGAAAAGGTGATGACGCCTCACTCCTCTTGAATACTGATAGGAATCCCAAAATCCCTGTGGCTACAGGAAAGGGTCCTTGGGTGCCCTGCCTCACCTCGAGAAGCGTCCCTTTTGCCCTGCCAAGCCTCGAAGAGATTCCTGAGGTGTCCCTCGTTACTAGACAGGAGTCCTGACGTCACTGAAGAAACTCGTGTTTTGAAGGGCCATCCCCTCCGTAAGTCGAGAACATACCCCAGGTCCCCGCCGAAACTCGAGAAAAACCATGAGACTTCCCCCTAGCGGCGAGATGAGGCCCCATTCCCCTGCAGTGCATGCAGAGCTATTCCGTGATCCCATTCAAACGAGTCAGGAGCTTCGACTTGCTTAATGGATCTCGAGACAGTCCCCAAGAACACTGTAACCAGTCTAGACGGACCCTGAGGTCACCCAAGCAACGCAAAGCAGCACCATGTGCCCCAAATCAACTCGAGATGAGGCCCGATTCCCCTGCATTGACTCCAGAGCCATTCCAAGTTCCACATTCAACACGACCGGTGGCTCGACTTCCTTCAGGAAACTCCAGAGATGCCCCGAGAACACTGTCCCAAGACTAGAGGAACACCAACTTCAGCACAGCAACTCGAGGAATGCTCCGGGTACCCCAAATCGTCTCGAGGTGAGAGCTGATTCCCTGGCTTAGGATCAAGACGTATGCCAACTTCCGGAAGCACCTCAGGAGGAGGCTTCTCTCAGCAATAGTTATGAGGGAGGGACCCCCAGTTTGCTGCCTCAAGCGGAATATACAGCGAGAAGCCCTAACTTGAAAGGAGGCCGGATTTCCTTGCAGTGGCTTGAATACAGGCTCCTCTTTCATCTCACAACATGAAGGGATGTCTGAATCCCCTGTGGAGACCTTAGAGAAAGCCCTAGGTCCTTGCCTCATTTTGACGGAATGCCTCACATCCCGCTGACTCCTCGAGAGGTATGCGGAGTTCATTACTAGAAAAGGTGATGACGCCTCACTCCTCTTGAATACTGATAGGAATCCCAAAACATCTTGGCTACTGGAAAGTGTCCTTGGGTGCCCTGCCTCACCTCGAGAAGCGTCCCTTTTGCCCTGCCAAGCCTCGAGGAGATTCCTGAGGTGTCCCTCGTTACTAGACAGGAGTCCTGACGTCACTGAAGAAACTCGTGTTTTGAAGGGCCATCCCCGCCGTAAGTCGAGAACATACCCCAGGCCCCGCCTCACCTCGAGAAAAACCATGAGACTTCCCCCTAGAGGCGAGATGAGGCCCCATTCCTCTGCAGTGCATGCAGAGCTATTCCGTGATCCCATTCAAACAAGTCAGGAGCTTCGACTTGCTTAATGGATCTCGAGACATTCCCCAAGAACACTGTCACCAGTCTAGACGTACCCTGAGGTCACCCCAGCAACGCAAAGCAGCTCCATGTGCCCCAAATCAACTCGAGATGAGGCTCGATTCCCCTGCATTGACTCCAGAGCCATTCCCCGTTCCCCATTCAACACGACCGGTGGCTCGACTTCCTTCAGGCAACTCCAGAGATGCCCCGAGAACACTGTCCCAAGACTAGAGGAACACCAACTTCAGCTCAGCAACTCGAGGAATGCTCCGTGTACCCCAAATCGTCTCGAGATGAGAGCTGATTCCCTGGCTTAGGATCAAGCCATATGCCAACTTTCCGGAAGCACCTCAGGAGGAGGCTTCTGTCAGCAGTAGGTATGAGGGAGGGACACCGAGTTTGCTGCCACAAGGGGAATATATAGCGAGAAGCCCTAACTTGAAAGGATGCCGGATTTCCTTGCAGTGGCTTGAATACAGGCTCGTCTTTCATCTCACAACATGAAGGGATGTCTGAATCCCCTGTGGAGACCTTAGAGAAAGCCCTAGGTCCCTGCCTCATTTTGACGGAATGCCTCACATCCCGCTGACACCTCGAGAGGCACGAGGAGTTCATTACTTCAAAAGGTGATGACGCCTGACTCCTCTTGAATACTGATAGGAATCCCAAAATCCCTTTGGCTTCTGGAAAGGGTCCTTGGGTGCCCTGCCTCACCTCGAGAATCGTCCCTTTTGCCCTGCCAAGCCTCGAAGAGATTCCTGAGGTGTCCCTTGTTACTAGACAGGAGTCTGACGTCACTGAAGAAACTCGTGTTTTGAAGGGCCATCCCCGCCGTAAGTCGAGAACATACCCCAGGTCCCCGCCGCAACTCGAGAAAAACCATGAGACTTCCCCCTAGAGGCGAGGTGAGGCCCCATTCACCTGCAGTGCATGCAGAGCTATTCCGTGATCCCGTTCAAACAAGTCAGGAGCTTCGACTTGCTTAATGGATCTCGAGAGAGTCCCCAAGAACACTATCACCAGTCTAGACGGACCCTGAGGTCACCCCAGCAACGCAAAGCAGCTCCATGTGCCCCAAATCAAATCGAGATGAGGCCCGATTCCCCTGCATTGACTCCAGAGCCATTCCCCGTTCCCCATTCAACAAGACCGGCGACTCTACTTCCTTCAGGCAACCACAGAGATGCCCCGAGAACACTGTCCCAAGACTAGAGGAACACCAACTTCAGCACAGCATCTCGAGGAATGCTCGGTGTACCGCAAATCGTCTCAAGATGAGAGCTGATTCCCTCGCTTAGGCTCAAGACGTATGCCAACTTTCCGGAAGCACCTCAGGAGGAGGCTTCTCTCAGCAATAGGTATGAGGGAGGGACCCCGAGTTTGCTGCCTCAAGGGGAATATACAGAGAGAAGCCCTAACTTGAAAGGAGGCCGGATTTCCTTGCAGTGGCTTGAATACAGGCTCGTCTTTCATCTCACAACATGAAGGGATGACTGAATCCCCTGTGGAGACCTTAGAGAAAGCCCTAGGACCCTGCCTCATTTTGACGGAATGCCTCACATCCCGCTGACTCCTCGAGATGAACGCGGAGTTCATTACTTCAAAAGGTGATGATGCCTGATTCCTCTTGAATACTGATAGGAATCCCAAAATCCCTGTGGCTACTGCAAAGGATTCTTGGGTGCGCTGCCTCACCTCGAGAAGCGTCCCTTTTGCCCTGCCAAGCCTCGAAGACATTGCTGAGGTGTCCCTCGTTGCTAGACAGGAGTCCTGACTTCACTGAAGAAACTCGTGTTTTGAAGGGCCATCCCCGCCGTAAGTGGAGAACATAACCCAGGTCACCGCCTCAACTCGAGAAAAACCATGAGACTTCCCCCTAGATGCGAGATGAGGCCCCATTCCACTGCAGTGCATGCAGAGCTATTCAGTGATCCCATTCAAACAAGTCAGGAGCTTCGACTTGCTTAATGGATCACGAGACAGTCCCCAAGAACACTGTCAACAGTCTAGACGGACCTGAGGTCACCCCAGCAACGCAAAGCAGCTCCATGTGCCCCAAATCAACTCGAGATGAGGCCCGATTCCCCTGCATTGACTCCAGAGCCATTCCCCGTTCCCCATTCAACACGACCAGTGGCTCGACTTCCTTCAGGCAAATCCAGAGATGCCCCGAGAACACTGTCCCAAGTATAGAGGAACACCAACTTCAGCACAGCAACTCGAGGAATGCTCCGTGTACCCCAAATCGTCTCGAGATGAGAGCTGATTCCCTGGCTTAGGCTCAAGACGTATGAAAACTTTCCAGAAGCACCTCAGGAGGAGGCTTCCCTCAGCAATAGGTATGTGGGAGGGACCCCGAGTTTGCTGCCTCAAGGGGAATATACAGCGAGAAGCCTTAACTTGAAAGGAGGCCAGATTTCCTTGCAGTGGCTTGAATACAGGCTCGTCTTTCATCTCACAACATGAAGGGATGTCTGAATCCCCTGTGGAGACCTTAGAGAAAGCCCTAGTTCCCTGCCTCATTTTGACGGAATGCCTCACATCCCGCTGACACCTCGAGAGGCACGAGGAGTTCATTGCTTCAAAAGGTGACGATGCCTGACTCCTCTTGAATACTGATAGGAATCCCAAAATCCCTGTGGCTACAGGAAAGGGTCCTTGGGTGCCCTGCCTCACCTCGAGAAGCGTCCCTTTTGCATTGCCAAGCCTCGAAGAGATTCCTGAGGTGTCCCTCGTTACTAGACAGGAGTCCTGATGTCACTGAAGAAACTCGTGTTTTGAAGGGCTATCCCCTCCGTAAGTCGAGAACATACCCCAGGTCCCCGCCGCAACTCGAGAAAAACCATGAGACTTCCCCCTAGAGGCGAGATGAGGCCCCATTCCCCTGCAGTGCATGCAGAGCTATTCCGTGATCCCATTCAAACTAGTCAGGAGCTTCGACTTGCTTAATGGATCACGAGACAGACCCCAAGAACACTGTCACCAGTCTAGACGGACCCTGAGGTCACCCCAGCAACGCAAAGCAGCTCCATGTGCCCCAAATCAACTCGAGATGAGGCCCGATTCCCCTGCATTGACTCCAGAGCCATTCCCCGTTCCCCATTCAACACGACCAGTGGCTCGACTTCCTTCAGGCAACTCCAGAGATGCCCCGAGAACACTGTCCCAAGTCTAGAGGAACACCAACTTCAGCACAGCAACTCGAGGAATGCTCCGTGTACCCCAAATCGTCTCGAGATGAGAGCTGATTCCCTGGCTTAGGCTCAAGACGTATGAAAACTTTCCAGAAGCACCTCAGGAGGAGGCTTCTCTCAGCAATAGGTATGTGGGAGGGACCCCGAGTTTGCTGCCTCAAGGGGAATATACAGCGAGAAGCCGTAACTTGAAAGGAGGCCAGATTTCCTTGCAGTGGCTTGAATACAGGCTCGTCTTTCATCTCACAACATGAAGGGATGTCTGAATCCCCTGTGGAGACCTTAGAGAAAGCCCTAGGTCCCTGCCTCGTTTTGACGGAATGCCTCACATCCCGCTGACACCTCGAGAGGCACGAGGAGTTCATTGCTTCAAAAGGTGATGATGCGTGACTCCTCTTGAATACTGATAGGAATCCCAAAATCCCTGTGGCTACTGGAAAGGGTCCTTGGGTGCCCTGCCTCACCTCGAGAAGCGTCCCTTTTGCCCTGCCAAGCCTCGAAGAGATTCCTGAGGTGTCCCTCGTAACTAGACAGGAGTCCTGACTTCACTGAAGAAACTCGTGTTTTGAAGGGCCATCCCCGACGTAAGTCGAGAACATAGCCCAGGCCCCCGCCGCAACTCGACTAAAACCATGAGACTTCCCCATAGAGGCGAGATGAGGCCCCATTCCCCTGCAGTGCATGCAGAGCTATTCCGTGATCCCATTCAAACAAGTCAGGAGCTTCGACTTGCTTAATGGATCTCGAGACAGTCCCCAAGAACACTGTCACCAGTCTAGACGGACCCTGAGGTCACCACAGCAACGCAAAGCAGCTCCATGTGCCCCAAATCAACTCGAGATGAGGCCCGATTCCCATGCATTGACTCCAGAGCCATTCCCCGTTCCCCATTCAACACGACCGCTGGCTCGACTTCCTTCAGGCAACTCCAGAGATGCCCCGAGATCACTGTCCCAAGACTAGAGGAACACCAACTTCAGCACAGCAACTCGAGGAATGCTCCATGTACCCCAAATCGTCTCGAGATGAGAGCTGATTCCCTCGCTTAGGCTCAAGACGTATGCCAACTTTCCGGAATCACCTCAGGAGGAGGCTTCTCTCAGCAATATGTATGAGGGAGGGACCCCGAGTTTGCTGCCTCAAGCGGAATATACAGCGAGAAGCCCTAACTTGAAAGGAGGCCGGATTTCCTTGCAGTGGCTTGAATACAGGCTCGTCTTTCATCTCACAACATGAAGGGATGTCTGAATCCCCTGTGGAGACCTTAGAGAAAGCCCTAGGTCCCTGCCTCATTTTGACGGAATGCCTCACATCCCGCTGACTCCTCGAGAGGTACGCGGAGTTCATTACTTCAAAAGGTGATGACGCCTGACTCCTCTTGAATACTGATAGGAATCCCAAAACATCTTGGCTACTGGAAAGGGTCCTTGGGTGCCCTGCCTCACCTCGAGAAGCGTCCCTTTTGCCCTGCCAAGCCTCGAAGAGATTCCTGAGGTGTCCCTCGTTACTAGACAGGACTCCTGACGTCACTGAAGAAACTCGTGTTTTGAAGGGCCATCCCCTCCGTAAGTCGAGAACATACCCCAGGTCCCGGCCGCAACTCGAGAAAAACCATGGGACTTCCCCCTAGAGGCGAGATGAGAGCCCATTGCTCTGCAGTGCATGCAGAGCTATTCCGTGATCCCATTCAAACAAGTCAGGAGCTTCGACTTGCTTAATGGATCTCGAGACAGTCCCCAAGAACACTGTCACCAGTCTAGACGGACCCTGAGGTCCCCCCAGCAACACAAAGCAGCACCATGTGCCACAAATCACCTCGAGATGAGGCCCGTTTCCCCTGCATTGACTCCAGAGCCATTCCAAGTTCCCCATTCAACACGACCGGTGGGTCGACTTCCTTCAGGCAACTCCAGAGATGCCCCGAGAACACTGTCCCAAGACTAGAGGAACACCAACTACAGCACGGCAACTCGAGTAATGCTCCGTGTACGCCAAATAGTCTCGAGATGAGAGATGATTCCCTGGCTTAGGATCAAGACGTATGCCAACTTTCCGGAAGCACCTCAGGAGGAGGCTTCTCTCAGCAATAGGTATGAGGGAGGGACCCCGAGTTTGCTACCTCAAGCGGAATATACAACGAGAAGCCCTAACTTGAAAGGAGGCCGGATTTCCTTGCAGTGGCTTGAATACAGGCTCGTCTTTCATCTCGCAACATGAAGGGATGTCTGAATCCCCTGTGGAGACCTTAGAGAAAGCCCTAGGTCCCTGCCTCATTTTGACGGAATGCTTCACATCCCGCTGACTCCTCGAGAGGTAGGCGGAGTTCATTACTTCAAAAGTTGATGACGCCTGACTCCTCTTGAATACTGATAGGAATCCCAAAATCCCTGTGGCTACTGGAAAGGGTCCTTGGGTTCCCTGCCTCACCTTGAGAAGCGTCCCTTTTGCCCTGCCAAGCCTCGAAGAGATTCCTGAGGTGTCCCTCGTTACTAGACAGGAGTCCTGACGTCACTGAAGAAACTCGTGTTTTGAAGGGCCATCCCCGCCGTAAGTCGAGAACATACCTCAGGTCCAAGCCGCAACTCGAGAAAAACCATGAGACTTCCCCCTAGAGGCGACATGAGGCCCCATTCCCCTGCAGTGCATGCAGAGCTATTCCGTGATCCCATTCAAACAAGTCAGGAGCTTCGACTTGCTTAATGGATCTCGAGACAGTCCCCAAGAACACTGTCACCAGTCTAGACGGACCCTGAGGTCCCCCCAGCAACGCAAAGCAGCTCCATGTGCCCCAAATCACCTCGAGATGAGGCCCGATTCCCCTGCATTGACTCCAGAGCCATTCCAAGTTCCCCATTCAACACGACCGGTGGCTCGACTTCCTTCAGGCAACTCCAGAGATGCCCCGAGAACACTGTCCCAAGACTAGAGAAACACCAACTTCAGCACAGCAACTCGAGGAATGCTCCGTGTACCCCAAATCGTCTCGAGATGAGAGATGATTCCCTGGCTTAGGATCAAGACGTATGCCAACTTTCCGGAAGCACCTCAGGAGGAGGCTTCTCTCAGCAATAGGTATGAAGGAGGGACCCCGAGTTTGCTACCTCAAGCGGAATATACAGCGAGAAGCCCTAACTTGAAAGGAGGCCGGATTTCCTTGCAGTGGCTTGAATACAGGCTCGTCTTTCATCTCACAACATGAAGGGATGTTGAATCCCTTGTGGAGACCTTAGAGAAAGCCCTAGGTCCCTGCCTCATTTTGACGGAATGCTTCACATCCCGCTGACTCCTCGAGAGGTAGGCGGAGTTCATTACTTCAAAAGGTGACGATGCCTGACTCCTCTTGAATACTGATAGGAATCCCAAAATCCCTGTGGCCACAGGAAAGGGTACTTGGGTACCCTGCCTCACCTTGAGAAGCGTCCCTTTTGCCCTGCCAAGCCTCGAAGAGATTCCTGAGGTGTCCCTCGTTACTAGACAGGAGTCCTGACGTCACTGAAGAAACTCGTGTTTTGAAGGGCTATCCCCTCCGTAAGTCGAGAACATACCCCAGGTCCCGGCCGCAACTCGAGAAAAACCATGAGACTTCCCCCTAGAGGCGAGATGAGAGCCCATTCCTCTGCAGTGCATGCAGAGCTATTCCGTGATCCCATTCAAACAAGTCAGGAGTTTCGAATTGCTTAATGGATCTCGAGACAGTCCCCAAGAACACTGTCACCAGTCTAGACGGAACCTGAGGTCACCCCAGAAACGCAAAGCAGCTCCATGTGCCCCAAATCAACTCGAGATGAGGCCCGATTCCCATGCATTGACTCCAGAGCCATTCCCCGTTCCCCATTCAACACGACCGGTGGCTCGACTTCCTTCAGGCAACTCCAGAGATGCCCCGGGAACACTGTCCCAAGACTAGAGGATCACCAACTTCAGCACAGCAACTCGAGGAATGCTCCGTGTACCCCAAATCGTCTCGAGATGAGAGCTGATTCCCTGGCTTAGGAACAAGACGTATGCCAACTTTCCGGAAGCACCTCAGGAGGAGGCTTCTCTCAGCAATAGTTATGAGGGAGGGACCCCGAGTTTGCTGCCTCAAGCGGAATATACAGCGAGAAGCCATAACTTGAAAGGAGGCCGGATTTCCTTGCAGTGGCTTGAATACAGGCTCCTCTTTCATCTCACAACATGAAGGGATGACTGAATCCCCTGTGGAGACCTTAGAGAAAGCCCTAGGTCCTTGCCTCATTTTGACGGAATGCCTCACATCCCGCTGACTCCTCGAGAGGTATGCGGAGTTCATTACTAGAAAAGGTGATGACGCCTCACTCCTCTTGAATACTGATAGGAATCCCAAAAAATCTTGGCTACTGGAAAGGGTCCTTGGGTGCCCTGCCTCACCTCGAGAATCGTCCCTTATGCCCTGCCAAGCCTCGAAGAGATTCCTGAGGTGCCCCTCGTTACTAGACAGGAGTCCTGACGTCACTGAAGAAACTCCTGTTTTGAAGGGCCATCCCCTCCGTAAGTCGAGAACATATCCCAGGTCCCCGCCGAAACTCGAGAAAAACCCTGAGAGTTCCCCCTAGAGGCGAGTTGAGAGCCCATTCCCCTACAGTGCATGCAGAGCTATTCAGTGATCCCATTCAAACAAGTCAGGAGCTTCGACTTGCTTAATGGATCTCGAGACAGTCCCCAAGAACACTGTCACCAGTCTAGACGGACCCTGAGGTCACTCCAGCAACGCAAAGCAGCTCCATGTGCCCCAAATCAACTCGAGATGAGGCCCGATTCCCCTGCATTGATTCCAGAGCCATTCCCCGTTCCCCATTCAACACGACCGGTTTCTCGACTTCCTTCAGGCAATTCCAGAGATGCCCCGAGAACACTGTCCCAAGACTAGAGGAACACCAACTTCAGCACAGCAACTCGAGGAATGCTCCGTGTACCCCAAATCGTCTCGAGATGAGAGCTGATTCCCTCGCTTAGGCTCAAGACGTATGCCAACTTTCCGGAAGCACCTCAGGAGGAGGCTTCTCTCAGCAATATGGATGAGGGAGGGACCCCGAGTTTGCTGCCTCAAGGGGAATATACAGCGAGAAGCCCTAACTTGAAAGGAGGCCGGATTTCCTTGAAGTGGCTTGAATACAGGCTCGTCTTTCATCTCACAACATGAAGGGATGTCTGAATCCCCTGTGGAGACCTTCGAGAAAGCCCTAGGTCCCTGCCTCATTTTGACGGAATGCCTCACATCCCGCTGACTCCTCGAGAGGTACGCGGAGTTCATTACTTCAAAAGGTGATGACGCCTGACTCCTCTTGAATACTGATAGGAACCCAAAATCCCTGTGGCTACTGGAAAGGATCCTTGGGTTCCCTGCCTCACCTCGAGAAGCGTCCCTTTTGCCCTGCCAAGCCTCAAAGAGATTCCTGAGGTGTCCCTCGTTACTAGACAGGAGTCCTGACTTCACTGAAGAAACTCGTGTTTTGAAGGGCCATCCCCGCCGTAAGTCGAGAACATAGCCCAGGCCCCCGCCGCAACTCGACTAAAACCATGAGACTTCCCCATAGAGGCGAGATGAGGCCCCATTCCCCTGCAGTGCATGCAGAGCTATTCCGGGATCCCATTCAAACAAGTCAGGAGCTTCGACTTGCTTAATGGATCTCGAGACAGTCCCAAGAACACTGTCACCAGTCTAGACGGACCCTGAGGTCACCACAGCAACGCAAAGCAGCTCCATGTGCCCCAAATCAACTCGAGATGAGGCCCGATTCCCATGCATTGACTCCAGAGCCATTCCCCGTTCCCCATTCAACACGACCGCTGGCTCGACTTCCTTCAGGCAACTCCAGAGATGCCCCGAGAACACTGTCCCAAGACTAGAGGAACACCAACTTCAGCACAGCAACTCGAGGAATGCTCCGTGTACCCCAAATCGTCTCGAGATGAGAGCTGATTCCCTGGCTTAGGAACAAGACGTATTTCAACTTTCCGGAAGCACCTCAGGAGGAGGCTTCTCTCAGCAATAGTTATGAGGGAGGGACCCCGAGTTTGCTGCCTCAAGCGGAATATACAGCGAGAAGCCCTAACTTGAAAGGAGGCCGAATTTCCTTGCAGTGGCTTGAATACAGGCTCCTCTTTCATCTCACAACATGAAGGGATGTCTGAATCCCCTGTGGAGACCTTAGAGAAAGCCCTAGGTCCTTGCCTCATTTTGACGGAATGCCTCACATCCCGCTGACTCCTCGAGAGGTATGCGGAGTTCATTACTAGAAAAGGTGATGACGCCTCACTCCTCTTGAATACTGATAGGAATCCCAAAACATCTTGGCTACTGGAAATGGTCCTTGGGTGCCCTGCCTCACCTCGAGAAGCGTCCCTTTTGCCCAGCCAAGCCTCGAAGAGATTCCTGAGGTGTCCCTCGTTACTAGACAGGAGTCCTGACGTCACTGAAGAAACTCGTGTTTTGAAGGGCCATCCCCTCCGTAAGTCAAGAACATATCCCAGGTCCCCGCCGAAACTCGAGAAAAACCATGAGAGTTCCCCCTAGAGGCGAGATGAGAGCCCATTCCCCTGCAGTGAATGCAGAGCTATTCAGTGATCCCATTCAAACAAGTCAGGGGCTTCGACTTGCTTAATGGATCTCGAGACAGTCCCCAAGAACACTGTCACCAGTCTAGACGGACCCTGAGGTCACTTCAGCAACGCAAAGCAGCTCCATGTGCCCCAAATCAACTCGAGATGAGGCCCGATTCCCCTGCATTGACTCCAGAGCCATTCCCCGTTCCCCATTCAACACGACCGGTGGCTCGACTTCCTTCAGGCAACTCCAGAGATGCCCCGAGAACACTGTCCCAAGACTAGAGGAACACCAACTTCAGCACAGCAACTCGAGGAATGCTCCGTGTATCGCAAATCGTCTCGAGATGAGAGCTGATTCCCTCGCTTAGGCTCAAGACGTATGCCAACTTTCCGGAAGCACCTCAGGAGGAGGCTTCTCTCAGCAATAGGTATGAGGGAGGGACCCCGAGTTTGCTGCCTCAAGGGGAATATACAGCGAGAAGCCCTAACTTGAAAGGAGGCCGGATTTCCTTGCAGTGGCTTGAATACAGGCTCGTCTTTCATCTCACAACATGAAGGGATGTCTGAATCCCCTGTGGAGACCTTAGAGAAAGCCCTAGGTCGTGCCTCATTTTGACGAATGCCTCACATCCCGCTGACTCCTCGAGAGGAACGCGGAGTTCATTACTTCAAAAGGTGATGACGCCTGACTCCTCTTGAATACTGATAGGAATCCCAAAATCCCTGGGGCTTCTGGAAAGGGTCCTTGGGTGCCCTGCCTCACCTCGAGAAGCGTCCCTTTTGCCCTGCCAAGCCTCGAAGAGATTCCTAAGGTGTCCCTCGTTACTACACAGGAGTCCTGTCTTCACTGAAGAAACTCGTGTTTTGAAGGGCCATCCCCGCCGTAAGTCGAGAACATAGCCCAGGCCCCCGCCGCAACTCGACTAAAACCATGAGACTTCCCCATAGAGGCGAGATGAGGCTCTATTCCCCTGCAGTGCATGCAGAGCTATTCCGTGATCCCATTCAAACAAGTCAGGAGCTTCGACTTGCTTAATGGATCTCGAGACAGTCCCCAAGAACACTGTCACCAGTCTAGACGGACCCTGAGGTCACCACAGCAATGCAAAGCAGCTCCATGTGCCCCAAATCAACTCGAGATGAGGCCCGATTCCCATGCATTGACTCCAGAGCCATTCCCCGTTCCCCATTCAACACGACCGCTGGCTCGACTTCCTTCAGGCAACTCCAGAGATGCCCCGAGAACACTGTACCAAGACTAGAGGAACACCAACTTCAGCACAGCAACTCGAGGAATGCTCCGTGTACCCCAAATCGTCTCGAGATGAGAGCTGATTCCCTGGCTTAGGAACAAGACGTATGCCAACTTTCCGGAAGCACCTCAGGAGGAGGCTTCTCTCAGCAATAGTTATGAGGGAGGGACCCCGAGTTTGCTGCCTCAAGCGGAATATACAGCGAGAAGCCCTAACTTGAAAGGAGGCCGGATTTCCTTGCAGTGGCTTGAATACAGGCTCCTCTTTCATCTCACAACATGAAGGGATGACTGAATCCCCTGTGGAGACCTTAGAGAAAGCCCTAGGTCCTTGCCTCATTTTGACGGAATGCCTCACATCCCGCTGACTCCTCGAGAGGTATGCGGAGTTCATTACTAGAAAAGGTGATGACGCCTCACTCCTCTTGAATACTGATAGGAATCCCAAAACATCTTGGCTACTGGAAATGGTCCTTGGGTGCCGTGCCTCACCTCGAGAAGCGTCCCTTTTGCCCTGCCAAGCCTCGAAGAGATTCCTGAGGTGTCCCTTGTTACTAGACATGAGTCCTGACGTCACTGAAGAAACTCGTGTTTTGAAGGGCCATCCCCGCCGTAAGTCGAGAACATACCCCAGGTCCCGGCCGCAACTCGAGAAAAGCCATGAGACTTCCCCCTAGAGGCGACATGAGGCCCCATTCCCCTGCAGTGCATGCAGAGCTATTCCGTGATCCCATTCAAACAAGTCAGGAGCTTCGACTTGCTTAATGGATCTCGAGACAGTCCCCAAGAACACTGTCACCAGTCTAGACGGACCCTGAGGTCACCCCAGCAATGCAAAGCAGCACCATGTGCCCCAAATCACCTCGAGATGAGGCCCCATTCCCCTGCATTGACTCCAGAGCCATTCCAAGTTCCCCATTCAACACGACCTGTGGCTCGACTTCCTTCAGGCTACTCCAGAGATGCCCCGAGAACACTGTCCCAAGACTAGAGGAACACCAACTTCAGCACAGCAACTCGAGGAATGCTCCGTGTACCCCAAATCGTCTCGAGATGAGAGCTGATTCCCTGGCTTAGGCTCAAGACGTATGCCAACATTCCAGAAGCACCTCAGGAGGAGGCTGCTCTCAGCAATAGGTATGTGGGAGGGACCCCGAGTTTGGTGCCTCAAGGGGAATATACAGCGAGAAGCCCTAACTTGAAAGGAGGACGGATTTCCTTGCAGTGGCTTGAATACTGGCCCGTCTTTCATCTCACAAAATGAAGGGATGTCTGAATCCCCTGTGGAGACCTTAGAGAAAGACCTAGGACCCTGCCTCATTTTGAGGGAATGCCTTACATCCCGCTGATACCTCGAGAGGAACGCGGAGTTCATTGCTTCAAATGGTGACGATGCCTGACATCTCTTGAATACTGATAGGAATCCCATAATCCCTGTGGCTACTGGAAAGGGTCCTTGGGTGCAGTGCCTCACATCGAGAAGCGTTCCTTTTGCCCTGCCAAGCCTCGAAGAGATTCCTGAGGTGTCCCTCGTTACTAGACAGGAGGCTTGACGTCACTGAATAAACTCGTGTTTTGAAGGGCAATCCCCGCCGTAAGTCGAGAACATAGCCCAGGTCCCCGCCGCAACTCGAGAAAAACCATGAGACTTCCCCCTAGAGGCGAGATGAGGCCCCATTCCCCTGCAGTGCATGCAGAGCTATTCCGTGATCCCATTCATACAAGTCAGGAGCTTCGACTTGCTTAATGGGTCTCAAGACAGTCCCCAAGAACACTGTCACCATTCTAGACGGACCCTGAGGTCACCCCAGCAACGCAAAGCAGCTCCATGTGCCCCAAATCAACTCGAGATGAGGCCCGATTCCCCTGCATTGACTCCAGAGCCATTCCCCGTTCCCCATTCAACACGACCGCTGGCTCGACTTCTTTCAGGCAACTCCAGAGATGCCCCGAGAACGCTGTCCGAAGTCTAGAGGAACACCAACTTCAGCACAGCAACTCGAGGAATGATCCGTGTACCCCAAATCATCTCGAGATGAGAGCTGATTCCCTGGCTTAGGATCAAGATGTATGCCAACTTTCCAGAAGCACCTCAGGAGGAGGCTTCTCTCAGCAATAGGTATGTGTGAGGGACCCCGAGTTTGCTGCCTCAAAGGGAATATACAGCGAGAAGCCCTAACTTGAAAGGAGTCCGGATTTCCTTGCAGTGGCTTGAATACAGGCTCGTCTTTCATCTCACAACATGAAGGGATGTCTGAATCCCCTGTGGAGACCTTAGAGAAAGCCCTAGGTCCCTGCCTCATTTTGACGGAAATCCGCACATCCCGCTGACACCTCGAGAGGCACGCGGAGTTCATTGCTTCAAAAGGTGACGATGCCTGACACCTCTTGAATACTGATAGGAATCCCAAAATCCCTGTGGCTACTGGAAAGGGTCCTTGGGTGCCCTGCCTCACCTCGAGAAGCGTCCCTTTTGCCCTGCCAAGCCTCGAAGAGATTCCTGAGGTGTACCTCGTTACTAGACAGGAGTCCTGACCTCACTGAAGAAACTCGTGTTTTGAAGGGCCATCCCCTCGGTAAGTCGAGAACATACCCCAGGTCCCCGCCGCAACTCGAGAAAAACCATGAGACTTCCCCCTAGAGGCGAGATGACAGCCCATTCCCCTGCAGTGCATGCAGAGCTATTCCGTGATCCCATTCAAACAAGTCAGGAGCTTCGACTTGCTTAATGGATCTCGAGACAGTCCTCAAGAACACTGTCACCAGTCTAGACGGACCCTGAGGTCACTCCAGCAACGCAAAGCAGCTCCATGTGCCCCAAATCAACTCGAGATGAGGCCCGATTCCCCTGCATTGACTCCAGAGCCATTCCCCGTTCCCCATTCAACACGACCGGTTGCTCGACTTCCTTCAGGCAACTCCAGAGATGCCCCGAGAACACTGTCCCAAGTCTAGAGTAACACCAACTTCAGCACAGCAACTCGAGGAATGCTCCGTGTACCGCAAATCGTCTCGAGATGAGAGCTGATTCCCTCGCTTAGGCTCAAGACGTATGCCAACTTTCCGGAAGCACCTCAGCAGGAGGCTTCTCTCAGTAATAGGTATGATGGAGGGACCCCGAGTTTGCTGCCTCAAGCGGAATATACATCGAGAAGCCCTAACTTGAAAGGAGGCCGGATTTCCTTGCAGTGGCTTGAATACAGGCTCGTCTTTCATCTCACAACATGAAGGGATGTCTGAATCCCCTGTGGAGACCTTAGGGAAAGCCCTAGGTCCCTGCCTCATTTTGACGGAATGCCTCACATCCCGCAGACTCCTCGAGAGGAACGCGAAGTTCATTACTTCAAAAGGTGATGACGCCTCACTCCTCTTGAATACTGATAGGAATCCCATAATCCCTGTGGCTACTGGAAAGGGTCCTTGGGTTCCCTGCCTCACCTCGAGAAGCGTCCCTTTTGCCCTGCCAAGCCTCGAAGAGATTCCTGAGGTGTCCCTCGTTACTAGACAGGAGTCCTGACGTCACTGAAGAAACTCGTGTTTTGAAGGGCCATCCCGGCTGTAAGTCGAGAATATACCCCAGGTCCCCGCCGCAACTCGAGAAAAACCATGAGACTTCCCCCTAGATGCGACATGAGGCCCCATTCCCCTGCAGTGCATGCAGAGCTATTCCGTGATCCCATTCAAACAAGTCAGGAGCTTCGACTTGCTTAATGGATCTCGAGACAGTACCCAAGAACACTGTCACCAGTCTAGACGGACCCTGAGGTCACCCCAGCAACGCAAAGCAGCTCCATGTGCCCCAAATCAACTCGAGATGAGGCCCGATTCCCCTGCATTGACTCCAGAGCCATTCCCCGTTCCACATTCAACACGACCAGTGGCTCGACTTCCTTCAGGCAACTCCAGAGATGCCCCAAGAACACTCTCCGAAGACTAGAGGAAAACCAACTTCAGCACAGCAACTCGAGGAATGCTCCGTGTACCCCAAATCGTCTCGAGATGAGAGATGATTCCCTGGCTTAGGATCAAGACGTATGCCAACTTTCCGGAAGCACCTCAGGAGGAGGCTTCTCTCAGCAATAGGTATGAAGGAGGGACCCCGAGTTTGCTACCTCAAGCGGAATATACAGCGAGAAGCCCTAACTTGAAAGGAGGCCGGATTTCCTTGCAGTGGCTTGAATACAGGCTCCTCTTTCATCTCACAACATGAAGGGATGTCTGAATCCCCTGTGGAGGCCTGAGAGAAAGCCCTAGGTCCCTGCCTCTTTTTGACGGAATGCCTCACATCCAGCTGACACCCCGAGAGCCACGCGGATTTCATTGCTTCAAAAGTGACGATGCCTGACTCCTCTTGAATACTGATAGGAATCCCAAAATCCCTGTGGCTACTGGAAAGGGTCCTTGGGTGCCCTGCCTCACCTCGAGAAGCGTCCCTTTTGCACTGCCAAGCCTCGAAGAGATTCCTGAGGTGTCCCTCGTTACTAGACAGGAGGCCTGACGTCACTGAATAAACTCGTGTTTTGAAGGGCAATCCCCGCCGTAAGTCGAGAACATACCCCAGGGCCCCGCCGCAACTCGAGAAAAACCATGAGACTTCCCCCTAGAGGCGAGATGAGGCCCCATTCCCCTGCAGTGCATGCAGAGCTATTCCGTGATCCCATTCATACAAGTCAGGAGCTTCGACTTGCTTAATGGATCTCGAGACAGTCCCCAAGAACACTGTCACCAGTCTAGACGGACCCTGAGGTCCCCCCAGCAACGCAAAGCAGCTCCATGTGCCCCAAATCACCTCGAGATGAGGCCCGATTCCCCTGCATTGACTCCAGAGCCATTCCTAGTTCCCCATTCAACACGACCGGTGGCTCGACTTCCTTCAGGCCACTCCAGAGATGCCCCGAGAACACTGTCCCAAGACTAGAGAAACACCAACTTCAGCACAGCAACTCGAGGAATGCTCCGTGTACCCCAAATCGTCTCGAGATGAGAGATGATTCCCTGGCTTAGGATCAAGACGTATGCCAACTTTCCGGAAGCACCTCAGGAGGAGGCTTCTCTCAGCAATAGGTATGAAGGAGGGACCCCGAGTTTGCTACCTCAAGCGGAATATACAGCGAGAAGCCCTAACTTGAAAGGAGGCCGGATTTCCTTGCAGTGGCTTGAATACAGGCTCGTCTTTCATCTCACAACATGAAGGGATGTCTGAATCCCTTGTGGAGACCTTAGAGAAAGCCCTAGGTCCCTGCCTCATTTTGACGGAATGCTTCACATCCCGCTGACTCCTCGAGAGGTAGGCGGAGTTCATTACTTCAAAAGGTGACGATGCCTGACTCCTCTTGAATACTGATAGGAATCCCAAAATCCCTGTGGCCACAGGAAAGGGTCCTTGGGTACCCTGCCTCACCTTGAGAAGCGTCCCTTTTGCCCTGCCAAGCCTCGAAGAGATTCCTGAGGTGTCCCTCGTTACTAGACAGGAGTCCTGACGTCACTGAAGAAACTCGTGTTTTGAAGGGCTATCCCCTCCGTAAGTCGAGAACATAACCCAGGTCCCGGCCGCAACTCGAGAAAAACCATGAGACTTCCCCCTAGAGGCGAGATGAGAGCCCATTCCTCTGCAGTGCATGCAGAGCTATTCCGTGATCCCATTCAAACAAGTCAGGAGTTTCGAATTGCTTAATGGATCTCGAGACAGTCCCCAAGAACACTGTCACCAGTCTAGACGGACCCTGAGGTCACCCCAGCAACGCAAAGCAGCTCCATGTGCCCCAAATCAACTCGAGATGAGGCCCGATTCCCATGCATTGACTCCAGAGCCATTCCCCGTTCCCCATTCAACACGACCGGTGGCTCGACTTCCTTCAGGCAACTCCAGAGATGCCCCGAGAACACTGTCCCAAGACTAGAGGATCACCAACTTCAGCACAGCAACTCGAGGAATGCTCCGTGTACCCCAAATCGTCTCGAGATGAGAGCTGATTCCCTGGCTTAGGAACAAGACGTATGCCAACTTTCCGGAAGCACCTCAGGAGGAGGCTTCTCTCAGCAATAGTTATGAGGGAGGGACCCCGAGTTTGCTGCCTCAAGCGGAATATACAGCGAGAAGCCCTAACTTGAAAGGAGGCCGGATTTCCTTGCAGTGGCTTGAATACAGGCTCCTCTTTCATCTCACAACATGAAGGGATGTCTGAATCCCCTGTGGAGACCTTTGAGAAAGCCCTAGGTCCCTGCCTCATTTTGACGGAATGCCTCACACCCCGCTGACTCCTCGAGAGGTACGCGGAGTTCATTACTTCAAAAGGTGATGACGCCTGACTCCTCTTGAATACTGATAGGAATCCCAAAATCCCTGTGGCTACTGGAAAGGATCCTTGGTTTCCCTGCCTCACCTCGAGAAGCGTCCCTTTTGCCCTGCCAAGCCTCAAAGAGATTCCTGAGGTGTCCCTCGTTACTAGACAGGAGTCCTGACTTCACTGAAGAAACTCGTGTTTTGAAGGGCCATCCCCGCCGTAAGTCGAGAACATACCCCAGGCCCCCGCCGCAACTCGACTAAAACCATGAGACTTCCCCATAGAGGCGAGATGAGGCCCCATTCCCCTGCAGTGCATGCAGAGCTATTCCGTGATCCCATTCAAACAAGTCAGGAGCTTCGACTTGCTTAATGGATCTCGAGACAGTCCCAAGAACACTGTCACCAGTCTAGACGGACCCTGAGGTCACCACAGCAACGCAAAGCAGCTCCATGTGCCCCAAATCAACTCGAGATGAAGCCCGATTCCCATGCATTGACTCCAGAGCCATTCCCCGTTCCCCATTCAACACGACCGCTGGCTCGACTTCCTTCAGGCAACTCCAGAGATGCCCCGAGAACACTGTCCCAAGACTAGAGGAACACCAACTTCAGCACAGCAACTCGAGGAATGCTCCGTGTACCCCAAATCGTCTCGAGATGAGAGCTGATTCCCTGGCTTAGGAACAAGACGTATTTCAACTTTCCGGAAGCACCTCAGGAGGAGGCTTCTCTCAGCAATAGTTATGAGGGAGGGACCCCGAGTTTGCTGCCTCAAGCGGAATATACAGCGAGAAGCCCTAACTTGAAAGGAGGCCGGATTTCCTTGCAGTGGGTTGAATACAGGCTCCTCTTTCATCTCACAACATGAAGGGATGTCTGAATCCCCTGTGGAGACCTTAGAGAAAGCCCTAGGTCCTTGCCTCATTTTGACGGAATGCCTCACATCCCGCTGACTCCTCGAGAGGTATGCGGAGTTCATTACTAGAAAAGTTGATGACGCCTGACTCCTCTTGAATACTGATAGGAATCCCAAACTTACTGTGGTTACAGGAAAGGGTCCTTGGGTGCCCTGCCTCACCTCGAGAAGCGTCCCTTTTGCCCTGCCAAGCCTCGAAGAGATTCCTGAGGTGTCCCTCGTTACTAGACAGGAGTTCTGACGTCACTGAAGAAACTCGTGTTTTGAAGGGCCATCCCCGCCGTAAGTCGAGAACATAGCCAAGGCCCCCGCCGCAACTCGACTAAAACCATGAGACTTCCCCCTAGAGGCGAGATGAGGCCCCATTCCCCTGCAGTGCATGCAGAGCTATTCCGTGATCCCATTCAAACAAGTCAGGAGCTTCGACTTGCTTAATGGATCTCGAGACAGTCCCCAAGAACACTGTCACCAGTCTAGACGGACCCTGAGGTCCCCCCAGCAACGCAAAGCAGCTCCATGTGCCCCAAATCAACTCGAGATGAGGCCCGATTCCCATGCATTGACTCCAGAGCCATTCCCCGTTCCCCATTCAACACGACCGCTGGCTCGACTTCCTTCAGGCAACTCCAGAGATGCCCCGAGAACACTGTACCAAGACTAGAGGAACACCAACTTCAGCACAGCAACTCGAGGAATGCTCCGTGTACCCCAAATCGTCTCGAGATGAGAGCTGATTCCCTGGCTTAGGAACAAGACGTATGCCAACTTTCCGGAAGCACCTAAGGAGGAGGCTTCTCTCAGCAATAGTTATGAGGGAGGGACCCCGAGTTTGCTGCCTCAAGCGGAATATACAGCGAGAAGCCCTAACTTGAAAGGAGGCCGGATTTCCTTGCAGTGGCTTGAATACAGGCTCCTCTTTCATCTCACAACATGAAGGGATGTCTGAATCCCCTGTGGAGACCTTAGAGAAAGCCCTAGGTCCTTGCCTCATTTTGACGGAATGCCTCACATCCCGCTGACTCCTCGAGAGGTATGCGGAGTTCATTACTAGAAAAGGTGATGACGCCTCACTCCTCTTGAATACTGATAGGAATCCCAAAACATCTTGGCTACTGGAAATGGTCCTTGGGTGCCCTGCCTCACCTCGAGAAACGTCCCTTTTGCCCTGCCAAGCCTCGAAGAGATTCCTGAGGTGTCCCTCGTTACTAGACAGGAGTCCTGACGTCACTGAAGAAACTCGTGTTTTGAAGGGCCATCCCCTCCGTAAGTCGAGAACATATCCCAGGTCCCCGCCGAAACTCGAGAAAAACCATGAGAGTTCCCCCTAGAGGCGAGATGAGAGCCCATTCCCCTGCAGTGAATGCAGAGCTATTCAGTGATCCCATTCAAACAAGTCAGGAGCTTCGACTTGCTTAATGGATCTCGAGACAGTCCCCAAGAACACTGTCACCAGTCTAGACGGACCCTGAGGTCACTCCAGCAACGCAAAGCAGCTCCATGTGCCCCAAATCAACTCGAGATGAGGCCCGATTCCCCTGCATTGACTCCAGAGCCATTCCCCGTTCCCCATTCAACACGACCGGTTGCTCGACTTCCTTCAGGCAACTCCAGAGATGCCCCGAGAACACTGTCCCAAGACTAGAGGAACACCAACTTCAGCACAGCAACTCGAAGAATGCTCCGTGTACCGCAAATCGTCTCGAGATGAGAGCTGATTCCCTCGCTTAGGCTCAAGACGTATACCAACTTTCCGGAAGCACCTCAGGAGGAGGCTTCTCTCAGCAATAGGTATGAGGGAGGGACCCCGAGTTTGCTGCCTCAAGGGGAATATACAGGGAGAAGCCCTAACTTGAAAGGAGGCCGGATTTCCTTGCAGTGGCTTGAATACAGGCTCGTCTTTCATCTCACAACATGAAGGGATGTCTGAATCCCCTGTGGAGACCTTAGAGAAAGCCCTAGGTCGTGCCTCATTTTGACGAATGCCTCACATCCCGCTGACTCCTCGAGAGGAACGCGGAGTTCATTACTTCAAAAGGTGATGACGCCTGACTCCTCTTGAATACTGATAGGAATCCCAAAATCCCTGGGGCTTCTGGAAAGGGTCCTTGGGTGCCCTGCCTCACCTCGAGAAGCGTCCCTTTTGCCCTGCCAAGCCTCGAAGAGATTCCTAAGGTGTCCCTCGTTACTACACAGGAGTCCTGTCTTCACTGAAGAAACTCGTGTTTTGAAGGGCCATCCCCTCCGTAAGTGGAGAACATAGCCCAGGCCCCCGCCGCAACTCGACTAAAACCATGAGACTTCCCCATAGAGGCGAGATGAGGCCCCATTCCCCTGCAGTGCATGCAGAGCTATTCCGTGATCCCATTCAAACAAGTCAGGAGCTTCGACTTGCTTAATGGATCTCGAGACAGTACCCAAGAACACTGTCACCAGTCTAGACGGACCCTGAGGTCACCACAGCAATGCAAAGCAGCTCCATGTGCCCCAAATCAACTCGAGATGAGGCCCGATTCCCATGCATTGACTCCAGAGCCATTCCCCGTTCCCCATTCAACACGACCGCTGGCTCGACTTCCTTCAGGCAACTCCAGAGATGCCCCGAGAACACTATCCCAAGACTAGAGGAACACCAACTTCAGCACAGCAACTCGAGGAATGCTCCGTGTACCCCAAATCGTCTCGAGATGAGAGCTGATTCCCTGGCTTAGGAACAAGACGTATGTCAACTTTCCGGAAGCACCTCAGGAGGAGGCTTCTCTCAGCAATATTTATGAGGGAGGGACCCCGAGTTTGCTGCCTCAAGCGGAATATACAGCGAGAAGCCCTAACTTGAAAGGAGGCCGGATTTCCTTGCAGTGGCTTGAATACAGGCTCCTCTTTCATCTCACAACATGAAGGGATGTCTGAATCCCCTGTGGAGACCTTAGAGAAAGCCCTAGGTCCTTGCCTCATTTTGACGGAATGCCTCACATCCCGCTGACTCCTCGAGAGGTATGCGGAGTTCATTACTAGAAAAGGTGATGACGCCTCACTCCTCTTGAATACTGATAGGAATCCCAAACTTACTGTGGTTACAGGAAAGGGTCCTTGGGTGCCCTGCCTTACCTCGAGAAGCGTCCCTTTTGCCCTGCCAAACCTCGAAGAGATTCCTGAGGTGTCCCTTGTTACTAGACAGGAGTCCTGACGTCACTGAAGAAACTCGTGTTTTGAAGGGCCATCCCCGCCGTAAGTCGAGAACATAGCCAAGGCCCCCGCCGCAACTCGACTAAAACCATGAGACTTCCCCATAGAGGCGAGATGAGGCCCCATTCCCCTGCAGTGCATGCAGAGCTATTCCGTGATCCCATTCAAACAAGTCAGGAGCTTCGACTTGCTTAATGGATCTCGAGACAGTCCCCAAGAACACTGTCACCAGTCTAGACGGACCCTGAGGTCACCACAGCAACGCAAAGCAGCTCCATGTGCCCCAAATCAACTCGAGATGAGGCCCGATTCCCATGCATTGACTCCAGAGCCATTCCCCGTTCCCCATTCAACACGACCGCTGGCTCGACTTCCTTCAGGCAACTCCAGAGATGCCCCGAGAACACTGTCCCAAGACTAGAGGAACACCAACTTCAGCACAGCAACTCGAGGAATGCTCCGTGTACCCCAAATCGTCTCGAGATGAGAGCTGATTCCCTGGCTTAGGAACAAGACGTATGCCAACTTTCCGGAAGCACCTCAGGAGGAGGCTTCTCTCAGCAATAGTTATGAGGGAGGGACCCCGAGTTTGCTGCCTCAAGCGGAATATACAGCGAGAAGCCCTAACTTGAAAGGAGGCCGGATTTCCTTGCAGTGGCTTGAATACAGGCTCCTCTTTCATCTCACAACATGAAGGGATGTCTGAATCCCCTGTGGAGACCTTAGAGAAAGCCCTAGGTCCTTGCCTCATTTTGACGGAATGCCTCACATCCCGCTGACTCCTCGAGAGGAACGCGGAGTTCATTACTTCAAAAGGTGATGACGCCTGACTCCTCTTGAATACTGATAGGAATCCCAAAATCCCTGTGGCTTCTGGAAAGGGTCCTTGGGTGCCCTGCCTCACCTCGAGAAGCGTCCCTTTTGCCCTGCCAAGCCTCGAAGAGATTCCTGAGGTGTCCCTTGTTACTAGACAGGAGTCCTGACGTCACTGAAGAAACTCGTGTTTTGAAGGGCCATCCCCGCCGTAAGTCGAGAACATACCCCAGGTCCCGGCCGCAACTCGAGAAAAGCCATGAGACTTCCCCCTAGAGGCGACATGAGGCCCCATTCCCCTGCAGTGCATGCAGAGCTATTCCGTGATCCCATTCAAACAAGTCAGGAGCTTCGACTTGCTTAATGGATCTCGAGACAGTCCCCAAGAACACTGTCACCAGTCTAGACGGACCCTGAGGTCACCCCAGCAATGCAAAGCAGCACCATGTGCCCCAAATCACCTCGAGATGAGGCCCGATTCCCCTGCATTGACTCCAGAGCCATTCCAAGTTCCCCATTCAACACGACCTGTGGCTCGACTTCCTTCAGGCAACTCCAGAGATGCCCCGAGAACACTGTCCCAAGACTAGAGGAACACCAACTTCAGCACAGCAACTCGAGGAATGCTCCGTGTACCCCAAATCGTCTCGAGATGAGAGCTGATTCCCTGGCTTAGGCTCAAGACGTATGCCAACATTCCAGAAGCACCTCAGGAGGAGGCTGCTCTCAGCAATAGGTATGTGGGAGGGACCCCGAGTTTGCTGCCTCAAGGGGAATATACAGCGAGAAGCCCTAACTTGAAAGGAGGACGGATTTCCTTGCAGTGGCTTGAATACTGGCCCGTCTTTCATCTCACAAAATGAAGGGATGTCTGAATCCCCTGTGGAGACCTTAGAGAAAGACCTAGGACCCTGCCTCATTTTGAGGGAATGCCTTACATCCCGCTGATTCCTCGAGAGGAACGCGGAGTTCATTGCTTCAAATGGTGACGATGCCTGACATCTCTTGAATACTGATAGGAATCCCATAATCCCTGTGGCTACTGGAAAGGGTCCTTGGGTGCCCTGCCTCACCTCGAGAAGCGTTCCTTTTGCCCTGCCAAGCCTCGAAGAGATTCCTGAGGTGTCCCACGTTACTAGACAGGAGGCTTGACGTCACTGAATAAACTCGTGTTTTGAAGGGCAATCCCCGCCGTAAGTCGAGAACATACCCCAGGTCCCCGCCGCAACTCGAGAAAAACCATGAGACTTCCCCCTAGAGGCGAGATGAGGCCCCATTCCCCTGCAGTGCATGCAGAGCTATTCCGTGATCCCATTCATACAAGTCAGGAGCTTCGACTTGCTTAATGGGTCTCAAGACAGTCCCCAAGAACACTGTCACCAGTCTAGACGGACCCTGAGGTCACCCCAGCAACGCAAAGCAGCTCCATGTCCCCCAAATCAACTCGAGATGAGGCCCGATTCCCCTGCATTGACTCCAGAGCCATTCCCCGTTCCCCATTCAACACGACCGCTGGCTCGACTTCTTTCAGGCAACTCCAGAGATGCCCCGAGAACGCTGTCCGAAGTCTAGAGGAACAACAACTTCAGCACAGCAACTCGAGGAATGATCCGTGTACCCCAAATCATCTCGAGATGAGAGCTGATTCCCTGGCTTAGGATCAAGATGTATGCCAACTTTCCAGAAGCATCTCAGGAGGAGGCTTCTCTCAGCAATAGGTATGTGTGAGGGACCCCGAGTTTGCTGCCTCAAAGGGAATATACAGCGAGAAGCCCTAACTTGAAAGGAGTCCGGATTTCCTTGCAGTGGCTTGAATACAGGCTCGTCTTTCATCTCACAACATGAAGGGATGTCTGAATCCCCTGTGGAGACCTTAGAGAAAGCCCTAGGTCCCTGCCTCATTTTGGCGGAAATCCGCACATCCCGCTGACACCTCGAGAGGCACGCGGAGTTCATTGCTTCAAAAGGTGACGATGCCTGACTCCTCTTGAATACTGATAGGAATCCCAAAATCCCTGTGGCTACTGGAAAGGGTCCTTGGGTGCCCTGCCTCACCTCGAGAAGCGTCCCTTTTGCCCTGCCAAGCCTCGAAGAGATTCCTGAGGTGTCCCTCGTTACTAGACAGGAGTCCTGACCTCACTGAAGAAACTCGTGTTTTGAAGGGCCATCCCCTCCGTAAGTCGAGAACATACCCCAGGTCCCCGCCGCAACTCGAGAAAAACCATGAGACTTCCCCCTAGAGGCGAGATGAGAGCCCATTCCCCTGCAGTGCATGCAGAGCTATTCAGTGATCCCATTCAAACAAGTCAGGAGCTTCGACTTGCTTAATGGATCTCGAGACAGTCCTCAAGAACACTGTCACCAGTCTAGACGGACCCTGAGGTCACTCCAGCAACGCAAAGCAGCTCCATGTGCCCCAAATCAACTCGAGATGAGGCCCGATTCCCCTGCATTGACTCCAGAGCCATTCCCCGTTCCCCATTCAACACGACCAGTTGCTCGACTTCCTTCAGGCAACTCCAGAGATGCCCGGAGAACACTGTCCCAAGTCTAGAGTAACACCAACTTCAGCACAGCAACTCGAGGAATGCTCCGTGTACCGCAAATCGTCTCGAGATGAGAGCTGATTCCCTCGCTTAGGCTCAAGACGTATGCCAACTTTCCGGAAGCACCTCAGCAGGAGGCTTCTCTCAGCAATAGGTATGATGGAGGGACCCCGAGTTTGCTGTCTCAAGCGGAATATACAGCGAGAAGCCCTAACTTGAAAGGAGGCCGGATTTCCTTGCAGTGGCTTGAATACAGGCTCGTCTTTCATCTCACAACATGAAGGGATGTCTGAATCCCCTGTGGAGACCTTAGAGAAAGCCCTAGGTCGTGCCTCATTTTGACGAATGCCTCACATCCCGCTGACTCCTCGAGAGGAACGCGGAGTTCATTACTTCAAAAGGTGATGACGCCTGACTCCTCTTGAATACTGATAGGAATCCCAAAATCCCTGGGGCTTCTGGAAAGGGTCCTTGGGTGCCCTGCCTCACCTCGAGAAGCGTCCCTTTTGCCCTGCCAAGCCTCGAAGAGATTCCTAAGGTGTCCCTCGTTACTACACAGGAGTCCTGTCTTCACTGAAGAAACTCGTGTTTTGAAGGGCCATCCCCGCCGTAAGTCGAGAACATAGCCCAGGCCCCCGCCGCAACTCGACTAAAACCATGAGACTTCCCCATAGAGGCGAGATGAGGCCCCATTCCCCTGCAGTGCATGCAGAGCTATTCCGTGATCCCATTCAAACAAGTCAGGAGCTTCGACTTGCTTAATGGATCTCGAGACAGTCCCCAAGAACACTGTCACCAGTCTAGACGGACCTGAGGTCACCACAGCAATGCAAAGCAGCTCCATGTGCCCCAAATCAACTCGAGATGAGGCCCGATTCCCATGCATTGACTCCAGAGCCATTCCCCGTTCCCCATTCAACACGACCGCTGGCTCGACTTCCTTCAGGCAACTCCAGAGATGCCCCAAGAACACTGTCCCAAGACTAGAGGAACACCAACTTCAGCACAGCAACTCGAGGAATGCTCCGTGTACCCCAAATCGTCTCGAGATGAGAGCTGATTCCCTGGCTTAGGAACAAGACGTATGTCAACTTTCTGGAAGCACCTCAGGAGGAGGCTTCTCTCAGCAATAGTTATGAGGGAGGGACCCCGAGTTTGCTGCCTCAAGCGGAATATACAGCGAGAAGCCCTAACTTGAAAGGAGGCCGGATTTCCTTGCAGTGGCTTGAATACAGGCTCCTCTTTCATCTCACAACATGAAGGGATGTCTGAATCCCCTGTGGAGACCTTAGAGAAAGCCCTAGGTCCTTGCCTCATTTTGACGGAATGCCTCACATTCCGCTGACTCCTCGAGAGGTATGCGGAGTTCATTACTAGAAAAGGTGATGACGCCTCACTCCTCTTGAATACTGATAGGAATCCCAAACTTACTGTGGTTACAGGAAAGGGTCCTTGGGTGCCATGCCTTACCTCGAGAAGCGTCCCTTTTGCCCTGCCAAGCCTCGAAGAGATTCCTGAGGTGTCCCTCGTTACTAGACAGGAGTCCTGACGTCACTGAAGAAACTCGTGTTTTGAAGGGCCATCCCCGCCGTAAGTCGAGAACATAGCCAAGGCCCCCGCCGCAACTCGACTAAAACCATGAGACTTCCCCATAGAGGCGAGATGAGGCCCCATTTCCCTGCAGTGCATGCAGAGCTATTCCGTGATCCCATTCAAACAAGTCAGGAGCTTCGACTTGCTTAATGGATCTCGAGACAGTCCCCAAGAACACTGTCACCAGTCTAGACGGACCCTGAGGTCACCCCAGCAACGCAAAGCAGCTCCATGTGCCCCAAATCAACTCGAGATGAGGCCCGATTCCCATGCATTGACTCCAGAGCCATTCCCCGTTCCCCATTCAACACGACCGCTGGCTCGACTTCCTTCAGGCAACTCCAGAGATGCCCCGAGAACACTGTACCAAGACTAGAGGAACACCAACTTCAGCACAGCAACTCGAGGAATGCTCCGTGTACCCCAAATCGTCTCGAGATGAGAGCTGATTCCCTGGCTTAGGAACAAGACGTATGCCAACTTTCCGGAAGCACCTCAGGAGGAGGCTTCTCTCAGCAATAGTTATGAGGGAGGGACCCCGAGTTTGCTGCCTCAAGCGGAATATACAGCGAGAAGCCCTAACTTGAAAGGAGGCCGGATTTCCTTGCAGTGGCTTGAATACAGGCTCCTCTTTCATCTCACAACATGAAGGGATGTCTGAATCCCCTGTGGAGACCTTAGAGAAAGCCCTAGGTCCTTGCCTCATTTTGACGGAATGCCTCACATCCCGCTGACTCCTCGAGAGGTATGCGGAGTTCATTACTAGAAAAGGTGATGACGCCTCACTCCTCTTGAATACTGATAGGAATCCCAAAACATCTTGGCTACTGGAAATGGTCCTTGGGTGCCCTGCCTCACCTCGAGAAGCGTCCCTTTTGCCCTGCCAAGCCTCGAAGAGATTCCTGAGGTGTCCCTCGTTACTAGACAGGAGTCCTGACGTCACTGAAGAAACTCGTGTTTTGAAGGGCCATCCCCTCCGTAAGTCGAGAACATATCCCAGGTCCCCGCCGAAACTCGAGAAAAACCATGAGAGTTCCCCCTAGAGGCGAGATGAGAGCCCATTCCCCTGCAGTGAATGCAGAGCTATTCAGTGATCCCATTCAAACAAGTCAGGGGCTTCGACTTGCTTAATGGATCTCGAGACAGTCCCCAAGAACACTGTCACCAGTCTAGACGGACCCTGAGGTCACTCCAGCAACGCAAAGCAGCTCCATGTGCCCCAAATCAACTCGAGATGAGGCCCGATTCCCCTGCATTGATTCCAGAGCCATTCCCCGTTCCCCATTCAAGACGACCGGTTGCTCGACTTCCTTCAGGCAACTCCACAGATGCCCCGAGAACACTGTCCCAAGACTAGAGGAACACCAACTTCAGCACAGCAACTCGAGGAATGCTCCGTGTACCGCAAATCGTCTCGAGATGAGAGCTGATTCCCTCGCTTAGGCTCAAGACGTATGCCAACTTTCCGGAAGCACCTCAGGAGGAGGCTTCTCTCAGCAATAGGTATGAGGGAGGGACCCCGAGTTTGCTGCCTCAAGGGGAATATACAGCGAGAAGCCCTAACTTGAAAGGAGGCCGGATTTCCTTGCAGTGGCTTGAATACAGGCTCGTCTTTCATCTCACAACATGAAGGGATGTCTGAATCCCCTGTGGAGACCTTAGAGAAAGCCCTAGGTCGTGCCTCATTTTGACGAATGCCTCACATCCCGCTGACTCCTCGAGAGGAACGCGGAGTTCATTACTTCAAAAGGTGATGACGCCTGACTCCTCTTGAATACTGATAGGAATCCCAAAATCCCTGTGGCTTCTGGAAAGGGTCCTTGGGTGCCCTGCCTCACCTCGAGAAGCGTCCCTTTTGCCCTGCCAAGCCTCGAAGAGATTCCTGAGGTGTCCCTTGTTACTAGACAGGAGTCCTGACGTCACTGAAGAAACTCGTGTTTTGAAGGGCCATCCCCGCCGTAAGTCGAGAACATACCCCAGGTCCCGGCCGCAACTCGAGAAAAGCCATGAGACTTCCCCCTAGAGGCGACATGAGGCCCCATTCCCCTGCAGTGCATGCAGAGCTATTCCGTGATCCCATTCAAACAAGTCAGGAGCTTCGACTTGCTTAATGGATCTCGAGACAGTCCCCAAGAACACTGTCACCAGTCTAGACGGACCCTGAGGTCACCCAAGCAATGCAAAGCAGCACCATGTGCCCCAAATCACCTCGAGATGAGGCCCGATTCCCCTGCATTGACTCCAGAGCCATTCCAAGTTCCCCATTCAACACGACCTGTGGCTCGACTTCCTTCAGGCAACTCCAGAGATGCCCCGAGAACACTGTCCCAAGACTAGAGGAACACCAACTTCAGCACAGCAACTCGAGGAATGCTCCGTGTACCCCAAATCGTCTCGAGATGAGAGCTGATTCCCTGGCTTAGGCTCAAGACGTATGCCAACATTCCAGAAGCACCTCAGGAGGAGGCTGCTCTCAGCAATAGGTATGTGGGAGGGACCCCGATTTTGCTGCCTCAAGGGGAATATACAGCGAGAAGCCCTAACTTGAAAGGAGAACGGTTTTCCTTGCAGTGGCTTGAATACTGGACCGTCTTTCATCTCACAAAATGAAGGGATGTCTGAATCCCCTGTGGAGACCTTAGAGAAAGACCTAGGACCCTGCCTCATTTTGAGGGAATGCCTTACATCCCGCTGATACCTCGAGAGGAACGCGGAGTTCATTGCTTCAAATGGTGACGATGCCTGACATCTCTTGAATACTGATAGGAATCCCATAATCCCTGTGGCTACTGGAAAGGGTCCTTGGGTGCCCTGCCTCACCTCGAGAATCGTTCCTTTTGCCCTGCCAAGCCTCGAAGAGATTCCTGAGGTGTCCCTCGTTACTAGACAGGAGGCTTGACGTCACTGAATAAACTCGTGTTTTGAAGGGCAATCCCCGCCGTAAGTCGAGAACATACCCCAGGTCCCCGCCGCAACTCGAGAAAAACCATGAGACTTCCCCCTAGAGGCGAGATGAGGCCCCATTCCCCTGCAGTGCATGCAGAGCTATTCCGTGATCGCATTCAAACAAGTCAGGAGCTTCGACTTGCTTAATGGATCTCGAGACAGTCCCCAAGAACACTGTCACCAGTCTAGACGGACCCTGAGGTCACCCCAGCAACGCAAAGCAGCTCCATGTGCCCCAAATCAACTCGAGATGAGGCCCGATTCCCCTGCATTGACTCCAGAGCCATTCCCCGTTCCCCATTCAACAAGACCGGTGACTCGACTTCCTTCAGGCAACTCCAGAGATGCCCCGAGAACACTGTCCCAAGTCTAGAGGAACACCAACTTCAGCACAGCAACTCGAGGAATGCTCCGTGTACCCCAAATCGTCTCGAGATGAGAGCTGATTCCCTGGCTTAGGCTCAAGACGTATGCCAACTTTCCGGAAGCACCTCAGGAGGAGGTTTCTCTCAGCAGTAGGTATGAGGGAGGGACCCCGAGTTTGCTGCCTCAAGGAGAATATACAGCGAGAAGCCCTAACTTGAAAGGAGGCCGGATTTCCTTGCAGTGGCTTGAATACAGGCTCGTCTTTCATCTCACAACATGAAGGGATGTCTGAATCCGCTGTGGAGACCTTAGAGAAAGCCCTAGGTCCCTGCCTCATTTTGACCGAATGCCTCGCATCCCGCTGACTCCTCGAGAGGTACGCGGAGTTCATTACTTCAAAAGGTGATGACTCCTGACTCCTCTTGAATACTGATAGGAATCCCAAAATCCCTGTGGCTTCTGGAAAGGGTCCTTGGGTGCCCGGCCTCACCTCGAGAAGCGTCCCTTTTGCCCTGAAAAGCCTCGAAGAGATTCCTGAGGTGTCCCTTGTTACTAGACAGGAGTCCTAACTTCACGGAAGAAACTCGTGTTTTGAAGGGCCATCCCCGCCTTAAGTCGAGAACATACCCCAGGTCCCCGCCGCAACTAGAGAAAAACCATGAGACTTCCCCCTAGAGGCGACATGAGGCCCCATTCCCCTGTAGTGCATGCAGAGCTATTCCGTGATCCCATTCAAACAAGTAAGGAGCTTCGACTTGCTTAATGGATCTCGAGACAGTCCCCAAGAACACTATCACCAGTCTAGACGGACCCTGAGGTCCCCCCAGCAACGCAAAGCAGCCCCATGTGCCCTAAATCACCTAGAGATGAGGCCCAATTCCCCTGCATTGACTCCAGAGCCATTCCAAGTTCCCCATTCAACACGACCGGTGGCTCGACTTCCTTCAGGCAACTCCAGAGATGGCCCGAGAACACTGTCCCAAGACTAGAGGAACACCAACCTCAGCACAGCAACTCGAGGAATGCTCTGTGTACCCCAAATCGTCTCGAGGTGAGAGCTGATTCCCTGGCTTAGGAACAAGATGTATGCCAAATTTCCGGAAGCACCTCAGGAGGAGGCTTCTCTCAGCAATAGTTATGAGGGAGGGACCCCGAGTTTACTGCCTCAAGCGGAATATACAGCGAGAAGCCCTAACTTGAAAGGAGGCCGGATTTCCTTGCAGTGGCTTGAATACAGGCTCGTCTTTCATCTCACAACATGAAGGGATGTCTGAATCCGCTGTGGAAACCTTAGAGAAATCCCTAGGTCCCTGCCTCATTTTGACGGAATGCCTCACATCCCGCTGACTCCTCGAGAGGTACGCGGAGTTCATTTCTTCAAAAGGTGATGAATCCTGACTCCTCTTGAATACTGATAGGAATCCCAAAATCCCTGTGGCTTCTGGAAAGGGTCCTTGGGTGCCCTGCCTCACCTCGAGAAACGTCCCTTTTGCCCTGCCAAGCCTCGAAGAGATTCCTGAGGTGTCCCTCGTTACTAGACAGGAGTCCTGACGTCACTGAAGAAACTCGTGTTTTGAAGGGCCATCCCCTCCGTAAGTCGAGAACATACCCCAGGTCCCAGCCGCAACTCGAGAAATACCATGAGACTTCCCCCTAGAGGCGAGATGAGAGCCCATTCCCCTGCAGTGCATGCAGAGCTATTCAGTGATCCCATTCAAACAAGTCAGGAGCTTCGACTTGCTTAATGGATCTCGAGACAGTCCCCAAGAACACTGTCACCAGTCTAGACGGACCCTGAGGTCACTCCAGCAACGCAAAGCAGCTCCATGTGCCCCAAATCAACTCGAGATGAGGCCCGATTCCCCTGCATTGACTCCAGAGCCATTCCCCGTTCCCCGTACATCACGACCGGTTGCTCGACTTCCTTCAGGCAACTCCAGAGATGCCCCGAGAACACTGTCCCAAGACTAGAGGAACACCAACTTCAGCACAGCAACTCGAGGAATGCTCCGTGTACCGCAAATCGTCTCGAGATGAGAGCTGATTCCCTCGCTTAGGCTCAAGACGTATGCCAACTTTCCGGAAGCCCCTCAGGAGGAGGCTTCTTTCAGCAATAGGTATGAGGGAGGGACCCCGAGTTTGCTGCCTCAAGGGGAATATACAGCGAGAAGCCCTAACTTGAAAGGAGGCCGGATTTCCTTGCAGTGGCTTGAATACAGGCTCGTCTTTCATCTCACAACATGAAGGGTTATCTGAATCCCCTGTGGAGACCTTAGAGAAAGCCCTAGGTCCCTGCCTCATTTTGACGGAATGCCTCACATCCCGCTGACTCCTCGAGAGGTATGCGGAGTTCATTACTAGAATAGGTGATGACGCCTCACTCCTCTTGAATACTGATAGGAATCCCAAACTTACTGTGGCTACAGGAAAGGGTCCTTGGGTGCCCTGCCTCACCTCAAGAAGCCTTCCTTTTCCCTGCCAAGCCTCGAAGAGATTCCTGAAATGTCCCTCGTTACTATACAGGAGTCCTGACGTCACTGAAGAAACTCGTGTTTTGAAGGGCCATCCCCTCCGTAAGTCGAGAACATACCCCAGGTCCCCGCCGCAACTCGAGAAAAACCATGAGACTTCCCCCTAGAGGCGAGATGAGAGCCCATTCCCCTGCAGTGCATGCAGAGCTATTCAGTGATCCCATTCAAACTAGTCAGGAGCTTCGACTTGCTTAATGGATCTCGAGACAGTCCCCAAGAACACTGTCACCAGTCTAGACGGACCCTGAGGTCACTCCAGCAACGAAAAGCAGCTCCATGTGCCCCAAATCAACTCGAGATGAGGCCCGATTCCCCTGCATTGACTCCAGAGCCATTCTCCGTTCCCTATTCAACACGACCGGTTGCTCGACTTCCTTCAGGCAACTCCAGAGATGCCCCGAGAACACTGTCCCAAGACTAGAGGAACACCAACTTCAGCACAGCAACTCGAGGAATGCTCCGTGTACCGCAAATCGTCTCGAGATGAGAGCTGATTCCCTCGCTTAGGCTCAAGACGTATGCCAACTTTCCGGAAGCACCTCAGGAGGAGGCTTCTCTCAGCAATAGGTATGAGGGAGGGACCCCGAGTTTGCTGCCTTAAGGGGAATATACAGCGAGAAGCCCTAACTTGAAAGGAGGCCGGATTTCCTTGCAGTGGCTTGAATACAGGCTCGTCTTTCATCTCACAACATGAAGGGATGTCTGAATCCCCTGTGGAGAACTTAGAGAAAGCCCTAGGTCCCTGCCTCATTTTGCCGGAATGCCTCACATCACGCTGACACCTCGACAGGCACGCAGAGTTCGTTGCTTCAAAAGGTGACGATGCCTGACTCCTCTTTTATACTGATAGGAATCCCAAAATACTTTGGCTACTGGAAAGGGTCCTTGGGTGCCCTGCCTCACCTCGAGAAGCGTCCCTTTTGCCCTGCCAAGCCTCGAAGAGATTCCTGAGGTGTCCCTCATTACTAGACAGGAGTCCTGACGTCACTGAAGAAACTCGTGTTTTGAAGGGCCATCCCCGCCGTAAGTCGAGAACATACCCCAGGCCCCCGCCTCACCTCGAGAAAAACCATGAGACTTCCCCCTAGAGGCGAGATGAGGCCCCATTCCCCTGCAGTGCATGCAGAGCTATTCCGTGATCCCATTCAAACAAGTCAGGAGCTTCGACTTGCTTAATGGATCTCGAGACATTCCCCAACAACACTGTCACCAGTCTAGACGGACCCTGAGGTCACCCCAGCAACGCAAAGCAGCTCCATGTGCCCCAAATCAACTCGAGATGAGGCCCGATTCCCCTGCATTGACTCCAGAGCCATTCCCCGTTCCCCATTCAACACGACCGGTGGCTCGACTTCCTTCAGGCAACTCCAGAGATGCCCCGAGAACACTGTCCCAAGACTAGAGGAACACCAACTTCAGCTCAGCAACTCGAGGAATGCTCCGTGTACCCCAAATCGTCTCGAGATGAGAGCTGATTCCCTGGCTTAGGATCAAGACATATGCCAACTTTCCGGAAGCACCTCAGGAGGAGGCTTCTGTCAGCAGTAGGTATGAGGGAGGGACACCGAGTTTGCTGCCACAAGGGGAATATACAGCGAGAAGCCCTAACTTGAAAGGATGCCGGATTTCCTTGCAGTGGCTTGAATACAGGCTCGTCTTTCATCTCACAACATGAAGGGATGTCTGAATCCCCTGTGGAGACCTTAGAGAAAGCCCTAGGTCCCTGCCTCATTTTGACGGAATGCCTCACATCCCGCTGTCTCCTCGAGAGGTACGCGGAGTTCATTACTTCAAAAGGTGATGACGCCTGACTCCTCTTGAATACTGATAGGAATCCCAAAATCCCTTTGGCTTCTGGAAAGGGTCCTTGGGTGCCCTGCCTCACCTCGAGAAGCGTCTCTTTTGCCCTGCCAAGCCTCAAAGAGATTCCTGAGGTGTCCCTTGTTACTAGACAGGAGTCCTGACGTCACTGAAGAAACTCGTGTTTTGAAGGGCCATCCCCGCCGTAAGTCGAGAACATACCCCAGGTCCCCGCCGCAACTCGAGTAAAACCATGAGACTACCCCGTAGAGGCGAGATGAGGCCCCATTCCCCTGCAGTGCATGCAGAGCTATTCCGTGATCCCGTTCAAACAAGTCAGGAGATTCGACTTGCTTAATGGATCTCGAGACAGTCCCCAAGAACACTATCACCAGTCTAGACGGACCCTGAGGTCACCCCAGCAACGCAAAGCAGCTCCATGTGCCCCAAATCAACTCGAGATGAGGCCCGATTCCCCTGCATTGACTCCAGAGCCATTCCCCGTTCCCCATTCAACAAGACCGGTGACTCGACTTCCTTCAGGCAACTCCAGAGATGCCCCGAGAACACTTTCCCAAGTCTAGAGGAACACCAACTTCAGCACAGCAACTCGAGGAATGCTCCGTGTACCCCAAATCGTCTCGAGATGAGAGCTGATTCCCTGGCTTAGGCTCAAGACGTATGCCAACTTTCCGGAAGCACCTCAGGAGGAGGTTTCTCTCAGCAGTAGGTATGAGGGAGGGACCCCGAGTTTGCTGCCTCAAGGAGAATATACAGCGAGAAGCCCTAACTTGAAAGGAGGCCGGATTTCCTTGCAGTGGCTTGAATACAGGCTCGTCTTTCATCTCACAACATGAAGGGATGTCTGAATCCGCTGTGGAGACCTTAGAGAAAGCCCTAGGTCCCTGCCTCATTTTGACGGAATGCCTCGCATCCCGCTGACTCCTCGAGAGGTACGCGGAGTTCATTACTTCAAAAGGTGATGACTCCTGACTCCTCTTGAATACTGATAGGAATCCCAAAATCCCTGTGGCTTCTGGAAAGGGTCCTTGGGTGCCCGGCCTCACCTCGAGAAGCGTCCCTTTTGCCCTGAAAAGCCTCGAAGAGATTCCTGAGGTGTCCCTTGTTACTAGACAGGAGTCCTAACTTCACGGAAGAAACTCGTGTTTTGAAGGGCCATCCCCGCCTTAAGTCGAGAACATACCCCAGGTCCCCGCCGCAACTAGAGAAAAACCATGAGACTTCCCCCTAGAGGCGACATGAGGCCCCATTCCCCTGTAGTGCATGCAGAGCTATTCCGTGATCCCATTCAAACAAGTAAGGAGCTTCGACTTGCTTAATGGATCTCGAGACAGTCCCCAAGAACACTATCACCAGTCTAGACGGACCCTGAGGTCCCCCCAGCAACGCAAAGCAGCCCCATGTGCCCTAAATCACCTAGAGATGAGGCCCAATTCCCCTGCATTGACTCCAGAGCCATTCCAAGTTCCCCATTCAACACGACCGGTGGCTCGACTTCCTTCAGGCAACTCCAGAGATGGCCCGAGAACACTGTCCCAAGACTAGAGGAACACCAACCTCAGCACAGCAACTCGAGGAATGCTCTGTGTACCCCAAATCGTCTCGAGGTGAGAGCTGATTCTCTGGCTTAGGAACAAGATGTATGCCAAATTTCCGGAAGCACCTCAGGAGGAGGCTTCTCTCAGCAATAGTTATGAGGGAGGGACCCCGAGTTTGCTGCCTCAAGCGGAATATACAGCGAGAAGCCCTAACTTGAAAGGAGGCCGGATTTCCTTGCAGTGGCTTGAATACAGGGTCGTCTTTCATCTCACAACATGAAGGGATGTCTGAATCCGCTGTGGAAACCTTAGAGAAATCCCTAGGTCCCTGCCTCATTTTGACGGAATGCCTCACATCCCGCTGACTCCTCGAGAGGTACGCGGAGTTCATTTCTTCAAAAGGTGATGAATCCTGACTCCTCTTGAATACTGATAGGAATCCCAAAATCCCTGTGGCTTCTGGAAAGGGTCCTTGGGTGCCCTGCCTCACCTCGAGAAACGTCCCTTTTGCCCTGCCAAGCCTCGAAGAGATTCCTGAGGTGTCCCTTGTTACTAGACAGTAGTCCTGACTTCACTGAAGAAACTCGTGTTTTGAAGGGCCATCCCCGTCGTAAGTCGAGAACATACCCCAGGTCCCCGCCGCAACTCGAGAAAAACCATGAGACTTCCAACTAGATGGGACATGAGGCCTCATTCCCCTGCAGTGCATGCAGAGCTATTCCGTGATCCCATTCAAACAAGTCAGGAGCTTCGACTTGCTTAATGGATCTCGAGACAGTCCCCAAGAACACTGTCACCAGTCTAGACGGACCCTGAGGTCCCCCCAGCAACGCAAAGCAGCTCCATGTGCCCCAAATCAACTCGAGATGAGGCCCAATTCCCCTGCATTGACTCCAGAGCCATTCCAAGTTCCCCATTCAACACGACCGGTGGCTAGACTTCCTTGAGGCAACTCCAGAGATGCCCCGAGAACACTGTCCAAAGACTAGAGGAACACCAACTTCAGCACAGCAACTCGAGGAATGCTCCGTGTACCCCAAATCGTCTCGAGATGAGAGCTGATTCCCTCGCTTATGCTCAAGAGGTATGTCAAATTTCCAGTAGCACCTCAGGAGGAGGCTTTTCTCAGCAATAGGTATGTGGGAGAGATCTCGAGTTTGCTGCCTCAAGGGGAATACACAGCGAGAAGCCCTAACTTGAAAGGAGGCCGGATTTCCTTGAAGTGGCTTGAATACAGGCTCGTCTTTCATCTCACAACATGACGGGATGTCTGAATCCACTGTGGAGACCTTAGAGAAAGCCCTAGGTCCCTGCCTCATTTTGAGGGAATGCCTCACATCCCACTGACACATCGAGAGGCATGCGGAGTTCATTGCTTCAAAAGTTGATGATGCCTGACTCCTCTTGAATACTGATAGGAATCCCAAAATCCCTGTGGCTTCTGGAAAGGGTCCTTGGGTGCCCTGCTTCACCTCGAGAAGCGTCCCTTTTGCCCTGCCAAGCCTCGAAGAGATTCCTGAGGTGTCCCTTGTTACTAGACAGGAGTCCTGACTTCACTGAAGAAACTCCTGTTTTGAAGGGCCATCCCCGTCGTAAGTCGAGAACATACCCCAGGTCCCCGCCGCAACTCGAGAAAAACCATGAGACTTCCAACTAGAGGGGACATGAGGCCCCATTCCCCTGCAGTGCATGCAGAGCTATTCCGTGATCCCATTCAAACAAGTCAGGAGCTTCGACTTGCTTAATGGATCTCGAGACAGTCCTCAAGAACACTGTCACCAGTCTAGACGGACCCTGAGGTCCCCCCAGCAACGCAAAGCAGCTCCATGTGCCCCAAATCAACTCGAGATGAGGCCCGATTCCCCTGCATTGACTCCAGAGCCATTCCAAGTTCCCCATTCAACACGACCGGTGGCTCGACTTCTTCAGGATTCTCCAGAGATGCCCCGAGAACACTGTCCAAAGACTAGAGGAACACCAACTTCAGCACAGCAACTCGAGGAATGCTCCGTGTACCCCAAATCGTCTCGAGATGAGAGCTGATTCCCTGGCTTATGCTCAAGAGGTATGTCAAATTTCCAGTAGAACCTCAGGAGGAGGCTTCTCTCAGCAATAGGTATGTGGGAGAGATGTCGAGTTTGCTGCCTCAAGGGGAATACACAGCGAGAAGCCCTAACTTGAAAGGAGGCCGGATTTCCTTGAAGTGGCTTGAATACAGGCTCGTCTTTCATCTCACAACATGAAGGGATGTCTGAATCCACTGTGGAGACCTTAGAGAAAGCCCTAGTTCCCTGCCTCATTTTGAGGGAATGCCTCACATCCCACTGACACATCGAGAGGCACGCGGAGTTCATTGCTTCAAAAGTTGACGATGCCTGACTCCTCTTGAATACTGATAGGAATCCCAAAATCCCTGTGGATAGTGGAAAGGGTCCCTGGGTGCCCTGCCTCACCTCGAGAAGCGTCCCTTTTGCCCTGCCAAGCCTCGAAGAGATTCCTGAGGTGTCCCTCGTTACTAGCGAGGAGTCCTGACGTCACTGAAGAAACTCGTGTTTTGAAGGGCCATCCCCGCCGTAAGTCGAGAACATACCCCAGGTCATCGCCGCAACTCGAGAAAAACCATGAGACTTCCCCCTAGCGGCGAGATGAGGCCCCATTCCCCTGCAGTGCATGCAGAGCTATTCCGTGATCCCATTCAAACGAGTCAGGAGCTTCGACTTGCTTAATGGATCTCGAGACAGTCCCCAAGAACACTGTAACCAGTCTAGACGGACCCTGAGGTCACCCAAGCAACGCAAAGCAGCACCATGTGCCCCAAATCAACTCGAGATGAGGCCCGATTCCCCTGCATTGACTCCAGAGCCATTCCAAGTTCCCCATTCAACACGACCGGTGGCTCGACTTCCTTCAGGAAACTCCATAGATGCCCCGAAACCACTGTCCCAAGACTAGAGGAACACCAACTTCAGCACAGCAATGCGAGGAATGCTCCGTGTACCCCAAATCGTCCTGAGGTGAGAGCTGATTCCCTGGCTTAGGATCAAGACGTATGCCAACTTTCCGGAAGCACCTCAGGAGGAGGCTTCTCTCAGCAATAGTTATGAGGGAGGGACCCCGAGTTTGCTGCCTCAAGCGGAATATACAGCGAGAAGCCCTAACTTGAAAGGAGGCCGGATTTCCTTGCAGTGGCTTGAATACAGGCTCGTCTTTCATCTCACAACATGAAGGGATGTCTGAATCCGCTGTGGAGACCTTAGAGAAATCCCTGGTCCCTGCCTCATTTTGACGGAATGCCTCACATCCCGCTGACTCCTCGAGAGGTACGCGGAGTTCATTACTGCAAAAGGTGATGAATCCTGACTCCTCTTGAATACTGATAGGAATCCCAAAATCCCTGTGGCTACTGGAAAGGGTCTTTGGGTGCCCTGCCTCACCTCGAGAAGCGTCCCTTTTGCCCTGCCAAGCCTCGAAGAGATTCCTGAGGTGTCCCTCGTTACTAGACAGGAGTCCTGACGTCACTGAAGAAACTCGTGTTTTGAAGGGCCATCCCCGCCGTAAGTCGAGAACATAACCCAGGTCACCGCCGCAACTCGAGAAAAACCATGAGACTTCCCCCTAGAGGCGAGGTGAGGCCCCATTCCCCTGCAGTGCATGCAGAGCTATTCCGTGATCCCATTCAAACAAGTCAGGAGCTTCGACTTGCTTAATGGATCTCGAGACAGTCCCCAAGAACACTGTCACCAGTCTAGACTGACCCTGAGCTCACCCCATCAAAGCAAAGCAGCTCCATGTGCCCCAAATCAACTCGAGATGAGGCCCGATTCCCCTGTATTGACTCCAGAGCCTTTCCCCGTTCCGCATTTAACACGACCGGCGGTTCGACTTCCTTCAGGCAACTCCAGAGATGCCCCGAGAACACTGTCCCAAGACTAGAGGAACACCAACTTCAGCACAGCAACTCGAGGAATGCTCCGTGTACTCCAAATCGTCTCGAGATAAGAGCTGATTCCCTGGCTTAGGCTCAAGACGTATGCCAACTTTCCGGAAGCACCTCAGGAGGAGGCTTCTCTCAGCAATAGGTATGTGGGAGGGACCCCGAGTTTGCTGCCTCAAGGGAAATATACAGCGAGAAGCCCTAACTTGAAAGGAGGCCAGATTTCCTTGCAGTGGCTTGAATACAGGCTCGTCTTTCATCTCACCACATGAAGGGATGTCTGAATCCCCTGTGGAGACCTTAGAGAAAGCCTAGGTCCCTGCCTCATTTTGACGGAATGCCTCACCTCCCGCTGACACCTCGAGAGGCACGCGGAGTTCATTGCTTCAAAAGGTGACGATGCCTGACTACTCTTGAATACTGATAGGAATCCCAAAATCCCTGTGGCTACAGGAAAGGGTCCTTGGGTGCCCTGCCTCACTTCGAGAAGCGTCCCTTTTGCCCTGCCAAGCCTCGAAGAGATTCCTGAGGTGTCCCTCGTTACTAGACAGGAGTCCTGACGTCACTGAAGAAACTCGTGTTTTGAAGGGCCATCCCCTCCGTAAGTCGAGAACATACCCCAGGTCCCCACCGCAACTCGAGAAAAACCATGAGACTTCCCCCTAGAGGCGAGATGAGAGCCCATTCCCCTGCAGTGCATGCAGAGCTATTCAGTGATCCCATTCAAACAAGTCAGGAGCTTCGACTTGCTTAATGGATCTCGAGACAGTCCCCAAGAACACTGTCACCAGTCTAGACGGACCCTGAGGTCACTCCAGCAACGCAAAGCAACTCCATGTGCCACAAATCAACTCGAGATGAGGCCCGATTCCCCTGCATTGACTCCAGAGCCATTCCCCGTTCCCCATTCAACACGACCGTTTGCTCGAATTCCTTCAGGCAACTCCAGAGATGCCCCGAGAACACTGTCCCAAGACTAGAGGAACACCAACTTCAGCACAGCAACTCGAGGAATGCTCCGTGTACCGCAAATCGTCTCGAGATGAGAGATGATTCCCTCGCTTAGGCTCAAGACGTATGCCAACTTTCCGGAAGCACCTCAGGAGGAGGCTTCTCTCAGCAATAGGTATGAGGGAGGGACCCCGAGTTTGCTGCCTCAAGGGGAATATACAGCGAGAAGCCCTAACTTGAAAGGAGGCCGGATTTCCTTGCAGTGGCTTGAATACAGGCTCGTCTTTCATCTCACAACATGAAGGGATGTCTGAATCCCCTGTGGAGAACTTCGAGAAAGCCCTAGGTCCCTGCCTCATTTTGACGGAATGCCTCACATCCCGCTGACTCCTCGAGAGGTATGCGGAGTTCATTACTTCAAAAGGTGATGACGCCTGACTCCTCTTGAATACTGATAGGAATCCCAAAATCCCTGTGGCTACTGGAAAGGATCCTTGGGTTCCCTGCCTCACCTCGAGAAGCGTCCCTTTTGCCCTGCCAAGCCTCGAAGAGATTCCTGAGGTGTCCCTCGTTACTAGACAGGAGTCCTGACGTCACTGAAGAAACTCGTGTTTTGAAGGGCCATCCCCGCCGTAAGTCGAGAACATAGCCCAGGCCCCCGCCGCAACTCGACTAAAACCATGAGACTTCCCCATAGAGGCGAGATGAGGCCCCATTCCCCTGCAGTGCATGCAGAGCTATTCAGTGATCCCATTCAAACAAGTCAGGAGCTTCGACTTGCTTAATGGATCTCGAGACAGTCCCCAAGAACACTGTCACCAGTCTAGACGGACCCTGAGGTCACCACAGCAACGCAAAGCAGCTCAATGTGCCCCAAATCAACTCGAGATGAGGCCCGATTCCCCTGCATTGACTCCAGAGCCATTCCAAGTTCCTCATTCAACACGACCGGTGGCTCGACTTCCTTCAGGCAACTCCAGAGATGCCCCGAGAACACTGTCCCAAGACTAGAGGAACACCAACTTCAGCACAGCAACTCGAGGAATGATCCGTGTACCCCAAATCGTCTCGAGATGAGAGCTGATTCCCTGGCTTAGGAACAAGACGTATGCCAACTTTCCGGAAGCACCTCAGGAGGAGGCTTCTCTCAGCAATAGTTATGAGGGAGGGACCCCGATTTTGCTGCCTCAAGCGGAATATACAGCGAGAAGCCCTAACTTGAAAGGAGGCCGGATTTCCTTGCAGTGGCTTGAATACAGGCTCCTCTTTCATCTCACAACATGAAGGGATGTCTGAATCCCCTGTGGAGACCTTAGAGAAAGCCCTAGGCCCTTGCCTCATTTTGACGGAATGCCTCACATCCCGCTGACTCCTCGAGAGGTATGCGGAGTTCATTACTTCAAAAGGTGATGACGCCTCACTCCTCTTGAATACTGATAGGAATCCCAAACTTACTGTGGTTACAGGAAAGGGTCCTTGGGTGCCCTGCCTCACCTCGAGAAGCGTCCCTTTTGCCCTGCCAAGCCTCGAAGAGATTCCTGAGGTGTCCCTCGTTACTAGACAGGAGTCCTGACGTCACTGAAGAAACTCGTGTTTTGAAGGGCCATCCCCGCCGTAAGTCGAGAACATAGCCCAGGCCCCCGCCGCAACTCGACTAAAACCATGAGACTTCCCCCTAGAGGCGAGATGAGGCCCCATTCCCCTGCAGTGCATGCAGAGCTATTCCGTGATCCCATTCAAACAAGTCAGGAGCTTCGACTTGCTTAATGGATCTCGAGACAGTCCCCAAGAACACTGTCACCAGTCTAGACGGACCCTGAGGTCACCACAGCAATGCAAAGCAGCTCCATGTGCCCCAAATCAACTCGAGATGAGGCCCGATTCCCATGCATTGACTCCAGAGCCATTCCCCGTTCCCCATTCAACACGACCGGTTGCTCGACTTCCTTCAGGCAACTCCAGAGATGCCCCGAGAACACTGTCCCAAGACTAGAGGAACACCAACTTCAGCACAGCAACTCGAGGAATGCTCCGTGTACCCCAAATCGTCTCGAGATGAGAGCTGATTCCCTGGCTTAGGAACAAGACGTATGCCAACTTTCCGGAAGCACCTCAGGAGGAGGCTTCTCTCAGCAATAGTTATGAGGGAGGGACCCCGAGTTTGCTGCCTCAAGCAGAATATACAGCGAGAAGCCCTAACTTGAAAGGAGGCCGGATTTCCTTGCAGTGGCTTGAATACAGGCTCCTCTTTCATCTCACAACATGAAGGGATGTCTGAATCCCCTGTGGAGACCTTAGAGAAAGCCCTAGGTCCTTGTCTCATTTTGACGGAATGCCTCACATCCCGCTGACTCCTCGAGAGGTATGCGGAGTTCATTACTAGAAAAGGTGATGACGCCTCACTCCTCTTGAATACTGATAGGAATCCCAAACTTACTGTGGTTACAGGAAAGGGTCCTTGGGTGCCCTGCCTCACCTCGAGAAGCGTCCCTTTTGCCCTGCCAAGCCTCGAAGAGATTCCTGAGGTGTCCCTCGTTACTAGACAGGAGTCCTGACGTCACTGAAGAAACTCGTGTTTTGAAGGGCCATCCCCGCCGTAAGTCGAGAACATAGCCCAGGCCCCCGCCGCAACTCGACTAAAACCATGAGACTTCCCCATAGAGGCGAGATGAGGCCCCATTCCCCTGCAGTGCATGCAGAGCTATTCCGTGATCCCATTCAAACAAGTCAGGAGCTTCGACTTGCTTAATGGATCTCGAGACAGTCCCCAAGAACACTGTCACCAGTCTAGACGGACCCTGAGGTCACCACAGCAACGCAAAGCAGCTCAATGTGCCCCAAATCAACTCGAGATGAGGCCCGATTCCCATGCATTGACTCCAGAGCCATTCCCCGTTCCCCATTCAACACGACCGCTGGCTCGACTTCCTTCAGGCAACTCCAGAGATGCCCCGAGAACACTGTCCAAAGACTAGAGGAACACCAACTTCAGCACAGCAACTCGAGGAATGCTCCGTGTACCCCAAATCGTCTCGAGATGAGAGCTGATTCCCTGGCTTAGGAACAAGACGTATGCCAACTTTCCGGAAGCACCTCAGGAGGAGGCTTCTCTCAGCAATAGTTATGAGGGAGGGACCCCGAGTTTGCTGCCTCAAGCGGAATATACAGCGAGAAGCCCTAACTTGAAAGGAGGCCGGATTTCCTTGCAGTGGCTTGAATACAGGCTCCTCTTTCATCTCACAACATGAAGGGATGTCTGAATCCCCTGTGGAGACCTTAGAGAAAGCCCTAGGTCCTTGCCTCATTTTGACAGAATGCCTCACATCCCGCTGACTCCTCGAGAGTTATGCGGAGTTCATTACGAGAAAAGGTGATGACGCCTCACTCCTCTTGAATACTGATAGGAATCCCAAAACATCTTGGCTACTGGAAAGGGTCCTTGGGTGCCCTGCCTCACCTCGAGAAGCGTCCCTTTTCCCCTGCCAAGCCTCGAAGAGATTCCTGAGTTGTCCCTCGTTACTAGACAGGACTCCTGACGTCACTGAAGAAACTCGTGTTTTGAAGGGCCATCCCCTCCGTAAGTCGAGAACATACCCCAGGTCCCCGCCGAAACTCGAGAAAAACCATGAGACTTCCCCCTAGAGGCGAGTTGAGAGCCCATTCCCCTGCAGTGCATGCAGAACTATTCAGTGATCCCATTCAAACAAGTCAGGAGCTTCGACTTGCTTAATGGATCTCGAGACAGTCCCCAAGAACACTGTCACCAGTCTAGACGGACCCTGAGGTCACTCCAGCAACGCAAAGCAGCTCCATGTGCCCCAAATCAACTCGAGATGAGGCCCGATTCCCCTGCATTGACTCCAGAGCCATTCCCCGTTCCCCATTCAACACGACCGGTTGCTCGACTTCCTTCAGGCAACTCCAGAGATGCCCCGAGAACACTTCCCCAAGACTAGAGGAACACCAACTTCAGCACAGCAACTCGAGGAATGCTCCGTGTACCCCAAATCGTCTCGAGATGAGAGCTGATTCCCTCGCTTAGGCTCAAGACCTATGCCAACTTTCCGGAAGCACCTCAGGAGGAGGCTTCTCTCAGCAATATGTATGAGGGAGGGACCCCGAGTTTGCTGCCTCAAGGGGAATATACAGCGAGAAGCCCTAACTTGAAAGGAGGCCGGATTTCCTTGAAGTGGCTTGAATACAGGCTGGTCTTTCATCTCACAACATGAAGGGATGTCTGAATCCCCTGTGGAGACCTTCGAGAAAGCCCTAGGTCCCTGCCTCATTTTGACGGAATGCCTCACATCCCGCTGACTCCTCGAGAGGTACGCGGAGTTCATTACTTCAAAAGGTGATGACGCCTGACTCCTCTTGAATACTGATAGGAATCCCAAAATCCCTGTGGCTACTGGAAAGGATCCTTGGGTTCCCTGCCTCACCTCGAGAAGCGTCCCTTTTGCCCTGCCAAGCCTCGAAGAGATTCCTGAGGTGTCCCTCGTTACTAGACAGGAGTCCTGACTTCACTGAAGAAACTCGTGTTTTGAAGGGCCATCCCCGCCGTAAGTCGAGAACATAGCCCAGGCCCCCGCCTCAACTCGACTAAAACCATGAGACTTCCCCATAGAGGCGAGATGAGGCCCCATTCCCCTGCAGTGCATGCAGAGCTATTCCGTGATCCCATTCAAACAAGTCAGGAGCTTCGACTTGCTTAATGGATCTCGAGTCAGTCCCCAAGAACACTGTCACCAGTCTAGACGGACCCTGAGGTCACCACAGCAACGCAAAGCAGCTCCATGTGCCCCAAATCAACTCGAGATGAGGCCCGATTCCCATGCATTGACTCCAGAGCCATTCCCCGTTCCCCACTCAACAAGACCGCTGGCTCGACTTCCTTCAGGCAACTCCAGAGATGCCCCGAGAACACTGTCCCAAGACTAGAGGAACACCAACTTCAGCACAGCAACTCGAGGAATGCTCCGTGTACCCCAAATCGTCTCGAGATGAGAGCTGATTCCCTGGCTTAGGAACAAGACGTATGCCAACTTTCCGGAAGCACCTCAGGAGGAGGCTTCTCTCAGCAATAGTTATGAGGGAGGGACCCCGAGTTTGCTGCCTCAAGCGGAATATACAGCGAGAAGCCCTAACTTGAAAGGAGGCCAGATTTCCTTGCAGTGGCTTGAATACAGGCTCCTCTTTCATCTCACAACATGAAGGGATGTCTGAATCCCCTGTGGAGACCTTAGAGAAAGCCCTAGGTCCTTGCCTCATTTTGACGGAATGCCTCACATCCCGCTGACTCCTCGAGAGGTATGCGGAGTTCATTACTAGAAAAGGTGATGACGCCTCACTCCTCTTGAATACTGATAGGAATCCCAAACTTACTGTGGTTACAGGAAAGGGTCCTTGGGTGCCCTGCCTCACCTCGAGAAGCGTCCCTTTTGCCCTGCCAAGCCTCGAAGAGATTCCTGAGGTGTCCCTCGTTACTAGACAGGAGTCCTGACGTCACTGAAGAAACTCGTGTTTTGAAGGGCCATCCCCGCCGTAAGTCGAGAACATAGCCCAGGCCCCCGCCGCAACTCAACTAAAACCATGAGACTTCCCCATAGAGGCGAGATGAGGTCCCATTCCCCTGCAGTGCATGCAGAGCTATTCCGTGATCCCATTCAAACAAGTCAGGAGCTTCGACTTGCTTAATGGATCTCGAGACATTCCCCAAGAACACTGTCACCAGTCTAGACGGACCCTGAGGTCACCCCAGCAATGCAAAGCAGCTCCATGTGCCCCAAATCAACTCGAGATGAGGCCCGATTCCCCTGCATTGACTCCAGAGCCATTCCCCGTTCCCCATTCAACAGGACCGGTGGCTCGACTTCCTTCAGGCAACTTCAGAGATGCCCCGAGAACACTGTCCCAAGACTAGAGGAACACCAACTTCAGCTCAGCAACTCGAGGAATGCTCCGTGTACCCCAAATCGTCTCGAGATGAGAGCTGATTCCCTGGCTTAGGATCAAGCCATATGCCAACTTTCCGGAAGCACCTCAGGAGGAGGCTTCTGTCAGCAGTAGGTATGAGGGAGGGACACCGAGTTTGCTGCCACAAGGGGAATATACAGCGAGAAGCCCTAACTTGAAAGGATGCCGGATTTCCTTGCAGTGGCTTGAATACAGGCTCGTCTTTCATCTCACAACATGAAGGGATGTCTGAATCCCCTGTGGAGACCTTAGAGAAAGCCCTAGGTCCCTGCCTCATTTTGAAGGAATGCCTCACATCCCGCTGACTCCTCGAGAGGTACGCAGAGTTCATTACTTCAAAAGGTGATGACGCCTGACTCCTCTTGAATACTGATAGGAATCCCAAAATCCCTTTGGCTTCTGGAAAGGGTCCTTGGGTGCCCTGCCTCACCTCGAGAATCGTCCCTTTTGCCCTGCCAAGCCTCAAAGAGATTCCTGAGGTGTCCCTTGTTACTAGACAGGAGTCCTGACGTCACTGAAGAAACTCGTGTTTTGAAGGGCCATCCCCGTCGTAAGTCGAGAACATACCCCAGGTCCCCGACGCAACTCGAGAAAAACCATGAGACTTCCAACTAGAGGGGACATGAGGCCTCATTCCCCTGCAGTGCATGCAGAGCTATTCCGTGATCCCATTCAAACAAGTCAGGAGCTTCGACTTGCTTAATGGATCGTGAGACAGTCCCCAAGAACACTGTCACCAGTCTAGACGGACCCTGAGGTCCCCCCAGCAACGCAAAGCAGCTCCATGTGCCCCAAATCAACTCGAGATGAGGCCCGATTCCCCTGCATTGACTCCAGAGCCATTCCAAGTTCCCCATTCAACACGACCGGTGGCTCGACTTCCTTGAGGCAACTCCAGAGATGCCCCGAGAACACTGTCCAAAGACTAGAGGAACACCAACTTCAGCACAGCAACTCGAGGAATGCTCCGTGTACCCCAAATCGTCTCGAGATGAGAGCTGATTCCCTGGCTTATGCTCAAGAGGTATGTCAAATTTCCAGTAGCACCTCAGGAGGAGGCTTCTCTCAGCAATAAGTATGTGGGAGAGATCTCGAGTTTGCTGACTCAAGGGGAATACACAGCGAGAAGCCCTAACTTGAAAGGAGGCCGGATTTCCTTGAAGTGGCTTGAATACAGGCTCGTCTTTCATCTCACAACATGAAGGGATGTCTGAATCCACTGTGGAGACCTTAGAGAAAGCCCTAGGTCCCTGCCTCATTTTGAGGGAATGCTTCACATCCCACTGACACATCGAGAGGCACGCGGAGTTCATTGCTTCAAAAGTTGATGATGCCTGACTCCTCTTGAATACTGATAGGAATCCCAAAATCCCTGTGGCTTCTGGAAAGGGTCCTTGGGTGCCCTGCCTCACCTCGAGAAGCGTCCCTTTTGCCCTGCCAAGCCTCGAAGAGATTCCTGAGGTGTCCCTTGTTACTAGACAGGAGTCCTGACTTCACTGAAGAAACTCCTGTTTTGAAGGGCCATCCCCGTCGTAAGTCGAGAACATACCCCAGGTCCCCGCCGCAACTCGAGAAAAACCATGAGACTTCCAACTAGAGGGGACATGAGGCCCCATTCCCCTGCAGTGCATGCAGAGCTATTCCGTGATCCCATTCAAACAAGTCAGGAGCTTCGACTTGCTTAATGGATCTCGAGACAGTCCCCAAGAACACTGTCACCAGTCTAGACGGACCCTGAGGTCCCCCCAGCAACGCAAAGCAGCACCATGTGCCCCAAATCAACTCGAGATGAGGCCCGATTCCCCTGCATTGACTCCAGAGCCATTCCAAGTTCCCCATTCATCATGACTGGTGGCTCGACTTCTTCAGGATTCTCCAGAGATGCCCCGAGAACACGGTCCAAAGACTAGAGGAACACCAACTTCAGCACAGCAACTCGAGGAATGCTCCGTGTACCCCAAATCGTCTCGAGATGAGAGCTGATTCCCTGGCTTATGCTCAAGAGGTATGTCAAATTTCCAGTAGCACCTCAGGAGGAGGCTTCTCTCAGCAATAGGTATGTGGGAGAGATCTCGAGTTTGCTGCCTCAAGGGGAATACACAGCGAGAAGCCCTAACTTGAAAGGAGGCCGGATTTCCTTGAAGTGGCTTGAATACAGGCTCGTCTTTCATCTCACAACATGAAGGGTTGTCTGAATCCACTGTGGAGACCTTAGAGAAAGCCCTAGGTCCCTGCCTCATTTTGAGGGAATGCCTCACATCCCACTGACACATCGAGAGGCACGCGGAGTTCATTGCTTCAAAAGTTGACGATGCCTGACTCCTCTTGAATACTGATAGGAATCCCAAAATCCCTGTGGATAGTGGAAAGGGTCCCTGGGTGCCCTGCCTCACCTCGAGAAGCGTCCCTTTTGCACTGCCAAGCCTCGAAGAGATTCCTGAAGTATCCCTCGTTCCTAGAGTGGAGTCCTGACGTCATTGAAGAAACTCGTGTTTTGAAGGGCCATCCCCTCCGTAAGTCGAGAACATACCCCAGGTCATCACCGCAACTCGAGAAAAACCATGAGACTTCCCCCTAGCGGCGAGATGAGGCCCCATTCCCCTGCAGTGCATGCAGAGCTATTCCGTGATCCCATTCAAACGAGTCAGGAGCTTCGACTTGCTTAATGGATCTCGAGACAGTCCCCAAGAACACTGTAACCAGTCGAGACGGATCCTGAGGTCACCCAAGCAACGCAAAGCAGCACCATGTGCCCCAAATCAACTCGAGATGAGGCCCGATTCCCCTGCATTGACTCCAGAGCCATTCCAAGTTCCCCATTCAACACGACCGGTGGCTCGACTTCCTTCAGGAAACTCCATAGATGCCCCGAGAACACTGTCCCAAAACTAGAGGAACACCAACTTCAGCACAGCAATGCGAGGAATGCTCCGTGTACCCCAAATCGTCTCGAGGTGAGAGCTGATTCCCTGGCTTAGGATCAAGACGTATGCCAACTTTCCGGAAGCACCTCAGGAGGAGGCTTCTCTCAGCAATAGTTATGAGGGAGGGACCCCGAGTTTGCTGCCTAAAGCGGAATATACAGCGAGAAGCCCTAACTTGAAAGGAGGCCGGATTTCCTTGCAGTGGCTTGAATACAGGCTCGTCTTTCATCTCACAACATGAAGGGATGTCTGAATCCCCTGTGGAGACCTTAGAGAAAGCCCTAGGTCCCTGCCTCATTTTGACGGAATGCTTCACATCCCGCTGACTCCTCGAGAGTTATGCGGAGTTCATTACTACAAAACGTGATGACGCCTGACTCCTCTTGAATACTGATAGGAATCCCAAAATCCCTGTGGCTACAGGAAAGGGTCTTTAGGTGCCCTGCCTCACCTCGAGAAGCGTCCCTTTTGCCCTGCCAAGCCTCGAAGAGATTCCTGAGGTGTCCCTCGTTACTAGACAGGAGTCCTGACGTCACTGAAGAAACTCATGTTTTGAAGGGCCATCCCCTCCGTAAGTCGAGAACATAGCCCAGGTCCCCGCCGCAACTCGAGAAAAACCATGAGACTTCCCCCTAGAGGCGAGATGAGAGCCCATTCCCCTGCAGTGCATGCAGAGCTATTTAGTGATCCCATTCAAACAAGTCAGGAGCTTCGACTTGCTTAATGGATCTCGAGACAGTCCCCAAGAACACTGTCACCAGTCTAGACGGACCCTGGGGTCACCCCAGCAACGCAAAGCAGCTCCATGTGCCCCAAATCAACTCGAGATGAGGCCCGATTCCCCTGCATTGACTCCAGAGCCATTCCCCGTTCCCCATTCAACACGACCGATGGCTCGACTTCCTTCAGGCAACTCCAGAGATGCCCCGAGAACACTGTCCCAAGACTAGAGGAACACCAACTTCAGCACAGCATCTCGAGGAATGCTCGGTGTACCGCAAATCGTCTCAAGATGAGAGCTGATTCCCTCGCTTAGGCTCAAGACGAATGCCAACTTTCCGGAAGCACCTCAGGAGGAGGCTTCTCTCAGCCATAGGTATGAGGGAGGGACCCCGAGTTTGCTGCCTCAAGGGGAATATACAGCGAGAAGCCCTAACTTGAAAGGAGGCCGGATTTCCTTGCAGTGGCTTGAATACAGGCTCGTCTTTCATCTCACAACATGAAGTGATGTCTGAATCCCCTGTGGAGACCTTAGAGAAAGCCCTAGGTCCCTGCCTCATTTTGACAGAATGCCTCACATCCCGCTGACTCCTCGAGAGGTAGGCGGAGTTCATTACTTCAAAAGGTGATGACGCCTGACTCCTCTTGAATACTGATAGGAATCCCAAAATCCCTTTGGATTCTGGAAAGGGTCCTTGGGTGCCCTGCCTCACCTCGAGAATCGTCCCTTTTGCCCTGCCAAGCCTCAAAGAGATTCCTGAGGTGTCCCTTGTTACTAGACAGGAGTCCTGACGTCACTGAAGAAACTCGTGTTTTGAAGGGCCATCCCCGCCGTAAGTCGAGAACATACCCCAGGTCCCCGCCGCAACTCGAGTAAAACCATGAGACTTCCCCCTAGAGGCGAGATGAGGCCCCATTCCCCTGCAGTGCATGCAGAGCTATTCCGTGATCCCGTTCAAACAAGTCAGGAGCTTCGACTTGCTTAATGGATCTCGAGACAGTCCCCAAGAACACTATCACCAGTCTAGACGGACCCTGAGGTCACCCCAGCAACGCAAAGCAGCTCCATGTGCCCCAAATCAACTCGAGATGAGGCCCAATTCCCCTGCATTGACTCCAGAGCCATTCCCCGTTCCCCATTCAACAAGACCGGCGACTCGACTTCCTTCAGGCAACCCCAGAGATGCCCCGAGAACACTGTCCCAAGACTAGAGGAACACCAACCTCAGCACAGCAACTCGAGGAATGCTCCGTGTACCCCAAATCGTCTCGAGGTGAGAGCTGATTCCCTGGCTTAGGAACAAGATGTATGCCAACTTTCCGGAAGCACCTCAGGAGGAGGCTTCTCTCACAATAGTTATGAGGGAGGGACCCCGAGTTTGCTGCCTCAAGCGGAATATACAGCGAGAAGCACTAACTTGAAAGGAGTCCGGATTTCCTTGCAGTGGCTTGAATACAGGCTCGTCTTTCATCTCACAACATGAAGGGATGTCTGAATCCGCATTGGAGACCTTAGAGAAATCCCTAGGTCCCTGCCTCATTTTGACGGAATGCCTCACATCCCGCTGACTCCTCGAGAGGTACGCGGAGTTCATTACTTCAAAAGGTGATGAATCCTGACTCCTCTTGAATACTGATAGGAATCCCAAAATCCCTGTGGCTTCTGGAAAGGGTCCTTGGGTGCCCTGACTCACCTCGAGAAGCGTCCCTTTTGCCCTGCAAAGCCTCGAAGAGATTCCTGAGGTGTCCCTCGTTACTAGACAGGAGTCCTGATGTCACTGAAGAAACTCGTGTTTTGAAGGGCCATCCCCTCCGTAAGTCGAGAACATACCCCATGTCCCCGCCGCAACTCGAGAAAAACCATGAGACTTCCCCCTAGAGGCGAGATGAGAGCCCATTCCCCTGCAGTGCATGCAGAGCTATTCAGTGATCCCATTCAAACAAGTCAGGAGCTTCGACTTGCTTAATGGATCTCGAGACAGTCCCCAAGAACACTGTCACCAGTCTAGACGGACCCTGGGGTCACCCCAGCAACGCAAAGCAGCTCCATGTGCCCCAAATCAACTCGAGATGAGGCCCGATTCCCCTGCATTGACTCCAGAGCCATTCCCCGTTCCCCATTCAACACGACCGGTGGCTCGACTTCCTTCAGGCAACTGCAGAGATGCCCTGAGAACACTGTCCCAAGACTAGAGGAACACCAACTTCAGCTCAGCAACTCGAGGAATGCTCCGTGTACCCCAAATCGTCTCGAGATGAGAGCTGATTCCCTGGCTTAGGATCAAGCCATATGCCAACTTTCCGGAAACACCTCAGGAGGAGGCTTCTGTCAGCAGTAGGTATGAAGGAGGGACACCGAGTTTGCTGCCACAAGGGGAATATACAGCGAGAAGCCCTAACTTGAAAGGAGGCCGGATTTCCTTGCAGTGGCTTGAATATAGGCTCGTCTTTCATCTCACAATATGAAGGGATGTCTGAATCCCCTGTGGAGACCTTAGAGAAAGCCCTAGGTCCCTGCCTCATTTTGACGGAATGCCTCACATCCCGCTGACTCCTCGAGAGGTACGCAGAGTTCATTACTTCAAAAGGTGATGACGCCTGACTCCTCTTGAATACTGATAGGAATCCCAAAATCCCTTTGGCTTCTGGAAAGGGTCCTTGGGTGCCCTGCCTCACCTCGAGAATCGTCCCTTTTGCCCTGCCAAGCCTCAAAGAGATTCCTGAGGTGTCCCTTGTTATTAGAGCGGAGTCCTGACGTCACTGAAGAAACTCGTGTTTTGAAGGGCCATCCCCGCCGTAAGTCGAGAACATACCCCAGGTCCCCGCCGCAACTCGAGTAAAACCATGAGACTTCCCCCTAGAGGCGAGATGAGGCCCCATTCCCCTGCAGTGCATGCAGAGCTATTCCGTGATCCCGTTCAAACAAGTCAGGAGCTTCGACTTGCTTAATGGATCTCGAGACAGTACCCAAGAACACTATCACCAGTCTAGACGGACCCTGAGGTCACCCCAGCAACGCAAAGCAGCTCCATGTGCCCCAAATCAACTCGAGATGAGGCCCGATTCCCCTGCATTGACTCCAGAGCCATTCCCCGTTCCCCATTCAACAAGACCGGCGACTCGACTTCCTTCAGGCAACCCCAGAGATGCCCCGAGAACACTGTCCCAAGTCTAGAGGAACACCAACTTCAGCACAGCAACTCGAGGAATGCTCCGTGTACCCCAAATCGTCTCGAGATGAGAGCTGATTCCCTGGCTTAGGCTCAAGACGTATGCCAACTTTCCGGAAGCACCTCAGGAGGAGGCTTCTCTCAGCAGTAGGTATGAGGGAGGGACCCTGAGTTTGCTGCCTCAAGGAGAATATACAGCGAGAAGCCCTAACTTGAAAGGAGGCCGGATTTCCTTGCAGTGGCTTGAATACAGGCTCGTCTTTCATCTCACAACATGAAGGGATGTCTGAATCCCCTGTGGAGACCTTAGAGAAATCCCTAGGTCCCTGCCTCATTTTGACGGAATGCCTCACATCCCGCTGACTCCTCGAGATGTACGCGGAGTTCATTACTTCAAAAGGTGATGACTCCTGACTCCTCTTGAATACTGATAGGAATCCCAAAATCCCTGTGGCTTCTGGAAAGGGTCCTTGGGTGCCCGGCCTCACCTCGAGAAGCATCCCTTTTGCCCTGAAAAGCCTCGAAGAGATTCCTGAGGTGTCCCTTGTTACTAGACAGGAGTCCTAACTTCACTGAAGAAACTCGTGTTTTGAAGGGCCATCCCCGCCGTAAGTCGAGAACATACCCCAGGTCCCCGCCGCAACTCGAGAAAAACCATGAGACTTCCCCCTAGAGGCAACATGAGGCCCCATTCCCCTGTAGTGCATGCAGAGCTATTCCGTGATCCCATTCAAACAAGTAAGGAGCTTCGACTTGCTTAATGGATCTCGAGACAGTCCCCAAGAACACTATCACCAGTCTAGACGGACCCTGAGGTCCCCCCAGCAACGTAAAGCAGCCCCATGTGCCCCAAATCACCTAGAGATGAGGCCCAATTCCCCTGCATTGACTCCAGAGCCATTCCAAGTTCCACATTCAACACGACCGGTGGCTCGACTTCCTTCAGGCAACTCCAGAGATGCCCCGAGAACACTGTCCCAAGACTAGAGGAACACCAACCTCAGCACAGCAACTCGAGGAATGCTCCGTGTACCCCAAATCGTCTCGAGGTGAGAGCTGATTCCCTGGCTTAGGAACAAGATGTATGCCAACTTTCCGGAAGCACCTCAGGAGGAGGCTTCTCTCAGCAATAGTTATGAGGGAGGGACCCCGAGTTTGCTGCCTCAAGCGGAATATACAGCGAGAAGCCCTAACTTGAAAGGAGGCCGTATTTCCTTGCAGTGGCTTGAATACAGGCTCGTCTTTCATCTCACAACATGAAGGGATGTCTGAGTCCCCTGTGGAGACCTTAGAGAAATCCCTAGGTCCCTGCCTCATTTTGACGGAATGCCTCACATCCCGCTGACTCCTCGAGAGGTACGCGGAGTTCATTACTTCAAAAGGTGATGAATCCTGACTCCTCTTGAATACTGATAGGAATCTCAAAATCCCTGTGGATACTGGAAAGGGTCCCTGGGTGCCCTGCCTCACCTCGAGAAGCGTCCCTTTTGCACTGCCAAGCCTCGAAGAGATTCCTGAAGTATCCCTCGTTCCTAGAGTGGAGTCCTGACGTCATTGAAGAAACTCGTGTTTTGAAGGGCCATCCCCTCCGTAAGTCGAGAACATACCCCAGGTCATCGCCGCAACTCGAGAAAAACCATGAGACTTCCCCTTAGCGGCGAGATGAGGCCCCATTCCCCTGCAGTGCATGCAGAGCTATTCCGTGATCCCATTCAAACGAGTCAGGAGCTTCGACTTGCTTAATGGATCTCGAGACAGTCCCCAAGAACACTGTAACCAGTCGAGACGGACCCTGAGGTCACCCAAGCAACGCAAAGCAGCTCCATGTGCCCCAAATCAACTCGAGATGAGGCCCAATTCCCCTGCATTGACTCCAGAGCCATTCCAAGTTCCCCATTCAACACGACCGGTGGCTCGACTTCCTTGAGGCAACTCCAGAGATGCCCCGAGAACACTGTCCAAAGACTAGAGGAACACCAACTTCAGCACAGCAACTCGAGGAATGCTCCGTGTACCCCAAATCGTCTCGAGATGAGAGCTGATTCCCTGGCTTATGCTCAAGTGGTATGTCAAATTTCCAGTAGCACCTCAGGAGGAGGCTTCTCTCAGCAATAGGTATGTGGGAGAGATCTCGAGTTTGCTGACTCAAGGGGAATACACAGCGAGAAGCCCTAACTTGAAAGGAGGCCGGATTTCCTTGAAGTGGCTTGAATACAGGCTCGTCTTTCATCTCACAACATGAAGGGATGTCTGAATCCACTGTGGAGACCTTAGAGAAAGCCCTAGGTCCCTTCCTCATTTTGAGGGAATATCTCACATCCCACTGACACATCGAGAGGCACGCGGAGTTCATTGCTTCAAAAGTTGATGATGCCTGACTCCTCTTGAATACTGATAGGAATCCCAAAATCCCTGTGTCTTCTGGAAAGGGTCCTTGGGTGCCCTGCCTCACCTCGAGAAGCGTCCCTTTTGCCCTGCCAAGCCTCGAAGAGATTCCTGAGGTGTCCCTTGTTACTAGACAGGAGTCCTGACTTCACTGAAGAAACTCCTGTTTTGAAGGGCCATCCCCGTCGTAAGTCGAGAACATACCCCAGGTCCCCGCCGCAACTCGAGAAAAACCATGAGACTTCCAACTAGAGGGGACATGAGGCCCCATTCCCCTGCAGTGCATGCAGAGCTATTCCGTGATCCCATTCAAACAAGTCAGGAGCTTCGACTTGCTTAATGGATCTCGAGACAGTCCCCAAGAACACTGTCACCAGTCTAGACGGACCCTGAGGTCCCCCCAGCAACGCAAAGCAGCTCCATGTGCCCCAAATCAACTCGAGATGAGGCCCGATTCCCCTGCATTGAGTCCAGAGCCATTCCAAGTTCCCCATTCATTATGACTGGTGGCTCGACTTCTTCAGGATTCTCCAGAGATGCCCCGAGAACACTGTCCAAAGGCTAGAGGAACACCAACTTCAGCACAGCAACTCGAGGAATGCTCTGTGTACCCCAAATCGTCTCGAGATGAGAGCTGATTCCCTGGCTTATGCTCAAGAGGTATGTCAAATTTCCAGTAGCACCTCAGGAGGAGGCTTCTCTCAGCAATAGGTATGTGGGAGAGATCTCGAGTTTGCTGCCTCAAGGGGAATACACAGCGAGAAGCCCTAACTTGAAAGGAGGCCGGATTTCCTTGAAGTGGCTTGAATACAGGCTCGTCTTTCATCTCACAACATGAAGGGTTGTCTGAATCCACTGTGGAGACCTTAGAGAAAGCCCTAGGTCCCTGCCTCATTTTGAGGGAATGCCTCACATCCCACTGACACATCGAGAGGCACGCGGAGTTCATTGCTTCAATAGTTGACGATGCCTGACTCCTCTGAATACTGATAGGAATCCCAAAATCCCTGTGGATACTGGAAAGGGTCCCTGGGTGCCCTGCCTCACCTCGAGAAGCGTCCCTTTTGCACTGCCAAGCCTCGAAGAGATTCCTGAAGTATCCCTCGTTCCTAGAGTGGACTCCTGACGTCATTGAAGAAACTCGTGTTTTGAAGGGCCATCCCCTCCGTAAGTCGAGAACATACCCCAGGTCATCGCCGCAACTCGAGAAAAACCATGAGACTTCCCCCTAGCGGCGAGATGAGGCCCCATTCCCCTGCAGTGCATGCAGAGCTATTCCGTGATCCCATTCAAACGAGTCAGGAGCTTCGACTTGCTTAATGGATCTCGAGACAGTCCCCAAGAACACTGTAACCAGTCTAGACGGACCCTGAGGTCACCCAAGCAACGCAAAGCAGCACCATGTGCCCCAAATCAACTCGAGATGAGTCCCGATTCCCCTGCATTGACTCCAGAGCCATTCCAAGTTCCCCATTCAACACGACCGGTGGCTCGACTTCCTTCAGGAAACTCCATAGATGCCCCGAGAACACTGTCCCAAGACTAGAGGAACACCAACTTCAGCACAGCAACGCGAGGAATGCTCCGTGTACCCCAAATCGTCTCGAGGTGAGAGCTGATTCCCTGGCTTAGGATCAAGACGTATGCCAACTTTCCGGAAGCACCTCAGGAGGAGGCTTCTCTCAGCAATAGTTATGAGGGAGGGACCCCGAGTTTGCTGCCTCAAGCGGAATATACAGCGAGAAGCCCTAACTTGAAAGGAGGCCGGATTTCCTTGCAGTGGCTTGAATACAGGCTCGTCTTTCATCTCACAACATGAAGGGATGTCTGAATCCCCTGTGGAGACCTTAGAGAAAGCCCTAGTTCCCTGCCTCATTTTGACGGAATGCTTCACATCCCGCTGACTCCTCGAGAGTTATGCGGAGTTCATTACTACAAAAGGTGATGACGCCTGACTCCTCTTGAATACTGATAGGAATCCCAAAATCCCTGTGGCTACAGGAAAGGGTCTTTGGGTGCCCTGCCTCACCTCGAGAAGCGTCCCTTTTGCCCTGCCAAGCCTCGAAGAGATTCCTGAGGTGTCCCTCGTTACTAGACAGGAGTCCTGACGTCACTGAAGAAACTCGTGTTTTGAAGGGCCATCCCCTCCGTAAGTCGAGAACATACCCCAGGTCCCCGCCGCAACTCGAGAAAAACCATGAGACTTCCCCCTAGAGGCGCGATGAGAGCCCATTCCCCTGCAGTGCATGCAGAGCTATTCCGTGATCCCATTCAAACAAGTCAGGAGCTTCGACTTGCTTAATGGATCTCGAGACAGTTCCCAAGAACACTGTCACCAGTCTAGACGGACCCTGGGGTAACCCCAGCAACGCAAAGCAGCTCCATGTGCCCCAAATCAACTCGAGATGAGGCCCGATTCCCCTGCATTGACTCCAGAGCCATTCCCCGTTCCCCATTCAACACGACCGATGGCTCGACTTCCTTCAGGCAACTCCAGAGATGCCCCGAGAACACTGTCCCAAGACTAGAGGAACACCAACTTCAGCACAGCATCTCGAGGAATGCTCGGTGTACCGCAAATCGTCTCAAGATGAGAGCTGATTCCCTCGCTTAGGCTCAAGACGTATGCCAACTTTCCGGAAGCACCTCAGGAGGAGGCTTCTCTCAGCAATAGGTATGAGGGAGGGTCCCCGAGTTTGCTGCCTCAAGGGGAATATACAGCGAGAAGCCGTAACTTGAAAGGAGGCCTGATTTCCTTGCAGTGGCTTGAATACAGGCTCGTCTTTCATCTCACAACATGAAGGGATGTCTGAATCCCCTGTGGAGACCTTAGAGAAAGCCCTAGGTCCCTGCCTCATTTTGACGGAATGCCTCACATCCCGCTGACACATCGAGAGGCACGAGGAGTTCATTGCTTCAAAAGGTGACGATGCCTGACTCCTCCTGAATACTGATAGGAATCCCAAAATCCCTGTGGCTACAGGAAAGGGTCCTTGGGTGCCCTGCCTCACCTCGAGAAGCGTCCCTTTTGCCCTGCCAAGCCTCGAAGAGATTCCTGAGGTGTCCCTCGTTACTAGACAGGAGTCCTGACGTCACTGAAGAAACTCGTGTTTTGAAGGGCCATCCCCTCCGTAAGTCGAGAACATACCCCAGGTCCCCGCCGCAACTCGAGAAAAACCATGAGACTTCCCCCTAGAGGCGAGATGAGAGCCCATTCCCCTGCAGTGCATGCAGAGCTATTCAGTGATCCCATTCAAACAAGTCAGGAGCTTCGACTTGCTTAATGGATCTCGAGACAGTTCCCATGAACACTGTCACCAGTCTAGACGGACCCTGAGGTCACTCCAGCAACGCAAAGCAACTCCATGTGCCCCAAATCAACTCGAGATGAGGCCCGATTCCCCTGCATTGACTCCAGAGCCATTCCCCATTCCCCATTCAACACGACCGGTTGCTCGACTTCCTTCAGGCAACTCCAGAGATGCCCCGAGAACACTGTCCCAAGACTAAAGGAACACCAACTTCAGCACAGCAACTCGAGGAATGCTCCGTGTACCGCAAATCGTCTCGAGATGAGAGATGATTCCCTCGCTTAGGCTCAAGACGTATGCCAACTTTCCAGAAGCACCTCAGGGGGAGGCTTCTCTCAGCAATATGTATGAGGGAGGGACCCCGAGTTTGCTGCCTCAAGGGGAATATACAGCGAGAAGCCCTAACTTGAAAGGAGGCCGGATTTCCTTGCAGTGGCTTGAATACAGGCTCGTCTTTCATCTCACAACATGAAGGAATGTCTGAATCCCCTGTGGAGTCCTTAGAGAAAGCCCTAGGTCCCTGCCTCATTTTGACGGAATGCTTCACATCCCGCTGACTCCTCGAGAGGTATGCGGAGTTCATTACTAGAAAAGGTGATGACGCCTCACTCCTCTTGAATACTGATAGGAATCCCAAAATCCCTGTGGCTACAGGAAAGGGTCCTTGGGTGCCCTGCCTCACCTCGAGAAGCGTCCCTTTTGCCCTGCCAAGCCTCGAAGAGATTCCTGAGGTGTCCCTCGTTACTAGACAGGAGTCCTGACGTCACTGAAGAAACTCGTGTTTTGAAGGGCCATCCCCTCCGTAAGTCGAGAACATACCCCAGGTCCCCGCCGAAACTCGAGAAAAACCATGAGACTTCCCCCTAGCGGCGAGATGAGGCCCCATTCCCCTGCAGTGCATGCAGAGCTATTCCGTGATCCCATTCAAACGAGTCAGGAGCTTCGACTTGCTTAATGGATCTCGAGACAGTCCCCAAGAACACTGTAACCAGTCTAGACGGACCCTGAGGTCACCCAAGCAACGCAAAGCAGCACCATGTGCCCCAAATCAACTCGAGATGAGGCCCGATTCCCCTGCATTGACTCCAGAGCCATTCCAAGTTCCACATTCAACACGACCGGTGGCTCGACTTCCTTCAGGAAACTCCAGAGATGCCCCGAGAACACTGTCCCAAGACTAGAGGAACACCAACTTCAGCACAGCAACTCGAGGAATGCTCCGTGTACCCCAAATCGTCTCGAGGTGAGAGCTGATTCCCTGGCTTAGGATCAAGACGTATGCCAACTTCCGGAAGCACCTCAGGAGGAGGCTTCTCTCAGCAATAGTTATGAGGGAGGGACCCCCAGTTTGCTGCCTCAAGCGGAATATACAGCGAGAAGCCCTAACTTGAAAGGAGGCCGGATTTCCTTGCAGTGGCTTGAATACAGGCTCCTCTTTCATCTCACAACATGAAGGGATGTCTGAATCCCCTGTGGAGACCTTAGAGAAAGCCCTAGGTCCTTGCCTCATTTTGACGGAATGCCTCACATCCCGCTGACTCCTCGAGAGGTATGCGGAGTTCATTACTAGAAAAGGTGATGACGCCTCACTCCTCTTGAATACTGATAGGAATCCCAAAACATCTTGGCTACTGGAAAGTGTCCTTGGGTGCCCTGCCTCACCTCGAGAAGCGTCCCTTTTGCCCTGCCAAGCCTCGAGGAGATTCCTGAGGTGTCCCTCGTTACTAGACAGGAGTCCTGACGTCACTGAAGAAACTCGTGTTTTGAAGGGCCATCCCCGCCGTAAGTCGAGAACATACCCCAGGCCCCGCCTCACCTCGAGAAAAACCATGAGACTTCCCCCTAGAGGCGAGATGAGGCCCCATTCCTCTGCAGTGCATGCAGAGCTATTCCGTGATCCCATTCAAACAAGTCAGGAGCTTCGACTTGCTTAATGGATCTCGAGACATTCCCCAAGAACACTGTCACCAGTCTAGACGTACCCTGAGGTCACCCCAGCAACGCAAAGCAGCTCCATGTGCCCCAAATCAACTCGAGATGAGGCTCGATTCCCCTGCATTGACTCCAGAGCCATTCCCCGTTCCCCATTCAACACGACCGGTGGCTCGACTTCCTTCAGGCAACTCCAGAGATGCCCCGAGAACACTGTCCCAAGACTAGAGGAACACCAACTTCAGCTCAGCAACTCGAGGAATGCTCCGTGTACCCCAAATCGTCTCGAGATGAGAGCTGATTCCCTGGCTTAGGATCAAGCCATATGCCAACTTTCCGGAAGCACCTCAGGAGGAGGCTTCTGTCAGCAGTAGGTATGAGGGAGGGACACCGAGTTTGCTGCCACAAGGGGAATATATAGCGAGAAGCCCTAACTTGAAAGGATGCCGGATTTCCTTGCAGTGGCTTGAATACAGGCTCGTCTTTCATCTCACAACATGAAGGGATGTCTGAATCCCCTGTGGAGACCTTAGAGAAAGCCCTAGGTCCCTGCCTCATTTTGACGGAATGCCTCACATCCCGCTGACACCTCGAGAGGCACGAGGAGTTCATTACTTCAAAAGGTGATGACGCCTGACTCCTCTTGAATACTGATAGGAATCCCAAAATCCCTTTGGCTTCTGGAAAGGGTCCTTGGGTGCCCTGCCTCACCTCGAGAATCGTCCCTTTTGCCCTGCCAAGCCTCGAAGAGATTCCTGAGGTGTCCCTTGTTACTAGACAGGAGTCTGACGTCACTGAAGAAACTCGTGTTTTGAAGGGCCATCCCCGCCGTAAGTCGAGAACATACCCCAGGTCCCCGCCGCAACTCGAGAAAAACCATGAGACTTCCCCCTAGAGGCGAGGTGAGGCCCCATTCACCTGCAGTGCATGCAGAGCTATTCCGTGATCCCGTTCAAACAAGTCAGGAGCTTCGACTTGCTTAATGGATCTCGAGAGAGTCCCCAAGAACACTATCACCAGTCTAGACGGACCCTGAGGTCACCCCAGCAACGCAAAGCAGCTCCATGTGCCCCAAATCAAATCGAGATGAGGCCCGATTCCCCTGCATTGACTCCAGAGCCATTCCCCGTTCCCCATTCAACAAGACCGGCGACTCTACTTCCTTCAGGCAACCACAGAGATGCCCCGAGAACACTGTCCCAAGACTAGAGGAACACCAACTTCAGCACAGCATCTCGAGGAATGCTCGGTGTACCGCAAATCGTCTCAAGATGAGAGCTGATTCCCTCGCTTAGGCTCAAGACGTATGCCAACTTTCCGGAAGCACCTCAGGAGGAGGCTTCTCTCAGCAATAGGTATGAGGGAGGGACCCCGAGTTTGCTGCCTCAAGGGGAATATACAGAGAGAAGCCCTAACTTGAAAGGAGGCCGGATTTCCTTGCAGTGGCTTGAATACAGGCTCGTCTTTCATCTCACAACATGAAGGGATGACTGAATCCCCTGTGGAGACCTTAGAGAAAGCCCTAGGACCCTGCCTCATTTTGACGGAATGCCTCACATCCCGCTGACTCCTCGAGATGAACGCGGAGTTCATTACTTCAAAAGGTGATGATGCCTGATTCCTCTTGAATACTGATAGGAATCCCAAAATCCCTGTGGCTACTGCAAAGGATTCTTGGGTGCGCTGCCTCACCTCGAGAAGCGTCCCTTTTGCCCTGCCAAGCCTCGAAGACATTGCTGAGGTGTCCCTCGTTGCTAGACAGGAGTCCTGACTTCACTGAAGAAACTCGTGTTTTGAAGGGCCATCCCCGCCGTAAGTCGAGAACATAACCCAGGTCACCGCCTCAACTCGAGAAAAACCATGAGACTTCCCCCTAGATGCGAGATGAGGCCCCATTCCCCTGCAGTGCATGCAGAGCTATTCAGTGATCCCATTCAAACAAGTCAGGAGCTTCGACTTGCTTAATGGATCACGAGACAGTCCCCAAGAACACTGTCAACAGTCTAGACGGACCTGAGGTCACCCCAGCAACGCAAAGCAGCTCCATGTGCCCCAAATCAACTCGAGATGAGGCCCGATTCCCCTGCATTGACTCCAGAGCCATTCCCCGTTCCCCATTCAACACGACCAGTGGCTCGACTTCCTTCAGGCAAATCCAGAGATGCCCCGAGAACACTGTCCCAAGTATAGAGGAACACCAACTTCAGCACAGCAACTCGAGGAATGCTCCGTGTACCCCAAATCGTCTCGAGATGAGAGCTGATTCCCTGGCTTAGGCTCAAGACGTATGAAAACTTTCCAGAAGCACCTCAGGAGGAGGCTTCTCTCAGCAATAGGTATGTGGGAGGGACCCCGAGTTTGCTGCCTCAAGGGGAATATACAGCGAGAAGCCTTAACTTGAAAGGAGGCCAGATTTCCTTGCAGTGGCTTGAATACAGGCTCGTCTTTCATCTCACAACATGAAGGGATGTCTGAATCCCCTGTGGAGACCTTAGAGAAAGCCCTAGTTCCCTGCCTCATTTTGACGGAATGCCTCACATCCCGCTGACACCTCGAGAGGCACGAGGAGTTCATTGCTTCAAAAGGTGACGATGCCTGACTCCTCTTGAATACTGATAGGAATCCCAAAATCCCTGTGGCTACAGGAAAGGGTCCTTGGGTGCCCTGCCTCACCTCGAGAAGCGTCCCTTTTGCCCTGCCAAGCCTCGAAGAGATTCCTGAGGTGTCCCTCGTTACTAGACAGGAGTCCTGATGTCACTGAAGAAACTCGTGTTTTGAAGGGCTATCCCCTCCGTAAGTCGAGAACATACCCCAGGTCCCCGCCGCAACTCGAGAAAAACCATGAGACTTCCCCCTAGAGGCGAGTTGAGGCCCCATTCCCCTGCAGTGCATGCAGAGCTATTCCGTGATCCCATTCAAACTAGTCAGGAGCTTCGACTTGCTTAATGGATCACGAGACAGACCCCAAGAACACTGTCACCAGTCTAGACGGACCCTGAGGTCACCCCAGCAACGCAAAGCAGCTCCATGTGCCCCAAATCAACTCGAGATGAGGCCCGATTCCCCTGCATTGACTCCAGAGCCATTCCCCGTTCCCCATTCAACACGACCAGTGGCTCGACTTCCTTCAGGCAACTCCAGAGATGCCCCGAGAACACTGTCCCAAGTCTAGAGGAACACCAACTTCAGCACAGCAACTCGAGGAATGCTCCGTGTACCCCAAATCGTCTCGAGATGAGAGCTGATTCCCTGGCTTAGGCTCAAGACGTATGAAAACTTTCCAGAAGCACCTCAGGAGGAGGCTTCTCTCAGCAATAGGTATGTGGGAGGGACCCCGAGTTTGCTGCCTCAAGGGGAATATACAGCGAGAAGCCGTAACTTGAAAGGAGGCCAGATTTCCTTGCAGTGGCTTGAATACAGGCTCGTCTTTCATCTCACAACATGAAGGGATGTCTGAATCCCCTGTGGAGACCTTAGAGAAAGCCCTAGGTCCCTGCCTCGTTTTGACGGAATGCCTCACATCCCGCTGACACCTCGAGAGGCACGAGGAGTTCATTGCTTCAAAAGGTGATGATGCGTGACTCCTCTTGAATACTGATAGGAATCCCAAAATCCCTGTGGCTACTGGAAAGGGTCCTTGGGTGCCCTGCCTCACCTCGAGAAGCGTCCCTTTTGCCCTGCCAAGCCTCGAAGAGATTCCTGAGGTGTCCCTCGTAACTAGACAGGAGTCCTGACTTCACTGAAGAAACTCGTGTTTTGAAGGGCCATCCCCGACGTAAGTCGAGAACATAGCCCAGGCCCCCGCCGCAACTCGACTAAAACCATGAGACTTCCCCATAGAGGCGAGATGAGGCCCCATTCCCCTGCAGTGCATGCAGAGCTATTCCGTGATCCCATTCAAACAAGTCAGGAGCTTCGACTTGCTTAATGGATCTCGAGACAGTCCCCAAGAACACTGTCACCAGTCTAGACGGACCCTGAGGTCACCACAGCAACGCAAAGCAGCTCCATGTGCCCCAAATCAACTCGAGATGAGGCCCGATTCCCATGCATTGACTCCAGAGCCATTCCCCGTTCCCCATTCAACACGACCGCTGGCTCGACTTCCTTCAGGCAACTCCAGAGATGCCCCGAGATCACTGTCCCAAGACTAGAGGAACACCAACTTCAGCACAGCAACTCGAGGAATGCTCCATGTACCCCAAATCGTCTCGAGATGAGAGCTGATTCCCTCGCTTAGGCTCAAGACGTATGCCAACTTTCCGGAATCACCTCAGGAGGAGGCTTCTCTCAGCAATATGTATGAGGGAGGGACCCCGAGTTTGCTGCCTCAAGCGGAATATACAGCGAGAAGCCCTAACTTGAAAGGAGGCCGGATTTCCTTGCAGTGGCTTGAATACAGGCTCGTCTTTCATCTCACAACATGAAGGGATGTCTGAATCCCCTGTGGAGACCTTAGAGAAAGCCCTAGGTCCCTGCCTCATTTTGACGGAATGCCTCACATCCCGCTGACTCCTCGAGAGGTACGCGGAGTTCATTACTTCAAAAGGTGATGACGCCTGACTCCTCTTGAATACTGATAGGAATCCCAAAACATCTTGGCTACTGGAAAGGGTCCTTGGGTGCCCTGCCTCACCTCGAGAAGCGTCCCTTTTGCCCTGCCAAGCCTCGAAGAGATTCCTGAGGTGTCCCTCGTTACTAGACAGGACTCCTGACGTCACTGAAGAAACTCGTGTTTTGAAGGGCCATCCCCTCCGTAAGTCGAGAACATACCCCAGGTCCCGGCCGCAACTCGAGAAAAACCATGGGACTTCCCCCTAGAGGCGAGATGAGAGCCCATTGCTCTGCAGTGCATGCAGAGCTATTCCGTGATCCCATTCAAACAAGTCAGGAGCTTCGACTTGCTTAATGGATCTCGAGACAGTCCCCAAGAACACTGTCACCAGTCTAGACGGACCCTGAGGTCCCCCCAGCAACACAAAGCAGCACCATGTGCCACAAATCACCTCGAGATGAGGCCCGTTTCCCCTGCATTGACTCCAGAGCCATTCCAAGTTCCCCATTCAACACGACCGGTGGCTCGACTTCCTTCAGGCAACTCCAGAGATGCCCCGAGAACACTGTCCCAAGACTAGAGGAACACCAACTACAGCACGGCAACTCGAGTAATGCTCCGTGTACGCCAAATAGTCTCGAGATGAGAGATGATTCCCTGGCTTAGGATCAAGACGTATGCCAACTTTCCGGAAGCACCTCAGGAGGAGGCTTCTCTCAGCAATAGGTATGAGGGAGGGACCCCGAGTTTGCTACCTCAAGCGGAATATACAACGAGAAGCCCTAACTTGAAAGGAGGCCGGATTTCCTTGCAGTGGCTTGAATACAGGCTCGTCTTTCATCTCGCAACATGAAGGGATGTCTGAATCCCCTGTGGAGACCTTAGAGAAAGCCCTAGGTCCCTGCCTCATTTTGACGGAATGCTTCACATCCCGCTGACTCCTCGAGAGGTAGGCGGAGTTCATTACTTCAAAAGTTGATGACGCCTGACTCCTCTTGAATACTGATAGGAATCCCAAAATCCCTGTGGCTACTGGAAAGGGTCCTTGGGTTCCCTGCCTCACCTTGAGAAGCGTCCCTTTTGCCCTGCCAAGCCTCGAAGAGATTCCTGAGGTGTCCCTCGTTACTAGACAGGAGTCCTGACGTCACTGAAGAAACTCGTGTTTTGAAGGGCCATCCCCGCCGTAAGTCGAGAACATACCTCAGGTCCAAGCCGCAACTCGAGAAAAACCATGAGACTTCCCCCTAGAGGCGACATGAGGCCCCATTCCCCTGCAGTGCATGCAGAGCTATTCCGTGATCCCATTCAAACAAGTCAGGAGCTTCGACTTGCTTAATGGATCTCGAGACAGTCCCCAAGAACACTGTCACCAGTCTAGACGGACCCTGAGGTCCCCCCAGCAACGCAAAGCAGCTCCATGTGCCCCAAATCACCTCGAGATGAGGCCCGATTCCCCTGCATTGACTCCAGAGCCATTCCAAGTTCCCCATTCAACACGACCGGTGGCTCGACTTCCTTCAGGCAACTCCAGAGATGCCCCGAGAACACTGTCCCAAGACTAGAGAAACACCAACTTCAGCACAGCAACTCGAGGAATGCTCCGTGTACCCCAAATCGTCTCGAGATGAGAGATGATTCCCTGGCTTAGGATCAAGACGTATGCCAACTTTCCGGAAGCACCTCAGGAGGAGGCTTCTCTCAGCAATAGGTATGAAGGAGGGACCCCGAGTTTGCTACCTCAAGCGGAATATACAGCGAGAAGCCCTAACTTGAAAGGAGGCCGGATTTCCTTGCAGTGGCTTGAATACAGGCTCGTCTTTCATCTCACAACATGAAGGGATGTTGAATCCCTTGTGGAGACCTTAGAGAAAGCCCTAGGTCCCTGCCTCATTTTGACGGAATGCTTCACATCCCGCTGACTCCTCGAGAGGTAGGCGGAGTTCATTACTTCAAAAGGTGACGATGCCTGACTCCTCTTGAATACTGATAGGAATCCCAAAATCCCTGTGGCCACAGGAAAGGGTACTTGGGTACCCTGCCTCACCTTGAGAAGCGTCCCTTTTGCCCTGCCAAGCCTCGAAGAGATTCCTGAGGTGTCCCTCGTTACTAGACAGGAGTCCTGACGTCACTGAAGAAACTCGTGTTTTGAAGGGCTATCCCCTCCGTAAGTCGAGAACATACCCCAGGTCCCGGCCGCAACTCGAGAAAAACCATGAGACTTCCCCCTAGAGGCGAGATGAGAGCCCATTCCTCTGCAGTGCATGCAGAGCTATTCCGTGATCCCATTCAAACAAGTCAGGAGTTTCGAATTGCTTAATGGATCTCGAGACAGTCCCCAAGAACACTGTCACCAGTCTAGACGGAACCTGAGGTCACCCCAGAAACGCAAAGCAGCTCCATGTGCCCCAAATCAACTCGAGATGAGGCCCGATTCCCATGCATTGACTCCAGAGCCATTCCCCGTTCCCCATTCAACACGACCGGTGGCTCGACTTCCTTCAGGCAACTCCAGAGATGCCCCGGGAACACTGTCCCAAGACTAGAGGATCACCAACTTCAGCACAGCAACTCGAGGAATGCTCCGTGTACCCCAAATCGTCTCGAGATGAGAGCTGATTCCCTGGCTTAGGAACAAGACGTATGCCAACTTTCCGGAAGCACCTCAGGAGGAGGCTTCTCTCAGCAATAGTTATGAGGGAGGGACCCCGAGTTTGCTGCCTCAAGCGGAATATACAGCGAGAAGCCATAACTTGAAAGGAGGCCGGATTTCCTTGCAGTGGCTTGAATACAGGCTCCTCTTTCATCTCACAACATGAAGGGATGACTGAATCCCCTGTGGAGACCTTAGAGAAAGCCCTAGGTCCTTGCCTCATTTTGACGGAATGCCTCACATCCCGCTGACTCCTCGAGAGGTATGCGGAGTTCATTACTAGAAAAGGTGATGACGCCTCACTCCTCTTGAATACTGATAGGAATCCCAAAAAATCTTGGCTACTGGAAAGGGTCCTTGGGTGCCCTGCCTCACCTCGAGAATCGTCCCTTATGCCCTGCCAAGCCTCGAAGAGATTCCTGAGGTGCCCCTCGTTACTAGACAGGAGTCCTGACGTCACTGAAGAAACTCCTGTTTTGAAGGGCCATCCCCTCCGTAAGTCGAGAACATATCCCAGGTCCCCGCCGAAACTCGAGAAAAACCCTGAGAGTTCCCCCTAGAGGCGAGTTGAGAGCCCATTCCCCTACAGTGCATGCAGAGCTATTCAGTGATCCCATTCAAACAAGTCAGGAGCTTCGACTTGCTTAATGGATCTCGAGACAGTCCCCAAGAACACTGTCACCAGTCTAGACGGACCCTGAGGTCACTCCAGCAACGCAAAGCAGCTCCATGTGCCCCAAATCAACTCGAGATGAGGCCCGATTCCCCTGCATTGATTCCAGAGCCATTCCCCGTTCCCCATTCAACACGACCGGTTTCTCGACTTCCTTCAGGCAATTCCAGAGATGCCCCGAGAACACTGTCCCAAGACTAGAGGAACACCAACTTCAGCACAGCAACTCGAGGAATGCTCCGTGTACCCCAAATCGTCTCGAGATGAGAGCTGATTCCCTCGCTTAGGCTCAAGACGTATGCCAACTTTCCGGAAGCACCTCAGGAGGAGGCTTCTCTCAGCAATATGGATGAGGGAGGGACCCCGAGTTTGCTGCCTCAAGGGGAATATACAGCGAGAAGCCCTAACTTGAAAGGAGGCCGGATTTCCTTGAAGTGGCTTGAATACAGGCTCGTCTTTCATCTCACAACATGAAGGGATGTCTGAATCCCCTGTGGAGACCTTCGAGAAAGCCCTAGGTCCCTGCCTCATTTTGACGGAATGCCTCACATCCCGCTGACTCCTCGAGAGGTACGCGGAGTTCATTACTTCAAAAGGTGATGACGCCTGACTCCTCTTGAATACTGATAGGAACCCAAAATCCCTGTGGCTACTGGAAAGGATCCTTGGGTTCCCTGCCTCACCTCGAGAAGCGTCCCTTTTGCCCTGCCAAGCCTCAAAGAGATTCCTGAGGTGTCCCTCGTTACTAGACAGGAGTCCTGACTTCACTGAAGAAACTCGTGTTTTGAAGGGCCATCCCCGCCGTAAGTCGAGAACATAGCCCAGGCCCCCGCCGCAACTCGACTAAAACCATGAGACTTCCCCATAGAGGCGAGATGAGGCCCCATTCCCCTGCAGTGCATGCAGAGCTATTCCGGGATCCCATTCAAACAAGTCAGGAGCTTCGACTTGCTTAATGGATCTCGAGACAGTCCCAAGAACACTGTCACCAGTCTAGACGGACCCTGAGGTCACCACAGCAACGCAAAGCAGCTCCATGTGCCCCAAATCAACTCGAGATGAGGCCCGATTCCCATGCATTGACTCCAGAGCCATTCCCCGTTCCCCATTCAACACGACCGCTGGCTCGACTTCCTTCAGGCAACTCCAGAGATGCCCCGAGAACACTGTCCCAAGACTAGAGGAACACCAACTTCAGCACAGCAACTCGAGGAATGCTCCGTGTACCCCAAATCGTCTCGAGATGAGAGCTGATTCCCTGGCTTAGGAACAAGACGTATTTCAACTTTCCGGAAGCACCTCAGGAGGAGGCTTCTCTCAGCAATAGTTATGAGGGAGGGACCCCGAGTTTGCTGCCTCAAGCGGAATATACAGCGAGAAGCCCTAACTTGAAAGGAGGCCGAATTTCCTTGCAGTGGCTTGAATACAGGCTCCTCTTTCATCTCACAACATGAAGGGATGTCTGAATCCCCTGTGGAGACCTTAGAGAAAGCCCTAGGTCCTTGCCTCATTTTGACGGAATGCCTCACATCCCGCTGACTCCTCGAGAGGTATGCGGAGTTCATTACTAGAAAAGGTGATGACGCCTCACTCCTCTTGAATACTGATAGGAATCCCAAAACATCTTGGCTACTGGAAATGGTCCTTGGGTGCCCTGCCTCACCTCGAGAAGCGTCCCTTTTGCCCAGCCAAGCCTCGAAGAGATTCCTGAGGTGTCCCTCGTTACTAGACAGGAGTCCTGACGTCACTGAAGAAACTCGTGTTTTGAAGGGCCATCCCCTCCGTAAGTCAAGAACATATCCCAGGTCCCCGCCGAAACTCGAGAAAAACCATGAGAGTTCCCCCTAGAGGCGAGATGAGAGCCCATTCCCCTGCAGTGAATGCAGAGCTATTCAGTGATCCCATTCAAACAAGTCAGGGGCTTCGACTTGCTTAATGGATCTCGAGACAGTCCCCAAGAACACTGTCACCAGTCTAGACGGACCCTGAGGTCACTTCAGCAACGCAAAGCAGCTCCATGTGCCCCAAATCAACTCGAGATGAGGCCCGATTCCCCTGCATTGACTCCAGAGCCATTCCCCGTTCCCCATTCAACACGACCGGTGGCTCGACTTCCTTCAGGCAACTCCAGAGATGCCCCGAGAACACTGTCCCAAGACTAGAGGAACACCAACTTCAGCACAGCAACTCGAGGAATGCTCCGTGTATCGCAAATCGTCTCGAGATGAGAGCTGATTCCCTCGCTTAGGCTCAAGACGTATGCCAACTTTCCGGAAGCACCTCAGGAGGAGGCTTCTCTCAGCAATAGGTATGAGGGAGGGACCCCGAGTTTGCTGCCTCAAGGGGAATATACAGCGAGAAGCCCTAACTTGAAAGGAGGCCGGATTTCCTTGCAGTGGCTTGAATACAGGCTCGTCTTTCATCTCACAACATGAAGGGATGTCTGAATCCCCTGTGGAGACCTTAGAGAAAGCCCTAGGTCGTGCCTCATTTTGACGAATGCCTCACATCCCGCTGACTCCTCGAGAGGAACGCGGAGTTCATTACTTCAAAAGGTGATGACGCCTGACTCCTCTTGAATACTGATAGGAATCCCAAAATCCCTGGGGCTTCTGGAAAGGGTCCTTGGGTGCCCTGCCTCACCTCGAGAAGCGTCCCTTTTGCCCTGCCAAGCCTCGAAGAGATTCCTAAGGTGTCCCTCGTTACTACACAGGAGTCCTGTCTTCACTGAAGAAACTCGTGTTTTGAAGGGCCATCCCCGCCGTAAGTCGAGAACATAGCCCAGGCCCCCGCCGCAACTCGACTAAAACCATGAGACTTCCCCATAGAGGCGAGATGAGGCTCTATTCCCCTGCAGTGCATGCAGAGCTATTCCGTGATCCCATTCAAACAAGTCAGGAGCTTCGACTTGCTTAATGGATCTCGAGACAGTCCCCAAGAACACTGTCACCAGTCTAGACGGACCCTGAGGTCACCACAGCAATGCAAAGCAGCTCCATGTGCCCCAAATCAACTCGAGATGAGGCCCGATTCCCATGCATTGACTCCAGAGCCATTCCCCGTTCCCCATTCAACACGACCGCTGGCTCGACTTCCTTCAGGCAACTCCAGAGATGCCCCGAGAACACTGTACCAAGACTAGAGGAACACCAACTTCAGCACAGCAACTCGAGGAATGCTCCGTGTACCCCAAATCGTCTCGAGATGAGAGCTGATTCCCTGGCTTAGGAACAAGACGTATGCCAACTTTCCGGAAGCACCTCAGGAGGAGGCTTCTCTCAGCAATAGTTATGAGGGAGGGACCCCGAGTTTGCTGCCTCAAGCGGAATATACAGCGAGAAGCCCTAACTTGAAAGGAGGCCGGATTTCCTTGCAGTGGCTTGAATACAGGCTCCTCTTTCATCTCACAACATGAAGGGATGACTGAATCCCCTGTGGAGACCTTAGAGAAAGCCCTAGGTCCTTGCCTCATTTTGACGGAATGCCTCACATCCCGCTGACTCCTCGAGAGGTATGCGGAGTTCATTACTAGAAAAGGTGATGACGCCTCACTCCTCTTGAATACTGATAGGAATCCCAAAACATCTTGGCTACTGGAAATGGTCCTTGGGTGCCGTGCCTCACCTCGAGAAGCGTCCCTTTTGCCCTGCCAAGCCTCGAAGAGATTCCTGAGGTGTCCCTTGTTACTAGACATGAGTCCTGACGTCACTGAAGAAACTCGTGTTTTGAAGGGCCATCCCCGCCGTAAGTCGAGAACATACCCCAGGTCCCGGCCGCAACTCGAGAAAAGCCATGAGACTTCCCCCTAGAGGCGACATGAGGCCCCATTCCCCTGCAGTGCATGCAGAGCTATTCCGTGATCCCATTCAAACAAGTCAGGAGCTTCGACTTGCTTAATGGATCTCGAGACAGTCCCCAAGAACACTGTCACCAGTCTAGACGGACCCTGAGGTCACCCCAGCAATGCAAAGCAGCACCATGTGCCCCAAATCACCTCGAGATGAGGCCCCATTCCCCTGCATTGACTCCAGAGCCATTCCAAGTTCCCCATTCAACACGACCTGTGGCTCGACTTCCTTCAGGCTACTCCAGAGATGCCCCGAGAACACTGTCCCAAGACTAGAGGAACACCAACTTCAGCACAGCAACTCGAGGAATGCTCCGTGTACCCCAAATCGTCTCGAGATGAGAGCTGATTCCCTGGCTTAGGCTCAAGACGTATGCCAACATTCCAGAAGCACCTCAGGAGGAGGCTGCTCTCAGCAATAGGTATGTGGGAGGGACCCCGAGTTTGGTGCCTCAAGGGGAATATACAGCGAGAAGCCCTAACTTGAAAGGAGGACGGATTTCCTTGCAGTGGCTTGAATACTGGCCCGTCTTTCATCTCACAAAATGAAGGGATGTCTGAATCCCCTGTGGAGACCTTAGAGAAAGACCTAGGACCCTGCCTCATTTTGAGGGAATGCCTTACATCCCGCTGATACCTCGAGAGGAACGCGGAGTTCATTGCTTCAAATGGTGACGATGCCTGACATCTCTTGAATACTGATAGGAATCCCATAATCCCTGTGGCTACTGGAAAGGGTCCTTGGGTGCAGTGCCTCACATCGAGAAGCGTTCCTTTTGCCCTGCCAAGCCTCGAAGAGATTCCTGAGGTGTCCCTCGTTACTAGACAGGAGGCTTGACGTCACTGAATAAACTCGTGTTTTGAAGGGCAATCCCCGCCGTAAGTCGAGAACATAGCCCAGGTCCCCGCCGCAACTCGAGAAAAACCATGAGACTTCCCCCTAGAGGCGAGATGAGGCCCCATTCCCCTGCAGTGCATGCAGAGCTATTCCGTGATCCCATTCATACAAGTCAGGAGCTTCGACTTGCTTAATGGGTCTCAAGACAGTCCCCAAGAACACTGTCACCAGTCTAGACGGACCCTGAGGTCACCCCAGCAACGCAAAGCAGCTCCATGTGCCCCAAATCAACTCGAGATGAGGCCCGATTCCCCTGCATTGACTCCAGAGCCATTCCCCGTTCCCCATTCAACACGACCGCTGGCTCGACTTCTTTCAGGCAACTCCAGAGATGCCCCGAGAACGCTGTCCGAAGTCTAGAGGAACACCAACTTCAGCACAGCAACTCGAGGAATGATCCGTGTACCCCAAATCATCTCGAGATGAGAGCTGATTCCCTGGCTTAGGATCAAGATGTATGCCAACTTTCCAGAAGCACCTCAGGAGGAGGCTTCTCTCAGCAATAGGTATGAAGGAGGGACCCCGAGTTTGCTACCTCAAGCGGAATATACAGCGAGAAGCCCTAACTTGAAAGGAGGCCGGATTTCCTTGCAGTGGCTTGAATACAGGCTCCTCTTTCATCTCACAACATGAAGGGATGTCTGAATCCCCTGTGGAGGCCTGAGAGAAAGCCCTAGGTCCCTGCCTCTTTTTGACGGAATGCCTCACATCCAGCTGACACCCCGAGAGCCACGCGGATTTCATTGCTTCAAAAGTGACGATGCCTGACTCCTCTTGAATACTGATAGGAATCCCAAAATCCCTGTGGCTACTGGAAAGGGTCCTTGGGTGCCCTGCCTCACCTCGAGAAGCGTCCCTTTTGCACTGCCAAGCCTCGAAGAGATTCCTGAGGTGTCCCTCGTTACTAGACAGGAGGCCTGACGTCACTGAATAAACTCGTGTTTTGAAGGGCAATCCCCGCCGTAAGTCGAGAACATACCCCAGGGCCCCGCCGCAACTCGAGAAAAACCATGAGACTTCCCCCTAGAGGCGAGATGAGGCCCCATTCCCCTGCAGTGCATGCAGAGCTATTCCGTGATCCCATTCATACAAGTCAGGAGCTTCGACTTGCTTAATGGATCTCGAGACAGTCCCCAAGAACACTGTCACCAGTCTAGACGGACCCTGAGGTCCCCCCAGCAACGCAAAGCAGCTCCATGTGCCCCAAATCACCTCGAGATGAGGCCCGATTCCCCTGCATTGACTCCAGAGCCATTCCTAGTTCCCCATTCAACACGACCGGTGGCTCGACTTCCTTCAGGCCACTCCAGAGATGCCCCGAGAACACTGTCCCAAGACTAGAGAAACACCAACTTCAGCACAGCAACTCGAGGAATGCTCCGTGTACCCCAAATCGTCTCGAGATGAGAGATGATTCCCTGGCTTAGGATCAAGACGTATGCCAACTTTCCGGAAGCACCTCAGGAGGAGGCTTCTCTCAGCAATAGGTATGAAGGAGGGACCCCGAGTTTGCTACCTCAAGCGGAATATACAGCGAGAAGCCCTAACTTGAAAGGAGGCCGGATTTCCTTGCAGTGGCTTGAATACAGGCTCGTCTTTCATCTCACAACATGAAGGGATGTCTGAATCCCTTGTGGAGACCTTAGAGAAAGCCCTAGGTCCCTGCCTCATTTTGACGGAATGCTTCACATCCCGCTGACTCCTCGAGAGGTAGGCGGAGTTCATTACTTCAAAAGGTGACGATGCCTGACTCCTCTTGAATACTGATAGGAATCCCAAAATCCCTGTGGCCACAGGAAAGGGTCCTTGGGTACCCTGCCTCACCTTGAGAAGCGTCCCTTTTGCCCTGCCAAGCCTCGAAGAGATTCCTGAGGTGTCCCTCGTTACTAGACAGGAGTCCTGACGTCACTGAAGAAACTCGTGTTTTGAAGGGCTATCCCCTCCGTAAGTCGAGAACATAACCCAGGTCCCGGCCGCAACTCGAGAAAAACCATGAGACTTCCCCCTAGAGGCGAGATGAGAGCCCATTCCTCTGCAGTGCATGCAGAGCTATTCCGTGATCCCATTCAAACAAGTCAGGAGTTTCGAATTGCTTAATGGATCTCGAGACAGTCCCCAAGAACACTGTCACCAGTCTAGACGGACCCTGAGGTCACCCCAGCAACGCAAAGCAGCTCCATGTGCCCCAAATCAACTCGAGATGAGGCCCGATTCCCATGCATTGACTCCAGAGCCATTCCCCGTTCCCCATTCAACACGACCGGTGGCTCGACTTCCTTCAGGCAACTCCAGAGATGCCCCGAGAACACTGTCCCAAGACTAGAGGATCACCAACTTCAGCACAGCAACTCGAGGAATGCTCCGTGTACCCCAAATCGTCTCGAGATGAGAGCTGATTCCCTGGCTTAGGAACAAGACGTATGCCAACTTTCCGGAAGCACCTCAGGAGGAGGCTTCTCTCAGCAATAGTTATGAGGGAGGGACCCCGAGTTTGCTGCCTCAAGCGGAATATACAGCGAGAAGCCCTAACTTGAAAGGAGGCCGGATTTCCTTGCAGTGGCTTGAATACAGGCTCCTCTTTCATCTCACAACATGAAGGGATGTCTGAATCCCCTGTGGAGACCTTTGAGAAAGCCCTAGGTCCCTGCCTCATTTTGACGGAATGCCTCACACCCCGCTGACTCCTCGAGAGGTACGCGGAGTTCATTACTTCAAAAGGTGATGACGCCTGACTCCTCTTGAATACTGATAGGAATCCCAAAATCCCTGTGGCTACTGGAAAGGATCCTTGGTTTCCCTGCCTCACCTCGAGAAGCGTCCCTTTTGCCCTGCCAAGCCTCAAAGAGATTCCTGAGGTGTCCCTCGTTACTAGACAGGAGTCCTGACTTCACTGAAGAAACTCGTGTTTTGAAGGGCCATCCCCGCCGTAAGTCGAGAACATACCCCAGGCCCCCGCCGCAACTCGACTAAAACCATGAGACTTCCCCATAGAGGCGAGATGAGGCCCCATTCCCCTGCAGTGCATGCAGAGCTATTCCGTGATCCCATTCAAACAAGTCAGGAGCTTCGACTTGCTTAATGGATCTCGAGACAGTCCCAAGAACACTGTCACCAGTCTAGACGGACCCTGAGGTCACCACAGCAACGCAAAGCAGCTCCATGTGCCCCAAATCAACTCGAGATGAAGCCCGATTCCCATGCATTGACTCCAGAGCCATTCCCCGTTCCCCATTCAACACGACCGCTGGCTCGACTTCCTTCAGGCAACTCCAGAGATGCCCCGAGAACACTGTCCCAAGACTAGAGGAACACCAACTTCAGCACAGCAACTCGAGGAATGCTCCGTGTACCCCAAATCGTCTCGAGATGAGAGCTGATTCCCTGGCTTAGGAACAAGACGTATTTCAACTTTCCGGAAGCACCTCAGGAGGAGGCTTCTCTCAGCAATAGTTATGAGGGAGGGACCCCGAGTTTGCTGCCTCAAGCGGAATATACAGCGAGAAGCCCTAACTTGAAAGGAGGCCGGATTTCCTTGCAGTGGGTTGAATACAGGCTCCTCTTTCATCTCACAACATGAAGGGATGTCTGAATCCCCTGTGGAGACCTTAGAGAAAGCCCTAGGTCCTTGCCTCATTTTGACGGAATGCCTCACATCCCGCTGACTCCTCGAGAGGTATGCGGAGTTCATTACTAGAAAAGTTGATGACGCCTGACTCCTCTTGAATACTGATAGGAATCCCAAACTTACTGTGGTTACAGGAAAGGGTCCTTGGGTGCCCTGCCTCACCTCGAGAAGCGTCCCTTTTGCCCTGCCAAGCCTCGAAGAGATTCCTGAGGTGTCCCTCGTTACTAGACAGGAGTTCTGACGTCACTGAAGAAACTCGTGTTTTGAAGGGCCATCCCCGCCGTAAGTCGAGAACATAGCCAAGGCCCCCGCCGCAACTCGACTAAAACCATGAGACTTCCCCCTAGAGGCGAGATGAGGCCCCATTCCCCTGCAGTGCATGCAGAGCTATTCCGTGATCCCATTCAAACAAGTCAGGAGCTTCGACTTGCTTAATGGATCTCGAGACAGTCCCCAAGAACACTGTCACCAGTCTAGACGGACCCTGAGGTCCCCCCAGCAACGCAAAGCAGCTCCATGTGCCCCAAATCAACTCGAGATGAGGCCCGATTCCCATGCATTGACTCCAGAGCCATTCCCCGTTCCCCATTCAACACGACCGCTGGCTCGACTTCCTTCAGGCAACTCCAGAGATGCCCCGAGAACACTGTACCAAGACTAGAGGAACACCAACTTCAGCACAGCAACTCGAGGAATGCTCCGTGTACCCCAAATCGTCTCGAGATGAGAGCTGATTCCCTGGCTTAGGAACAAGACGTATGCCAACTTTCCGGAAGCACCTAAGGAGGAGGCTTCTCTCAGCAATAGTTATGAGGGAGGGACCCCGAGTTTGCTGCCTCAAGCGGAATATACAGCGAGAAGCCCTAACTTGAAAGGAGGCCGGATTTCCTTGCAGTGGCTTGAATACAGGCTCCTCTTTCATCTCACAACATGAAGGGATGTCTGAATCCCCTGTGGAGACCTTAGAGAAAGCCCTAGGTCCTTGCCTCATTTTGACGGAATGCCTCACATCCCGCTGACTCCTCGAGAGGTATGCGGAGTTCATTACTAGAAAAGGTGATGACGCCTCACTCCTCTTGAATACTGATAGGAATCCCAAAACATCTTGGCTACTGGAAATGGTCCTTGGGTGCCCTGCCTCACCTCGAGAAACGTCCCTTTTGCCCTGCCAAGCCTCGAAGAGATTCCTGAGGTGTCCCTCGTTACTAGACAGGAGTCCTGACGTCACTGAAGAAACTCGTGTTTTGAAGGGCCATCCCCTCCGTAAGTCGAGAACATATCCCAGGTCCCCGCCGAAACTCGAGAAAAACCATGAGAGTTCCCCCTAGAGGCGAGATGAGAGCCCATTCCCCTGCAGTGAATGCAGAGCTATTCAGTGATCCCATTCAAACAAGTCAGGAGCTTCGACTTGCTTAATGGATCTCGAGACAGTCCCCAAGAACACTGTCACCAGTCTAGACGGACCCTGAGGTCACTCCAGCAACGCAAAGCAGCTCCATGTGCCCCAAATCAACTCGAGATGAGGCCCGATTCCCCTGCATTGACTCCAGAGCCATTCCCCGTTCCCCATTCAACACGACCGGTTGCTCGACTTCCTTCAGGCAACTCCAGAGATGCCCCGAGAACACTGTCCCAAGACTAGAGGAACACCAACTTCAGCACAGCAACTCGAAGAATGCTCCGTGTACCGCAAATCGTCTCGAGATGAGAGCTGATTCCCTCGCTTAGGCTCAAGACGTATACCAACTTTCCGGAAGCACCTCAGGAGGAGGCTTCTCTCAGCAATAGGTATGAGGGAGGGACCCCGAGTTTGCTGCCTCAAGGGGAATATACAGGGAGAATCCCTAACTTGAAAGGAGGCCGGATTTCCTTGCAGTGGCTTGAATACAGGCTCGTCTTTCATCTCACAACATGAAGGGATGTCTGAATCCCCTGTGGAGACCTTAGAGAAAGCCCTAGGTCGTGCCTCATTTTGACGAATGCCTCACATCCCGCTGACTCCTCGAGAGGAACGCGGAGTTCATTACTTCAAAAGGTGATGACGCCTGACTCCTCTTGAATACTGATAGGAATCCCAAAATCCCTGGGGCTTCTGGAAAGGGTCCTTGGGTGCCCTGCCTCACCTCGAGAAGCGTCCCTTTTGCCCTGCCAAGCCTCGAAGAGATTCCTAAGGTGTCCCTCGTTACTACACAGGAGTCCTGTCTTCACTGAAGAAACTCGTGTTTTGAAGGGCCATCCCCTCCGTAAGTGGAGAACATAGCCCAGGCCCCCGCCGCAACTCGACTAAAACCATGAGACTTCCCCATAGAGGCGAGATGAGGCCCCATTCCCCTGCAGTGCATGCAGAGCTATTCCGTGATCCCATTCAAACAAGTCAGGAGCTTCGACTTGCTTAATGGATCTCGAGACAGTACCCAAGAACACTGTCACCAGTCTAGACGGACCCTGAGGTCACCACAGCAATGCAAAGCAGCTCCATGTGCCCCAAATCAACTCGAGATGAGGCCCGATTCCCATGCATTGACTCCAGAGCCATTCCCCGTTCCCCATTCAACACGACCGCTGGCTCGACTTCCTTCAGGCAACTCCAGAGATGCCCCGAGAACACTATCCCAAGACTAGAGGAACACCAACTTCAGCACAGCAACTCGAGGAATGCTCCGTGTACCCCAAATCGTCTCGAGATGAGAGCTGATTCCCTGGCTTAGGAACAAGACGTATGTCAACTTTCCGGAAGCACCTCAGGAGGAGGCTTCTCTCAGCAATATTTATGAGGGAGGGACCCCGAGTTTGCTGCCTCAAGCGGAATATACAGCGAGAAGCCCTAACTTGAAAGGAGGCCCGATTTCCTTGCAGTGGCTTGAATACAGGCTCCTCTTTCATCTCACAACATGAAGGGATGTCTGAATCCCCTGTGGAGACCTTAGAGAAAGCCCTAGGTCCTTGCCTCATTTTGACGGAATGCCTCACATCCCGCTGACTCCTCGAGAGGTATGCGGAGTTCATTACTAGAAAAGGTGATGACGCCTCACTCCTCTTGAATACTGATAGGAATCCCAAACTTACTGTGGTTACAGGAAAGGGTCCTTGGGTGCCCTGCCTTACCTCGAGAAGCGTCCCTTTTGCCCTGCCAAACCTCGAAGAGATTCCTGAGGTGTCCCTTGTTACTAGACAGGAGTCCTGACGTCACTGAAGAAACTCGTGTTTTGAAGGGCCATCCCCGCCGTAAGTCGAGAACATAGCCAAGGCCCCCGCCGCAACTCGACTAAAACCATGAGACTTCCCCATAGAGGCGAGATGAGGCCCCATTCCCCTGCAGTGCATGCAGAGCTATTCCGTGATCCCATTCAAACAAGTCAGGAGCTTCGACTTGCTTAATGGATCTCGAGACAGTCCCCAAGAACACTGTCACCAGTCTAGACGGACCCTGAGGTCACCACAGCAACGCAAAGCAGCTCCATGTGCCCCAAATCAACTCGAGATGAGGCCCGATTCCCATGCATTGACTCCAGAGCCATTCCCCGTTCCCCATTCAACACGACCGCTGGCTCGACTTCCTTCAGGCAACTCCAGAGATGCCCCGAGAACACTGTCCCAAGACTAGAGGAACACCAACTTCAGCACAGCAACTCGAGGAATGCTCCGTGTACCCCAAATCGTCTCGAGATGAGAGCTGATTCCCTGGCTTAGGAACAAGACGTATGCCAACTTTCCGGAAGCACCTCAGGAGGAGGCTTCTCTCAGCAATAGTTATGAGGGAGGGACCCCGAGTTTGCTGCCTCAAGCGGAATATACAGCGAGAAGCCCTAACTTGAAAGGAGGCCGGATTTCCTTGCAGTGGCTTGAATACAGGCTCCTCTTTCATCTCACAACATGAAGGGATGTCTGAATCCCCTGTGGAGACCTTAGAGAAAGCCCTAGGTCCTTGCCTCATTTTGACGGAATGCCTCACATCCCGCTGACTCCTCGAGAGGAACGCGGAGTTCATTACTTCAAAAGGTGATGACGCCTGACTCCTCTTGAATACTGATAGGAATCCCAAAATCCCTGTGGCTTCTGGAAAGGGTCCTTGGGTGCCCTGCCTCACCTCGAGAAGCGTCCCTTTTGCCCTGCCAAGCCTCGAAGAGATTCCTGAGGTGTCCCTTGTTACTAGACAGGAGTCCTGACGTCACTGAAGAAACTCGTGTTTTGAAGGGCCATCCCCGCCGTAAGTCGAGAACATACCCCAGGTCCCGGCCGCAACTCGAGAAAAGCCATGAGACTTCCCCCTAGAGGCGACATGAGGCCCCATTCCCCTGCAGTGCATGCAGAGCTATTCCGTGATCCCATTCAAACAAGTCAGGAGCTTCGACTTGCTTAATGGATCTCGAGACAGTCCCCAAGAACACTGTCACCAGTCTAGACGGACCCTGAGGTCACCCCAGCAATGCAAAGCAGCACCATGTGCCCCAAATCACCTCGAGATGAGGCCCGATTCCCCTGCATTGACTCCAGAGCCATTCCAAGTTCCCCATTCAACACGACCTGTGGCTCGACTTCCTTCAGGCAACTCCAGAGATGCCCCGAGAACACTGTCCCAAGACTAGAGGAACACCAACTTCAGCACAGCAACTCGAGGAATGCTCCGTGTACCCCAAATCGTCTCGAGATGAGAGCTGATTCCCTGGCTTAGGCTCAAGACGTATGCCAACATTCCAGAAGCACCTCAGGAGGAGGCTGCTCTCAGCAATAGGTATGTGGGAGGGACCCCGAGTTTGCTGCCTCAAGGGGAATATACAGCGAGAAGCCCTAACTTGAAAGGAGGACGGATTTCCTTGCAGTGGCTTGAATACTGGCCCGTCTTTCATCTCACAAAATGAAGGGATGTCTGAATCCCCTGTGGAGACCTTAGAGAAAGACCTAGGACCCTGCCTCATTTTGAGGGAATGCCTTACATCCCGCTGATACCTCGAGAGGAACGCGGAGTTCATTGCTTCAAATGGTGACGATGCCTGACATCTCTTGAATACTGATAGGAATCCCATAATCCCTGTGGCTACTGGAAAGGGTCCTTGGGTGCCCTGCCTCACCTCGAGAAGCGTTCCTTTTGCCCTGCCAAGCCTCGAAGAGATTCCTGAGGTGTCCCACGTTACTAGACAGGAGGCTTGACGTCACTGAATAAACTCGTGTTTTGAAGGGCAATCCCCGCCGTAAGTCGAGAACATACCCCAGGTCCCCGCCGCAACTCGAGAAAAACCATGAGACTTCCCCCTAGAGGCGAGATGAGGCCCCATTCCCCTGCAGTGCATGCAGAGCTATTCCGTGATCCCATTCATACAAGTCAGGAGCTTCGACTTGCTTAATGGGTCTCAAGACAGTCCCCAAGAACACTGTCACCAGTCTAGACGGACCCTGAGGTCACCCCAGCAACGCAAAGCAGCTCCATGTCCCCCAAATCAACTCGAGATGAGGCCCGATTCCCCTGCATTGACTCCAGAGCCATTCCCCGTTCCCCATTCAACACGACCGCTGGCTCGACTTCTTTCAGGCAACTCCAGAGATGCCCCGAGAACGCTGTCCGAAGTCTAGAGGAACAACAACTTCAGCACAGCAACTCGAGGAATGATCCGTGTACCCCAAATCATCTCGAGATGAGAGCTGATTCCCTGGCTTAGGATCAAGATGTATGCCAACTTTCCAGAAGCATCTCAGGAGGAGGCTTCTCTCAGCAATAGGTATGTGTGAGGGACCCCGAGTTTGCTGCCTCAAAGGGAATATACAGCGAGAAGCCCTAACTTGAAAGGAGTCCGGATTTCCTTGCAGTGGCTTGAATACAGGCTCGTCTTTCATCTCACAACATGAAGGGATGTCTGAATCCCCTGTGGAGACCTTAGAGAAAGCCCTAGGTCCCTGCCTCATTTTGGCGGAAATCCGCACATCCCGCTGACACCTCGAGAGGCACGCGGAGTTCATTGCTTCAAAAGGTGACGATGCCTGACTCCTCTTGAATACTGATAGGAATCCCAAAATCCCTGTGGCTACTGGAAAGGGTCCTTGGGTGCCCTGCCTCACCTCGAGAAGCGTCCCTTTTGCCCTGCCAAGCCTCGAAGAGATTCCTGAGGTGTCCCTCGTTACTAGACAGGAGTCCTGACCTCACTGAAGAAACTCGTGTTTTGAAGGGCCATCCCCTCCGTAAGTCGAGAACATACCCCAGGTCCCCGCCGCAACTCGAGAAAAACCATGAGACTTCCCCCTAGAGGCGAGATGAGAGCCCATTCCCCTGCAGTGCATGCAGAGCTATTCAGTGATCCCATTCAAACAAGTCAGGAGCTTCGACTTGCTTAATGGATCTCGAGACAGTCCTCAAGAACACTGTCACCAGTCTAGACGGACCCTGAGGTCACTCCAGCAACGCAAAGCAGCTCCATGTGCCCCAAATCAACTCGAGATGAGGCCCGATTCCCCTGCATTGACTCCAGAGCCATTCCCCGTTCCCCATTCAACACGACCGGTTGCTCGACTTCCTTCAGGCAACTCCAGAGATGCCCGGAGAACACTGTCCCAAGTCTAGAGTAACACCAACTTCAGCACAGCAACTCGAGGAATGCTCCGTGTACCGCAAATCGTCTCGAGATGAGAGCTGATTCCCTCGCTTAGGCTCAAGACGTATGCCAACTTTCCGGAAGCACCTCAGCAGGAGGCTTCTCTCAGCAATAGGTATGATGGAGGGACCCCGAGTTTGCTGTCTCAAGCGGAATATACAGCGAGAAGCCCTAACTTGAAAGGAGGCCGGATTTCCTTGCAGTGGCTTGAATACAGGCTCGTCTTTCATCTCACAACATGAAGGGATGTCTGAATCCCCTGTGGAGACCTTAGAGAAAGCCCTAGGTCGTGCCTCATTTTGACGAATGCCTCACATCCCGCTGACTCCTCGAGAGGAACGCGGAGTTCATTACTTCAAAAGGTGATGACGCCTGACTCCTCTTGAATACTGATAGGAATCCCAAAATCACTGGGGCTTCTGGAAAGGGTCCTTGGGTGCCCTGCCTCACCTCGAGAAGCGTCCCTTTTGCCCTGCCAAGCCTCGAAGAGATTCCTAAGGTGTCCCTCGTTACTACACAGGAGTCCTGTCTTCACTGAAGAAACTCGTGTTTTGAAGGGCCATCCCCGCCGTAAGTCGAGAACATAGCCCAGGCCCCCGCCGCAACTCGACTAAAACCATGAGACTTCCCCATAGAGGCGAGATGAGGCCCCATTCCCCTGCAGTGCATGCAGAGCTATTCCGTGATCCCATTCAAACAAGTCAGGAGCTTCGACTTGCTTAATGGATCTCGAGACAGTCCCCAAGAACACTGTCACCAGTCTAGACGGACCTGAGGTCACCACAGCAATGCAAAGCAGCTCCATGTGCCCCAAATCAACTCGAGATGAGGCCCGATTCCCATGCATTGACTCCAGAGCCATTCCCCGTTCCCCATTCAACACGACCGCTGGCTCGACTTCCTTCAGGCAACTCCAGAGATGCCCCAAGAACACTGTCCCAAGACTAGAGGAACACCAACTTCAGCACAGCAACTCGAGGAATGCTCCGTGTACCCCAAATCGTCTCGAGATGAGAGCTGATTCCCTGGCTTAGGAACAAGACGTATGTCAACTTTCTGGAAGCACCTCAGGAGGAGGCTTCTCTCAGCAATAGTTATGAGGGAGGGACCCCGAGTTTGCTGCCTCAAGCGGAATATACAGCGAGAAGCCCTAACTTGAAAGGAGGCCGGATTTCCTTGCAGTGGCTTGAATACAGGCTCCTCTTTCATCTCACAACATGAAGGGATGTCTGAATCCCCTGTGGAGACCTTAGAGAAAGCCCTAGGTCCTTGCCTCATTTTGACGGAATGCCTCACATTCCGCTGACTCCTCGAGAGGTATGCGGAGTTCATTACTAGAAAAGGTGATGACGCCTCACTCCTCTTGAATACTGATAGGAATCCCAAACTTACTGTGGTTACAGGAAAGGGTCCTTGGGTGCCATGCCTTACCTCGAGAAGCGTCCCTTTTGCCCTGCCAAGCCTCGAAGAGATTCCTGAGGTGTCCCTCGTTACTAGACAGGAGTCCTGACGTCACTGAAGAAACTCGTGTTTTGAAGGGCCATCCCCGCCGTAAGTCGAGAACATAGCCAAGGCCCCCGCCGCAACTCGACTAAAACCATGAGACTTCCCCATAGAGGCGAGATGAGGCCCCATTTCCCTGCAGTGCATGCAGAGCTATTCCGTGATCCCATTCAAACAAGTCAGGAGCTTCGACTTGCTTAATGGATCTCGAGACAGTCCCCAAGAACACTGTCACCAGTCTAGACGGACCCTGAGGTCACCCCAGCAACGCAAAGCAGCTCCATGTGCCCCAAATCAACTCGAGATGAGGCCCGATTCCCATGCATTGACTCCAGAGCCATTCCCCGTTCCCCATTCAACACGACCGCTGGCTCGACTTCCTTCAGGCAACTCCAGAGATGCCCCGAGAACACTGTACCAAGACTAGAGGAACACCAACTTCAGCACAGCAACTCGAGGAATGCTCCGTGTACCCCAAATCGTCTCGAGATGAGAGCTGATTCCCTGGCTTAGGAACAAGACGTATGCCAACTTTCCGGAAGCACCTCAGGAGGAGGCTTCTCTCAGCAATAGTTATGAGGGAGGGACCCCGAGTTTGCTGCCTCAAGCGGAATATACAGCGAGAAGCCCTAACTTGAAAGGAGGCCGGATTTCCTTGCAGTGGCTTGAATACAGGCTCCTCTTTCATCTCACAACATGAAGGGATGTCTGAATCCCCTGTGGAGACCTTAGAGAAAGCCCTAGGTCCTTGCCTCATTTTGACGGAATGCCTCACATCCCGCTGACTCCTCGAGAGGTATGCGGAGTTCATTACTAGAAAAGGTGATGACGCCTCACTCCTCTTGAATACTGATAGGAATCCCAAAACATCTTGGCTACTGGAAATGGTCCTTGGGTGCCCTGCCTCACCTCGAGAAGCGTCCCTTTTGCCCTGCCAAGCCTCGAAGAGATTCCTGAGGTGTCCCTCGTTACTAGACAGGAGTCCTGACGTCACTGAAGAAACTCGTGTTTTGAAGGGCCATCCCCTCCGTAAGTCGAGAACATATCCCAGGTCCCCGCCGAAACTCGAGAAAAACCATGAGAGTTCCCCCTAGAGGCGAGACGAGAGCCCATTCCCCTGCAGTGAATGCAGAGCTATTCAGTGATCCCATTCAAACAAGTCAGGGGCTTCGACTTGCTTAATGGATCTCGAGACAGTCCCCAAGAACACTGTCACCAGTCTAGACGGACCCTGAGGTCACTCCAGCAACGCAAAGCAGCTCCATGTGCCCCAAATCAACTCGAGATGAGGCCCGATTCCCCTGCATTGATTCCAGAGCCATTCCCCGTTCCCCATTCAAGACGACCGGTTGCTCGACTTCCTTCAGGCAACTCCACAGATGCCCCGAGAACACTGTCCCAAGACTAGAGGAACACCAACTTCAGCACAGCAACTCGAGGAATGCTCCGTGTACCGCAAATCGTCTCGAGATGAGAGCTGATTCCCTCGCTTAGGCTCAAGACGTATGCCAACTTTCCGGAAGCACCTCAGGAGGAGGCTTCTCTCAGCAATAGGTATGAGGGAGGGACCCCGAGTTTGCTGCCTCAAGGGGAATATACAGCGAGAAGCCCTAACTTGAAAGGAGGCCGGATTTCCTTGCAGTGGCTTGAATACAGGCTCGTCTTTCATCTCACAACATGAAGGGATGTCTGAATCCCCTGTGGAGACCTTAGAGAAAGCCCTAGGTCGTGCCTCATTTTGACGAATGCCTCACATCCCGCTGACTCCTCGAGAGGAACGCGGAGTTCATTACTTCAAAAGGTGATGACGCCTGACTCCTCTTGAATACTGATAGGAATCCCAAAATCCCTGTGGCTTCTGGAAAGGGTCCTTGGGTGCCCTGCCTCACCTCGAGAAGCGTCCCTTTTGCCCTGCCAAGCCTCGAAGAGATTCCTGAGGTGTCCCTTGTTACTAGACAGGAGTCCTGACGTCACTGAAGAAACTCGTGTTTTGAAGGGCCATCCCCGCCGTAAGTCGAGAACATACCCCAGGTCCCGGCCGCAACTCGAGAAAAGCCATGAGACTTCCCCCTAGAGGCGACATGAGGCCCCATTCCCCTGCAGTGCATGCAGAGCTATTCCGTGATCCCATTCAAACAAGTCAGGAGCTTCGACTTGCTTAATGGATCTCGAGACAGTCCCCAAGAACACTGTCACCAGTCTAGACGGACCCTGAGGTCACCCCAGCAATGCAAAGCAGCACCATGTGCCCCAAATCACCTCGAGATGAGGCCCGATTCCCCTGCATTGACTCCAGAGCCATTCCAAGTTCCCCATTCAACACGACCTGTGGCTCGACTTCCTTCAGGCAACTCCAGAGATGCCCCGAGAACACTGTCCCAAGACTAGAGGAACACCAACTTCAGCACAGCAACTCGAGGAATGCTCCGTGTACCCCAAATCGTCTCGAGATGAGAGCTGATTCCCTGGCTTAGGCTCAAGACGTATGCCAACATTCCAGAAGCACCTCAGGAGGAGGCTGCTCTCAGCAATAGGTATGTGGGAGGGACCCCGATTTTGCTGCCTCAAGGGGAATATACAGCGAGAAGCCCTAACTTGAAAGGAGAACGGTTTTCCTTGCAGTGGCTTGAATACTGGACCGTCTTTCATCTCACAAAATGAAGGGATGTCTGAATCCCCTGTGGAGACCTTAGAGAAAGACCTAGGACCCTGCCTCATTTTGAGGGAATGCCTTACATCCCGCTGATACCTCGAGAGGAACGCGGAGTTCATTGCTTCAAATGGTGACGATGCCTGACATCTCTTGAATACTGATAGGAATCCCATAATCCCTGTGGCTACTGGAAAGGGTCCTTGGGTGCCCTGCCTCACCTCGAGAATCGTTCCTTTTGCCCTGCCAAGCCTCGAAGAGATTCCTGAGGTGTCCCTCGTTACTAGACAGGAGGCTTGACGTCACTGAATAAACTCGTGTTTTGAAGGGCAATCCCCGCCGTAAGTCGAGAACATACCCCAGGTCCCCGCCGCAACTCGAGAAAAACCATGAGACTTCCCCCTAGAGGCGAGATGAGGCCCCATTCCCCTGCAGTGCATGCAGAGCTATTCCGTGATCCCATTCATACAAGTCAGGAGCTTCGACTTGCTTAATGGGTCTCAAGAGAGTCCCCAAGAACACTGTCACCAGTCTAGACGGACCCTGAGGTCACCCCAGCAACGCAAAGCAGCTCCATGTCCCCCAAATCAACTCGAGATGAGGCCCGATTCCCCTGCATTGACTCCAGAGCCATTCCCCGTTCCCCATTCAACACGACCGCTGGCTCGACTTCTTTCAGGCAACTCCAGAGATGCCCCGAGAACGCTGTCCGAAGTCTAGAGGAACAACAACTTCAGCACAGCAACTCGAGGAATGATCCGTGTACCCCAAATCATCTCGAGATGAGAGCTGATTCCCTGGCTTAGGATCAAGATGTATGCCAACTTTCCAGAAGCACCTCAGGAGGAGGCTTCTCTCAGCAATAGGTATGTGTGAGGGACCCCGAGTTTGCTGCCTCAAAGGGAATATACAGCGAGAAGCCCTAACTTGAAAGGAGTCCGGATTTCCTTGCAGTGGCTTGAATACAGGCTCGTCTTTCATCTCACAACATGAAGGGATGTCTGAATCCCCTGTGGAGACCTTAGAGAAAGCCCTAGGTCCCTGCCTCATTTTGACGGAAATCCGCACATCCCGCTGACACCTCGAGAGGCACGCGGAGTTCATTGCTTCAAAAGGTGACGATGCCTGACTCCTCTTGAATACTGATAGGAATCCCAAAATCCCTGTGGCTACTGGAAAGGGTCCTTGGGTGCCCTGCCTCACCTCGAGAAGCGTCCCTTTTGCCCTGCCAAGCCTCGAAGAGATTCCTGAGGTGTACCTCGTTACTAGACAGGAGTCCTGACCTCACTGAAGAAACTCGTGTTTTGAAGGGCCATCCCCTCCGTAAGTCGAGAACATACCCCAGGTCCCCGCCGCAACTCGAGAAAAACCATGAGACTTCCCCCTAGAGGCGAAATGAGAGCCCATTCCCCTGCAGTGCATGCAGAGCTATTCCGTGATCGCATTCAAACAAGTCAGGAGCTTCGACTTGCTTAATGGATCTCGAGACAGTCCCCAAGAACACTGTCACCAGTCTAGACGGACCCTGAGGTCACCCCAGCAACGCAAAGCAGCTCCATGTGCCCCAAATCAAATCGAGATGAGGCCCGATTCCCCTGCATTGACTCCAGAGCCATTCCCCGTTCCACATTCAACACGACCAGTGGCTCGACTTCCTTCAGGCAACTCCAGAGATGCCCCAAGAACACTCTCCGAAGACTAGAGGAAAACCAACATCAGCACAGCAACTCGAGGAATGCTCCGTGTACCCCAAATCGTCTCGAGATGAGAGCTGATTCCCTGGCTTCGGATCAAGACGTATGCCAACTTTCCGGAAGCACCTCAGGAGGAGGCTTCTCTCAGCAATAGGTATGAGGGAGGGACCCCGAGTTTGCTGCCTCAAGGGGAATATACAGCGAGAAGCCCTAACTTGAAAGGAGGCCGGATTTCCTTGCAGTGGCTTGAATACAGGCTCGTCTTTCATCTCACAACATGAAGGGATGTCTGAATCCCCTGTGGAGACCTTAGAGAAAGCCCTAGGCACCTGCCTCATTTTGACGGAATGCTTCACATCCCGCTGACTCCTCGAGAGGTAGTCGGAGTTCATTACTTCAAAAGGTGACGATGCCTGACTCCTCTTGAATACTGATAGGAATCCCAAAATCCCTGTGGCTACAGGAAAGGGTCCTTGGGTACCCTGCCTCACCTTGAGAAGCGTCCCTTTTGCCCTGCCAAGCCTCGAAGAGATTCCTGAGGTGTCCCTCGTTACTAGACAGGAGTCCTGACGTCACTGAAGAAACTCGTGTTTTGAAGGGCCATCCCCTCCGTAAGTCGAGAACATACCCCAGGTCCCGGCCGCAACTCGAGAAAAACCATGGGACTTCCCCCTAGAGGCGAGATGAGAGCCCATTCCTCTGCAGTGCATGCAGAGCTATTCCGTGATCCCATTCAAACAAGTCAGGAGCTTCGACTTGCTTAATGGATCTCGAGACAGTCCCCAAGAACACTGTCACCAGTCTAGACGGACCCTGAGGTCACCCCAGCAACGGAAAGCAGCTCCATGTGCCCCAAATCAACTCGAGATGAGGCCCGATTCCCCTGCATTGACTCCAGAGCCATTCCCCGTTCCCATTCAACACGACCGGTGGCTCGACTTCCTTCAGGCAACTCCAGAGATGCCCCGACAACACTGTCCCAAGACTAGAGGATCACCAACTTCAGCACAGCAACTCGAGGAATGCTCCGTGTACCCCAAATCGTCTCGAGATGAGAGCTGATTCCCTGTCTTAGGATCAAGACCTATGCCAACTTTCTGGAAGCATCTCATGAGGAGGCTTCTCTCAGCAATAGGTTTGAGGGAGGGACCCCGAGTATGCTGCCTCAAGCGGAATATACAGCGAGAAGCCCTAACTTGAAAGGAGGCCGGATTTCCTTGCAGTGGCTTGAATACAGGCTCGTCTTTCATCTCACAACATGAAGGGATGTCTGAATCCCCCGTGGAGACCTGAGAGAAAGCCCTAGGTCCCTGCCTCTTTTTGACGGAATGCCTCACATCCCGCTGACACCCCGAGAGCCACGCGGATTTCATTGCTTCAAAAGGTGACGATGCCTGACTCCTCTTGAATACTGATAGGAATCCCATAATCCCTGTGGCTACTGGAAAGGGTCCTTGGGTGCCCTGCCTCACCTCGAGAAGCGTCCCTTTTGCCCTGCCAAGCCTCGAAGAGATTCCTGAGGTGTCCCTCGTTACTAGACAGGAGGCCTGACGTCACTGAATAAACTCGTGTTTTGAAGGGCAATCCCCGCCGTAAGTCGAGAACATACCCCAGGTCCCCGCCGCAACTCGAGAAAAACCATGAGACTTCCCCCTAGAGGCGAGATGAGGCCCCATTCCCCTGCAGTGCATGCAGAGCTATTCTGTGATCCCATTCATACAGGTCAGGAGCTTCGACTTGCTTAATGGGTCTCGAGACAGTCCCCAAGAACACTGTCTCCACTCTAGACGGACCCTGAGGTCACCCCAGCAACGCAAAGCAGCTCCATGTGCCCCAAATCAACTCGAGATGAGGCCCGATTCCCCTGCATTGACTCCAGAGCCATTCCCCTTTCCCCATTCAACACGACCGGTGGCTCGACTTCCTTCAGGCAACTCCAGAGATGCCCCGAGAACACTGTCCCAAGACTAGAGGATCACCAACTTCAGCAGAGCAACTCGAGGAATGCTCCGTGTACACCAAATCGTCTCGAGATGAGAGCTGATTCCCTGTCTTAGGATCAAGACCTATGCCAACTTTCTGGAAGCATGTCAGGAGGAGGCTTCTCTCAGCAATAGGTTTGAGGGAGGGACCCCGAGTTTGCTGCCTCAAGCGGAATATACAGCGAGAAGCCCTAACTTGAAAGGAGGCCGGATTTCCTTGCAGTGGCTTGAATACAGGCTCGTCTTTCAGCTCACAACATGAAGGGATTTCTGAATCCCATGTGGAGACCTTAGAGAAAGCCCTAGGTCCCTGCCTCATATTGACGGAAATCCTCACATCCCGCTGACACCACGAGAAGCACGCGGTGTTCATTGCTTCAAAAGGTGACGATGCCTGACTCCTCTTGAATACTGATAGGAATCCCAAAATCCCTGTGGCTACAGGAAAGGGTAATTGGGTGGGCTTCCTCACCTCGAGAAGCGTCCCTTTTGCCCTGCCAAGCCTCGAAGTGATTACTGAGGTGTCCCTCGTTACTAGACAGGAGTCCTGACGTCACTGAAGAAACTCGTGTTTTAAAGGGCCATCCCCGCCTTAAGTCGAGAACATACCCCAGGTCCCCGCCGCAACTCGAGAAAAACATGAGACTTCCTCCTAGAGCCGAGATGAGGCCCCATTCCCCTGCAGTGCATGCAGAGCTATTCCGTGATCCCATTCAAACAAGTCAGGAGCTTCGACTTGCTTAATGGATCTCGAGACATTCCCCAAGAACTCTGTCACCAGTCTAGATGGACCCTGAGGTCACCCCAGCAACGCAAAGCAGCTCCATGTGCCCCAAATCAACTCGAGATGAGGCCCGATTCCCCTGCATTGACTCCAGAGCCATTCCCCGTTCCCCATTCAACACGACCGGTGGCTCGACTTCCTTCAGTAAACTCCAGAGAAGCCCCGAGAACACTCTCCCAAGTCTAGAGGAACAACAACTTCAGCACAGCAACTCGAGGAATGCTCCGTGTACCACAAATCATCTTGAGATGAGAGCTGATTCCCTGGCTTAGGCTCAAGACGTATGCCAACTTTCCAGAAGCACCTCAGGAGGAGGCTTCTCTCAGCAATAGGTATGTGGGAGGGACCCCGAGTTTGCTGCCTCAAGCGGAATATACAGCCAGAAGCCCTAACTTGAAAGGAGGCCGGATTTCCTTGCAGTGGCTTGAATACAGGCTCGTCTTTCATCTCACAACATGAAGGGATGTCTGAATCCCCTGTGGAGACCTTAGAGAAAACCCTAGGTCCCTGCCTCATTTTGACGGAATGCCTCACATCCCGCTGACACCTCGAGAGGCACGCAGAGTTCATTGCTTCAAAAGGTGACGATGCCTGACTCCTCTTGAATACTGATAGGAATCCCAAAATCCCTGTGGCTACTGGAAAGGGTCCTTGGGTGCCCTGCCTCACCTCGAGAAGCGTCCCTTTTGCCCTGCCAAGCCTCGAAGAGATTCCTGATGTGTCCCTCGTTACTAGACAGGAGTCCTGACGTCACTGAAGGAACTCGTGTTTTGAAGGGCCATCCCCGCCGTAAGTCGAGAACATACCCCAGGTCCCCGCCACAACTCGAGAAAAACCATGAGACTTCCCCCTAGAGGCGAGATGAGGCCCTCTTCCCCTGTAGTGCATGCAGAGCTATTCCGTGATCCCATTCAAACACGTCAGGAACTTCGACTTGCTTAATGGATCTCGAGACAGTCCCCAAGAACACTGTCACCAGTCTAGACGGACCCTGAAGTCACCCCAGCAACGCAAAGCAGGTCCATGTGCCCCAAATCAATTCGAGATGAGGCCCGATTCCCCTGCATTGACGCCAGAGCCATTCCCCGTTCCCCATTCAACACGACCGGTGGCTCGACTTCCTTCAGGCCACTCCAGAGATGCCCCGAGAACACTGTCCCAAGTCTAGAGGAACACCAACTTCAGCACAGCAACTCGAGGAATGCTCCGTGTACCCCAAATCGTCTCGAGATGGGAGCTGATTCCCTGGCTTAGGCTCAAGACGTATGCCAAAATTCCAGAAACACCTCAGGAGGAGGCTGCTCTCAGCAATAGGTATGTGGGAGGGACCCTGAGTTTGCTGCCTCAAGGGGAATATACAGCGAGAAGCCCTAACTTGAAAGGAGGCCGGATTTCCTTTCAGTGGCTTGAATACAGGCTCGTCTTTCATCTCACAACATGAAGGGATGTCTGAATCCCCTATGGAGACCTTAGAGAAAGCCCTAGGTCCCTGCCTCATTTTGACGGAATGCCTCACATCCCGCTGACACCTCGAGAGGCACGCAGAGTTCATTGCTTCAAAAGGTGACGATGCCTGACTCCTCTTGAATACTGATAGGAATCCCAAAATCCCTGTGGCTACTGGAAAGGGTCCTTGGGTGCCCTGCCTCACCTCGAGAAGCGTCCCTTTTGCCCTGCCAAGCCTCGAAGAGATTCCTGATGTGTCCCTCGTTACTAGACAGGAGTCCTGACGTCACTGAAGAAACTCGTGTTTTGAAGGGCCATCCCCGCCGTAAGTCGAGAACATACCCCAGGTCCCCGCCACAACTCGAGAAAAACCATGAGACTTCCCCCTAGAGGCGAGATGAGGCCCTCTTCCCCTGTAGTGCATGCAGAGCTATTCCGTGATCCCGTTCAAACACGTCAGGAACTTCGACTTGCTTAATGGGTCTCGAGACAGTCCCCAAGAACACTGTCACCAGTCTAGACGGACCCTGAGGTCACTCCAGCAACGCAAAGCAGCTCCATGTGCCCCAAATCAACTCGAGATGAGGCCCGATTGCCCTGCATTGACGCCAGAGCCATTCCCCGTTCCCCATTCAACACGACCGGTGGCTCGACTTCCTTCAGGCCACTCCAGAGATGCCCCGAGAACACTGTCCCAAGTCTAGAGGAACACCAACTTCAGCACAGCAACAGGAGGAATGCTCCGTGTACCCCAACTCGTCTCGAGATGGGAGCTGATTCCCTGGCTTAGGCTCAAGACGTATGCCAAAATTCCAGAAACACCTCAAGAGGAGGCTGCTCTCAGCAATAGGTATATGGGAGGGACCCCGAGTTTGCTGCCTCAAGGGGAATATACAGCGAGAAGCCCTAACTTGAAAGGAGGCCGGATTTCCTTTCAGTGGCTTGAATACAGGCTCGTCTTTCATCTCACAACATGAAGGAATGTCTGAATCCCCTGTGGAGACCTTAGAGAAAGCCCTAGGTCCCTGCCTCATTTTGACGGAATGCCTCACATCCCGCTGACACCTCGAGAGGCACGCGGAGTTCATTGCTTCAAAAGGTGACGATGCCTGACTCCTCTTGAATACTGATAGGAATCCCAAAATCCCTGTGGCTACTGGAAAGGGTCCTTTGGTGCCCTGCCTCACCTCGAGAAGCGTCCCTTTTTCCCTGCCAAGCCTCGAAGAGATTCCTGAGGTGTCCCTCGTTACTAGACAGGAGTCCTGACGTCACTGAAGAAACTCGTGTTTTGAAGGGCCATCCCCGCCATAAGTCGAGAACATACCCCAGGTCCCCGCCGCAACTCGAGAAAAACCATGAGTCTTCCCTCTAGAGGCGAGATGAGGCCCTCTTCCCCTGTAGTGCATGCAGAGCTATTCCGTGATCCCATTCAAACAAGTCAGGAGCTTTGACTGGCTTAATGGATCTCGAGACAGTCCCCAAGAACACTGTCACCAGTCTAGACTGACCCTGAGGTAACCCCAGCAAAGCAAAGCAGCTCCATGTGCCCCAAATCATCTCGAGATGAGGCCCGATTCCCCTGCATTGACTCCAGAGCCATTCCCCGTTCCCCATTCAACACGACCGGTGGCTCGACTTCCTTCAGGCAACTCCAGAGATGCCCCGAGAACACTGTCCCAAGACTAGAGGAACACCAACTTCAGCACAGCAACTCGAGGAATGCTCCGTGTACCGCAAATCGTCTCGAGATGAGAGCTGATTCCCTCGCTTAGGCTCAAGACGTATGCCAACTTTCCGGAAGCACCTCAGCAGGAGGCTTCTCTCAGCAATAGGTATGATGGAGGGACCCCGAGTTTGCTGCCTCAAGCGGAATATACAGCGAGAAGCCCTAACTTGAAAAGAGTCCGGATTTCCTTGCAGTGGCTTGAATACAGGCTCGTCTTTCATCTCACAACATGAAGGGATGTCTGAATCCACTGTGGAGACCTTAGAGAAAGCCCTAGGTCCCTGCCTCATTTTGACGGAATGCCTCACATCCCGCAGACTCCTCGAGAGGAACGCGAAGTTCATTACTTCAAAAGGTGATGACGCCTCACTCCTCTTGAATACTGATAGGAATCCCAAAATCCCTGTGGCTACTGGAAAGGGTCCTTGGGTTCCCTGCCTCACCTCGAGAAGCGTCCCTTTTGCCCTGCCAAGCCTCGAAGAGATTCCTGAGGGGTCCCTCGTTACTAGACAGGAGTCCTGATGTCACTGAAGAAACTCGTGTTTTGAAGGGCCATCCCGGCCGTAAATCGAGAACATACCCCAGGCCCCCGCCGCAAGTCGACTAAAACCATGAGACTTCCCCCTAGAGGCGAGATGAGGCCCCATTCCCCTGCAGTGCATGCAGAGCTATTCCGTGATCCCATTCAAACAAGTCAGGAGCTTCGACTTGCTTAATGGATCTCGAGACAGTCCCCAAGAACACTGTCACCAGTCTAGACGGACCCTGAGGTCACCCCAGCAACGCAAAGCAGCTCCATGTGCCCCAAATCAACTCGAGATGAGGCCCGATTCCCCTGCATTGACTCCAGAGCCATTCCCCGTTCCACATTCAACACGACCAGTGGCTCGACTTCCTTCAGGCAACTCCAGAGATGCCCCAAGAACACTCTCCGAAGACTAGAGGAAAACCAACTTCAGCACAGCAACTCGAGGAATGCTCCGTGTACCCCAAATCGTCTCGAGATGAGAGCTGATTCCCTGGCTTCGGATCAAGACGTATGCCAACTTTCCGGAAGCACCTCAGGAGGAGGCTTCTCTCAGCAATAGGTATGAGGGAGGGACCCCGAGTTTGCTGCCTCAAGGGGAATATACAGCGAGAAGCCCTAACATGAAAGGAGGCCGGATTTCCTTGCAGTGGCTTGAATACAGGCTCGTCTTTCATCTCACAACATGAAGGGATGTCTGAATCCCCTGTGGAGACCTTAGAGCAAGCCCTAGGCCCCTGCCTCATTTTGACGGCATGCTTCACATCCCGCTGACTCCTCGAGAGGTAGGCGGAGTTCATTACTTCAAAAGGTGACGATGCCTGACTCCTCTTGAATACTGATAGGAATCCCAAAATCCCTGTGGCTACAGGAAAGGGTCCTTGGGTACCCTGCCTCACCTTGAGAAGCGTCCCTTTTGCCCTGCCAAGCCTCGAAGAGATTCCTGAGGTGTCCCTCGTTACTAGACAGGAGTCGTGACGTCACTGAAGAAACTCGTGTTTTGAAGGGCCATCCCCTCCGTAAGTCGAGAACATACCCCAGGTCCCGGCCGCAACTCGAGAAAAACCATGGGACTTCCCCTTAGAGGCGAGATGAGAGCCCATTCCTCTGCAGTGCATGCAGAGCTATTCCGTGATCCCATTCAAACAAGTCAGGAGCTTCGACTTGCTTAATGGATCTCGAGACAGTCCCCAAGAACACTGTCACCAGTCTAGACGGACCCTGAGGTCACCCCAGCAACGCAAAGCAGCTCCATGTGCCCCAAATCAACTCGAGATGAGGCCCGATTCCCCTGCATTGACTCCAGAGCCATTCCCCGTTCCCATTCAACACGACCGGTGGCTCGACTTCCTTCAGGCAACTCCAGAGATGCCCCGAGAACACTGTCCCAAGACTAGAGGATCACCAACTTCAGCACAGCAACTCGAGGAATGCTCCGTGTACCCCAAATCGTCTCGAGATGAGAGCTGATTCCCTGTCTTAGGATCAAGACCTATGCCAACTTTCTGGAAGCATCTCAGGAGGAGGCTTCTCTCAGCAATAGGTTTGAGGGAGGGACCCCGAGTATGCTGCCTCAAGCGGAATATACAGCGAGAAGCCCTAACTTGAAAGGAGGCCGGATTTCCTTGCAGTGGCTTGAATACAGGCTCGTCTTTCATCTCACAACATGAAGGGATGTCGCAATCCCCTGTGGAGACCTTAGAGAAAGCCCTAGGTCCCTGCCTCATTTTGACGGAATGCCTCACATCCCGCTGACTCCTCGAGAGGTACGCGGAGTTCATTACTTCAAAAGGTGATGACGCCTGACTCCTCTTGAATACTGATAGGAATCCCAAAATCCCTGTGGCTACTGGAAAGGGTCCTTGGGTGCCCTGCCTCACTTCGAGAAGCGTCCCTTTTGCCCTGCCAAGCCTCGAAGAGATTCCTGAGGTGTCCCTCGTTACTAGACAGGAGTCCTGACTTCACTGAAGAAACTCGTGTTTTGAAGGGCCATACCCGCCGTAAGTCGAGAACATACCCCAGGTCCCCGCCGCAACTCGAGAAAAACCATGAGACTTCCCCCTAGAGGCGACATGAGGCCCCATTCCCCTGCAGTGCATGCAGAGCTATTCCGTGATCCCATTCAAACAAGTCAGGAGCTTCGACTTGCTTAATGGATCTCGAGACAGTCCCCAAGAACACTGTCACCAGTCTAGACGGACCCTGAGGTCCCCCCAGCAACGCAAAGCAGCACCATGTGCCCCAAATCACCTCGAGATGAGGCCCGATTCCCCTGCATTGACACCAGAGCCATTCCCCGTTCCCCATTCAACACGACCGGTGGCTCGACTTCCTTCAGGCAACTCCAGAAATGCCCCGAGAACACTGTCCCAAGACTAGAGGATCACCAACTTGAGCACAGCAACTCGAGGAATGCTCCGTGTACCCCATATCGTCTCGAGATGAGAGCTGATTCCCTGGCTTAGATTCAAGACGTATGCCAACTTTCCAGAAGAACTTCAGGAGGAGGCTTCTATCAGCAATAGGTATGTGGGGAGGACCCCGAGTTTGATGCCTCAAGGGGAATATACAGCGAGAAGCCCTAACTTGAAAGGAGGCCGGATTTCCTTGCATTGTCTTGAATACAGGCTCGTCTTTCATCTCACAACATGAAGGGATGTCTGAATCCCCTATGGAGACCTTAGAGAAAGCCCTAGGTCCCTGCCTCATTTTAACGGAATGCTTCACATCCCGCTGACTCCTCGAGAGTTATGCGGAGTTCATTACTACAAAAGGTGATGACGCCTGACTCTTCTTGAATACTGATAGGAATCCCAAAATCCCTGTGGCTACTGGAAAGGGTCCTTGGGTGCCCTGCCTCACTTCGAGAAGCGTCCCTTTTGCCCTGCCAAGCCTCGAAGAGATTCCTGAGGTGTCCCTCGTTACTAGACAGGAGTCCTGACGTCACTGAAGAAACTCGTGTTTTGAAGGGCCATGCCCTCCATAAGTCGAGAACATATCCCAGGTCCCCGCCGCAACTCGAGAAAAACCATGAGACTTCCCCCTAGAGGCGAGATGAGGCCCCATTCCCCTGCAGTGCATGAAGAGCTATTCCGTGATCCCATTCAAACAAGTCAGGAGCTTCGACTTGCTTAATGGATCTCGAGACAGTCCCTAAGAACACTGTCACCAGTCTAGACGAACCCCGAGTTCACCGCAGCAACGCAAAGCAGCTCCATGTCCCCCAAATCAACTCGAGATGAGGCCCGATTCCCCTGCATTGACTCCAGAGCCATTCCCCGTTCCCCATTCAACACGATCGGCGGCTCGACTTCCTTCAGGCCACTCCAGAGATGCCCCGAGAACACTGTCCCAAGTCTAGAGGAACACCAACTTCAGCACAGCAACTCGAGGAATGCTCCGTGTACCCCAAATCGTCTCGAGATGAGAGCTGATTCCCTGGTTTAGGCTCAAGACCTATGCCAACTTTCCAGAAGCACCTCAGGAGGAGGCTTCTCTCAGCAAAAGGTATGTGGGAGGGACCCCGAGTTTGCTGCCTCAAGGGGAATATACAGCGAGAAGCCCTAACTTGAAAGAAGGCCGGATTTACTTGCAGTGACTTGAATACAGGCTCGTCTTTCATCTCACAACATGAAGGGATATCTGAATCCCCTGGGGAGACCTTAGAGAAAGCCCTAGGTCCCTGCCTCATTTTGACGAAATGCCTCACATCCCGCTGACACCTCGAGAGGCACGCGGAATTCATTGCTTCAAAAGGTGACGATGCCTGACTCCTCTTGAATACTGATAGGAATCCCAAAATCTCTTTGGCTACTGGAAAGGGTCCTTGGGTGCCGTGCCTAACCTCGAGAAGCGTCCCTTTTGCCCTGCCAAGCCTCGAAGAGATTCCTGAGGTTTCCCTCGTTACTAGACAGGAGTCCTGACGTCACTGAAGAAACTCGTGTTTTGAAGGGCTATCCCCTCCGTAAGTCGAGAACATACCCCAGGTCCCCACCACAACTCGAGAACAACCATGAGACTTCCCCCTAGAGGCGACATGAGGCCCCATTCCCCTGCAGTGCATGCAGAGCTATTCCGTGATCACATTCAATCTAGTCAGGAGCTTCGACTTGCTTAATGGATCACGAGACAGTCCCCAAGAACACTGTCACCAGTCTAGACGGACCCTGAGGTCACCCCAGCAACGCAAAGCAGCTCCATGTGCCCCAAATCAACTCGAGATGAGGCCCGATTCCCCTGCATTGACTCCAGAGCCATTCCCCGTTCCCCATTCAACACGACCAGTGGCTCGACTTCCTTCAGGCAACTCCAGAGATGCCCGGAGAACACTGTCCCAAGTCTAGAGGAACACGAACTTCAGCACAGCAACTCGAGGAATGCTCCGTGTACCCCTAATCGTCTCGAGATGAGAGCTGATTCCCTGGCTTAGGCTCAAGACGTATGAAAACTTTCCAGAAGCACCTCAGGAGGAGGCTTCTCTCAGCAATAGGTATGTGGGAGGGACCCCGAGTTTGCTGCCTCAAGGGGAATATACAGCGAGAAGCCCTAACTTGAAAGGAGGCCAGATTTCCTTGCAGTGGCTTGAATACAGGCTCGTCTTTCATCTCACAACATGAAGTGATGTCTGAATCCCCTGTGGAGACCTTAGAAAAAGCCCTAGGTCCCTGCCTCATTTTGACGGAATGCCTCACATCCCACTGACACCTCGAGAGGCACGCAGAGTTCATTGCTTCAAAAGGTGACGCTGCCTGAGTCCTCTTGAATACTGATATGAATCCCAAAATCCCTGTGGCTACTGAATAGGGTCCTTGGGTGCCCTGCCTCACCTCGAGAAGCGTCCCTTTTGCCCTGCCAAGCCTCGAAGAGATTCCTGAGGTGTCCCTCGTTACTAGACAGGAATCCTGAGGTCACTGAAGAAACTCGTGTTTTGAAGGGCCATCCCCGCCGTAAGTCGAGAACATACCCCAGGTGCCTGCTGCAACTCGAGAAAAACCGTGAGACTTCCCCCTAGAGGCGAGATGAGGCCCTCTTCCCCTGTAGTGCATGCAGAGCTATTCCGTGATCCCATTCAAACACGTCAGGAGCTTCCACTTGCATAATGGATCTCGAGACAGTCCCCAAGAACACTGTCACCAGTCTAGACAGACCCTGAGGTCACCCCAGCAACGCAAAGCAGGTCCATGTGCCCCAAATCAACTCGAGATGAGGCCCGATTCCCCTGCATTGACGCCAGAGCCATTCCCCGTTCTCCATTCAACACGACCGGTGGCTCGACTTCCTTCAGGCCCCTCCAGAGATGCCCCGAGAACACTGTCCGAAGTCTAGAGGAACAACAACTTCAGCACAGCAACTCGAGGAATGCTCCGTGTACCCCAAATCATCTCGAGATGAGAGCTGATTCCCTGGCTTAGGATCAAGATGTATGCCAACTTTCCAGAAGCACCTCAGGAGGAGGCTTCTCTCAGCAATAGGTATGTGGGAGGGACCCGGAGTTTGCTGCCTCAAAGGGAATATACAGCGAGAAGCCCTAACTTGAAAGGAGTCCGGATTTCCTTGCAGTGGCTTGAATACAGGCTCGTCTTTCATCTCACAACATGAAGGGATGTCTGAATCGCCTGTGGAGACCTTAGGGAAAGCCCTAGGTCCCTGCCTCATTTTGACGGAAATCCTCACATCCCGCTGACACCTCGAGAGGCACGCGGAGTTCATTGCTTCAAAAGGTGACGATGCCTGACTCCTCTTGAATACTGATAGGAATCCCAAAATCCCTGTGGCTACTGGAAAGGCTCCTTGGGTGCGCTGCCTCACCTCGAGAAGCGTCCCTTTTGCCCTGCCAAGCCTCGAAGAGATTCCTGAGGTGTCCCACATTACTAGACAGGAGTCCTGACATCACTGAAGAAACTCGTGTTTTAAAGGGCCATCCCCGCCGTAAGTCGAGAACATACCCCAGGTCCCCGCCGCAACTCGAGAAAAACCATGAGATTTCCTCCTAGAGCCGAGATGAGGCCCCATTCCCCTGCAGTGCATGCAGAGCTATTCCGTGATCCCATTCAAACAAGTCAGGAGCTTCGACTTGCTTAATGGATCTCGAGAGAGTCCCCAAGAACACTGTCACCAGTCTAGATGGACCCTGAGGTCACCCCAGCAACGCAAAGCAGCTCCATGTGCCCCAAATCAACTCGAGATGACGCCCGATTCCCCTGCATTGACTCCAGAGCCATTCCCCGTTCCCCATTCAACACGACCGGTGGCTCGACTTCCTTCAGGAAACTGCAGAGATGCCCCGAGAACACTCTCCCAAGTCAAGAGGAACAACAACTTCAGCACAGCAACTCGAGGAATGCTCCGTGTACCCCAAATCATCTCGAGATGAGAGCTGATTCCCTGGCTTAGGCTCAAGACGTATGCCAACTTTCTAGAAGCACCTCAGGAGGAGGCTTCTCTCAGCAATAGTTATGAGGGAGGGACCCCGAGTTTGCTGCCTCAAGGGGAATATAGAGCGAGAAGCCCTAACTTGAAAGGAGGCCGGATTTCCTTGCAGTGGCTTGAATACAGGCTCGTCTTTCATCTCACAACATGAAGGGATGTCTGAATCCCCTGTGGAGACCTCAGAGAAAGCCCTAGGTCCCTGCCTCATTTTGACGGAATGCCTCACATCCCGCTGACACCTCGAGAGGCACGCGAAGTTCATTGCTTCAAAAGGTGACGATGCCTGACTCCTCTTGAATACTGATAGGAATCCCAAAATCCCTGTGGCTACTGGAAAGGGTCCTTGGGTGCCCTGCCTCACCTCGAGAAGCGTCCCTTTTGCCCTGCCAAGCCTCGAAGAGATTCCTGAGGTGTCCCTCGTTACTAGACAGGAGTCCTGACGTCACTGAAGAAACTCGTGTTTTGAAGGGCCATCCCCGCCGTAAGTCGAGAACATACCCCCGGTCCCCGCCCCAACTCGAGAAAAACCATGAGACTTCCCCCTAGAGGCGAGATGAGGCCCTCTTCCCCTGTAGTGCATGCAGAGGTATTCCGTGATCCCATTCAAACACGTCAGGAGCTTCGACTTGCTTAATGGATCTCGAGACAGTCCCCAAGAACACTGTCACCAGTCTAGACGGACCCTGAGGTCACCCCAGCAACGCAAAGCAGGTCCATGTGCCCCAAATCAACTCGAGATGAGGCCCGATTCCCCTGCATTGACTCCATAGCCATACCCCGTTCCCCATTCAACATGACCGGTGGCTCGACTTCCTTCAGGCAACTCCAGAGATGCCCCGAGAACACTGTCCCAAGTCTAGAGGAACACCAACATCAGCACAGCAACTCGAGGAATGCTCCGTGTACCCCAAATCGTCTCGAGATGAGAGCTGATTCCCTCGCTTAGGCTCAAGACGTATGCCAACTTTCCAGAAGCACCTAAGGAGGAGGCTTCTCTCAGCAATAGGTATGTGGGAGGGACCCCGAGTTTGCTGCCTCAAGGGGAATATACAGCGAGAAGCCCTAACTTGAAAGGAGGCCGGATTTCCTTGCAGTGGCTTGAATACAGGCTCGTCTTTCATCTCACAACATGAAGGGATGCCTGAATCCCCTGTGGAGACCTTAGAGAAAGCCCTAGTTCCCTGCCTCATTTTGACGGAATGCCTCACATCCCGCTGACACCTGGAGAGGCACGAGGAGTTCATTGCTTCAAAAGGTGACGATGCCTGACTCCTCTTGAATACTGATAGGAATCCCAAAATCCCTGTGGCTACTGAAAAGGGTCCTTGGGTGCCCTGCCTCCCCTCGAGAAGCGTCCCTTTGCCCTGCCAAGCCTCGAAGAGATTCCTGAGGTGTCCCTCGTTACTAGACAGGAGTCCTGACGTCACTGAAGAAACTCGTGTTTTGAAGGGCCATGCCCTCCATAAGTCGAGAACATACCCCAGGTCCCCGCCGCAACTCGAGAAAAACCATGAGACTTCCCCCTAGGGGCGAGATGAGGCCCCATTCCCCTGCAGTGCATGAAGAGCTATTCTGTGATCCCATTCAAACAAGTCAGGAGCTTCGACTTGCTTAATGGATCTCGAGACAGTCCCTAAGAACACTGTCACCAGTCTAGACGAACCCCGAGTTCACCGCAGCAAGGCAAAGCACCTCCATGTGCCCCCAATCAACTCGAGATGAGGCCCGATTCCCCTGCATTGACTCCAGAGCCATTCCCCGTTCCTCATTCAACACGACCGGTGGCTCGACTTCCTTCAGGCAACTCCAGAGATGCCCCGAGGACACTGTCCCAAGTCTAGAGGAACACCAACTTCAGCACAGCAACTCGAGGAATGCTCCGTGTACCCCAAATCGTCTCGAGATGAGAGCTGATTCCCTGGCTTAGGCTCAATACGTATGCCAACTTTCCAGAAGCACCTCAGGAGGAGGCTTCTCTCAGCAATAGGTATGTGGGAGGGACCCCGAGTTTCCTGCCTCAATGGGAATATACAGCGAGAAGCCCTAACTTGAAAGGAGGCCGGATTTCCTTGCAGTGGCTTGAATACAGGCTCGTCTTTCATCTCACAACATGAAGGGATGTCTGAATCCCCTGTGGAGACCTGAGAGAAAGCCCTAGGTCCATGCCTCTTTTTGACGGAATGCCTCACATCCCGCTGACACACCGAGAGCCACGCGGATTTCATTGCTTCAAAAGGTGACGATGCCTGACTCCTCTTGAATACTGATAGGAATCCCATAATCCCTGTGGCTACTGGAAAGGGTCCTTGGGTGCCCTGCCTCACCTCGAGAAGCGTCCCTTTTGCCCTGCCAAGCCTCGAAGAGATTCCTGAGGTGTCCCTCGTTACTAGACAGGAGTCCTGACGTCACTGAATAAACTCGTGTTTTGAAGGGCAATCCCCGCCGTAAGTCGAGAACATACCCCAGGTCCCCGCCGCAACTCGAGAAAAACCATGAGACTTCCCCCTAGAGGCGAGATGAGGCCCCATTCCCCTGCAGTGCATGCAGAGCTATTCTGTGATCCCATTCATACAGGTCAGGAGGTTCGACTTTCTTAATGGGTCTCGAGACAGTCCCCAAGAACACTGTCTCCAGTCTAGACGGACCCTGAGGTCACCCCAGCAACGCAAAGCAGCTCCATGTCCCCCAAATCAACTCGAGATGAGGCCCGATTCCCCTGCATTGACTCCAGAGCCATTCCCCGTTCCCCATTCAACACGACCGGTGGCTCGACTTCCTTCAGGCAACTCCAGAGATGCCCCGAGAATACTGTCCCAAGTCTAGAGGAACACCAACTTCAGCACAGCAACTCGAGCAATGATCCGTGTACCCCAAATCATCTCGAGATGAGAGCTGATTCCCTGGCTTAGGATCAAAATGTATGCCAACTTTTCAGAAGCACCTCAGGAGGAGGCTTCTCTCAGCAATAGGTATGTGGGAGGGACCCCGAGTTTGCTGCCTCAAAGGGAATATACAGCGAGAAGACCTAACTTGAAAGGATTCCGGATTTCCTTGCAGTGGATTGAATACAGGCTCGTCTTTCATCTCACAACATGAAGGGATTTCTGAATCCCATGTGGAGATCTTAGAGAAAGCCCTTGTTCCCTGCCTCATTTTGACGGAAATCCTCGCATCCCGCTGACACCACGAGAGGCACGCGGTGTTCTTTGCTTCAAAAGGTGACGATGCCTGACTCCTCTTGAATACTGATAGGAATCCCATAATCCCTGTGGCTACAGGAAAGGGTAATTGGGTGCGCTGCCTCACCTCGAGAAGCGTCCCTTTTGCCCTGCCAAGCCTCGAAGAGATTACTGAGGTGTCCCTCGTTACTAGACAGGAGTCCTGACGTCACTGAAGAAACTCGTGTTTTGAAGGGCCATCCCCGCCGTAAGTCGAGAACATAGCCCAGGTCCCCGCCGCAACTCGAGAAAAACCATGAGACTTCCCCTTAGAGATGAGATGAGACCCCATTCCACTGCAGTGCATGCAGAGCTATTCCGTGATCCCATTCAAACAAGTCAGGAGCTTCGACTTGCTTAATGGATCTCGAGACAGTCATCAAGAAAACTGTCACCAGTCTAGACGGACCCTGAGCTCACCCCATTAAAGCAAAGCAGCTCCATGTGCCCCAAATCAACTCGAGATGAGGCCCAATTCCCCTGTATTGACTCCAGAGCCTTTCCCCATTCCGCATTTAACACGACCGGCGGCTCGACTTCCTTCAGACAACTCCAGAGATGCCCCGAGAACACTCTCCCAAGACTAGAGGAACACCAACTTCAGCACAGCAACTCGAGGAATGCTTCGTGTACCCCAAATCGTCTCGAGATGAGACCTGATTCCCTGGCTTAGGATCAAGACTTATGCCAACTTTCCGGAAGCACCTCAGGAGGAGGCTTCTCTCAGCAATATGTATGAGGGAGGGACCCCGAGTTTGCTGCCTCAAGGGGAATATACAGCGAGAAGCCCTAACTTGAGAGGGGCCCGGATTTCCTTGCAGTGGCTTGAATACAGGCTCGTCTTTCATTTCACAACATGAAGGGATGTCTGAATTCCCTGTGGAGACCTTAGAGAAAGCCCTAGGTCCCTGCCTCATTTTGACGGAATGCCTCACATCACGCTGACACCTGGAGAGGCACGCGGAGTTCATTGCTTCAAAAGGTGACGATGCCTGACTCCTCTTGAATACTGATAGGAATCCCAAAATCCCTGTGGCTGCTGGAAAGGGTCCTTGGGTGCATTGCCTCACCTCGAGAAGCGTCCCTTTTGCCCTGCCAAGCCTCGAAGAGATTCCTGAGGTGTCCCTCGTTACTAGACAGGAGTCCTGACGTCACTGAAAAAACTCGTGTTTTGAAGGGCCATCCCCGCCGTAAGTCGAGAACATACCCCAGGTCCCCGCCGCAACTCGAGAAAAACCATGAGACTTCCCCCTAGAGGCGACATGAGGCCCCATTCCCCTGCAGTGCATGCAGAGCTATTCCGTGATCCCATTCAAACTAGTCAGGACCTTCGACTTGCTTAATGGATCACGAGACAGTCCCCAAGAACACTGTCACCAGTCTAGACGGACCCTGAGGTCTCCCCAGCAACGCAAAGCAGCTCCATGTGCCCCAAATCAACTCGAGATGAGGCCCGATTCCCCTGCATTGACTCCAGAGCCATTCCCCGTTCCCCATTCAACACAACCAGTGGCTCGACTTCCTTCAGGCAACTCCAGAGATGCCCCGAGAACACTGTCCCAAGTCTAGAGGAACACGAACTTCAGCACAGCAACTCGAGGAATGCTCCGTGTACCCCTAATCGTCTCGAGATGAGAGCTGATTCCCTGGCTTAGGCTCAAGACGTATGAAAACTTTCCAGAAGCACCTCAGGAGGAGGCTTCTCTCAGCAATAGGTATGTGGGAGGGACCCCGAGTTTGCTGCCTCAAGGGGAATATACAGCGAGAAGCCCTAACTTGAAAGGAGGCCAGATTTCCTTGCAGTGGCTTGAATACAGGCTCGTCTTTCATCTCACAACATGAAGTGATGTCTGAATCCCCTGTGGAGACCTTAGAGAAAGCCCTAGGTCCCTGCCTCATTTTGACGGAATGCCTCACATCCCACTGACACCTCGAGAGGCACGCAGAGTTCATTGCTTCAAAAGGTGACGCTGCCTGAGTCCTCTTGAATACTGATAGGAATCCCAAAATCCCTGTGGCTACTGAATAGGGTCCTTGGGTGCCCTGCCTCACCTCGAGAAGCGTCCCTTTTGCCCTGCCAAGCCTCGAAGAGATTCCTGAGGTGTCCCTCGTTACTAGACAGGAATCCTGAGGTCACTGAAGAAACTCGTGTTTTGAAGGGCCATCCCCGCCGTAAGTCGAGAACATATCCCAGGTCCCCGCTGCAACTCGAGAAAAACCATGAGACTTCCCCCTAGAGGCGAGATGAGGCCCTCTTCCCCTGTAGTGCATGCAGAGCTATTCCGTGATCCCATTCAAACACGTCAGGAGCTTCGACTTGCATAATGGATCTCGAGACAGTCCCCAAGAACACTGTCACCAGTCTAGACGGACCCTGAGGTCACCCCAGCAACGCAAAGCAGGTCCATGTGCCCAAAATCAACTCTAGATGAGGCCCGATTCCCCTGCATTGACGCCAGAGCCATTCCCCGTTCTCCATTCAACACGACCGGTGGCTCGACTTCCTTCAGGCCACTCCAGAGATGCCCCGAGAACACTGTCCGAAGTCTAGAGGAACAACAACTTCAGCACAGCAACTCGAGGAATGCTCCGTGTACCCCAAATCATCTCGAGATGAGAGCTGATTCCCTGGCTTAGGATCAAGATGTATGCCAACTTTCCAGAAGCCCCTCAGGAGGAGGCTTCTCTCAGCAATAGGTATGTGGGAGGGACCCCGAGTTTGCTGCCTCAAAGGGAATATACAGCGAGAAGCCCTAACTTGAAAGGAGTCCGGATTTCCTTGCAGTGGCTTGAATACAGGCTCGTCTTTCATCTCACAACATGAAGGGATGTCTGAATCGCCTGTGGAGACCTTAGGGAAAGCCCTAGGTCCCTGCCTCATTTTGACGGAAATCCTCACATCCCGCTGACACCTCGAGAGGCACGCGGAGTTCATTGCTTCAAAAGGTGACGATGCCTGACTCCTCTTGAATACTGATAGGAATCCCAAAATCCCTGTGGCTACTGGAAAGGCTCCTTGGGTGCGCTGCCTCACCTCGAGAAGCGTCCCTTTTGCCCTGCCAAGCCTCGAAGAGATTCCTGAGGTGTCCCACATTACTAGACAGGAGTCCTGACATCACTGAAGAAACTCGTGTTTTAAAGGGCCATCCCCGCCGTAAGTCGAGAACATACCCCAGGTCCCCGCCGCAACTCGAGAAAAACCATGAGATTTCCTCCTAGAGCCGAGATGAGGCACCATTTCCCTGCAGTGCATGCAGAGGTATTCCGTGATCCCATTCAAACAAGTCAGGAGCTTCGACTTGCTTAATGGATCTCGAGAGAGTCCCCAAGAACACTGTCACCAGTCTAGATGGACCCTGAGGTCACCCCAGCAACGCAAAGCAGCTCCATGTGCCCCAAATCAACTCGAGATGACGCCCGATTCCCCTGCATTGACTCCAGAGCCATTCCCCGTTCCCCATTCAACACGACCGGTGGCTCGACTTCCTTCAGGAAACTGCAGAGATGCCCCGAGAACACTCTCCCAAGTCAAGAGGAACAACAACTTCAGCACAGCAACTCGAGGAATGCTCCGTGTACCCCAAATCATCTCGAGATGAGAGCTGATTCCCTGGCTTAGGCTCAAGACGTATGCCAACTTTCTAGAAGCACCTCAGGAGGAGGCTTCTCTCAGCAATAGTTATGAGGGAGGGACCCCGAGTTTGCTGCCTCAAGGGGAATATAGAGCGAGAAGCCCTAACTTGAAAGGAGGCCGGATTTCCTTGCAGTGGCTTGAATACAGGCTCGTCTTTCATCTCACAACATGAAGGGATGTCTGAATCCCCTGTGGAGACCTCAGAGAAAGCCCTAGGTCCCTGCCTCATTTTGACGGAATGCCTCACATCCCGCTGACACCTCGAGAGGCACGCGAAGTTCATTGCTTCAAAAGGTGACGATGCCTGACTCCTCTTGAATAATGATAGGAATCCCAAAATCCCTGTGGCTACTGGAAAGGGTCTTGGGTGCCCTGCCTCACCTCGAGAAGCGTCCCTTTTGCCCTGCCAAGCCTCGAAGAGATTCCTGAGGTGTCCCTCGTTACTAGACAGGAGTCCTGACGTCACTGAAGAAACTCGTGTTTTGAAGGGCCATCCCCGCCGTAAGTCGAGAACATACCCCCGGTCCCCGCCCCAACTCGAGAAAAACCATGAGACTTCCCCCTAGAGGCGAGATGAGGCCCTCTTCCCCTGTAGTGCATGCAGAGCTATTCCGTGATCCCATTCAAACACGTCAGGAGCTTCGACTTGCTTAATGGATCTCGAGACAGTCCCCAAGAACACTGTCACCAGTCTAGACGGACCCTGAGGTCACCCCAGCAACGCAAAGCAGGTCCATGTGCCCCAAATCAACTCGAGATGAGGCCCGATTCCCCTGCATTGACTCCATAGCCATACCCCGTTCCGCATTCAACATGACCGGTGGCTCGACTTCCTTCAGGCAACTCCAGAAATGCCCCGAGAACACTGTCCCAAGTCTAGAGGAACACCAACATCAGCACAGCAACTCGAGGAATGCTCCGTGTACCCCAAATCGTCTCGAGATGAGAGCTGATTCCCTCGCTTAGGCTCAAGACGTATGCCAACTTTCCAGAAGCACCTAAGGAGGAGGCTTCTCTCAGCAATAGGTATGTGGGAGGGACCCCGAGTTTGCTGCCTCAAGGGGAATATAGAGCGAGAAGCCCTAACTTGAAAGGAGGCCGGATTTCCTTGCAGTGGCTTGAATACAGGCTCGTCTTTCATCTCACAACATGAAGGGATGCCTGAATCCCCTGTGGAGACCTTAGAGAAAGCCCTAGTTCCCTGCCTCATTTTGACGGAATGCCTCACAACCCGCTGACACCTGGAGAGGCACGAGGAGTTCATTGCTTCAAAAGGTGACGATGCCTGACTCCTCTTGAATACTGATAGGAATCCCAAAATCCCTGTGGCTACTGAAAAGGGTCCTTGGGTGCCCTGCCTCCCCTCGAGAAGCGTCCCTTTGCCCTGCCAAGCCTCGAAGAGATTCCTGAGGTGTCCCTCGTTACTAGACAGGAGTCCTGACGTCACTGAAGAAACTCGTGTTTTGAAGGGCCATGCCCTCCATAAGTCGAGAACATACCCCAGGTCCCCGCCGCAACTCGAGAAAAACCATGAGACTTCCCCATAGAGGCGAGATGAGGCCCCATTCCCCTGCAGTGCATGAAGAGCTATTCCGTGATCCCATTCAAACAAGTCAGGAGCTTCGACTTGCTTAATGGATCTCGAGACAGTCCCTAAGAACACTGTCACCAGTCTAGACGAACCCCGAGTTCACCGCAGCAAGGCAAAGCACCTCCATGTGCCCCCAATCAACTCGAGATGAGGCCCGATTCCCCTGCATTGACTCCAGAGCCATTCCCCGTTCCCCATTCAACACGACCGGTGGCTCGACTTCCTTCAGGCAACTCCAGAGATGCCCCGAGGACACTGTCCCAAGTCTAGAGGAACACCAACTTCAGCACAGCAACTCGAGGAATGCTCCGTGTACCCCAAATCGTCTCGAGATGAGAGCTGATTCCCTGGCTTAGGCTCAATACGTATGCCAACTTTCCAGAAGCACCTCAGGAGGAGGCTTCTCTCAGCAATAGGTATGTGGGAGGGACCCCGAGTTTCCTGCCTCAAGGGGAATATACAGCGAGAAGCCCTAACTTGAAAGGAGGCCGGATTTCCTTGCAGTGGCTTGAATACAGGCTCGTCTTTCATCTCACAACATGAAGGGATGTCTGAATCCCCTGTGGAGACCTGAGAGAAAGCCCTAGGTCCATGCCTCTTTTTGACGGAATGCCTCACATCCCGCTGACACCCCGAGAGCCACGCGGATTTCATTGCTTCAAAAGGTGACGATGCCTGACTCCTCTTGAATACTGATAGGAATCCCATAATCCCTGTGGCTACTGGAAAGGGTCCTTGGGTGCCCTGCCTCACCTCGAGAAGCGTCCCTTTTGCCCTGCCAAGCCTCGAAGAGATTCCTGAGGTGTCCCTCGTTACTAGACAGGACTCCTGACGTCACTGAATAAACTCGTGTTTTGAAGGGCAATCCCCGCCGTAAGTCGAGAACATACCCCAGGTCCCCGCCGCAACTCGAGAAAAACCATGAGACTTCCCCCTAGAGGCGAGATGAGGCCCCATTCCCCTGCAGTGCATGCAGAGCTATTCTGTGATCCCATTCATACAGGTCAGGAGCTTCGACTTGCTTAATGGGTCTCGAGACAGTCCCCAAGAACACTGTCTCCAGTCTAGACGGACCCTGAGGTCACCCCAGCAACGCAAAGCAGCTCCATGTCCCCCAAATCAACTCGAGATGAGGCCCGATTCCCCTGCATTGACTCCAGAGCCATTCCCCGTTCCCCATTCAACACGTCCGGTGGCTCGACTTCCTTCAGGCAACTCCAGAGATGCCCCGAGAACACTGTCCCAAGTCTAGAGGAACACCAACTTCAGCACAGCAACTCGAGCAATGATCCGTGTACCCCAAATCATCTCGAGATGAGAGCTGATTCCCTGGCTTAGGATCAAGATGTATGCCAACTTTTCAGAAGCACCTCAGGAGGAGGTTTCTCTCAGCAATAGGTATGTGGGAGGGACCCCGAGTTTGCTGCCTCAAAGGGAATATACAGCGAGAAGACCTAACTTGAAAGGATTCCGGATTTCCTTGCAGTGGATTGAATACAGGCTCGTCTTTCATCTCACAACATGAAGGGATTTCTGAATCCCATGTGGAGACCTTAGAGAAAGCCCTTGTTCCCTGCCTCATTTTGACGGAAATCCTCGCATCCCGCTGACACCACGAGAGGCACGCGGTGTTCATTGCCTCAAAATGTGACGATGCCTGACTCCTCTTGAATACTGATAGGAATCCCAAAATCCCTGTGGCTACAGGAAAGGGTAATTGGGTGCGCTGCCTTACCTCGAGAAGCGTCCCTTTTGCCCTGCCAAGCCTCGAAGAGATTACTGAGGTGTCCCTCGTTACTAGACAGGAGTCCTGACGTCACTGAAGAAACTCGTGTTTTGAAGGGCCATCCCCGCCGTAAGTCGAGAACATAGCCCAGGTCCCCGCCGCAACTCGAGAAAAACCATGAGACTTCCCCTTAGAGATGAGATGAGACCCCATTCCACTGCAGTGCATGCAGAGCTATTCCGTGATCACATTCAAACAAGTCAGGAGTTTCGACTTGCTTAATGGATCTCGAGACAGTCCCCAAGAAAACTGTCACCAGTCTAGACGGACCCTGAGCTCACCCCATTAAAGCAAAGCAGCTCCATGTGCCCCAAATCAACTCGAGATGAGGCCCGATTCCCCTGTATTGACTCCAGAGCCTTTCCCCATTCCGCATTTAACACGACCGACGGCTCGACTTCCTTCAGACAACTCCAGAGATGCCCCGAGAACACTCTCCCAAGACTAGAGGAACACCAACTTCAGCACAGCAACTCGAGGAATGTTTCGTGTACCCCAAATCGTCTCGAGATGAGACCTGATTCCCTGGCTTAGGATCAAGACTTATGCCAACTTTCCGGAAGCACCTCAGGAGGAGGCTTCTCTCAGCAATATGTATGAGGGAGGGACCCCGAGTTTGCTGCCTCAAGGGGAATATACAGCGAGAAGCCCTAACTTGAGAGGGGCCCGGATTTCCTTGCAGTGGCTTGAATACAGGCTCGTCTTTCATCTCACAACATGAAGGGATGTCTGAATCCCCTGTGGAGACCTTAGAGAAAGCCCTAGGTCCCTGCCTCATTTTGACGGAATGCCTCACATCACGCTGACACCTGGAGAGGCACGCGGAGTTCATTGCTTCAAAAGGTGACGATGCCTGACTCCTCTTGAATACTGATAGGAATCCCAAAATCCCTGTGGCTGCTGGAAAGGGTCCTTGGGTGCCCTGCCTCACCTCGAGAAGCGTCCCTTTTGCCCTGCCAAGCCTCGAAGAGATTCCTGAGGTGTCCGTCGTTACTAGACAGGAGTCCTGACGTCACTGAAAAAACTCGTGTTTTGAAGGGCCATCCCCGCCGTAAGTCGAGAACATACCCCAGGTCCCCGCCGCAACTCGAGAAAAACCATGAGACTTCAACTAGAAGCGAGATGAGGCCCCTTCCCCTGCAGTGCATGCAGAGCTATTCCGTGATCCCGTTCAAACAAGTCAGGAGCTTCGACTTGCTTAATGGATCTCGAGACAGTCCCCAAGGACACTATCACCAGTCTAGACGGACCCTGAGGTCACCCAAGAAACGCAAAGCAGCTCCATGTGCCCCAAATCAACTCGAGATGAGGCCCGATTCCCCTGCATTGACTCCAGAGCCATTCCCCGTTCCCCATTCAACACGATCGGCGGCTCGACTTCCTTCAGGCCACTCCAGAGATGCCCCGAGAACACTGTCCCAAGTCTAGAGGAACACCAACTTCAGCACAGCAACTCGAGGAATGCTCCGTGTACCCCAAATCGTCTCGAGATGAGAGCTGATTCCCTGGTTTAGGCTCAAGACCTATGAAAAACTTTCCAGAAGCACCTCAGGAGGAGGCTTCTCTCAGCAAAAGGTATGTGGGAGGGACCCCGAGTTTGCTGCCTCAAGGGGAATATACAGCGAGAAGCCCTAACTTGATAGAAGGCCGGATTTCTTTGCAGTGACTTGAATACAGGCTCGTCTTTCATCTCACAACATGAAGGGATATCTGAATCCCCTGGGGAGACCTTAGAGAAAGCCCTAGGTCCCTGCCTCATTTTGACGAAATGCCTCACATCCCGCTGACACCTCGAGAGGCACGCGGAATTCATTGCTTCAAAAGGTGACGATGCCTGACTCCTCTTGAATACTGATAGGAATCCCAAAATCACTTTGGCTACTGGAAAGGGTCCTTGGGTGCCGTGCTTAACCTCGAGAAGCGTCCCTTTTGCCCTGCCAAGCCTCGAAGAGATTCCTGAGGTGTCCCTCGTTACTAGACAGGAGTCCTGACGTCACTGAATAAACTCGTGTTTTGAAGGGCTATCCCCTCCGTAAGTCGAGAACATACCCCAGGTCCCTACCACAACTCGAGAACAACCATGAGACTTCCCCCTAGAGGCGACATGAGGCCCCATTCCCCTGCAGTGCATGCAGAGCTATTCCGTGATCCCATTCAAACTAGTCAGGAGCTTCGACTTGCTTAATGGATCACGAGACAGTCCCCAAGAACACTGTCACCAGTCTAGACGGACCCTGAGGTCACCCCAGCAACGCAAAGCAGCTCCATGTGCCCCAAATCAACTCGAGATGAGGCCCGATTCCCCTGCATTGACTCCAGAGCCATTCCCCGTTCCCCATTCAACACAACCAGTGGCTCGACTTCCTTCAGGCAACTCCAGAGATGCCCCGAGAACACTGTCCCAAGTCTAGAGGAACACGAACTTCAGCACAGCAACTCGAGGAATGCTCCGTGTACCCCTAATCGTCTCGAGATGAGAGCTGATTCCCTGGCTTAGGCTCAAGACGTATGAAAACTTTCCAGAAGCACCTCAGGAGGAGGCTTCTCTCAGCAATAGGTATGTGGGAGGGACCCCG